CAATGAGTTCAGGTTAGACTTGAACAAGTCAAGCCGACCTTGCTTTCCATCTTGAGTACCGATGAACGTTCCTCCGACACAGATTGGGACTCGCACCACATCAGTGCCTCTTTCTCCCACTCCTCCTAGTGGGTAGGTTCTCAGCTCATGTCTCAATGATTGAAGGCGCTCAACTTGACATTGCGAGGAGGCCCTCGTCCATCATCATCCATTTGCACAACTGTTCTGTGTCCCATAGTGTAAAATGTACAGCTCCCATTTTATGATGAAACATTTTCTGCACTTCTTTATCTACCCTTAGACTGACGCAAATGTCAGTGTCGAGGCTTTGGTCCACACTCTTTGACTATGTGGCTCATGGTGCCACACTGTGACTCACCGTGACTGTTTGGATAAGACAAACAACTTTCCGCGCGCACAGAAAAACACCGCCTCGGGTTTCATATGCAAACGACTGTAAAGTGTTCTCAGCCCGTTGTAACTTACATAGCAATGCCAGCATCGGATTGGCATTCCAGTGAGTGCTAAGCCAGGTTGAGCTGTTCGCCGTGACATTTAAATTCCAGGAGGACACGAGCATCTGAATCCCTGCTCCTTTCCGCGCACGATCACAAGATTGGTACGTATGCCAGGGGCCATATGTACTAAGGCTTCTCCCTGCCATTTTGACAAACACTGTCATGTCGATGTGTTCAAGTTATTGAAGGGTGGGTTGTCTATGGACAGGGCGCGAAACGGTCACAGATATTTGCCTTTCGAGAATTCCTCGTCGCAACGGAGCAGAAAACCGAGGGTCTAAACGATTTATAATCAAATGCTCTTCAAGATCATGAGTACTTGTGGTACAGGAGATGAGGAGGCTCGGTCAAAAGAGGTTCTTCATGAGATAGTAAGTAGGGTGGTCTCTGAAATGCATTCACCGGACATACGATTAAATAACGATGTCTTGCTATGTTACTTGTACGTATCACTTAGATTCACGCTCGGTTTTGGTGCACGCATACATACGCCCATTTGAAGAACCCTTTTCGTCACATCGGCTACTAGCTAGTACTGAGGCAGTGACCGACATTCAAATTGTGTGTTCGTTATATTGAATTACATTGATTCTGCTTGATGCTAACCGAGCTCGAACGGGACTCCCAGGTGGAGAAGACAACATCGTAAATTATTGTAAAAAGGAACTGCCACGGTAACCGTGTCGGTTCTTGGCGGATTCAGAGTCATCTTCCCCCACTGTCAAAATGTAAGCCACGTCGGAGACTTTCGTTTAAGTATTCAGCCTCACACGCATTCTAATTTAAACCGTGAATCAAATAATGTCTACATACTCTACTGATGCACGCATATTTCTGGCTATGGCTATGGCTGTCAACGATATGCCAGTGCATATGTTTCTGAATCTACGAAACTAGTACTTACTCCGACAATCGCTCACCTTACCCAGTTCCAGACCTGTCGGCCGGCATCCGAGTCGTGGCTTCACTTCCGGAAATCGAAATCGATTTTGTAGTATGTACAGACTCCGAGGTTCCTATGTAGGAAACATCGGAGGCCCTGTATTATAAGTATATCCAGAACAGACAACAGTGGGAGGACGGCGGTTTCGATGAGGCGGAGGAAGGATGAGAGAGCCTAGAGGAGGATGAAGGGATAAGTAGCAGAAAATAGACATAGACTAGGATTAAATAACTTTCCGGAACAGCACCACGAGCTTAGTCCCTGTCGTAAGTGATATTAATTCTGCAGCCCACTCTCTCTTCCAATCGCATTGCCCTTTATTATTAATATTATACTTCCGTACTCGTTCTTTTTGGTTTATAGATTTACGATGATGGTATTACTTATACAGACCACGGCAAGAAGGGGACTCGTATGATAATGATGCCGATCAATGTCTAAGCTTCCACATCAACGCTTTCGTTGTACATAGGTGTCAAGATTGTTCATAGCAGCAGCGTGCAGCTTTTCGTAAGAGTGTTTGTTCTGCGCTATATAGAACTGTTTTGTAGAGCGAGAGCGCTCGGTAATACGTAGCCGTTCCATCCTACTAGTATTACTGTAATACATGCTTCGCCACGAGTCGACGAATGTAGATCAAGCGATCTCAAAATCACTCTCGAGGTCGCAGTCCGAGTCCATCGCGTGCAGAGATCAAAGCTCAAGAAACACAGCGAGATCAGTCTGAGCTCAGATGCTCGAGATTCAGATTGTGGAGCCTTGGGGCTTCAGCCGACTCGAAGAAAGAACAATCCAGAGAGTGAGGCTAGCGTACCAGTCACGCAGCCTGAGAGTCAAACCAGACCCCAGAGTCAGAAACCGGAGACAACGAGTGAGCGAATAGAGAGTCTGCCATGTTTTCCCTTGAATGCACGAACTGAAGCTCAGATCTATTACTAAGGGAACTGGATGTTGCATACCAGAAGAGAAATGCGGTCACGGTATGGTGGTGGCCCGTGGTGGTGGCGGTTTCCAGTCAAAGCGAAAGCAACCGGAAGGAAGGAAGGAAGGAAGGCGATAAGATAAGTCAGATCGGTACGAGCGTCTGTTGGTTTCCTCCAGGGGATCGGACTCCGGGGTACTAAAGCCCCTAGACCACGGCAAGGTCGACGCTCTACCAGGGGAGGGACTCAAGCTGAAGACTTGAGACAAGCATAGAGAAATGGAGATGAGAGCGAGAGCGTAAAGAGGAAAGCGAGAGCGAAGAGAGGAAAGCGAGAGAGAAGAGAGGAAAGCGAGAACGAAGAGAGGAAAGCGAGAGCGAAAAGAGGAAAGCGAGAGCGAAAACAACAACCCCACTGACGTACCTGTAGAAAAATAAAACTACACGAGATGCGTCAGAAAGGACATGAGAATCGAAGTGCTGATGACCCACTTACCTGTTAGTAGCGTCTGTTGGCTTCCCTCGGAGGATCGGACTCCGAGGTACTGAGCCCCTGGACCACGACAAGGTCGACGCTATCCCAGGGGACCGGTCTTGAAGCTCGTTGGAGCTCGGTGTCGATGTCGTGCTTGATCTCGCTCGTGAGCCTGTCGATGTCGATGTTGTGCTTGAGCCCGGTCGTGAGCGATGTCGACGTCGCCTAGCTCCAGCAAGACCAGCCCAAGCCCAGCAGCCTAGAAATGAAGCCCACGAAACCCAGCAGACAAAGAGACCAAGCAGACGAAGAGAGACAGCAGACCCAAAGAAACCACAGACCTAGAGACCCAGCTCGAGATGCCCCAGAGACAGCCCCGCCTAGTATTGATGTCGTACTTACTTGATTGGAGTCGTCGGCCGGACTCATCGTCGTGCTTGATTGTTGTGATCGGAGCGTCGGTCGTCTTGAGCTTACCGCAATGCTGAACCTGAAATAAAACTGCGCAGAATGAATCAGAAAAAGATGTGGATCAAAAAAGCGCGAGCCCACTCACCTGTTAGTAGCGTCTGTTGGCTTCCCTCAGAGGATCGGACTCCGAGGTACTGAGCCCCTGGACCACGACAAGGTCGACGCTATCCCAGGGGACCGGTCTTGAAGCTCGTTGGAGCTCGGTGTCGAAGTCGTGCTTGATCTCGCTCGTGAGGTCGATGTCGATGTCGATGTCGACTAGCCGCAGCAAGTCCAGCCCAAGCCCAGGTACCTAGAGACCAAGCCCGCGAGGCCCAGAAGACGAAGACAGCCGCCAGACACAGCCCAAGGTGCCCCAGGATCCAGCAGACTGAGAGACCTAGCAGACCCATAAACCCAACCCAAGATGCCCCAGAAGCCCAGCTCAAGAGACCCCAGACCGCCGCCCGGTGTTGACGTCGTGCTTGATTGGAGTCGTCGACCGGACCCGTCGTCGTGCCCGAGTGTTGAACATCAGGGCGTCGATCGTCTTGAGCTTACCGCTACGCACCGCCCTGAAATAAAACTGCATAAAACGTCAGTCAAAGATATAGGTGAACGAGATTGGGCGAAGAACTCACCGGTCGACATACCTACCACACGAGCGTCTGTTGGCTTCCCTCCGAAGAGATACTAGAGCCCCTGGACCACGACAAGGTCGACACTCTACCAGGGGACCGGTCTTGAAGCTCTTGGGGCCCGGTGTCGAGGTTATGTCGAAGGCGCTGCTGTTGAAGGCAGGTCGACGCCGTTCTCTCACGTTCACACGTTCACACAGCTATAGAACAACTGAGGGGAAGTCAGCGTAGTCACTAGTATATTCGCAACGAAAGGGAATACTCACATATCAGTACACGTTCCTCGCGGGCATCTATCGGTTTCGCGCGCGTCGGACACCAGTCCTGTAAGAGAATTCAGACGAAATCAGTGACACAGTGATAAAGAAGAAGCCTACCTTCTGAGCGACTGTTAGCTTCCCTCGGAAGAGGTACTGAGCCCCCTGACCACGGCAAGGTCGACGCTCATCCAAGGGGAAGGACGATGCTGCTTTCGCAAGCAGAGCGCCGCTGTGAAACGGACCTACCTTTACTCACACCTGGAAAGAGACCTACCTCGACAAAAACCTACCTTGACCAAACCTTGACTCACACTCACACTGACTCACCTATGAAAAAAACTAAACACAAAACGTCAATAAAATATCTAGACGAACGAAAGCGAGAGGGACTCACCCGGACCACCTCCGCACGCCTGTAAGAGAATCTAAAACGAATCGGTGACATAATAAAAGGAAAGAGACGCACCTTGTGAGCGTCTGTTAGCTTCCCTCCGAAGAGGTACTAAGCCCCTTGACCGCGACAAGGTCAACGCTCTGCCAAGGGGGTCTTGAGTATTTTGAGGTGAATCGTATCCTGACATGTTGAGAGGATGTTAAGGCCGGCGAGGACGTTGCTGTTGAAGACAGAGCGTTGGTCTCACTTACTCACACTCACATACCTACAGGAAAAATCAAATCCAGCACGTTAGTAAAACATCTCCGCGAACGAAAGAGTGTGTAGAAGACTCACTACAACGGCACTCGAGTCCTATAAGACAATCTATCATAAATCAGCGATATAATATACAGAAAAACACGCACCTTTCGAGCATCTGTTGGCTTCCCTCAGAGGAGGTACTGAGCCCCTGGACCACGACAAGGTCGACGCTATCCCAGGGGACCGGTCTTGAAGCTCGTTGGAGCTCGGTGTCGATGTCGTGCTTGAGCTCGGTCGTGAGATGTCGAAGTCGTGCTTGAGCCCGCCGCGTCGTGGGCGATGTTGATGTCGCGCTTGGGCTCGGGCGTGAGGTCGATGTCGATTTCGCCTAGCGCTAGCAAGACCAGCCCAAGCCAAGAAACCTAGAGACCTAGAGCGCAAGCCCACGAGACCCAGCAGCGTAGAGATTAAGCCCACAAGACCTAGTAAACAAAGAGGCCAAGCAGACGAACAGACTCAGCAGACGAAAAGACTCAGTAGACAAAGAGAACCAATACACCTAGAGACCCAGCCCAAGACGCCCCAGCCCAAGATGACCCAGAGACCACCGCACGTTCATGTCGTGCTTGATTGGAGTCGTCGACCGGACCCGTAGTCATGCCCGAGTGTTGGACCTCAGGGCGTCGATCGTTTTGAGCTTACTGGCACGTATTGGCCTGAAATAAAACTGAACAGAACGGGTCAGGAAAAAAATGTAGATCAAAGCGCGAGCCCACTCATCTGTTAGTAAGCGTCTGTTGGCTTCCCTCAGAGGATCGAACTCCGAGGTACTAGAGCCCCTGGACCACGACAAGGTCGACGCTATCCCAGGGGACCGGTCTTGAAGCTCGTTGGAGCGCGGTGCCGAGGTTGTGTACTAGAAGGCACTACTGTTGAAGGCAGGTCGACGCCGTTCTGTCACATTCACACAGTCACACAGCTGCAGCAAAACTGAGGAGGAAGTTAATGTGGTCATGAGTATGCGCGCATTGAAATGGAAGACTCGCTGATTAATACATATTCCTCGTGGAAATCTTGAGGTTCCTGTCGAACGCCACTGCTCTAAGAGAATCTAAAGAAATCAGCGACATAGAACGAGGAGAGACCTACCTTTCGAGCGTCTGTTAGCTTTCTCCGAGGAGGTACTGAGCCCCCTGACCACGACAAGGTCGACGCTCTACCAAGGGGAAGGACGATGCTGCTTTCGCGAGCAGAGCGCCGCACGTACCTTTACTCACACTCACACTCACGCACCTTTTACAAAACCTAAACACAATACATCAGTAAAACAAATCTACGCGAACGAGACAAAGTAACGGAGACTCACCACAACCTGACACGCCTATAAAAAAATCTAAAAAATATCAGTGTAATAATATAAAGAAAGAGACGTACCTTGTGAGCGTCTGTTGGCTTCCCTCCGAAGAGGTACTGAGCCCCTTGACCACGACAAGGTCGACACTCTGCCAAGGGGACCGGTCTTGAATCTCTTGGGGCCCGGTGTCGAGGTTGCGTCGAGGGCGCTGCTGTTGAGGCAGGTCGATGCCAATCTCTTACATTCACACAATCACACACCTGTAGGAAAACTGAAGAAGACGTCAGCGTGGTCACCAGGATAGGTGTATCGAAAGAAAAAACTCACAGATCAATACGTGTTCCCCGCGGACATGCATGAGTTTCGTGTCGAAAAACTCCTGTAAGAGGCGCTAGAGAAAATCAGTGACACGGGATAGAAAGGAAACGCACCTTGCGAGCGTCTGTTGGCTTCCCCCCGAAGAGGTACTGAGCCCCTGGACCACGACAAGGTCGACGCTCTCCCAGGGGGACTTACCTTGAATTCAGACAGACACGCAAGACAAGGGAGGAATGGGTGGGCGGTGGATGTTGCCTAAGATGAGACCGAGACCAAGACCAGGACCAAGCTCTTACATATGACGCACCGTGGAGAACATCAAGATCACACAATATATTATCTACGACTATACTTACCTTAAGATCACGCAATATATCTAGACCTAGACCTTAGACCACGTGAGACCTTAACTTATTTACGAGTCGATGATAGAGGAGGAAGGAGAAGAAGGGAGGGAGAGGATAGCGAACTTGAAGTCGCCTAAGCCCGAGTGTATCCCAGCCGAGTGTAGCCCAAGTGGAGAGACAACGTACCTATATAGTATGAGGGAGGAAGGGAGCATAAGTAGCGATGAGTTGATCAGACGGAAGGAGGAAGGGAAGGTAGAAGTCGCCTGAGCTGAGAGGTGTCGCCATAGATGAGGGACTACTTACGAACTAAGAGACAAAGTGAGACGAGGTGGAAGGTGAAAGGGAAGGAAGGAAGAATATAGTACGAAAGAGTCGAGGCGAAGGTCGATGACGAAGGGTGTGTGTGCAGTGGAGAGACTAACGACGAAGAAAAGAGGAAGAAAGGATAAGGAAAGAAACAAAGGAGGGTCGCCTAAGCTCTAGAGTGTCGCCCAAGTAGAGTGTCGCCAGAGATCACACAGGTTAGTGAGTAAGAGGGCGAGGGTAGGTGTGGTTAGGGATGGGTGAGGATGGGTAAGGGTGGACGAGGGTGGGTGAGGGTTTGTGAGTGTAGGTAAAGGTCGATGAGGATAGGCGAAGGTCGGTGAGGATGGGTGATGGTAGACGAAGGTGGATCAAGGTAGGTAAGGTCGATGGTGGAAGAGGGTAGAGAGCGATGGGGGACGATAGACGACGATAAGAGAAGATAAGCGAGGTGGGGGACGAAGAAAAGATGGAACGATGAAACGACCAAGCCAATATATACTAACTCGCGAACGACCATCCCAAAAAGGAAACGCACCTGATCGCTCGATAAAGACATTGTACCTGATCGTCGAAAAAAAGATAGGCGAGTCAGCGCTGATGATGGCGATGACAGAGAGGATGGGTGCGCACCTGCAAGTGGGGAGGGTCGTCGACGACGGCGACGACGGCGATGATGCTGAAGATGGGGACAAGGAGGGTGGTCAGCAACGATGACGATGACGATAATGACAGAGAAAAGGGGGCGCACCTGAGAAGGGGGAGTGTCGGCGATGTTGTCGTCGATGAGGTTGGCGACGATGTTGGCGACGACAACGCTGACGTGGCAAAGAGCGAGAGGCATCAGCGACGAGCGAAGGGTACGACGACGACGACGAGCAAGGGAGGACTCACCAATATCGGAGACATCGTCGTGGGCATCGTCGAGGACAGCGAGCTCGCTGGGGAGTGCGGAGGGAAAAGAGGGAAGAAAAAATGTGGGGGGATGCAAGTGGTCAAGAGTCAACCAATGCCTGCCCCCCAGTTCTGTGCGGAGGGGCCTCTTATATACCTTTCCAGAGTCCGGAAATAAAAACAAGACACCGGAAATAAGAACCGGAAAAACAAAAGCCTTAGAAACGAACAGTAGCCGGCCGCCTCGAGGCAGGCGGTATCGCATTTCGTCGCCTTCTAGTGATTGGGAGGCTGAACAGGGCGTCCCAATTCGGCCTCTGGTGTGAATAAACGCAAAAAGAAGCGCGCAGCGGGATCGTGTGGGCTTGTGTCAGAAAAGTCTAGATGGTGCGAGGTGGAGCACGGGATACGGAATGGAAGCTTCAAGATCAAATTAAATGGATTATATATACCCGCAGCGGAGCGATGCGGGTACAGAATAACGCACAGGAAAAGGCAAGTTCAAGAGGGTGTCCGAATCGGGAAAACAAAGGGATTTCCAGTCACGCGGCTCGCACTAGGCCCAGAGCCACTCCACAGCCTCCAGCCCGTCGCACGTCGAGTATAGATAAGTAGTCCCACCGGCATAGAAAAGATAATATCTAGGGGAGACGCACAAATATGCATAGGGGAGCGTCCAGTGGCTTGCCCGTGGCACAGAGAAGTTGAACATAATAATCGGCGAGCGTCGGAAATCATGTTCAGCCGGATCGATGGATTTGCCGCCGGCATCGCGTGGAAACCATGCGAGCGATGTGTCCAATTGCCAATAGCTATTTACATCACTTGTGGCGTAACGGTGTGGCGCCCTCTAGGATGTCTCGTCTTGTTGAGAGAGGGAGAAAAGAGAGAGTAGCAGAGGAAAAAGGACGGGAGGGGGATGAATGCATGGCTTGAGCGCATCCGTGAGAGTGGACCTTGGGGTTGCGAGGCGATGAGAACGAAATGTAAAAGTGAGAATTTCAATAGAATTTTCATTTTGAAGGGGAATGTGTAGGCCGGCTGTGATCATTGGCTGATCACGCTCCTTTGGCCTGCGTCTGGCACTTACCGAGGGTTCGTAGCGAAGTACTCATTACTTGAAAATTGAAGTTTGCGAACTCCAAAGTAGCCGATTTGAAGCTCACAGAACCTCTCCTGCAGATAACATCTATTCCGACTTCTCGATTCACTGTTCTCGGCTTTGTCTTGAATTGCCGCGACTTCGAGCCTCTGGAACAGAACATCTTGACATTGACAGTTCCGTAAGCCGTTTATCCATGCAGTCGAACACGAGCCGCTGACCGTGACAATACATACAGCCCGAACCTGATCATTTCCCAGACCGAAAGAAAGAAAATAAACAGAACAACCAAAGGCTGGCAAGCCTTGTCTCACGAATATGCCATAGCCTAGCACTTCACATAACCACCACCAACAATATATCAACGCATCATACATCACCCATCGCCTTCTCCTTCTCTTGAGCTGGCACCAAACCCCTCAAAGACCTCCTAAATCCTCCATACCGCTCATACCTCTCCCCACCACCTCCGGACGCCAGCACAGGACTCATAGGCGGAGACATTAACCCTCCAAAGCCTGTGAAGTTGGGGCTTTGGAGATTTAGACGTGTAGTCAATGAGAGGCCGGAGTTGGAATTGGGTACTGAGGAGATTAGGCCGGTTTTGTCTGGCTCGGAGGCGTCGGGGAGAGTAGCGAGACTAGGGTTTCAATGCATACGGAAGTGAGTGAGTGAGTGGGGCATCTGAGATAGCGAGAGATACCTATTGCCGAATACTTACATGCTTTCTAAAGTGGGGACTAAGAGGAACCCATCCGTAAACGCATTGTACTCCGTCACCTCATCCAATACGTGTCGCGTGTCGTCGCTGTCCAACGCACGAAGATAGATGGAATCGGGACCTTCGAGATCGATGATCGTGCGGCGGACGACGGCGATAAGTCTTTGTGTTCGGGTGAGTGAGTCTGGTGTGGAGGTGGAGGTGGATGGGGATGGGGACGTGAGAGAGGGGGAGAGCCAGGGTGGGAGGTGCGCAGTGCGCCAGAGCGGGCGTGTGACGATGGATTGCCAGTCGGTTATACACACCTAACCCCAAAAACAAAACCATTTCAGAATCCTGATCAGAGTGTTTGTAAGAGAGGAAGCCAACGAGCTCACGATTTCATTCTCTTCATCCACCCACAAACTCCTCAATCCCACCTCATGCAAATCCAACGTAAACACCCCATCCCCCTCCTTTCCCTCCTCCCCATCTCCATCCCCGTTCAACCCCCCACACCGACCAATCAGCTCCAAAATCAACCCCACGGCTCTCTCAACCCTCAACACCCCCTCCTCCAACTCCCTCAAATATCCATCTGATGCGGATTGTGTGAACAGGGCGCGGGCGGAGTCGAGTTCGCGTTGCGCGCAGGCGTGGAAGTAGGCTCGTGCGGTAGGGAAGGGGCCCCGGGAGAGAGAGGGGAGGGAGGAGCGGGAGGGGGTGTGGAAGGAGGGGAGGGTGAGGGGGCCGAGGGGCGGGGATGTGGCGGTGGCGGAGGAGAGGAGGAGGCTGCCGATTGAAGGAAAGGTATGATGCGATAGTTCGACCATGTAGGTGGTCAGCTGGGCGACGAGGGTATCTTGTGTGCTTGGCGCGAGGTCGTCGAAGATCGTGTCTAGTTTGATTCCGGGGGGCTTTGGACGCAATTGGGTGAGTATTAGTAGGCGATAGACGGATTACTGGTGGGTATGAGTACCTTCTGCACGAACAGAAAACAACCGAGTGGATGCGACGGATCGAGCGAGTACGAGAAGACTGTCGGGACTGGGATGGACGTGTTTTCGCGGACGTATTTCAGGGTTGCGATCTGGTATGTATGGTATGTCGGATGGTTAGCTCTGGAGTCGAGTCGAGTCGAGTTTATATTGTGAGAGAAAAACCTCAGATTCGATGATGACGGGCGGCATATTCGCGTTCAAGATACGCGCGATGACCGTCCCTCCATCTCTTAGCGCCACCGAGAACGTCTGAACTCCAATCGTTTAATACCGTAAACGAAAGACACGAAAGAGAAAGAGGAGAAACAACATGCCCTGCTCAGCTCATCTATGAGAGACGAAGTAGGGTATCGTCGGCCAAAGTCTTTACGATATCGAGCGTGAAGATATATTAAGCTCACTCTTCCCAGCTATATCGACCGACTTGATCTCAGTCCCGACACGTTCTGCGACGGTCCGTCCGAGTAATTCGAGGTCGACGTCTGAGGTGGAGAGATTGGGGACTACGACGGGCGGAGAGAGGAATGACATGGATTATGAGAGTATGGGTGAGGATGTTTGGATGGTGGTGTGCTGGATGTGCAGGGCGACTCTAGACGGGGACTTGTGGGGCCAGCAGATCTCAGGCGATACACGTGTTCTCCGCAATTATGACATGCTAGAAATCGTAGATGCGGATAGCATAGGCAAGGAGTAAAAGTGATCTTCAACCAGGTGAGTTTGAAAAATATCCAGCAGTAGTCATGGCAGGCATTCGGAGAACCACCATGACTGGAGGCGACTTGATTCTTGAACCACCTTTGCTGCCAGTGAGATCTTCCCAGTATAAAAAGATCTCCGACGACAGCACTAGCCCGAGTCTTATTTCGCCAGTAATGAAAGCAAGCATAAATCCAGACGCACTATCGCAAGCCAAAGAGGATCGAGAGATGTATATTCTCGTCAATAGTTGGTGATGGAATGTGACAAAAAGAAAGACTAGAAACGTGCCACCTCGAAGTGCCGAACGCCACAGCTCCCACGCTCGCGCCACACGTGCCCGGACGCGACGCGCTCATTTGACATTTCGCGTCTGAGTCAGCAGCTCTTATTGACCTCCTGCGACCGTACGAAACGCGCTCTTGTCTATGTCCCACTGGCATCTCCTTCTTGCTCTGAGCGGGGGTGCTCGAATAACTCAGAATGGGTGTCAAATCTCTGTGGGACCTTCTTTCGCCTGTTGGCAGGCCTGTCTTGTGCGTCGTACTGCTCCTGGTCACGGTTCTTGTACTGACTTACAATATGTATGCAGGCTTGAGACGATGGAAGGCAAGGCCATGGCCATCGATTCGAGTATTTGGATATACCAGTTTCAAGCTACTATGCGCGATAAAGAAGGTCGTGCGCTCGTCAATGCACACCTTGTTGGGTTTCTCAGGCGGATATGCAAGCTTCTGTTCTACGGCATCAAGCCTGTGTTCGTGTTCGATGGAGGAGCACCGGCGTTGAAGAGGGCGACCATAGTGCGTTGTCTCTGAGCTTTGAGCACGAAGCTACCCATGAACCTCGAAACTGATGTGGTTGATAGTCTGAGCGAAAGAAGAAAAAGAGCGGAGCGGCGGCGAGTCATGTCAAGATCGCAGAACGTCTGCTAGCAGCTCAGATGCGCCGCGAAGCCCTCAATCATACGTATGTACCTTCTAAACATGAATTTTTGTCTGTGATGCCCATATCAAGCCGTTGCAGGGTCGGGAGCTCGTCGAAGGGCAAGGGAAAGGCCGCTGGTCCCGTCACTATAGACGAGAACACCGTGTTCCTCGAGGACATCGACAGTTCGCTACCCAAGACCCCCGCTCGAAAGGAAGAAGTCCCGAACACTCTCCCTTCGTCCTCATCGACTAAGAAGAAGAACCGATGGCACGACCACGACCCATACCGTCTTCCCGACGTCGACCTTGACGCCCGCGTTTCGTCCGCCACACGCTCCTCCGCTCCGGATCCTCGTCTCGCCACGGAGGAAGAACTCCGTGATTTCATCGAAGAGATGCGGCCTGAAGACTTCGACGTCTCTTCGCCCGCCTTTCGCGAGCTTCCGACCGAAGTGCAGTACGAGATCATCGGCGACTTGAGGTTAAAGTCACGGCAGACGTCGTATAAAAGGCTGCAGAATATGTTGAAGAAGTCGAGGACGGCATTGGATTTTAGTAAGGAGCAGATCAAGAACTTGAAGCAGCGGAACTCGTTGACGCAGCAGTTGCTTGTCACGACGGATACCATCGGACAGGCGCATGTGTCTATACCGATACGAGTGGCGAGCGAGAGAAATAGGGAGTATGTCTTGATCAAGAACGAAGGGAAAGAAGGCGGTTGGGTGTTGGGGATTAGGGAGGAAGGGAGTTCGAGGGCGAAGCCGATTGAAATCGACCAGGAAGATGTGAAAGCTAGGGCGAGAGAGAACGGGACCGAAAACATGGGTGGCGCAGTCGAGGATGAGGACAGCGATATGGACATGGAGGAAGTCGAGATGTATGTTTTTGCACTTCGTCTTTGGGGATCATACTCAACGGCAATGACAGCCCTCAAGCAGCCCCCATGGACCCTGACCTCCGGGAATATCGACGGGGAATGGCTTTGGCCTCTATATCTCGTCGTTCTAGTTCACATACCCATGCTAAACTCCCATCCTTTCGAAAGTCGCCGTCGAAATCTAAAAACCCTCCCAAGAAGAAACAAAGAATCGAGTCGCGGCCGCGACCGCTTTTTGAACCTGAAGACGACGAACTTCCACGCGTCTCACTTGGTGCAGGAGATGAAGACGAAGATGCCACGTTTGATGAAGACCCCGAGCTCCTCGCGGCGATGCAGGAATCTATGGAAGTTGAGGAGGAAGCAGCTCTTCGACGGGCTCTCGAGGCTTCCAGAATGTCAATTGGGAACGCTGATTCTCGTTCTATGGACGCCACGTCTACCACTGACAGCGTTGAACTACCCGACGATCTCAACACAACGGTCTCTTCGGATGTCGACGAGGACCTGTATGTTCCAGGACGTCTCGAGACGGCGCTCGCCATTGCCGGTGCAGGACCGACACCGCAACGCTTATCATCGGTGTCCACACCTAGACGATCATCTACCTTGGGCAGCATGATCCCTGAGTCGTCTATGTTCGGAAAACCTACACTGTTACTTTCGACCAGAAACAAGACGCCAACGAAGCCTGTAAACTTGCCAACCATGGGGCCTTCGCGCTCTCCAGATCTGCGGAGGACATCTCCCTCTGCGACAGTCGTAGAAGATGCACCCTTTGTATTGGAGGATTCGGACGACGATCTCTACATGGAGGAAGTTTATGTCCCAGCACCCACGCATATGACCGCTGGATTATCCATCGAACCTCAAATGCCAGATTCTATTCGAAGATCACATTCACCACTTCCACCTCCAGTTGTTATGGATGATTCAGACGAAGACATGGAAGAGATTGTTCCCAGTGTGCCTTTGCCTGCGCAGATCCCAGCTGATGACATCGTCTCTCCGCAAGTGGCGCCCCTAACTGAACTTATCGACTCAACCGCCCCATCTACGGCTCCTTCTCGTATACGCTTCGCTTCTCCTCCTCTGGTGGAAGCAGGGGATAATCCATCAGATTCACCGCTGGTACCAGAGCATGAGGAGGACCTGTACGAAGATACTGTCCTGAACGCACCGTCTACCCCCATTCGTACCATGTCTTCGACCCAACTAGGAGTGTCGAGCCAAAGTGGCACCGGTTCTACACTTCTACCACCTACACCGTCCGCATCGATTTCGAAACCCGCAGAAGAACCTGATGAATCCGACGAAGCTTTGACGGACTGGTCTCGCTCTCCTTCGCCCGTCTCGCATCAAGCATCCCATCTTGACGTAAATGCCAACGGGAACGGGAATGAGCCAGTTCCCTCGAGCGCAACCCACACGAAGGAAGACAATTGGGATGCGGCGCAAGAGATGGATCCACATGCTGAGGAGGGCGAGTTTGCCCGGTTCATCTCGCAGGTGAAGGGAAAGGATCTGGATAGCGTGAGGAGGGAGATCGACGAGGAGATTAAGGGGCTGAACCAGCAGAGGAAGGCGGCGATGAGGGACTCGGAAGATGTGACGCAGCATATGATCTCTCAAATCATGGTTGGTTTTCTTTTGCACTCTCACACGTCTCTTCCACTAAGGCAAAGAAGGCTGATTGACGCATTTGGCCGGCAGATCATGCTCCGTCTGTTTGGCATTCCGTATATCACCGCGCCCATGGAAGCCGAAGCCCAGTGTGCCACACTCGTCCAGCTCGGCCTCGTCGAGGGTATCATCACTGACGATTCCGACGTCTTTCTCTTCGGCGGCCTGCGCGTCTTTAAGAATATGTTCAATCAGTCTAAAACCGTAGAATGTTTTTTGCTGTCCGACCTCGCGCGCGAGCTTGGACTGGAGCGGAATAAGCTCGTGCAGTTGGCATATCTGCTAGGGAGTGATTATACGGAGGGTTTGCCAGGGGTGGGACCGGTGGTGGCGATGGAGCTGTTGAAGGAGTTTCACGGGGATGATGCGTTGAGTGATTTCAGAGAATGGTGGGTGAAGGTGCAGAGTGGCAGAGATAGGCCGGAGGAGAGCAAGAGCAAGTTCAAGAAGAGATTTGTAAGTTCTCCCTTTCGTTTCAGGACTGAGATGTAGTGTTGACTATGGGCGGCCGAATTCATAGAAGAAGCGGTTCAAAGATCTGTACCTTCCAGACGACTGGCCCAATGCTGCCGTGGTATGTCTTTCCGCCCTTATTGATGTTTATCCTCTATTCAGGCTGACGGTACGGTGATTGGCCTCACAGAAAGAGGCATATTATCACCCGACCGTCGACGACTCTGAAGAACCCTTCAAATGGGGTCTTCCAGACCTCGACGGTCTCCGCAGGCACGTCTCCCCGTTCTCACTCGTTTGTTCTCGTTCTCGCTGATCTCATGACCTGCGTGGCCACAATAGTCTCTTCCAAGACGAACTCGGTTGGTCATCTTCTAAAGTCGAAGAACTCCTCCTGCCCATCATCCAGAAAATGAACAAGCGAGGTCAAGTCCAAGCTCTCAACCGACAAGGCAACCTCAACGAGTTCTTCGACGTTTCTGGTGGGATGGGCAGCGCTGCGCCTAGGAAGAAACAGGCGTATACGAGTAAGAGGTTACAACAGGTCGTGAGCGATTTCAGGAAGGCGCAGAAGCAGAATGCGGGAGAGAATAAAGAAAGTGATTCAGGATCGGAGTCGGGGGCTCAAAGTGATGGTGGAGATGAGAAGGATGGTGGGAAGAAGACGAACTCGAAGGGAAAGGGAAAAAACAGACAGAAAGCTGGTGGGAGTGCCACCAATGGCGATACCAGAGGAGGTGGAAGGGGACGGGGCAAAGGCAGAGGTGGCGCTGCCGCGAGAGGCCGCGGGAGAGGGAGAGGTGCCGCCACATCCACCGCCAATGGATCTACAAGAAAACGCAAACGGGCTGCTAGTGCATCATCAAGTAACGACGACGGAGACGACCCGGATTACGAAGGCGATGCGGGCTCCAGAGGGGCAGGATCTGCGAGCGGATCGAAGGGTGCTGGTGGTTCAGAAGACGTGACGACACCTTCGAAACCCAGACCAAGGCCACGGCCGGTGAGGAAGGCGGCGGAGAAGGCGAATGTGAGTGTGACGCGTACCGACGGGGCTGAGGATGGTGCGGGTTCGGGTGGAGCTGCTGATAGCGCATAGTACCAGTGCCGTGATGGCTTCGGGTTTGGCGGGATGCGCAGGACCTTGAGACGAACGTTCGTAAGGGCTCGAGACAGGTGTATCTTAGTCACGAATATTATTGCTGTATTTTTATCCTCATAATGATGCATACGTCCTCCTGTATACGCTCACATATAAAAGCTGCAGGCTGTATTCGTAGATGTGATACGGTTACACTTCATGCGCCTAAGTGAGTGATGTTGTATCAGATCTTTCACCGCACAAATATGGACCCACTTGGATCGATCACTCAAGCGGTGTAAGATGTGCTCCGGACCTGAATAAACCTGTCTTTCCGTCGCCTCGTTCCAATCGAAACGAACCTCCCCACGGTCAAGACCGTACCGACAACTTGCTCCGGCCTGCATATCGTTCCAGAACCACATCAGTCGCAGGATGAAGTTCACAAAAAGTTCACGTCCGAGCCGGGAATTAGAAGACGGGTCGCATGCGCGAGAACAGGAACGAGCAACTCAATCCGTCTATTCAGCCAAGCAGTCGGAGGATGGAGTTTCCTGGTGGATGAACGAGTCGGGCTAGTACTCTGATGGGAAGGGCTGGGACGGGGACGCGAACCGTCTTGTGATTGGTTGCTGCGGGAGGCACGCACGGATGAGATCCTGCCCGTGCTAACGAGAGCTGAGTATTAATGAGAGTTGGAATGTGGATGCAATGAAGAAATTCTGTGGAATATGTGGCTTGATGGACCTGCAAGGGAAGGCTATTACAGGGGCGGTATCACACTGACACCTTCAGCGACACAATTACGAACCTGAGAATCTCATCGAATGTGTACCGCGTCATACGCCATACTTCGCGGTGGTTTCTTGCGTTGCGTTGTCATGTCTACGCGACGGAAGAGCGTTGGCTGACGCGCGACGTCTGATCCAATGCCATTTACAAAGTGACACGCTCGTATACGCGCTCGAGAGGTTCCTGTGGGAAGCTTGACGCGTGACGTAGTGGCGGATGATGTTTTACAAACAGATAAAAACGATTGGACAGATCTAGAAGGACGACGTTCGAACTTCGACGTGAAGCTGAGTTGGAATACGTTCACATCTTCGAACAAGTCTACTCTCGAAACAGGCTCCAGTGATGATCAGAGGCCAAACTTTGTGTGCTATACCATAGAACGACCCATGACCTCAACAGAATGGACAAAAATCAGTAGTCTGCCAGATTAAGAAGGCTCAAAAAGAAGGGTTTGAGTTCGACATACCCAGGGTAAACTTTCAGTATTGTCTGTAGATGGTCAGGGGCTTGGAAAATGAAGCGCGCAGAGGCGCAAGGCGCTTGACACACATCTGACAAGGATTCCAAGGTGACAGTATCTGAACTTCGAGGTCGCGTATCAGTTCAGAGTGTCAATACTTCCGGGGGCCAGCGACGGCGACGTTCGGAAGCCGTTAACCAGAGAACTTTCCGAGGCAGAGAACGATGTTGTCAGAGGACCGATAAGACGGAAGATTGGGCTCTGAGGCCATATGATACTATGATGTTGAATCCCCGCGATGTGAGATATTCTGGTAACATTCAGCTAAGGAGTGGATTTGGTCGGCCTTAGAGGGATGGCGAGGGGTATCTGGGGTCGCTCGAGATGACGCTGTAGGCCCAGACAATTCACAATCAAACGCTTGCGCGTATGCACTGACAAAGTGGGATTTGGTCAAGGTACACCAGTTACTCCTCATCTTCGTCATTCTTTTCTGGATTTGCCTGGGGCGGTGGCGTCGAGGTCACCGCGTGAGATCGGACAGTCTGAGATGTATGTGCGGTCGTTAACGCACCTTGTTCGCCTCCAAACCACCAAGCTCCTTCACCAAGCCCTCATACGGATATTCCCTCGGGACAGACGGCCGTTCTGGGGTGAGGCCGTACTTGCAGAGCATGGCGATGCTGAAGAAGACTCCGCAAGCGACGGCAAAGTGTCGGGCGGCTTGCTGAGGAGGGACGAGTGGAAGATCGGGGCCCTGCATAGAGTACAGCTCCTCCTGTTCGTGCAGCTGTATACCAAGCTGTGAATGAACGGGAGATGATTCCATATTTCGAGATTAACGCACAGTATCACCCATATTCCTCCTTGCCGCTACGTCCCACCATCCGGTGGCGGGCAGACTCTGACGGGAGACGTTTGGCAGCTGGGGATAGCCGTTCAGGAGCGGGTCTTCCTCTGGCTTGTCGAGAGTGGCTGGCGAGCGGGTGGCATATGTTCGCAACAGAGATGATGAGGAAGCAAGTTTTCTGGCTCTGAGAGCGCTTCGAGCGCGCGCGATGCGTTGTACGGAGCTCATCGTCGTCGTCGATGACGGTGGAGAGACGGTTTGAACGGTGGACTCGACCGGTCTCGACGCGTGTGAGCGGTAGCGGAGGACCCCGGAGATCGCGCGCGGCGACTGGCAGATCTGGAAATAATCGAATTTGTCCCTCGCGCGGTCACGGCCATGCCGCAATGCCCATTTCGCTTATATTATTTGTATTTTTTTCTTTCAACCCAGCTCCGCTCCCCTTCTCTCCTTCGCCAGCTATCCGAGGCCTGACGACCTCTGACCAGCATAGACGTCCACATTTTCCGCGCGAATCTATTTCGTTACAGAACCCACAAGCACGCTAGGCGCTTGTGATGCTTTAACCTGCTCCTCTGCTTCCGCTTGAACCACCAACGTCCAGCCTTGACTGCGCTATCTTACCCCACATATATCTATACCTTTCACCAAGACGATTGTTGCATCTGTACCGCGCCTTCCGAAAGGCGTAAATCAGGACTCTCCAGAAATGACGATCGCACCGGACGCGATCCTGCAGGTCAAGGAGGTTGAAGTACCTTCCGCGAAAGATCGGAAAAGGGCACGGTTTGAATATCCACTGAAGCACAGTACGAGTGTGGTTGACTTGTGCGTTCGTTCACTCCTCGAACGTCATCCGTCACTGATTTATTCTGTGCGAATCGTCCAGCGGAATATGGGACACAAAGTTCCTGACGCAGTTCACCAAAGGCTTGACCATTCATCAATTCGAGACTCCTCCCAAAAGAGTTCTCGACCTTGGATGCGGAAGCGGTTATTGGTCTATCTGCTATGCGCGGCAGTATCCCGTGCGTTACCGTTCCATACTTCCTCGTTATTTTGCTTCCGTTGTTCAAAACCCCTCTTCGACGGAGCTGTAGGATTCCATCGTGATCGGGATGGATTTGTACGACGTCCAACCGAAGATTAATCGACTTGCAAGCACAGCAGACATTGCGGGACGAGTGCATTGGGTGAAAGGTGATATGTGAGTGAAAGCTTTTATTTGCACGTCCCGCGTTACTTGGTCCTGACCCCGGCTATCCGCGGTTGCTACAGTTTGGAGCCTCTTGCCTTCGACGACAACTATTTCGACATGGTCAGGGCATCGTACCTCGGCCTGGGTGTGCCGGAGTCCGAATGGCAGTACATGCTCGAAGTGAGTGATCATATCTGGCGCTTGCCATAGTCAAACTGACGCGCGCGACGAGTAGGAAGTATACCGGGTTTTAAAACCTTCGGGCGTCTTAGAGGTACTACCGCCCTTTGCGTGTATCCCAAACCTATGCTAACATGCTCCGCAGCTCCTCGACGAAGATCTCATCTTCCCAGGTGGGCCACCAGAAGAGACCTCGCCACCCCCTTCTGCTGGATACCTCGGGGATTTGACATTCGGCGCGGGTGGCAGCACGATGCCCTCCTCCCTAGAATCCCAAGAGTCCAACTGGTCTTTCGATTCACCGGATTCTTCACATCGCCGTCAAGATCCTCGTGACGATCAACACTTCATCTACAACCGCACGCCCACTGCCACAACCGGGCCTACCGCCACCTCTACTCAATTCTCCCAACCGTCATCTCGCGAGTATGAGTTGAATTTCATGCGCACGAAGTCGTCCTCTCAAGAGTCCTCGTATAACTCGCATAACTTGGTGTCACCACTGGATACCTCGCTACGGTATAGCTTCTCTGGAGTAGGCATGGGGCCGGACGACGAAGGCTTCATAGAGGGTGTCGCCGATCCGCTCGATCACTCGAAGCTCAAGGCTGCATGGCAGGAGATGTTGAGCATGCGATTCTTGGCAAGCAAAACGACGAACGTCCTCCCACTGTATCTCTCGACGATATTCGAGGAGTACAGGGCACTACCGGCGATGGAGATTCAACTACCGAGGGTCGGTGCCACGGAAATAGAAGCCGAGATGGACAGGGAAACATGGGCGTCGTCTGGTGCTACTGGTCCAAGAAAATCGGGGCGGACATCGTTCGGGCGGACGATGAGTGTGAGTGAGAGTCGGAGATCGAGCGGGAAGCGTAGCGAGGACCGCGATTGTACGCCAGTCCCCTTCTCTCGCTTCGGGCAGAAGATCGACCCCGCGCCGTATCGCACTCTCCGCCGTGCGACGGTCAAGGACGAACCGCTCGCGTCGGCATCTACGTCTGCGAACAATTCGTCATCGTCGTTACCGCAGTCGTCGAGCTTCGTTTGGACGTGGGCGCCGATGCATCTGGAGAGGATGGTGCAGATGGTGAAGGGGTGCAAGGAGGCTATATGGGAGGCGTATGAGAAGATGTATGGGAAGGGGCCGATGATCACCCCGGTGTTGGACAAGGATGAGATGGGCTCGAGAATGGCGATGGACCGGTCGAAAAAGAATACCGCTCGGGACGAGTTTGAGACTGCCTGGCTCAATTGGGAGAAGTGCGTATATTCTATCGTTTTCTTTTGTCCACTCCTTCCTGATCACATGTACTTTCTTATAGCGATATGGCGGATAGGGTAGACATGCGCGGCATCGTCGAGTCGACGCTACATTGGAGCACACCTCCAGGCGAGCCTCCCGACTGGCGAGTATGGCGAGATCGCGTGCGGATGGAACCGATTGGCCCCAACGATGGCATGCGAAATAGCTTCTCTGGACATGGTACCTATCAGTCGCAACCGCCCGACGACGTGTGTCGTTGTGTGAGGGGCTTTGTGGCCTGGAAGGACCCGTCGCATCAGCCTGCACCCATCCTAAACGGGTCGTAGCTTTCATCTTCGGTGGCCTTCTTCTATATAGTTGCTTCGGGCGAGCGTTGATGTGCTTGGACACTGGACTTCAGGGGATGGAGAAGACATTTGGCGTTTGGCATCGTATATAGACTACGTACGTTATACATTTCCGTCTGCATATTGTACATATTCACCCTCAGCCCATCACACACTATTCCCCTTCTACTGACATACCCCACCCTGTACCAGTTCATCTCGTCCTATGCTTGGTGCGGTCTGCAACTTTTTTGCGGATGATCGGACACTTCTTTTGGAGCGCGATGTATACCAATGGTACATAATATTGCTTATTCACATCTACTACTTATCTTGACTGTCAACGATTGCTGTTCCGCTTTCTTTATTTGAATCGAAACCGAATTAATCTTGACAGAATTTGTTTGTTTTGAGCCTCGGTTTTCGCGAGGTCCAACATGGGATGTGCGTAACCAGATTGAGAACGCCGGGCGTTGGATTGAGACCTGCCTTCAAAGAAGGATGGTGAACGGGTGCATGAAGCCCTCATCTAATGGGGCAGTGATACAATAAAATACTGTTTCGCACAACGCATGTAAAGAAACGGCTGGGAAAAGTTATAGTTACGTCGCGAGTCGCGGTTCGATCAAGTCAGATCTCATCTTGACCTCATCACTCCTCGAGCTCGGCTTCTGCACGCTCACCTACCTTTCTTTTCAACCACCACCCACCCACCCACTTTTCAACATGTCCGACACCGAAAAAGCTCCAGAAGTTCCACCCCCCGCCGTTGAGAAGCCTCGCTCTACCGCTGAGGCCGACATCACAAAATACAAAGTCTGTCCAATCGTTCAATCTCATATTTTCGCTTTGAAGTCTAGAGCTGATCGGCTTTCGCACTCTTTGCTCTTCATTTAATCGTTGGATGGAATATCTTGATCTTCGGATGCGATGGGTGATTATAGGCTGCAGCTGACATCGTCAACAATGTCATGAAAAAGCTCGTTGAGCTCTCCGTTGAGGGCGCGAAGGTCATCGACATTTGCACCGAAGGAGACAAATTGATCGAAGAGGGGACAGGATCGGTATATAACAAGTCTGTAAAGGGTGTCAAGATCAGCAAAGGTACGTCTTCTGGCCGTTGCCTTTATTTTCTCTAGCTTTGATTATGTTCTGCATGGGACGCGAGTTTTCCACTGGTTGAATTGGGGCCTGAAAATTGACAGACGGCGTTATTCCACTCCACAGGTCTTGCGTTCCCCACAAGTGTATCCGTGAACAACTGTGTCGCCCATTTCTCTCCACTTGCGTAAGTTTTCGTGCGTCTCCATGTTCGACAAAAGGAACTCACGCGACCCCTCCCTTCCTTTGAACCATATCCCTCCGCCCTACCACACCGTGGCTTTTCACCTTCCTCACCGTATCCACTCGTCTATGGATCATAACGCCACAGTTCGGATCCCCTCTCTTCCCAAGTCCTCGCCAAGGGCGATGTCGTAAAACTCCACACCGGTGCCCACATCGACGGTTTTGCCTCCATCAGCGCTGAGACGATCGTCGTTGGAGCCTCAGAGTCAGAACCCGTCACTGGGCGCCAGGCCGATGTGATCAAGGCGGCGTGGCATGCGGCTGAGGCTGCAATGCGGTTGATCAAGGTCGGGAACAAGAACTGGGCGGTGACGGATGCGGTGGCGAAGGTCGCTCAGGCGTGGGATTGCAAGCCTGTCGAGGGTGAGTATTTTGAATACTAAGTGTGTTTTCGTTGAGGATGTTGACGCTGGGTGCATAGGAATGTTGTCGTGCCAGCAATCGCAAAACGTCATCGATGGCAAGAAGCGCATCATCCTCAACCCTTCGGAAGGGCAGAAGAAGGACTTCGAGGCTGCCACCTTTGCTGAGAACGAGGTTTACGGCATGGACATCCTCATCTCGAGCGGCGAAGACGGCAAGGTGCGTCGTCATCCATACTACTTCTCATCCATCACCAACTAAATTGGCTGTTGTCTTACAGGCACGGTTGGAGGAGTCCCGGACGACGATCTACCAGAGAGAGGCGAGCGTAACCTACCAGCTAAAAATGAAGACATCGCGTGCTGTCTTCTCGGAGGTGCAAAAGAAGGCCGGACATTTCCCCTTCAACGTTCGTGTACTGGAGGATGAGAAGAGGGCTCGTATGGGTTTGCAGGAGGCCGTCCAGCATGCCCTCGTCAAGCCTTACGAGGTCATGTACGTTTATGCTCTTTCTTCATGCCACTGTTCACGACCGCTAACTTGGTACTTTTTGTTGTGTGCCCATAATAACAGTTACACTCCCTCAAACACCTTCGTCGCCGGCTTCCACTTCACCATCGCTCTCCTCCCTGCTGGTCCCATTCTCCTTACCCACCCTCCAGTATGGTACAAGCCCGAGTTGGTCAAGACCGAGAAGGAGCTCGAGGATGCCGAGCTGAAGGAGCTCCTGACGAAGAAGCTGAGAGAGCCGAAGAAGAAGGACAAGAAGAAGGCCGCCGCGGACGGAGAGGAGGCCAAGGCGGAGTGAACGTCCACTCAAAAACATTTCTTGGACAGTGATGCATAACGGGGGCAGAGAAGACGAATAGGGAGCCACGGACGTTCGGCAATGAACTTGAACTTGAACACAAAGATGTAGTGCTACGATGTTATGGTGTTGTAGGCTGTCGCCCCAGATGTATCGCCACCGAAATCTTGTATCAGAAGTCGAAAGTAAAATCGAAAGCATAATCTTTCGCAACTTTGGCTCATGACCGGCTAATGCTACATTTTATTGTGTGCCCTCCGGCATCTCTTAGACTTCATTGATACAACCCTGCCAGTAGTAAGTGGGCCAACCGGAGAGGACACATCTACCCGCGCTTCCTATGGCCCTGCACTACGACCGTCTCCGTTCTGCCTCTTCACCAAACTCCCCAATGGTTCGGATAATGAGATCCACGCTCTCCAAAAACGCATTGAGCGTCAATCGAGCAAGTCGCACCGTCAGCGTCGAAAACGTCCTATGCAAGCCGCCACAATGAGGTTCGTTATTGAATGACTCCAACCTGAGCGCATACGTATGGATGGAAAGACCTACGCAATAAGAACGTCGCCCTCCACGGATAGGTCTCGCTTCACGGCATGAGGTTGAAGCTCTCGATCGACTTCGATGACTTGTTTGGCGATGGTGGCATGTTTGTTTGTGGCGAAGGGGATTCGGATGGTTCTTTGGAAATTGGGGATGGGGGGACCAGGAGAATTGTTTATTGAGTGTGTGTGTGGGAGGGACGGGGAGATGGGTACGGGACCCTCACATGTTGTGCCAGTCTGTCTCGTTTGCGGTTTGAGAAGCCATCTCGTACACTCCTCCTTTCAATTTGGGTGACGAACGAACGAGACCGTCGTGGATCAAAGCAAACTTGATCAAAGACACTGTGCCGCCGGGCCGGCGGTGACGGATGTTGCCGAGTGACGGAGAAACAACATCGGGAACAAGCGCCGTGTCGTTCAACGCGTTGTTTGTTCTGTGCGCCTTTGTTCCCCGCTTCGGGTGTGCCAAAGCTTGAACGCGCTTTGTTCTCAAATACTATATATACTGACCACCTCTGAGGCGATTGAACTCATCAACGCGACTCTACTCACTTCTGACCACTGACTTGATCTTTCCTGGCTCACTACGCTACGCCACAATTTCTAGTAACACCTGTCGCCTAAGCTTGCCAACATGAGTGGTACGTTTCTTTGAATGTATGTCGCGCACTAGCTAATTCTGCTCAAATGCACATCAGCCCCAGTCCCCAGCGAGCCCACCGCAGCTCAGAAACGCGACGCCCTTTCTGCCGCCACCGAAAACCCCCAAGGCTCTTCCGATGACACCGACACTTTCTCCCTCGACATCCCCGCTCTCGACTTCATACGCACAGTCTGGGGCTTTGATTCCGCAAAACTCCATCTCGACAAGTGGACCTTCAAACTGCTCCCAGAATTACTCCTCCGCTACAAGATCCTGCACAAGAACCCGGAAGCACGACAGGCTTTCTTCGCGGGGCTTTGTGCGCAGGCTATGATGGATTATATTTCTGCGATGAAGAAACTCTGGCTGGAGGACGAGATACAGCGTGTTTCGTCCGGGTACGTCTTGGATGAAAGTGGTTCGAAGGCACCGTACATTCTCGACGAGCGCAGGAAGCCGTTCACCACCGAGCTCAGCAGACTCATCTTCCCCCGACTACAGGAAGTCATCGCGGCGGCGAACTTGCCATCGACCAGGAAGGCCACAGCGAAACAGGCGGACATGCCTGTGCTCTGGAACAGTGTGCTCGCGTACTTCGTGTACGAGGACATTGACCCGTTGTCGGGGTCGAGCACACTTCCGACTTCACCTGTGATGTTTGCGCGTATAACTACCTCGGAGCCGATCCCGATCCCGCGCCGAGGGCCACCACCACCGCCTGAAGCACCATCTTCGAACAAGAAACATCGAGCGGCTGCTGACGAAGACTCGGACGAGGATGACCTTGGCATTCCACCACGTCAGAAGGATGAGCGCTCTGGCGAAGACGCCGAAGAGGAGGAGGAAGAGGAGGATGTCGACTACGATCGTCTCACGTCTTCGGAGTATCGCGCTAGACAGCATAAACGCTACACCCCAGAAATGCTCGCGGAGCACTACGCCTCCCAGGCCTTCGAGAGCGAAGCCCGCCTTTGGACGAGCGGGGTCATGATCAATGAGTTCACCATATCGTTGTGGTACCACGACCGGATGGGCACTCTGCGCGCTCAGCCTTTCGATTTCGTCAAGGAGCCGGAGTGCCTGCTCGGTCTCGTCGTGGGCCTCGCGAGTGCGAAATACGAGAACTTCGGGTTCGATCCTATGTTTGTCAGACTCGGCAAACCTGCAGAGGCTGAGGGCAAGGCAAAGGGCAAGGGCAAGGGTAAGGAGAAAGCGACACAGGACGACGAGATGGATGTTGACTCGGGCTCGGAAGAGAAACCAGAGTTTACAGAGGCGGACGCTGAGGTGGCCACGGATCTCGTCCAGTTTTTGTTGAAGATGAAGAAGTTCAATGTTGATCCTACAGGTGGACATCTGAACATGGGTCCAAACTCGGTCTGCCTTGGCCGTGTGTTGGAAGAGGACTCGGATGGGGAGGATGATGGAGATGAGTACGAGTCTCTTTTGTCCTTTCTGGCGAAAGAGGTTGGGCAGGAAGATATGGTGGATAAAATAGCGTCTCTGGTCAAGGGTTGAGCATTTAGAATATTTTTGTATCAGTAGTGATTTATACATGTAGCCCTTCAAGTTGTGTGGCGAGGGGCCACGTAGAAACCATAAAAGGCTAGGTGCCTGCGCATCACGCGGCGACGGAGGGTCTTGCCTGATTTGGATGGAAGTGGGTGGACGCGCTTGGCGCCGAGAGGGCTCGAACACTTTTCTCGCGAACGCCAACGACCTTCAGCCTTTCTTCCCGCAGCCCTCCATCTTCAGCTTTCGCCTCCCTCCTCTCGCGGAATTATCATCAACAATGTTCACCACACTCCTTACTGCCACTCTCCTTTCCGCCGCCGCCATCCGTGGCGCCCGTGCCGACTTCACGATTGATACGCCCGCGTCTCTCGTTCAGGTTCGTACCTTCAGTGCAAGCAAGGGACTGCGGCCACGAGCCATACGTCGTCCGGCTTTCTGTGCTCGAGGGCTCTTGCTGATATACTTGCGCGTATTCAGTGCCAGGCCCAACAAATTACTTGGTCGCAGACCACTGGCCCTTACAACCTCATCGTTGTCAGCGCCGCCGACCCTTGTGGCGACGACCTGTACGTGCCCTCACGACTTTCATCGAACTGCCTATTCAAATTTTCTCGTTCTGCAGCGTTGACCTCGGTGACCACGATGGTCTGTCCATGACCTGGACCGTCAACGTTGCCGCTGGGACTGAGGTCCTCCTTGCGCTCGAGGATGAGACTGGTGAGGAAGCTTGGACTGGCGCGGTGAGTGATGCCCGTCTCTCTGTCTTGGCTTTTTTCTCAACTGTTCCATCAGGTTACTGTTGCTGCGAGCGACGATTCGTCTTGCCTGAGCTCCTCGTCCAGCTCGAGCTCTATCGCCGCCTCATCAAGCTCAAGCGCCGTCGTTGCCTCCTCCTCCGTGTACGTTTCCAAAACTGCCCTCATCCACATGGCAGTCGATTGATCGTTGCATCTGTTTACTCCCTCCGCACGATATTTCCCACCTCGTTCGCGCTCACAGTAAGGCCTCGTCTGTCGCCGCCTCCTCTTCCGTCAAGGCCTCCTCGACCAAGACCGCCACCTCCGCAACGTCGACAGTGACTGACGCCGCAGAAGCTGCAGGGGCTGGCACCACCGGTGCCCTCAGCGGTGCATCCGTCGTTCGTCCTGCTATGGCTCTCGGCGCGCTTGGTTTCGCCGTTGCCGCCTTCCTTTGCTAGACGATAGGCTCCCCCGCGTCAGCAAGCCAGCTAAAACCACCCTTTGCCCTATCGCAACGGTATCCAAAGGAGCGGTCGTGGTCTGGCCCTGATGTACATATACCCCCTGCCAACTGTTAAAGCTTCTCCCACTACCGCCTCATGTCTCTGTTGGTCTTTGGTTTCGTTGTTGTACAACACCCACAACCTACCGGCGAGGTTCTGTCTGTCTTTTCTGCCTACTTTATTAGTCTCGGAACTTTGCTTTTTTCGGTCACCATTCTACTCCTGCTGATCCTGACGTCGCATCACGTATACCATCAGTTCTTTATTTTTTCTTTTCTTGGCTGATTGTGGCTTTCTCTGTACCTCTGCTGTGCGTGGATTATATATTTCTTCTGGCTGGGTACAGTGAAGTTAATGGGAATTTTTTTCTTGGTTGGGGCTTTTGCGACAATGACAATCTGGTGCTCAAACCGATTGGCACATCTAGAACTCCGAGGTTGTGCATGAAATATGGCCCCGTCCATGATGGTTTTGGCTCTCTTATTGTCAATGGTGATCCTTGAAACGTAAGTAAAGGTGAGTGAGTGTGAACTGATTGAGTAGGGACACGATATCTGTGGTGGAGGCATGTCAGCCAACCATCCATGAACCAACCAAAGGCCGTCAGATGAACTTAATGGGGTCGGCCATCAAATTCAAAAAAGCCTATCACCGGTTCTGCTCACGAGTCACGACAAGTCTCAACCTGCACTATCGACGGCCGCGATGACAAACGACCTTTTCCTCGTAGTAGGAATTCGAGTCAAAACTGGTACTTGGACGTCAGGACCTGTCAGGACACCGACTCATGCTCTCCTTTCCTTTGATCTACGCTCTTCCTCGCAATGCGGCTCTGAGTCAACGCTGGTACTTGAACGTCAGGACACCGATATATGTTTTCCTTTTGTGTTCCTTTTGATCTACGCTTTGTTCAACGACCAGTGAATGGACTTTTAACTCCTGATTTGATCGGCCCCGACGGGATATCTGTCAGCTTGATGATGCTTACACGGTTCGATTTCGTAGAGGACACTCCTGAACACTCTCCGAGTCGAAGGATCCAGTGATTGGAATTATTGCAATTTAAATGCGAACGTCGGGCATCATGCTCAGCTGCGAGGACGACGCGGACAGGGGTAGAATCTGGTGGTGGTATATAAGACGTCTGAATCCGCAGATGAAGTTCTCTTCTTATCTGTCTTGCCAGTGAACTTCTCGCTCTACCTTGGTCCTCTCGTCGTACTCACTCTATAGCTCCTCGGTTGAACAGAACAGAACCCAGGCCGTCCATCATGCCATCCAAATATGCACACCTCGCGGAGTCGGACGCGCAACTCATGGAGATCCTCGCGAAAGCGCCACCCCCGCCGCCGCAGAGTACGGATATACATGTTGTCCGACAGGGGTTTATCGACCATATAATCAAGCCGAAGATGGACCGCTTGGAGCCTTCACTTCCTTCTGGTACATAGCTTTTTTTTTGCCTTCAGGATGCCTAGGTGCTAATATCTAGGATTATCTTACGGTTTTTGTCCGTGATTGTGATTGTGGCTGGTGGTTTAGAATCCGAGTACCGTTTGCAGGACTTCCAGGTTCCAGTGGATGGAGGTGAGATATTGGTTAGGTGCTTGACACCCACCCCGGGCGGAAAGACTGGAACGGGGACGTATCCGCTCCTGGTTTGGTATCATCTCTCAGGTCGGTTTCCCCACTAGTCCCGTCTACACGCTCGTGTCGTCTTTTCGTCCGCTGACAAGAACCTGTGAACGACAAAACTTTATAGGATGGCGGCTTGCGAATATTGACGTGGATGATTATGATATGAGGATGAGATGTGTCGAGTTTAAGACTGTTATTGTCTTGATTCAATACAGGCGAGTAGTTTGCGTTCGGTTTCGTTTCCTTTGAATCACACTTTTCTTTCGAAACTTCGCCGTCTTGAAATCCTGACTGACCGGCTGATTTTTATTCGACACCACCCAGGCTGTGCCCTGAAAACCCCTTCCCCGCAAGTCCCGAAGACGCCTACACGGGTCTTAAATGGGTAACTACTCTCTTGGTTCATTTAACTTATTATCGTCCAGAGGACTCACTGCCTCCTTCACGATATGCGTGCAGGCTGTCGAGAACGCTTCAAAATTAGGCGCAGATCCTACCAAGGGTCTCATCGTCGGCGGCGCGAGCGCAGGAGGGGGTATGGCCGCCGGCAGCGCTCTTCGTGCGCGCGACGATCCGTTCTTCGAGGGCAGACCGATAACGGGACAGATATTGAACTATCCCTGTGTCGTTTATCCGCCTGCCGTTCCAGAGAAGTACGTCCACGGGTCCATATAAGAAATACGAGTATAATGGAAGGGTTCTGATGCCATGCCTGTGTTGTTGTTGGTTAGGTTGAAGCCTGAACTTCAGTCTCTTGGGGATCCGGCATGCGATACCGGGGCCCTCAACGCTGCTGAGATTGAGATCATCTTCGGTTCGTCTGCCAAACTCACCTTTTCTGGCCTTCTTTTCCTCAGTATCCCTGACGTTCTCAATTATCACATGCAGCGGATTTCAAACCCACCGAGCTGAACGATATTCGCGTCTCGCCTCTCCTCGCACCTGAGCACAAGAACCTCCCACCCGCACTGGTTCAGGTGTGTGGTATGGATCCGTTGAGGGACGAGGGGATTCTTTATGAGAAGGTTTTGAGGGAGAGTGGCGTGCAGACGAGGTTGCATACGTATGTTGATGCTGCTTTCTTCTTCTCTCTGACTTGTATACCTACTCTGGGATTACTTACGCGTGGTTTGTTCTAATTCACTTATTGCCAACGACAGGTATTCGGGCATGCCGCACGCATTCCATCACGGTACGTTTTATTCCTTGTTCCCATCTTCGTTCCGAAGCGTGTTTGACTGATGCAGACTTGTATCGTAGTATTCCCTGGTATAGACAAGACGAAGAGGTTTGAGCAGGAGTGGAAGGATGGGTTCAGGTGGTTGTTGAGCTTTTCGGGGTCGGCGTAACTTCACCTGAGACACTGGAATACGCACATTGTAATTTTGATAAGGGAGTTGTAGAGGCTGTGGTGGCCTGGGCCACTGCAGTGATCACGATTCTCTGTTGTATGTAGTCGAGAGCCTTCGCAACTTTATATATGTATTTCAAACTTATAAGGTGTCCACGAAGGATGAGAGGGATAAGCGACCTGCATACATGACATAGTATTCAACAAACACATCCTACATCGCGATCGTAAAAAAATACATAGTACTCGTACAAGAGCCCTACGACGGACTCGATCCTACAATTTAGCGATCCTCGCCGGGTTCACGTGCACCGCCTTATCATCCTCCACGATTTTCAGCAAACGTCTGTTCAATTGTCCATCATATTTGTTCTCCTTCATCCATCTGTACGAAGGGAAACATGAGAAGTGTGACAGCGAACAAGACACACAGAAGACCGACCTTTCGACAGTATACCCGTTAGGATTGACACTGCGGATCCACGACATGTCACGCTGGGCCACATCGTCTCTGAACATGCCTGATAAAGAATGTATTAGGTTAGACGCTTGGTTTGGGTTGCATCAGTCGAGAAACCGACGTACCCCACCACCCAGAGAAGTTCTTCTTCCACGTCGTGGACCCATCTCCGAGCTTATTATCGGACGCCACAGGTCGATTCGAGTCGACGAAGAATTCGAACCTAATTTCGTCCAGGACTATCAACACCTGGTGACCACTTCTCGAAGACGATGAAAAAAATTGCGAACCACTCGTCCAACGAAACGGGCTTGTATTCCGCCTTATTCCCAGTTACCTTTTGGAACGTCTTCACCAGCTCGGACCACTGTACCATCTCACTCGCAACCTCGAGATCCTTCCCGCTCGTCTCCTGGCGATGATCGAAGGTGTAGCGGGCGAAGTAGCCGAGGTCAGGGAGGGCGATCATTGGGACGTGACCGTTACCGATAGGGGAGGCGAACACGAAAGTGCCGTCTTTCCGCTTGTTGAGCGGACCGAACATGTACTAGAGGGATGTTGATAAGTCGATCCGTAGGCTTTTGCATGGAGAGGAGACACATGCATGAAACATACCAGCTTGAGCATGTCCATGTATGGACCGGTGGTGACGACAGACCAGGACATGCTGTTGTCGCTCACGATCGATGGCTGCGCCTTCATCCACTCGGCCACTCGTCCTTTGGCATCGTAATGCTCGCAACGATATCTCTCGTCATAGCCTCCTTTCTGTGATCAGAGACGGAGATGAAGCGATAAGCCGTGAGGTCAACAGACCGTAGATGCTAGAAGAAATAAGGGGAAGCTGACCTTGAAGGCATAGTCCAAACTACTCCATACATAATGCCGTACACCAGCCTTCTTCGCTAGCTCGAAAATTCTCATGCCCGACCACATCTCCTTCTGCTCTCCGACCGTGAACCCATCGACGTTGACCCATGCACCATAGACGCCACGCATGGCGGTCTCGACTGAAGCCAAATCATCAGTGTTGCCTTCATACCCGGGCCACCGTACGCAGCAACCAAGAACGAAAGGATGAAACGGGTATCACTTTGTCAAAACACGACCTAAAAGTGGAAACAGCCGAAAGGGGTTGACAGACCTAATACGAGTTCGACACCCTTTGACTTTAGGTCTTGTGCACGTTTGCTGGACGGATCGCGGGTGAGGGCTCTGATTTTGTACGGAGAGGAAGATTCATCGGGGGCAGGAGCAAGCAGAGCGTCGACAACGGCTAGGCCTTGAGCACCAGTCGCTCCAAGAACGAGGATACACTTCTGGTTCATGTTTATAGGGGCGAGATGATAGAGCTTGGAGGCAGTGGAGGCGAAGGGAGGTAAAATGACAGGACGACAGGAGAAAGCTTGTAGGTCCACATATATTGGGCCATCCATGCATATTCGGTATAGCTCGAGACCCGGTATCCGAACCAAATTCGGGCTCGTTGAGACATGTTCAAGATTCATCAACAATCACATACCGTGATACATACATTGCATGTGTGGTGAGATGAGGCCAACATTTCAGCATCGGCAGCCCAAATTAATGCAGTCCGAGCCGTATGTCTGCGTGCGTAACCGCACTAGGGCTCGGTCGAACATGATGTTTGGAGCGCTGGAGTTAGGAGGGTGAGGCCGAGGTATCGTATAACTTGCTTTCGGCGTGAGCTATCGCTTCAGTGCTATTGCGCCTTGTCGACATCGGCGAGAAGAAACTGGTTACTTCATCAAAGCAGAACGATATGACGCAACGAGAACGCCGACCCATTGCCGACTCTCGACAGCGATACATAGCTGCATAGAACGCTCTTGAGAGCACCTGAGAACCTGCTGCCCGAGGACGATGATTCTCGAAGGGTACCTAGTGCATGATTCAGAGCACCACTATAGCAGAGTGACATGAGCTTCCCGACCGAAGACCGATGTGCGGTGGGAAGCGGTGGGACGATGTCGACTTTCTTATTTCGAGCGTGGTCCTGGAGGCGCGACATGCATCAAACATAGCTCCTAGCGCTTTCATAGCGAGCACGAGGATGCAACACACTCACGATATGATCATTCGTTCTTACTCCATCCTTCGGGCTACGTAGAGCGTCATCTGTGGCACCACCCAAAGAAATAGTAAAGCTGACATGAGGGTATATCACAACTGAGTAAGGGAGGCACGACCGCGTTTGCACTTCACGACTCTGTAGTCATGCAACGTCGATTTATACGCCAATGGTGAACTTGTTGAACGTACCTCTCCTCTGGCGCATGGATTCGCACGGCAGTAAAAGACGACTTAGGAGTAATTATACGCCCTCAGCAATCGTGGACTGACATGGGTCCGCCGCGTGCAAAGCTCCAAGGGGATCTGGCCATGGGATGATGAACGTTTCCGCACATCCCGTTGACCTGGTGAAAAGAAAGCCGATATTAAGGGTGTTGAGGGATCTTCGACGCCTTATGGCAGGATAAGATGTTCGTGAACGGGACGGTTGCTGCGAGGAAGGGATTCTGCAAGAGTCGTGGATGTAATATAGGCAAGTGTGATAACTACACATGAAGAACAAAGATAAATAGAGCGCCCTAGCTCCGATATGAGACTCATGAGGACCATTGAGTTGCAGAGCCACGTACCGACTGAGAAAGTAAGGTAAAGACTTCGTCATCGTCCCTTGAGCTCGCGCTCGAGGAGATCCTTAGCTTCGTTGATTTTACTAGCTAAGTATGGGGCTCCTCCTCGGTCAGGATGATTTGCTAGCATGATTTGACGATGTGCATCCTTCAGCCGGGTCTTCAGCTGAGGTCCCTCTCTAGTGGACATAAGCAATTTGATTGAGCAGAAACCACCTAACCCATAAGAAAGGTACTCACTTGAGGCCAAGGATGGCAATGGCCTCCTTGCGATCCATCTTCGCCTTGAATCCTCCCTTCACCCATTGATCTGCCGCTCCTCTTCCAGCATTCCGAATAAAGTGACGACCGGCAAGAGCTGCAGCAATTGCACCGACGCCAACAATGACTGGTGTCGCCATAGAGGAGAATAATGTTCAGGGAGAGAGTCGAAATAGGTCAAAAGGAGAACGTGTTGGTGACAAAGCTGTTACGACAGTCACGTTCAGTCACCCCCTTCAGCAGGCGCCACGCAGCGTGGCGCTGCTTGTCGTTGACGGTGTTGAGCTTCACCCCAATTTTGCCTTTCGTTGTATTAGTTCACGTCGCAGGCTCCGTCTCTTGACGTCAGGGCGGAAGGAGGTAACCTGGCACTTGTTCTGTCCACTCCGTTGCTATAGTACTGTTCCAGACCTGTTTGTATGCCTTATACCATTCGCCAGCGCCCCGCCACAAGCACTCGCACTGTTTGATTAGGTCGTCTTTTGTCCTTCTTTCTTGTATTTCGGTGGCGCTGTCTCAGCGTGTATGCTGCTTAATGGCGTTGAGGATCATCGCTTGATTCTGCCATATAAATCTCAGTACGTCCTATCCCCCACTTCACCTTCCTCAATCACTCTCACCACTTGTCCTCCCTCGCCGCATGCCTTGCGAAATATTAACCGTTCAGCAGGCAATTCTGAAGGGAGGCCCCTCGCATCTCCCTGTGGTCGTGTGCGATCAGAGCTCTTTGACGGAGCAGGTCTTCCAGGACTTCCTCCAGACCGTCCAGAATGGCATCATCGGGGTGGCACCCGCCTTTGGCCCTCATTGCGCGTTACAGACCCTCGCTTTTGCATCCTCCACCCAAATACTTCTTGTCAAACTCCCGTCAAAGCATAATCATGGCAATACGCGCACACCATCACATCGTCTCGCTTCCCTTGTTAATATGCTCTGTAATCCTGCGTACACCAGATACGCTCTACATCCGGAACGTATCGCCGCTGGCTTGTTTTTAGATCTTGGGTTTAAGGCCGGGACGCTCGTCGACCTGTGGTCCTTAGCTCATAAAAAACCCACAGATTACGCTTTTCTGTGCACTATTCTTGGACAACAGAACATCCTCCCTAGCGCTAGAAACGTATACAAGGATGAGAAACGTGAAGCGGGGTGGCCCAAGCGCGCCGCCCTACGAGCTTGGATGTCCTGCCATATTGCTTCTGTTGATACGAGGAACAGTTCGGCGTGCCCGATGCTTGATCTTAGTGTGCTTCCTGAAATGGTACGTGCACTGACCTACGACGGAGTTCACCGCTCACCTGAATTCTTCCTCGTAGGACCTCCAACGATTAGCCAAACTTCTTCGTGACGCCGACAAGCTCGATGCCCTGAAGCCCACGGTCGTGGAGAACGACGTCAAAGGCGAAGTTAAACACCGTAACGGTAACCTTGAATTGACCTCCACACGATATAAGTCGCGCATCCGCGCAACAGATTCTGGTGTAAGTATTTGGTCCATTATCTCTTCTCTGCATGCCATTCGACTAAGCTTTTGTTAGATCCTTCACATGAAGCTCCGGGTGGACGGGAAGACTGTTACTCGAAGTGGCAGGGTGAGGGGTGTGGACGGACGACTGGCTGAGATCGCCATACAAGGTGTCAGCGAGGGGACGAAGATCTACTCCGCGAATACCATCGGGAAGGACACGCCTACGACTGCCGAAGGTCAAAGACACGACATTGTTCGCCGTGCTTTCTTAGCCCAGCTGTTCTTGGACGACATCCCGTTCTTCCAGGCTATCTGGGTTTCTCATGACGCTGTCGACTGGGCGAAAACACCTACTCTTCGGCCGCTCAACGGTGCGGGTGCGCAAACGTCAAAACATCCTTTGAACACTTCTCAGGAGCTCGCTGTGAGGGCCATCTTGTCCACTGAGCCCGCCGACAGGATCTGCCTGGTGCAGGGGCCGCCGGGTACCGGGAAGACGACGGTGATCGCGGAGTCCGTTCAGAAAATACGGGTTGGCGACCCGCGCCGTAGCGTCTATCTCATAGCCCAGTCGAATGTAGCGGTGAAGAACATCGCGGAGAAATTGGCGGACGTGGGGTTTCTGGCTTTCCGGCTCCTCGTATCACACGAGTTTCATTTCGATTGGTGAGTCATTTACACTCTCAGTCATCGCCTGGTCAAGAATGTCAATTAACAACCCATTCTAGGCATGAACATCTATATGAGCAGATCATCCCGAACGTCGTCCGCTCGGACGAGTTTCCTGGGACCAAGCTGGAAGCCGAGAGGCTAATGGGCGGCGCGAAGGTCATTCTCTGCACGATTAGTATGCTCTCCAACCCAAAGCTACCGGTCTTTACTGGAGTGGTTCCTGTCGAGGCGGCCATAGTCGATGAAGCTAGCCAGATCGAAATTGGATGTTATCTCCCTCTTATTCACCACTTCCAGTCCACTCTGGCGAAGCTTGTGCTCATCGGGGATGATAAGCAGCGTAAGTTCACCTCTCGTTTCGACCCCTTCTTGATCGACTCACTGTTATTGTTCTAGTACCTCCATTCGGACAGGAGGACATCCCTACGCTACAAAGCGTCTTCGAGATTACACATCTTCGTCAACAGGCCATTTTCCTCGATACACAGTGTAAGGCTACCTTCTCTTGATTTAAAGCTTACTGACGAGTTCTTAACAGACCGCATGCCGAAGTTCATCGGCGATTTCATCTCTCGACATGTCTACGATCGTAAACTGAAGACCGTACATTCGATAGTGACTCGTAAGGCTTGCCGCTTCGTGAATGTCATCAAAGGTGTTGAAGAAAAAAAGGGTCATAGCTGGATCGTGAGTAGTCGCGCTTTCTTGTCTCTGTCCTCTCCTTGAAAAATGACATTGTTGTTGCACAGAATAAAGAAGAGGTCGATATTATCCTACGCCTTGCCGCTGAGTTCACGAAGAAGGGCAAATCGTACCGAGTCATAACCCCGTATGTGCGCCGTGTGCAGGCTCACAAGCTCAGCTAATGGTTTATGATACCTAGATATGATGCGCAACGGAACCTCATCGAAAACTCTCTCAAGGCTGCGAATCTTTCGTGGGAGGATGGAGTCTTTAACGTCGATGCCTTCCAAGGTACGTTCCCCGCACATAGGCTCCGGGCCTGTGAGCTGACCCGCAACACGTGTGCACGTAGGCAACGAAGGCGACCATATAATCATCTCGCTTGTTCGGACCCAGAAGCTGGGCTTTTTGCGCAACTGGCGTCGTTCCAATGTCATGCTTTCGCGTTGCAAAAAGAGCATGACAATATGTTCGAACCGGACCTTCCTCGACGGAGTAGGAGCCGATTCGCTCGCTGGAAAGTTATCCAAGGAGTGCGGTGATGAAGGTTGGTTCTCGGTACTGGATGTCAGAATGGGTCGATTGTAGACTGTCTGGCATTCGCTCCTTCCTCGTGGGTGCTAGAGGGGTCCCTGTCTGAGGGGCATCATGAAAGATTCTACGTATATTCTTGTTGCACATCTGTATAGATCTCGTATGAGACCATTAGCCGAGCTCTACGTGTCCTGAACGACGTTCGCGTTAGGATTTTCTTTGGGGAGACGCGGGTGGCGTGGTAAGTAGCTTCGACGAAGGCTTTGTGCCCTTTTGTGCCACTCTTTGTCCCCGGCATTTTCCAGGCCCTCTGTCTCTCTCTTCCATCATCGCTGCGCTCGCTGTTCGTCCTGCCCATCTTGGTCATTAGCATCGCGTTTTCGATGTCAATCGTAAGTCAGCTATCATGCAGATGTCGTCGAAGTCTTGATCTCTTATGCGTCTTTGCCTTTCAATTTGTCGCTACGTCGTGTTTTCCCTCGCCACCATATTGTATCGTCATCGATATCGAACTGTCAGGTTGTCTGTTCAGGTCTTCGTGCTCAGCGGATCTAGAGACTTGTGAACACGACGCTTGTTGCCATCGTACGTCTGATCTCAGTTGATCATTCTCTGCTCTATGTTCAATCACTTCGTTCAGGCTGTACGCGGCGCGCCACTCGCCACCCATCGGGTCGAACCAGGCTGCCATCAAGCGAGAGTTGGAGGCATTCAAGTTTCATTTGTGCGTGCCTGATATCGGCTGTGGTTATCTGTTCTTGATAATGCTAACCGTTGGATCGCGACAAAGAGCAGCTCGCTCCCCTCCCTCACCATCTCCGATACTCCTCGTTCGCATTCACCTTCGATCCGAGCACCTACTTAGTTCGCACTCCTCGCATTCTGGCCAAGCTCGTCGCAACATGACGCAACCGTTTCCGCGCACGACCATCGTGCAACAGAACATCATTCAGCTTAAGACTCCTGATATCACTGTTATCACCGTCCGTGAAGCTGACTTCACTCCGAAACATCTCAGATGGCTATTCGGTAAAGATGATATCGGAGATCTTGGGAATTGTGTCGGCATCGCCGGCGCATACAGTGAATCCAACCATCTCTCTGTCCTGGCTCTCGCAGTGAACTCTGACCCAGGGGACAAGCCTGAATTTGCACATGTCCTCATCATCGAGCTTAGTCCTGAGATTACGGACAAAGTTACAAAGATTCGGGCTGGTCTAAAGCGGAATGTCCTTTGCCGTATCCGACAGCAACCGAACCTCTATGGATTTGACCTCGGACCTCTGAGCCTTTTGCTCCATATGCACTATGACATGCACCTTACCTCTGGGGTTGACATTCAATCTGCATTGCCTATCATTTCTCGTATACCCCTTGCTTCTATCCAATATGCATTGGGAGGCGATATTGAGCTCGATGCAAACAATATATCTGCTCTCTTCAAACAAAAGGAGTACAATCCCAGACGTCCCCAGGATGTGGCCCAGAGAGCATGGGTCTCTGCATATATGGGAAATCTTGAGGTTATGCAGGCTACACGCAGCCCTGATGCACCAAAGATCAACACTCAGATATTAAGCCAACCTGTATGTAGTGACTTCATTATATACGTTCAAACTGCATGCTCATCTATCTTTAATTATATCCTGTAGCATCTGGCACTTTTAGAGAAGCTTGCTTCAGATGACCACCTCATCACAGCTATGGACCCTTCTACTGTTTTCAATGATTTCTCTCAGACCAAATGGGATCCAAGGAAGCATAGGTTGAACACTCAGAATTCTCGTTTCCAAACCCGGATGTATAATGACTCAAACTCAGTAAGACTCCTTTTAATCTCTAAATTGGCACAATCGTTGAAGTGATTCTTCCTTGATAGACTGTTCAGGTCCAGACTGAATATGGTACCTTTGCTACATCTGCAGTGTCTACCAAAGTCAAAGGAAGACATGCTACTATGAAATTCCAGGATAATCTCTCCCTTGGTGGGAAGGTGGTCACTGCTATAAGCAGCCAGAGCCGCTCTACACCTACCTATGCACAGGCTAAACTTGCTGAGGATATTCTTCTTGTGCTGCAAAGAAGGAGAGGCTTTGACAATCCATGGATTGATCACATCTGGGACTTGCCTGACAAAGCCCCATGGCCAGAGGACATTGCCTTGTTAGCAACTCCTTCCACATCTGCCTCTCCCTTCGAAAATCTGCAGTACCCCATAAACTCTTCCCAAAATGATGCTATCATATCCATGCTATCTACTGCTCCAGAAGATAAGATCACAATTATTCAAGGCCCTCCAGGGTATGTCCTTACAATCTCTGCTACACCACATCTTGTTTATGCTCAAATTAATTTCAATCTATCTCTAGGACTGGAAAGACCTCTGTCATCGCAACCTATGTCTTGTCTGCTATTAAAGCAGGGCAGAAGGGTATTTGGCTGATGGCACAGTCTAATGTGGCGGTAAAGAACATAGCAGAGAAGCTACTGGATGTTGGGTTTGAGGACTGGAGATTACTGGTTTCAGCTGACTTTCACTTTGACTGGTTTGTCTTGCCAGCTTTGCAATCTGACTTGCTTATCAACTCAACTCTTGTATAACTCTTCTTTTATACAGGCATGAACATCTCTACAGAAAAATCCAGAATAAGATCCTTCCCTCGGATCAGTGGCCTAAATCACCAGCCGCTGTTGAGAGGTCCCTTGGATCCTCCCAAGTCATCTTATGCACTCTTTCCATGATCTCCAATCCCCGTCTCTCTGACCTTGGATTCACCAAGGTCGTTCCTCCCATCAGCATCTTGATCGATGAGGCTAGTCAGATTACTGTTGGGGACTACTTCCCCATGCTCAACACTTTTGGCAAAAAAATCCAAAACCTTTCATTCATTGGAGATGACAAGCAACGTAGGCATCTCTGTGTCCTTTGAATGCTATCACATATATTGATCTGGATATTCAGTTCCACCTTATGGACAGGAAGATATTGGTGACCTACAAAGTATCTTTGAAATGGCTCACTTACGAGAGAAAGCAAAATTCCTGGGTACACAATGTAAGTTGGATGTGGATGTAATCTTCAATTCTTGTGCTTATTGGCGTGTCAGACCGTATGCCTCCTCAGATTGGAGACTACATCTCTGCAGAGATCTACGGTGGCAAACTCAACTCCAATCCTAAACACTGTGTACCAAGGACAACTCCATCCTGCTTTTTCATTGATATTCCTGAGGGAAAGGAGCAGAAAGATGGGAAGTCATGGGTAGTAAGTTACCTTTATGATTTGACTGATGTATATATTTCTAAAGCTGTTGCATTTTTCTAGAACATCAAGCAAGCGGAGGCTGTAGCATCATTAGCTCAGATTCTGCAAGTGGCAGAGGTTTCTTTTAAGATCATCACTCCGTACGTAAACTTTCATCAAAAAATCTTGGAAACACTCTCAATATCTCTTTTGCTTGATAGATATGATGCGCAGCGCAACCTTCTAGAGAAGACCCTAAGGGATAATGGCCTTGGCTGGGAAAACAAGTGCTTTAATGTTGACTCTTTCCAAGGTATGATACCCTCTCCACTTCTTGACTTTCTCTATCTATAACTGATATTGCATACTCTACCCCTAGGAAATGAGGATGACTACATCATCATCTCACTTGTCCGCTCGAAAGAGCCTGGCTTCCTTGACAACCTACGGCGTACCAATGTCATGCTCACACGGTGCAAGCGTGGAATGTTCATCTGTGCCAACAAGAAGTTCTTGATTGAAGGGAAAGGAAAGAATACCTTGGTTGGGAAGATGGCGGCAGAGTGGGGAGAGAAGGGATGGGTGGAAATAAAGGATGTAGAGGACGGGAAGGTTGCAATCTAGAGGATGAAGAGAAAGGGCACAGAGGGACTTGGGATGGGAGAGGAACTAAGGATAATAGAACAGCGGAGAAAGAAGTCTAATGCTCTGGTTTTCAGATCGGAAGGATGTACTAATACTCTTCGGATGACTTAACTCTTAAATCTGAATCCCTTGCTTTTGTAGCTGACTTAGAATCAGGAGTGCACATTGTGCATCATATACGAGTCTCAGGATCACAGAGCGGCAGACCACATCACAAGCAGATTGCAAAAGTTGGCGCCACCCCTGCCTCACGCTGGTCATGATGTGTCCCTGTCACTCAAAACATGTACTGTTCTTCTTGGATCCTTTTGCGCTCTCATCCAGACTCTATAGCCTCGCCATTGACCACTGCCACGGAAGCGCTACTTACGGAGCCAACACGGACATCCGCTAGCAACGAACCCTTAGCATATGGGCCTCCTCAAACACTGCGGTCGAAGTGAGCGGACACGAATGCGTCGGCTTCATACCGAGTTGGTTCACGTCGGAGTCACAGTGGTCTGTATTGAAGGAATGCGGTGAGATTGGAGTGGCGAGTGTAAGATCGGGCATAGAAAAGTGAGGGAGAGAAGAAGGGAGAGGAGAGCGGATGTAGAGCTGAGTCCGTAGCAGACGTAGCAGAGCGTTGGAGGCGGCTTCGAACATACAACCATGTCGCGTCATACGCCACAAGCCACAAATGAGACGAATCCCACACAATCAGCATCACTTTTAGCTTAGTTATCGGAAATCTCTGAGAGACAAGACGTACCTAGGTCCCCTGAGCAAAGGTGTCGTGCTCGGTATGCATGTATAGCTCTTACTGAACAACGCATTCTCGAACAACGCTGACTTCTTCCTTTGTCAGGAGACATCGTCAGTCGCAGTCCGAGGTGACGGTCAACGTTTCTGCCGGGGGCCTTCCCGGGCCTTTTCGCGTGAGCGAGCTTCAAATTTGGATGGCGCGGTGGAGTGCGAAGCGTTAATGAAGCTACGAGCGACTGAAGGCGAGAAACACGAGGTTATGTTAGTTCATGCTGGAGGGCAAGAACAAGGCGAGAAGGACATACAGAACACGCTCATTACCCATAGCGAGTACCCGGGGTTTTGTTGAACGCCATGAGCAGGCTGAACGTCTCTGTTCGTCCATACTCGAAGAGCCTCGCAGCGCAGTGTGGTGCGACGGTCGCGGTCGCGGGCCCGTGGGTTCCGTGGCATGCGGGCTGCAGTGCCAGTTGCGTGTATGTTTTCGAAAAGAATCGGTCAAGATCAAGCCACACAGCGAAATAATGTGGCATCAGCAAGGAATAGCAAAAGAGAATATTAAGATGCAAGTTAGTCTGCATTCGAAAGGTCAAAAGAATCAGGATGACATACCGATGGATTCCATCCAGTAAGCACTGTACCCCGTAAACCACAAAATACTATCGTCGGAATTGTCAAAAAAGCCCCTTCGCTCTCTTCTCTTCTCTTCACTCAGTCGTCACCCTTCAATCTTTCCTAACCCTCCCTCCTTCTCACTTATCCACCTGACTGCTCAGCACTACCGGCCGCACTCACAAAACTAACGGAATCATCAGGCGATTCGAATGCCGTCCTCTCAATTTCCTAGATAATCGCGAAATGCGCCGTCAGGACGCTGGACACCGAGGCGCCACAAGGCAAATATTTGAGAGTGGCACTCGATGACAAGAGTGAAGTTGTAAGGAACAGATGTGGGCGTCAAGTGAGGAGAGGATGTCGTGGAGGTGGGAGCCTATCGCGAAGGGGAATGGACATGACAGATGTATGTGATGATGATAGTGAGGTGGCCCGAGATAGAGTTCGAAGGAGACAAAATGGGGGTCTCATGAGGGTCGCAGCGACAATGGAGAGTGACTGAGAGAGTATGAACGTGTATGACTCTTGATTATTCGGAGACAATGGGGGGGTTCGAGGCTCTATGTAGCACGTATATGAGACCCGTAAGGACCTCACGTTGTAGAGCTACGTGCCCCTTGAATAGATGAGATAAAACTCATCTTCATCCCGTGGGCTGCACTCGAGTAGGTCCTTAGCTTCATTACTACGTATGTGACTCCTCGGTTAGGAAGAACGGCATAATTTGACGATGTGCATCCTTCGGCCAGATTTTAAGTCGAGGTTATTCCTGTAGGACAGAAGTGACTCAAATAATGCAACTTAGCCGCGTTCCAACCAGTCCATAGAGATTAGAGAACACGCGGTGTAGAGGACTACAGTGGCGGCCTCCTGGCGAACCATTTTCGCCCTCGATCCTCATTGGTCGAATACCGAATAAAGTGGTGACCAGCACAAGTTACACAGTTATACCAACACCGACAAGACTACTGATGTGATCCTGGAGAAGAACATTGAACAGTATGTTAGAGAAAGAGTTGACGTATCGCAAAGAACGAGCGACTGAGAGCGAGCGGAGCGGGTGACGGAGCAGGACGGAGCGTCACGATGGTCACCTCGTCCTCCTTCGTCACCTCCCTGTTACAGTCACACAGCTTCAACGGTTCGACGTCCGGTGGGCGGTGGCGTAGCGTCGAACTACCTCCTTGAGCTTCACTGGTGATCCTCGCGTTGAACGATTAGCTATTTTGCTTTGGGAGGCTAGCCTCGCTCACTCATCAACGATACAAAACAAGCTTATATCGCTAACCGTTCACACATGCAGGGCAGAGGACCGACATCTACCTCCACGCGCGGTCTCAGCGAGCATTTGCTCAGCCAAATCAGGTTATCCTTTGAACATGATCAACGCTCTCATGTGTTCTAAGTTATGTGGCACCGTATTCTATCTTTGTTCTTGACATGCCGTACGATCCTGCTGTGCTTCTCGCATTTATGTCTGGCGCCTCTGACATCCTCGACGCCCATACCTGAGCCCCACCACGCCGTCCAGTTCTCTAGCCATTACTCCTCCACGAAGGCCTAGTATGTCAGATCAGTCCTTCACCTACCAGCAGACCGTCTTCAAAGACGAACCCTCCTCTATCCATGTCGTCGTACATCACGCCAACTCTCTCAGTAAAAGGGCTGCCCGAGATTTCATGGCTACCGTGCAGAATGGTTTCGTCGGCGTCGCTCCGGCGTACGGCAGTCACTGCGCTCTGTTTGCTCTGGCTTTTGCCTCCGCCACCCATGTCCTCATCATCAATCTTCCTACCAAACAGCGACGACAGACACATCGACGCCCCACCATCCCTACTGTCGTCTCAGACATACTGTCAAATCCTAGACTGTCTCGCTACTCGCTGCATGCAGATCGTGTTGCCACTGCACTCCACCTTGATATGGACTTGCATGTCGGAGATCTGATAGACCTCTGGTCTCTTGATACCGACGAGCACGCATCAGATCACTCTTTTGTCAAGGCTATATGTGGCGAGTGGGATATCGATTATCACATCCCTAAATCTGCGTACAAAGACGAGAAGCAAGAGACTGGCAGTCCTTGGCGAGTGGCTTTGCGAGCTTGGATATCCTGTCGCATTGCCTCTCGGACGAATCGGGAGACTCTGACTGGGTTGTGCCCTCGCGTGAATGTCGGTTTATTCAATCCCCAGGTATCCTCGTGTCGCTGCATTCATCCTAACTCATTGTTCCTGACCTAACATTTCATTACAAGGCTTTCAAGGCTTTGTCAAAACTTCATCGAGACGCCCATTTACTGGATGCACTGAAACCGAATGTCACTGCGAACGATGTAAAGCGTACGGTCGTCCAGAAAGGTGGAGTATTCCATGTAACTTCCAAACGCTACAAGTCACGTATTCGCCGGGATACTCAGGTAGCCGTCTTGACCCTTGTATGAAGTCTCGGTTTTCTGACTGCTTAACAAAAGCTCCGCCTGACGTTCAGTCATGCCGATGGCAAGTGTCAACGAAATGCATACACCAAACATGTCAAAGGCAAAGGGGCGGCACTTGTTGTCCCTGAGGGCGTCGCCACAGGCTCTAAATTACGATCCGCTGTGACCATTGGCAAAGCCCCGCTCACTCTCGCAGAAACGGAACGTCAGGACATTGTTCGAGGCGCCTTCCTTGGCAAAATTTCCCTTTGCGAATTGCCGTTCTTCCGAGCGATTTGGTTCCCAGAAACGACTTGGAGCTGGAAAACTGCCCCAAAACTCCATCCTCTTCCGGTTCTGGCGGCGCGCGCCTCCTTCCGCACACTCAACTCGTCCCAGGAGTCCGCTGTGCAGGTCATACTGTCGTCCGGTGCTCGGGATCGAGTCTGTCTGGTGCAGGGTCCCCCGGGAACTGGCAAGACAACCGTAATCGCAGAATCGGTTCAGCGCATTCGAGCAGGCGACTCTCGACGGACGATATATCTCGTCGCTCAATCTAACGTTGCCGTGAAGAACATCGCGGAGAAGCTGGCGGTTGTGGGATTTCTGGATTTCAGGTTACTGATTTCGCACGATTTTCACTTTGATTGGTGGGTCGGCTTGTATAATGATATCCGCAAGTCCTCATCAACGTACTCTCGCTCTAGGCATGAACATCTATACGAGAAGATTGGGCCTAAAATTATTGTTTCCGACAAGTTCCCGAAGACTACGTCGGATGCTGAGTCCAAGCTCGAAGGTGCCAAGGTCATACTCTGTACACTGAGCATGCTGTCGAACCCAAAGTGCTCCGTATTCACCACCGTGGTCCCTGTCGAAACTGTCATCGTTGACGAAGCTAGCCAAATCGAGATCGGTAACTACGTACCGCTAGTACACCTGTTCAAGACCACAGTGTCGAAGTTGGTGTTTATCGGCGATGATAAGCAGTGTACGCTGACTTTTTTTTTCCTTCTTTTTTTTACGAGTGCCGCTTAATTTCTATGCGTAGTACCGCCCTATGGACAAGAGAATATACCTGGGCTTCAGAGCGTATTCGAGATCGCTCGCTTGCGATCAAAGGCCAAGCTTCTTGCAGTACAATGCACGTCTCTTCTCGTCTCGTCCTCATAAGACTCCAGACTGACTCATCGCCTTCTTCAGATCGCATGCCGAGGGTCGTCGGGGCGTTCATTTCTCGCCACGTTTACGATGGTAAATTGAAGACTGAACATCCTATAGCATCTGCGAGTGCCTGCCGATTTATCGACGTCCAAAAGGGTAAGGAAGAGAAAGATGGACATAGCTGGATCGTACGTAGCAGCCATACACGGGCTAGGAAGCACGAGCTGACCATATCTGAATAGAACAAGGAAGAATGCCATATCGCCGTTCGCATAGCCCAAAGGTATGATGGCGAGGGCAAAACCTTCCGCATTATAACACCGTGCGTACATCTTCTTGGTGTCTCTACTTGACTAAGGGTTGACCTTCGTTCTGGTAGATATGATGCCCAACGCAATCTAATCGAAACGTCTCTTCGGCGAGCGGATATTCCGTGCGGGGACAGAGTCTTCAACGTCGACGCTTTTCAAGGTACGCATTTTTTACGCTTGCACCATAGCATGTCGTGCCGTGCGCTGATTTCATTACCTTCAGGAAACGAGAGCGACCATATCATCATTTCACTCGTACGGACGGAGAAGTTAGGCTTCTTGCGCGACCTGCGGCGGTCCAATGTTATGCTCTCGAGATGCAAACAAAGTATGACCATCTGTTCGAATCGTGCCTTCCTTGAAGGTCCTGGATCGGCTTCTCTTGCTGGAAAGTTAGCGAAGGAGTGTGGCCATAGAGCGTGGCTGTCGGTACAGGATGTCTGGATGGGTAGATTCTAGACTGACATACGTCGCGACTCCGGAGTACATTGTTAGACTGTCGTTCTTTCTCTACTCGAATCCGATGGGTGCGACATTGTGATGGTAGTTGTATTACATGCAGGCGAGCGTTCTCCGATTCCTCGCCCTCCCATTCGTTAGTGTACGAGGATATAATTTAAGTGGCGTGCACGACTTGGGCTTCGAAGGCTTTGTGCCAGCCCGGAGTTCCCCGGGCCTCTCCGTCTCTCTCTTCCACCTCCAGTTGTGCTCGCCGCTCACCCCGCCCATCTTGTCCATCAGCATCGCCTTTTCCCCCCGCAGCCATCAATCGTAAGTCAACTGTCATAGAGTTGTCTAGAAATCTTGATCTCTTACGCGTCTTTTGCTTTTTGAATTGCTCGCTACGTCTCGCCACCATATCTATCGCAATCGATGTCGAGCTATCAGGCAATCTGCTCAGTCTTCGAGCTCGTCGCATCTTGAAACTTGTGAAGACAACTCTTGTCGCCATCGTACGTCTGATTTTAACTGATCCTCCTCTAATATATGTTCAATCAATGTTCAACCATTTCGCTCAGGTCGTGTGTGGCGCGCCACCCGCCGCGTAGGCCCGATTTGAATTCTGCCATCAGCTTCAAGTGAAAATCAGAGGCATCCGAGATCCATTCGTGCGTGCTTGATATCTGTTGTGACTGTCTGTCCACTCTGGCGCTAAATATATGATTGCGTCGAACAGCATCTTGTTCCTCTTCCCCGCCATCTTCAACAGTCCCGATCAAGTCCCGATTTTGACCCATTCTCAATCCGAGCACCTGGTTCGCGTGCTCACCAAGCTCGTCTCTGCGACATGACGCAGCCCTCACCGAATAAGCTTGACACGATCACCGTGCAGCAAAATATCATCAATCTCTACACGCCCAATATCTCTGCTCTCGCTATTCGCGAGACAGACCTTGACCCAAACCATCTCTGTTGGTTGTTTCATACCGATGATCCTAAGAACTTTCTGCATTGTGTCGGAATCACCGGCGCACACACGCAGGCCAACCGCTCTCTTGCCGTTCTAGCCCTTGCTGTGAACTCTATCCCGGGGGACAAACCCGAATTTGCACATGTCCTCATCATCGAGCTCAGTCCTAAGATTACAGACAAAGTTCAGAAGATTCGAGATGGTCTCAAGCGGACTATTCTTTGTCGAGCCCGACAGCATCTCTATGGATTTGACCTCGGACCTCTGAGCCTCTTGCTTCATATGCACTATGGCATTCACATCAATTCTGGAATTGACATTCAATCTGTGTTACCTGTCTCTTCTCGAATACCCCTAGCATCCATCCGATTTGCTTTAGGCGATGATACTGAGCTTAATGCAGACAATATATCTGCTCTCTTCAAACAAAAGGAGTACAATCCTAGACGTCCTCAGGACCTAGTTCAAAGAGCATGGGTTTCCGCATACATGGGACATCTTGAGGTCATGCAGGCTACACGCAGCCCTGATACACCAAAGATTGATACCAAGAAGCTAAGTGAACCTGTACGCACTGGCCTTACTGCACACATTTGAACTGTGTACTTATATGTTCTCTATTATATCCTATAGCACCTTGCACTCTTGGAGAAGCTTGCTTCAGACATCCATCTCCTTGCAGCTATGGACCCTTCTACTGTTTCCAATGATTTCTCCAGTGCCGAATGGGACCAGAAAAAGCATAAGCTACGGGCACAGAATTCTCGCTTCCAAACCCGGATGCATAAAGACTCAAACTCGGTAAGACACTCTTTAATCTCTTATAAATCACACTCATTGAGGTGATACTCCTTTGATAGACTGTTCGCATTCAGACTGAGCATGGTACCTTCACTACCTCAGCCATGTCTACCAATGTTGAAGGCAGACAGGCTACTATGAAGTTCCAGGATAATCTCTCCCTTGATGGGAAGGTGGTCACTGCTATCAGCAGCCATAGCCGCTCTACACCCACTCATGCACAGGCTCAACTTGCTGAGGATATTCTTCTTATGCTGCAAAGGAAGACAGGCTTCGATAATCCATGGATTGATCATATCTGGGACTTACCTGATAAAGCTCCATGGCCAGAGGACACTGCCCCGCCAACCACTTCTTCTACTACATCTGCTACTCCTTTTGAAAATCCTCAGTACCCTATAAATCCTTCCCAAAATGACGCTATCACATCCATGCTATCTACTGCTGCAAAGGATAAGATTACCATTATTCAAGGCCCTCCAGGGTATGTCCTCCTAATTTATACTACACTATAGTTTGTGTATGCTTAAATTGATTCGTAATATATCTGTAGGACTGGAAAGACCTCTGTCATTGCAACCTATGTCTTGTCTGCTATTGAAGCAGGGCAGAAGGGCATCTGGCTGATGGCACAGTCTAATGTGGCGGTTAAGAACATAGCAGAGAAGCTAATGGATGTTGGGTTTGAGGACTGGAGATTACTGGTTTCAGCTGACTTTCACTTCGACTGGTTTGTCTCAACTTTGCAATCTGAATTTTTCCTCAACTCAACTCTTGTCTAACTCTATTGTATAGGCACGAGCATCTCTATAGAAAAATCCAGAATAAGATCCTTCCCTCAGACAAGTGGCCAAAATCACCTGCTGCTGTTGAGCGAGAACTTGGATCTTCCCAAGTCATCTTATGCACCCTTTCCATGATCTCCAACCCCCGTCTCGCTGACCTTGGATTCACCAAGGTTGTTCCTCCCATCAGCATCTTGATTGATGAGGCCAGTCAGATTACTGTTGGTGACTACTTCCCCATGCTCAACACTTTTGGCAAAAAAATTCGAAACCTTTCATTCATCGGAGATGACAAGCAACGTAGGCATATTTTTGTCCTTCAGCTATTATCACACATACTGACCTGCATATTTAGTTCCACCTTATGGACAAGAAGATATCGGCAACCTACAAAGTATCTTTGAAATGCCTCACTTACGCGAGAGAGCAAAGTTCTTGGACACACAATGTAAGTTGGGCAAGATTGTAGTCTTCCATTTGTATCCTCATTGGTGTATTAGACCGTATGCCTCCTCAGATTGGAGACTACATCTCTGCAGAGATCTACAGTGGCAAACTCAACTCCAATCCTAAACACCGTGTACCAAAGACAACTCCATCCTGCTTTTTCATTGATATTCCTGAGGGAAAGGAGCAAAAAGATGGGACATCATGGATGGTATGTGATATTTATGACTTGATTCATGGGTATATCTCTGAAGCTGCTGTATTTGCTCAGAATATCAAGCAAGCAGAGGCTGTAGCATCATTAGCTCAGATCCTTCAAGAGGCAGAGGTCTCTTTTAAGATCATCACTCCGTACGTCAACTTCTACCAAAATGTCTTGGATCTACTCTCAATATCTGTTTCACTTGATAGGTATGACCCACAGCGCAACCTTCTAGAGAAGACTCTGAGGGACAATGGCCTTGGTTGGGAAAATAAGTGCTTCAATGTCGACTCTTTCCAAGGTATGATATTCAGTCCCATCCGACTCTTCACCTTGCTCTCTGATGCTGTCCCCATAACTCACAACTTCTGTCTTTCCCTAGGAAATGAGGATGACTATATCATCATCTCCCTTGTTCGCTCGAAAGACCCAGGCTTCCTCGATAACCTACGCCGTACCAATGTCATGCTCACCCGATGCAAGCGCGGAATGTTCATCTGCGCTAATAAGAAGTTCTTGCTCGAAGGGAAGGGAAAGGATACCTTGGTCGGGAAGATGGCGGCAGAGTGGGGAGAGAAAGGGTGGGTAGAGATAAAGGATATTGAGGAAGAGATGAGTGACAAGGCATAGAGGGACTTGGGATGAGAAGGCAACCGGGACGGGATAGATCAGAGACGAGAGAAGTCCAATGCTTCGGTTCCGAAACCGGAAGGATGTACTAACAACTACTTTGTGAACAACTTGACTCCGAGTCTTGAATCTGAATCCATGTTTTCGTAACTCGTCTAGAGCGTACATATTGCGAAGATACTCGCAATCGCACATTGTGCACCGTGCAGGATCAAGGAGTGGCAATCGACACCGCGCCAGTGAGCCGACTGCAAGGTCCCGACACCATTCGCCTTGCACGTATACCCCGTCGCCACCACCAACACACAATATCGTTCTTCGTGGCCTCTACACGCTTGTGCTGATCTATAGCAGTCTACAGCCTCGCCATCGGTCCCTGCCCCGACACAGAAGCACCACTCACAGGCCCAAGAGACGCATCCGCGAGTGTCAAACCCTCCGTGCACACAAGCTTCATATCCCGCATCGCAGCGACGATAGTCTCCTGGAACGCCGCGGTCGAAGTGAGCGGACATGAGTACTTTGACTCGATTCCGAATTTGATCATATCGGGGCCGGAGAGGTCTGGACAGAAGGGACGGGGCGGAAATGCAGAGGAGAGGATGTCTGGTGAGTGTTAGGCCGGGCGGACGACAGGCAACAGGGAAGGAGAGCGAAGGAGGGTAGATGGAGGAGAAAGTGGACGTACAGTTGATCCCGTAGCCGTCGTTGTATGCCGCTCCGAACCTAGAAGCACATCGCCACACGCCACATGCATCGCCATCAGTCGTAGCCTACCCTAATCGCAGAACTCAGAAGGCAAAACGCACCCAGTTCCCCTAAACAAATGTCCCGCACTCAACCCACTAGTGCTCAACTTCCAAGTCTGGCTCTCCCCAAACACCTCGTCCTCAAACAAATCCGACTTTTCTCCCTCGTCGGGACGCATCATGAGTCGTAGACCGAGAAGGTGACGGTCTATGCCTTTTCCGGTGGCGCCTTCGCGGGTGAGTGAGGTGTGGGTTTGAATGGCACGGCGGAGGAGGGCGAAGCGTTCGCGGAGCTGTAAGCAGCACAGAACTCAGAACGTTAACAGGCTTTTCACTAACACAATAGATCGAAAAGGACGTACGGAAGACGACTCATTGTTCATAGCCAGGACCCATGCTCTACTATCCGCCGTGAGCGTCCTGATCGTTTCCGTCCGGCCACGGTCAAAGAGTCTCGTGAGCACGGTCTCATACGTCGCGGTGAACGTCCCTCTAGATCTGTACCATGCGAGCTGGAGTGCCATTTGGATGTATGCGTCCGGGGAGAGTCGGGCTATAATTACGCCACACCGTGAAATGATGTGGCACCAGCAAAGATAGTCGTGTCGTAGAATGCTAGTTAGTGCCTGTTTGCAAGAGGAGGATAAAGTTGACAGTTACATACCGATAGACTTCATCCAGTCAGCACCGTACTCCGCGAACCACAGCATACTATCGTCAGAATCCGCGATAATTTCCTTCGCTCTCTTCTCCGCCTCGACGCACTCCCTCGCGATATATTCATCCGTAACCCACTCCAATCTCTCCCAACCTTCCCCTTTCCCATTAGCCTCATCAGCAAAATCAACCTCAGGGTCAGGCGAATCAAACGCCTCGCTCTCGATCCCCTGTACGATCGCGTACTCTGCCACGACACTAGGCACTAAAGCATCACAAGGTGAATGTTCGCCCATGGCTCCGGCTCGAGAGTTAGACTCGACGATGAGAGTGTAGGCTTTGTCGAAGAAACGGTTGTGGGCGTTGAGTGAGGAGCGGATGTTGTGCAAGTGGGAGTCGATCTCGGAGGCGGAGTCGATGGGGAGCGGTGTGTGTGGTGATGGCTGTGGGGACAGGTATGACGAGTTTGAAGATGAGAAGGTAGGTGTGGATGGTGGTGGGGGGGATAGAGAGGGGTTGAGGGTGTAGTGATCGAGGGACAGGGCGAATAGAGATTGTTGGATGGTCGTGTAGGTCTTGTGATTGGACGGAGACAGTGATAGTAGGTGTTCGAGGTTCTGCAAATAAATGCGCGGAGAGTTTAGCGCATGTATGCGCTATTCTTGAGCATGAGCGTACCTTTGCCCAGTGATCTCTCTCATCCGAGCTCAGTATTCCAACAGGAACCGCAGCGTCACCGGCACGCATACGTGTCTCGACATCTCGCACGACGTGTCGTATTCGCTTTTCCATTTCATTCGACGAGACGAGTTTGCCGTCTGGATGGTAAGCGTCGATGGTATAAAACCAGTCTCTGATCATGACAACGATTTTACGGGCATCGGGGGAAGAGGGTGGAGGGTGGGAGCTGAGGAAATCGCAGTCGACTTGGGGGACGCGACAGGTGTTGAATGTGCGGAGGGCGTTTTCTCTGAACCATGTACCTGCATATAGTATTAAATCAGTCATTTATAATGAGATGATTGTGAGTTATGAGACACGTACCCGTCCTTGTCGTTTCAGGGTACAGCTCTTGTCTACCATGGTGAATGAATGGTCAGTTCATCGACATAGCACTTGTGAACTGGAAAGAGAACGACGAGAACATACATACTGCTCTAACTTGTCCTTGAACTCTAGAGTGCGATAGACCAACCAAGAAGCCCTTCTGACCTGCCAAGACGTGATGCCCGCTGCTCCCACTGGTTTCGGTGAAGTGAGAGCATGGGATGGGACTGAAATATCGTTGTAAAAAGCGAGCCACCAGTTTGAGTTCACGAGAAGTGGTGCGCGCCATTCGTGGTAGGCTTTCTTGAGCCAGATGTTGTCATCCAGCCAATTATGAGGTGACGCTCTGTCGAGTTCTTGAGAACGAGGTGTTAGTGAAAGGCCGATGTATGCGCGTAGAATAAGGCGCACCGTGTAGACGTTGCTGACAGACAGCTCCTAGACCATGTTCGAATTCGTCCGCCCACCGTACACGCTCATTGTAGGCTACATCGAAAGCAGGCCCACCGCGCGCCTCCTGGTCTTGCAAGAGTGGCACTACAGAACGAAGATACTTCTGCAGCGTCTTGTGCAAGTCTGGAACTGGCAACCGCAGCGCTTTTGGCCTTGCTCTCGCCCTGGTCGACATGGATGCGATAGACAACGCTCTAGGTTGTATGAGATGGTGATGGATACGGAAAGAGAGCAGCATTTTTAAAGCATTTTATAGATTTGCAGGAGGCATAACGATATTCCCTGTGGCGGACGCGGTCGAGCAGCGGAAGAGGAACGTCCTGCGCGCCACGTGCGGCTCCTCCGATCTCCCGTGGCCGTGCGAACTTTGACCGTTGATCACCGCGTCGCGTCGCGTCAAACTTGAACGCGTCCATACAGGTCCATACGCGTCGTCCAAAGGTAGGCGCATCTGAGCACACGAATTCCTTGAAATCCCATAATAGGCTTCTGATAGATACACATTCAGGATATGGCTCACGCACCTCGAGAGGTCGTTGACTGGCTGAACAAAAAATACCCAAGGCCACAAGTCGACCCAGTACTGTCATTCCCATTCCCTCACCCCCGGCCACAAGAAGTTGCTAACAAATTCACCGCGATACCTTGTAGGAATGGCTGGATGCGTGCTACAATTGGCTCACCACCGAGTTCAATCCGAATCTCTTGCCCCTCGGACCAAATACACTCCCAGAACTCCTCACCCAAATCGAACTCCAGCTCCTCCAGTCCGATCTCTCTGCCTCCACCCTCCCTAACACCGGTTTCCCACCCGATCTTCCCACTCTGGACTATAAACGCGTCATGGGTCTACCTGTTCTTGTCGAGATCATCGCTGTGACGGATATAGGCCACAGCGCGTTCAGCTTACAGAATACGAGACAGGCGAGACTGGACAAAGCTGACCTAGCTGGGCTGGCGGCGCAGAGACGGGAGAGGGACGGAGAACGGGGTGTTGGGGAGGGTGAACCACAGGGAGATGAGGAGGATGAAGGTCCGATTCCCAAGTATCCGCGAGGGATGCTGAGGTTTGAGTTGAGCGACGGACATACGATCATCAAAGCTATCGAGTTTCGCAAGATACCTGAACTTATGCTGGGTGAACTGGAATTGGGCTACAAGGTACGTCTCATTGTCTGACACGCTAGTTCTTTTGATTTCTTACGGAGACGATTTGTACTCAACACGTTCACACAAATCAGATGCAACTCAAAGATGTCGTCGTCCGTAAAGGCATAGCATTTCTCGAACCCAGAAACATCATCCATAAGGGCTACAGCACTGAAGACCGTGTCGCCACCCAAGAACGTGATTTTGTCCGAAGTCTGCGGGTCCGCATGGGGTATGTCAGCTGCAATGTTGTCGTCTCTTTGGCCTGACTCTTCGCGTCAAATCGGAGCGTATACGCATTCTGATTCATCATGCTCCAAATAGACTCACCGACCTCCCAGACGAGGACGTACCAGACAGAGCTGATGGCGGAGACCCTCCAAGACCCGCACCTGCACCCGCACTCCCTCCTCCAGTGGCAGCTCCTGCACCTGCTCCCGCCCGGCCTCCGCCTCCCGCTCAAGCACCTCCGAAACAAGAAGCACTCCCGCCCCAACCTCTTCAACCAACACGACCACCACCCCGTCCGGCCAATCCCACTCCCGCCCAACCTCGTACAAATGGTACCACTTCCCATCCCAATCCCCCTCGTCCAAACCCCGACCGAGTGCCCAAACCCGAACCCAAAAAAGATCCATACCCGACTCCCTCGAATTCCGCCCCCAACCCAGCGCCACTCCGTCGCTTCGGCACCATGGTCACCTCGACCGGCACATTCCCCTCCGTCTCGTCCATCATCGAAGAAGCCAAATCGCAATCCAACTCTCAGGCCTCCAAACAATCTCAACCACAACCACAATCTCAAGCCCAGCAATCACGTTACTTCGCAGGTAATAACGCCACCGCGGGGCCTAGTGGTAACGGAGACGATGCAGCTCCGAGTAGCAGCAACGCTAGCACCGGGTCGAACGCGCTCGCCGCTGCGCCGACACTCGTTATCCCGATGACGCCTCCCAGGACGGGTGTGGCGACTGCAATGGTCGGTGGCAACGTCGGAAAGTACGACCAGTTTCGGAATCCCAGTTATTGGGAGGGCGACGACGATTTCGATGCGATGGTTGCGGAGGCGGAGATGGAAGGGGTGGAGGAGGAGGGGGACGAGAATGTACAGCATGATTGGGAAGTCAGACCTCGTGCGCCACCTCCGCGGAAGGCACCCCCACCACCACAACCGCAGAGGGCTCAACCCCCATTACTGGCACCGGTACCAGCACCGAAACCACTAGCTCAGATAAACCCACAGTGGTCTCCCACTCGAGCTCGGAAGATACAATTATCGCCATCGCCACCCGCTCCACCACGGCCCCTTCCATCGCCCGAACGGTCTCGAGCGCCTCTCCTTCGTGCGCGCAATCTCGTATCCACCAGTCCTGCTCGTCCTGCTCCTGATGAACCTGCTGATACGACCATCGTCAACGAGTCAACGCGGGAGGATGCGGGGAGTTCAGATTACGGCGACGAAGATATCCCGATGGATGTATTAGATGAATTGGACCAGGTCGTGAACCGGTCGCAACAATCTCAGGATCGGAATCAGAATCAGAATCAGACTGTGGGGACAGTGAAACCGGAGCCGCCGTATAAGGCCGTCGACGCTCGACAACCACCACCACCCGCTCAGGTAGCTTCGTCCTCCAGGTCGACGGCCGGCGGGGGGCTTCCATCACAAACTCAAGCACGGCCGCGACCGCGACCTACTCCGATAGCATCTTCGTCCGGTGCTTCGACATCTAGAACTACTCCGTCTCAAACCCGGGGCACTAGCAGGACCGCTGGGACATCGCAGCCGAAGAGTCGGCCTATTTCTCAAGACCTGTCGGTCATCGTGATTGAGGATAGCGACGAGGAAGAAGTTGTGGGGCCGGTGAAGAAGGAGAAGGTGACAGCGACGAGGAACGTGAGGACGAGGATGGATACGCCGAGCGATAGCCGTGGTCACAGTCGGGCTCATAGCATGAGCATGAGTCCGAGCAAGAGGGGGAAGGGGCAGCCGCCGCCGGATGATACGGAGGTCATCGAGTTGTCGGACTAAGTTTGTACTTTACGCGGACTCCAGTGCGCTTTCTTGCTATTACATATCATTCTTGAGAACATGCGAGTTGCAGGATGTCAAAGAGACTCGCAGTCTGATACTCTAGGTCGCTCTTGAGGCTTCAATCTCGAATTCGAGGCCACTGACAGTAGCCGGCCAAGATATTTGAGAGGGACGTGGAGATATGGCAGCAAACTTCCGCCTATAGACTCTCAAGATGATGGCACTATCGCAAGACGGGCGAGCTCGTGGACAGTGAGACAAGTGAAAATGTTCAAGATGCTAGGGGACCTTAACTGTAATATAGCAGTAATATGAAGATTTATACGACGCCTGACAATACCTGTACACAGAATAACATACTGGTTCCGATGGTAACTTCAGCGCGCGGTCCAGGTACCCAGACATATACCCTACGTACGCTGACACTGAGAATGCTCAGCTTATCTAGCTTGATATACCAGATCGGAGGAAGGACAAGGAAGCAGGTGAACGACAACGGAATGGAGAAGCTGAAAAGAGAGAGTATCACAAGATTTGGCTTAGCCCAGTACGGTGACCTTCTGTTTCTTCTTCTTCTTGGAATCTTTGGTGAACGTTCTCCAACTGTCGACGCGCTGTTCTCGGTTTTCTAGCGGACGTGAAAGGATGGAGGTGAGTGTCCATGAGGAGTCGAGTATTGCGTATCACGGTGCTCACCTTCCCATTTCTTATCGTCCTCGGCCTTGCGCTTCCTTGTCGCAACTTCTTCTTCCTTCTTTCTAGCTTCCAACCCTTCGTTGGCAAGGTTCATCTTGATCGCCCTGTAGAACACCGACCAAGTCGTCAGTATCGACGCCACACAGTCGAGAACACGACAGCGTGAGATGATGCGTACTTTCTCCGTCTGAGTTCCTCCTCAATCAACATGTCCTTGGACTTCGCCCTAAGTTGGGCCTTATATGGGGGCTTGAGATCTTTGAGTTTGGGATCATCGTCGGTGGTGCTGGGAGGAAGTGAGAGGGACTTCAGGAGTTGAATACGGGCTTGGCTGATTGTGGCGTCGAGCTCTTCTCGTTTCGCCGGATCACTCAGTTCTGATTCCGCCTAAGGGCAACACAGCACATTAAAAAAATAAGGTGCCGCGGAGATGTATAGACACAAGGATACAGGACTGACCTTCTTGAGGATGTCAAAAGCTTCTGGTGCACGAGCGTGGGGGGTCTTGTCAGGATGGATGACTGTATACGGAACAACGTACCCAATGAAAGTATTCGATCAGCTCATACGCTCGTTCACTTGTGCTCTGAAGCACCGTTGAGGCGAAAGGACCAGGTGGTGTATGGTCATGGAGGCTCACAGAGGGAGAGCTGTCGGTATTTCCTCTTCACGTCCTCCGGTCTGGCGGTCTCGGTCAAATCTAAGATATCATACGGACTGCGAATACCGTCAGTTTATCAGTTTACACCCTCTGCTATCTGCATACGTAGAAGAGGAATTGTGCCGGCAGAGAGAGATAGGAGACGTACTTCAGCTTGAACGCTACCAATATACGCTCAACTTCTAGTTCTCGCTGGAAGGCGGAGGCTTCCCGGTTGAGCAGTTTCTCGAGCTCTGCGTCAGAGATGGAGACCTCTGGTTTCGGTGTACTTGAGGATGAAGATGCTTCTGTTGACATGGTAGATGTCGGCCGGTACGGTGAATGTGGAAGTTGGCGTAGAAAGACACCAGTGAGGTCGCACTGCCATGCCACTCGGCAATGCGCACGGCTTATTTGGTGCTATTTGTGAACGCCACTTGAAAGCAATCGCTCCTCTTCGGGACCTCTCCTTCAACACCTTTGTATCTACCAGTCATCCTCTACTATCAAACATAGTGCTAAAACTTTAGCCCCTCTTTAGTCATTACTCACCTTTCTTTTTCCCCCTCTTAATACTACTAAAAGGATCATGTCCACCGGTTTCGACACTGCCCACTAATACGCCGGCGGCCAGCGCGTCTCGAGCAGTTCAGCCACATCATCTTGTCGGCGAACCTTCACCTAAGGCCTATATTTTTGACTCAGAGTGCCGGAGCGTTACTCTCACAACGTTGACCGGATGGCCAAAAGCGACGGCCCTCCAACGACTCACGCCGCGGACGGCGCTTGATGGGCCACACTCGTCAATCCATTCTCCCCTTGAAACGGAGTGTGAATGAAGTTGAGCGAAAAGCGCTCTAGCCCAGTTGGGTGGCGGCCATTATTGGGAGCGTCTACTGGACTTGATGGAGGTACCGTCTCTTTTTTTTAAGGTCATAGGAAGTACCGTCTCGCGGCTTCGATACATCGTGTCCCCGGTGTGGCGTTGTTTGGGGCTGTTTGCTCTGGTTCAACTTGCTTGACGTACGCATAACTTACCGAGTCATTCCTCAAAGCCCTCTCCTGTCCAGAGCACATATTGACGCAGGACACATCTTGATCATAGTCCACTTTGTAGTATACAGAAACAGGAATACTTATATCGAACATTTACACCTGCTCAGCGCTCAATCCCTCAGATCAAATCTCCACATGGGTAAACACTCTTAGCGTATGGCGCACTGGCGCGCCGTTTCGTCCATCAAATCTACATTGTCTCCCACCTCAGCATCATACGGTCTGCTCAGGATCAAGCGCGGCAAAACCGAAAGGTGAGTCGCTTGTATCGAACGATGATGATCATGGTGCTAAATATCTGATGCGTCTCGACCGCATCAATACAGTCTACGTAGCCCCGATTTTTGCTGGCAGTTTCTCTCTGGTCTATTGCGCATCTTTGACTACCTTCAGGAGCCATGGAAATTGCTTAATTAGCGCCGATCAACTCGAAGAACTAGACGGTGCCGCTAAAGAATCAATGTTTGCCAGGTCATTGACAAGTCCTCGTGCTACTGCGCGCTGGGTCACCACCATCTTTCTCCAAATATCGTTGCATGTGTCTTATACGAATAACCCCCATTCATCATTGAGAATAAGGATCGCTTCTGTGGTCAGTACACTGCCAGTCAGTCGGTGCACGAATGGATGCGCTGGGCACAAAGATCGAGTCGCTCACTTCACGGAGCTGGGTCCCCGATTGAGACTTTGCCTACGAATTTTGCTTCTCCGCTTTTGTGCACTACCCTCCGGCCATGCGACTCGGTATTTACTGAGTAGAATGCCCCGCATGTCGATACGTCACGTCGATGTATACGTCTCAGATGCGTTTGGACTCCCCATGTGCTTGCTGCACTAATGTCCATCATATTCAGTAGACGCACAGCCATACCACCAGTATAAAGGGGAGGGAGTATTACCCTCGTATCCTCAACAACCGTCATCGGCTGATATTCCTACACCACCACACTTACTTTTCACCCATCCATCTCTCATCGTCATCATGAAGTCCATCGCTGCTACTCTCGCTGTCCTCATCGCTGCTGCGTCTACCGCCAACGCCTTCGTCATCCATTTCCAGAACAACTGCGGCTACAGTGAGTTACCTTCCTTCGTCGTTCCCCGAATATCTTGCGAATCATGCTGACGATCTCGTCCACGCTCAGCTGTATGGCCCGCCGTCGGCAAAGCCCCCAACGGCGCACCGGACACTTCCGTTGCATACGGTACTTCCCTCGCTGCTGGTGGCTCTGTCAGTTACACCATTGGCGACACTGAGCTCGTAAGTGTTTACCTACCCTGGGTTGGTATCGACCTCTCATACTCAATCAACAACGCTTGTAGGGCATCCGTGCGTGGGGTCGTACCGGCTGTGCCGCCGACGGCACTGGTTGTGCTACTGGTGGCTGCAACGGTGGTACGTCAACTATCTAACACTCTAGGCTAACACCGTGCTCAAAATTGAATTCCTCTCGCTCTCTCTAGGCTTGGTCTGCACTGACGCGGGCATCACCTCCGGCGTCATCCTCTCCGAATACGGCTACGCCAACTTCGGCGCTGCCTACGGTGGCGAACGCACCTCCTGGGACTTGAGCCGCGTCGACTCCTCCATCAACATCAACACCAAGCTCACCTCGTCCGATGGCCAGACCGTCACTTGTACGACGAGCTCTTGCGCCGACGATCAGGCGTACTCTTACGCTACCGACTACGCTGCAGACCGCAACTCGGCCTTGGGCCAGACCTTCACGCACACTTTCTGCCCTTGATTGTAGGATCGTAGGAAGAGGTTGGGAGTACTAATGGGGTTGAGAGAAAAGCTGTATTTATGCAGATATATTATTGGGATGGGCCTTTTCGCCAGTCGTTGATGGGGTGTTCCACTATTGGTATATACTTTAAGGTCGTTTTGTAACTTCTGCACAATATTTCAAGGTCCTTCAAACGGACAGTAGCATAAGTTTGGACAGCTTCGAGCTTCTGGCCGCTTTGATGCACGATGTGGTGGTCGCCACTTGAATTCGTAGAACCACGGCATCGGCCGGACCAAAATATGACTGCTTCGCCACCCGAGCTCGCGCCACCTCATCGCGAAACCGCTCATATCTTCATACTCCCACTGCTTGCTGTCATATTGTGTTGGATCAGGCAAGTACACCACCGTAATACTGTTCGATAGAAATGGAATCTGTCTTGAACGTAACTGACACTATTCAACTGTCTTCACCTTCCAAATTGCAGCCATCCGAACCTCCAGACAGACCCCACTGCGTTGTTCGTTGTGTTGAAGCAGAATCTCTTGTCCTTCTACTCTTAAAATCATGGCCAAACGAAAACGCCAATCTGTCGAAGCATCCTCTCAAACCACCCCCAAACCGAAAGAGAAATCTCTTCTACCACAAGTAACGTCCATCTCTGACAACATTATTCTCCAATGCGTCGAGCTTACCTCTCATGTATGTTCTACGGATGTAGAAAAAACACTATCGCCAACGCGCACACGCGAATCCTTTCTCCGACCATGCCCTCGAATACCCATCCTCTCCCGACGAGATTGATTGGTCCGTGCACTACCCGGCATTTTATCCCGCTGAGGCATCTTCATCACATTCAAAAAGCGATTCGGGAGAGGATGGAAAGGTGGTGAGAGGCCCGACACCAGCGTTTGCAGATGTGGGGTGTGGGTTTGGAGGGTTGCTTATTGCGCTTGCACCACTATTTCCCGACACGCTTATGCTTGGTGCGTGTCTCTTCTTCCTTTTCCTGTTCGTTAAATGGAGAACACTATATTGAAGCGGATGGTTGTGGCCATTTTCTTTGGTAGGACTCGAGATCCGAGTACAGGTCTCTCAATATGTCGAGGATCGTATCGCCGCCCTCCGCGCCACACATTCTCAAGCACAAGAACCACAAATCGAGCCACAACCTTCGGAAGCAACATCCTCATTACCAGAGTCCCACCCTACATCGACGACCACCGAAGTTTCGACTTCCAAGACCCAGACCCCAGGGCCTTACCAAAATATCTCCATCGTCCGCGCAAACGCGATGAAATTCCTCCCGAACTACTTCCACAAATCGTCCCTCCAAGCCCTTTTCTTCCTCTTCCCCGACCCGCACTTCAAAGTCCGGAAACACAAAGCCCGGATCATCTCGCCCACACTGCTCGCGGAGTACGCGTACGTGCTCGCTCCTGGCGGTATAGTGTACACGATCACGGATGTGAAGGACTTGCATGAGTGGATGAAGGGTCATTTGGAGAGGTTTCCGTTGTTCGAGAGGGTTGAGGAGGAGGAGCTGAGGAAAGAGGGGAAGGGTGCGATTTTGGATGCGGTTTGGGGAGAGACAGAGGAGGGGAAGAAGGTTGAGAGGAATAAAGGGGAGAAGTGGTTGGCCTGTTTTAGGAGGATTGAGGTTCAGAGACAGGATTCATAGCAGGGGTTCTGTGGTGTAGCGCCATGTATTCGACCGAAGATTGTAGCGATTAAGTAGTTGACTCCGCCATGCCTTTCGCGTGATTCTGCGTACCACGCGTGCCTAGTCCTTCATCAAGAGATAGCTAACAGTTTATTCCTCCATTGCATCATCTGGTACGGTGGAAGTTTTGAGAGTTGCCCCCATGGCATCGACGAGCTTCGTTGTCCTTCCTCTTACTACCCTCCTCATCTCACCATGCAATATTTTTCCAGCTTCACACGCCACCCTGAAAACCTCCTCAAATCTATCCACATGCAACCTAGTCTCCATGCTCACAAGCGTCACCTTCCCCGTCCGTGGCATGACAGCGACCGTCACATGCGGCACATCGTTCTCCTCGAGAGTCGTAAGGTCCAGGAGTGGCGAGGTGATGTGAACGCCACCGGTAACAGCGCAGACAAAATCGAGTAATGGAACGCCTGCGTTGGAAAGCGCGAGGGTCGTGGCGTTTATACAGGCCTGCAGGGCCCCGCCGTCTTGTTGGAGTATGTGTACGAAGATGTCGATTTGTGAGCGAGGGTAGAGGGAGGTTTGGATGACGGGTTCGAATGTCGATTTGATCATTGCTCCAATTTCGAGTATGCGTCTATATAAAAGTCAATGAATGGGCTACGGCGAATATCATACGTACGACTGCGAAATGGTATATAGTCGAGATACGACACAAGCGAAACACAGACACTGACGGACGCACGAATGGTATGGAAACTCACTTGTCTCCCCTGTTCCTCTTTCTCCGCTCACCGGTGCTGAATGGTGCGATACTGACTTCGACATTTATGTTGGCGCGATCGTGCATCGTTTGCGATCGCATTTTTGCCTCTCGGGGCCCAAAGACGGAGACGAGGACCTGTGTAAGGCCGTGTGCAACCATAGCTGAGCCATCTGCGCCCGCCTGGTCGGTCATGTCAAAAGTCATCTCTCTGAGCTCGTATTGTTTCCGACCGTCAGAACGAAAGCCACCATCGTTCAGGATTTCAATGCGCGAGCTCTAGATAGGGTTTGAAGATTAGTGGCGAAAGAAACGAATAGAAAGGAAGGGGTGCCATACCATCGTGGAAGATTATTGTAAGGTGGCCCAAAGCAGATGGCAAAGACCGAAATGGGGGCGGGCGTGAGCGCGATACGGACTGCGGTGCTTGCTGATGGATGACTGGGTTCAAGATAGAAATAAATAGTCGTACATGACTAGGGAAGCTCCACATGCTGTGGCACTGACCTTGCTTGAGAGACCTCTTCTAACAATGGCATATCTACCAATGCTCAATATTTCTGTGCACTTTATTTGCAGTAGCAACTTTGTTAGCGATACTGCAGAGTATTCAGTACCGGAAATTACTTCTGGATGGTCACGCAAGAGTCGCGCCACAGATGGTTCTTCTTGGCTCGCAAACTCGTATTCAACTCGTATTAGAGGCAGCCTTTAAATCTGCACAATACATCCACGTTCCGATGGCCACTAGGATGTCAGGTTTCTTGCTTCGCTGACCGCAGCAGCGCCTCGAAGCGTACGTAGGCCTCAGGAGAAGCATCGGCTTGATTCATTGTGGCGTCGATAGCCCTTCAGGCCTGAGCGCGTTGCGCAGATATCGAGCATACTTTCGCGAAACATGCTGGGCATGTACAAAAACTGTATATCCAGGGCAAATCGAAATTGCTCCGTCCTGATGATGGTAATCAAGTACGCGATTGCATTGAGTGAGGGGTGCCACAGAAATGTGAGAAAAGCTTACGCAAACTGTTTGGCTTTGTGTGCGAAAAAGTCGCTCAGCCACAATTACCGGGGTGGGAGAGACCTTGCAAGCAAGGTAACATTGACTGCGATGGCTCTCGGCTTATCGTCCCTCTTGCTTTCCCCCATCTCGAGCGTCAAACCTGTCCCCATAATACCCTCTGTGCTCTCTCTGTCTTTTCTTGGGACTCGGAAACTATGTCGGCCGTAATTCTTCCCCGCTCGATTCTCGATACGGATCTCTATAAGGTCACAACTTCCTATTTCTTGGTGGCCTGGATTGAGCTTGACATGGACTGTCTGCATTCGACAGTTGACCATGCAATATGCTGTGATGAAGCATTTCCCGAACACCCAATCGACTTACCGCTTCACCCATCGTTCCAAAGACGTTCCTTTTTCCCGAACCTGTGCCGATGAATTCGCACGATCCGTGGCCCGTGAGTTCCTTTTCTCCGTGTATCTCATTCTTCACTAAATTGATCATACATTATTTGTTCCTATGTCATTTGCGGCAATGTTGCGGACATGTTCGTATTTTCCATGAAAGACTTTGACCGGCTGGTCCTGACGCAAGAAGAGCGGGATTGGCTGAGGAAGACTTGCCCCTATTTCTCCGAAGAGTACCTCGAATACCTCTCCAACTACCGGTTCGACCCGTCCCAGGTGCACATTAAGTTCATAGTGGAGAGGACTGAGGGGGATGAAGAGTATGGTAATATAGACATCGAAGCTGTCGGTCCGTGGATCGAGGCGATATTTTGGGAGGTGCCGCTCATGTCCACGCTGAGCGAGATTTACTTCACGACTGTCGATACGGACTGGAACCTGGACGGACAACGCGGTATGTTTCTTTTCTGCGTATTCCACTGGAGCTTGTACTTGAAATCTCCGATGTGCCGACTTAGACGCTGATGGTGATTGTTGTGGCGCGGTGCAGAGTTGGCATACGACAAGGCCAAGCGGTTGCTTGAAGCTGGGTGTGTGTTCAGCGAGTTTGGGACGAGAAGACGGAGATCGTTCGATGTCCAGAACCTTGTGGTCGAGGAAATTCTACGGGCTGAGCGCGATCTGCCAAATGCGAAGGGCAAAGCGTCCGGGACCAGCAATGTATGTCTAGCATGTCTTCGATCAATCCGCTACCTAATATGATCTCCATCTTTGCTAGGTATATCTAGCCATGAAGCATAATACGAGCCCGATGGGAACCATCGCACAGTGCGTGATCTACTCTTCGTCATCGTACTCCATGTTCTAAACAAATACCCTATCGGCTTCCACAGTGAATGGTTTATGGGCGTATGTCTCGTTTCTGTATAGCTGCACAAGCATGAAAAGCGTCTGATAACTGTCTACCAGGTCGGTGCCATGAAAGGCTATGAACATGCCAATGCTTTGGCCATGGAACTCTGGGAGTCTGTCTACCCCAATGCTCTCCTCCTCGCCCTCACGGATACCTTCTCCACAAAAGCATTCTTCCAAGTACGTGATTCAGCCTTCCACCACAATACCGCCCGTGTGGCGGCTGCTCGGCCCCCTTTTCTCCAAGCTCATATCTTGACTGGCCCATTTAGGACTTTAAAGGAAATGTTGACCGTGCGAGGCACTGGAAGGGCCTGCGTCAAGATTCCGGAGATCCTTTCGCTTTTGCACCGGCCGCGAAGGAGGTCTACACGAGTATGGGAATCGATGTCAGCGAAAAGACGATCATCTACTCGGACGCGTTAGATCTGGAAAAAGCATTGAAGTTGAAAAAACAATGTGATGAAGTCGGGTTCATGCGTGAGTTTGTCTGAGCTGTCTATGTCTTTCCAGCTCCTTTTGCAGGACAGAACCGCATTCGAGCCTTGTACTGATACTAACGTCATTTTGTGTGGCCGGTGCTATGCATTAGCTTCGTTCGGAATTGGAACGTTCCTTACGAACGACTTTGCGAAGGCTTCGACAGGAGGAAAGGAGAAGTCAAAGGCTCTGAATATGGTCATCAAACTTGCCTCCATCGAAGGCAAGCCATGCGTGAAGATCAGCGATGATCTCATGAAGGTGCGTTCTCCCTCCTCTGGCTCGCTTTTCCTGTACTCGCTCTTTACAGATGGGGGTCTCCGTCATGGTCGCTGATCTCTCTGCGTGCAGAATACCGGGGATAAGGAGACGGTCCTCATGGTGAAGGATATTTTCGGCCTGCCGAAGTAGGGCTGTCGTGACCTCTGGGTGTGGGGTAACCGAGTTATACGTGGTTAGACGGTGCTGATAGACATGAAGACCAACTACGAGAAGAATGTAATTCCCAAAGGGCTTGTACCGGGGCCGCTTGTCGACGCCTTTTGACGGAGGAAGTCACCCGTCGTCAAGCTCAGCCTCGTATTGAAGCATACGGTTGTGGGTGACTGGACTCGGCCGTCACCAGTGGCGCCAGGCGCATTTACCCTCAGGGTCGGTGCATGAGGACTACGGACTGAAGGTGGCGTAAGATAGCATCGCATCCAGCAAAAGAGAAGAGTCGACGATTGACATATGCTCGGACTGAAGCTGCCAACCGATCACTGTACTTAGACTTGCCGGCCCTTTGATCAAGACTTACGACCTGTTACGGTTGTATTTCCCTCTTCGCTTGCTCTGTGAGATTCTACTATCGCCTACTTTGACCTTTCCTGTCACTGCTAACCGGAAACCTGCGCAGATTCCAGCATGTTTGTCAGTCGAAGTATTGAGCATATCGCCGTTGTTCACCGTGACAAGAGCGTTCGTGGGTCTGGATTCGACCCAAGAGGGAGACCTCGACGTATGCTGACGCCTCCCATGCCTTCTTATGAGCGCTCTGACCTCGATACGGAAAGACTGAGGACATATCCGTCTATATTCTCTGGTGGAAGACCATCACAATGCAAAAGGCACTCCGCACTCTGTCTTTAGGGCGGCCGGAGAGCTGTACTTCACTTCATTTCTGGGTCTTCCTTCTGAATTGCACGTATTGAGCCACAGGGACTCCCGCATCAGATCCTCTCGCCATGGCACTGAGCTCCTTATTAAAGTCTTGCGTACGCCCCACCCCACCTCTTCTCATGCACGTCAACACCCTCGCCTCTCTGCCTTACAGACATGGTCGACTGGAATTCTGAGGCTGAACTTGTGCGAGATGCTGGTGAGTGAGTTCGTCATAAAGTTTGATTTGGGTGAGGGGGCTGACCGTGACTGGCAGCTGCATTCAAGAACCTCTTGCATGTTCTGCTTGGACTCTATATGTTGGTAGCCTGATTTGTGTCTGCCTTGGGGTTACTCGCTCATGTCGATGTACAGCTGGGAGGTCGGTTTGTCGTTGGACTTTGACCTTCAGTTTATACTGCGGCGAAGGAAATTCTTGTGGCCCATGGTGAGTGTCGCATTGTCATGACGTCGGAGCTTTGGCGGAGACTCAACAAGCGCGCTAGGCATTCTATTTCATTGGCCGTTACTCGATGTTGCTAGCCCTCATTGGAGTGTTTGTATCCTTTTTTCTGCTCGTTGGAAGACTTTGTGCTGATCGAGAGCGTGCACGTAGCGTGATTGGGTTGAACGTCACTTCGTGAGCATTTGCTGGCTCGGGCCTTGTTATGTTGCCATTCAAACTCACTCCATACATTCAGAGAGATCAACTGCCAGGGTCTCTTTATCTTTAGCCAGGTACGAAGCATCGATGTATTGCCCGTCCTTCCGACCAACACGGTCTGACGGGTTCTGCCCAGTTATTCGGGAACATTGCCATAGCCATGTCTGCCATCAACCTTTCTGTTCGCACGTATGTCACGGTATTGTTCTCCTCTAACGAAGTCCATTCACTGAACCACCTTTGTCCTTCCAATCTACCTAGGATGGCCATCTGGGGGAGAGCTCGTCATATCGTCATTCCGCTCACCCTCGCTCTCATAGGCTTCGCCGGCGTGCTCCTCCGTGGCATCATCGGCGTGCGAGACATCTGGGTTCCTGCGTCTGGATGTACGATCGTCAGCTCACAGCAGACCATCCTGCGCACGATCTATATCTATGGCATGTCACTCGACATGATCGTGTTGTTGTTGACCCTGTATCGGCTTGGCTTCGGGAAGGAGAGGTCGCCGCTTATGAAGTTGTTATTGGCGGATGGGCTGGTTTATTTCATTATCACGTTTGTTTCTCCATTTTGTTCTGATATCGTTATCTTCGTAAGCGGACGACTGACCGCTCGTCATGAACAGGTTCACCTCGAATATGATCGCTGTTGTGTGTATCAGTTTTCAGTTCGAGATCAGGTGTGGCGCATACTGACGATAGACGTCCTACTGTAGATTTTCATGATGCTCAATCTCAATGCTGTGATGGCCGTGATTGCTGATGTACCTGCCGTCGTAGTACGTTGCTTCTTGTCGCATCGCAATGCATTTATTGCTGCTCAATCAACGTTTTCTTTGAATACTGACAAATATTACCCCTTCGTCGACTTTAGATATGTACGGTGAGTACCCCACACGAGACGTTAGACGTCGGCACACTTGCCCAACCTGATGTTCTGCAATAGATCGCCTCCTGTCGCGCCGTTCGTCGCCTAATGAATCACGCCTGGGAATCCAGACGAAGTAACGATATGTTCACGTACGTTTGTTTTTCCTCGCTCGCGACTGGATCTTGACGATATCTTCCCGTTCTTCTAATTTGGAATTCGTAGGCCTGCCAATAACACGAACACAATGGTGTTCGATCGAAGACGGTTTACACGTACGAACGTCACCACTGGCAAGGAACAGGAAGTCCACACCCAGGTTCGTCTTATCTTCCACTCCAATTTGCAGCAGTGTCCTTTGGGTTTAATCGAAGCCTTCCACTTCGTTATGATGGTTAGATGGACAACTACTCCCATACCCAGACCACTTCTGCCGGCGCAAAGTCAGAGCCTGGAGCGAATGACTCGTTCCGGGATTTGGAGGCTCAGACTGATTGTGACCCTTGAGAGGGTGCTACACATTGGCAGTATGCCGGAGCAGTGGGCCTGAGATGGCTTGAATTTGGGAGCTCGTAGGATTTTCCTTGGACTTGTTTGCTTTCTGCCGATGAGCCTCCCATTCGGTAGAATCCAATGTAACAAGATCTAGCCTCTGACTTATATATTCACTTCCGTCAACTCTTCGTAGCGTGTTTTCTTTATGATCTCAACGGACCAATTGCATCCTACGATTGCGCATCGTGATGCCTTGGAGGTGAGCGCGACTGATGTGGCGCATGGAGGAACAAGTGGCGTTGCAATTCAAATTGACCGAGTTGTCAAGAGCTTCCGATCCTAACACGAGCAAACAAAGTGACACATTCAAAGATGGCCACATGGCTCTGGACAGGGCGCGCCACAATAATCTGTCCCATGCATTCGTCTGACAGAAAATATTGCTAGTACTCTCATCACCGTGAAGTACTTCAACAATATTTCTAGGCAGCGAACTTCTTGTTGAAAACACCTTGAAAACACCTGATACCTACTAGAAGCCCAATGAAGAGCGTGTTTACATCCTATATAGTGATTGCAACCAAAATCATACGCCATTGATACTTGTGATAAACTGCTGGTGGCATACTACGAGAAGCTCAACAACACGACCTCCGTGTCAGATACGTCAACTCCTTCGCTGACCGACGCAGTAGTGACGTTCAAGCTGCCTGATACCTTCCCGTCCTTGGTTTCGTACGACTGGCCACCCCAAGTCAGGCCCGAGGTATCGCTTGCGGATCTGGTCGCATGATAATTCAGCGCATTCCACACCAGCAGTAAATCAGATAGATTTATACTCACGAGATCGCCAGCCTCTTCACGGTCATCTTCTCTGAACTAACACCATCTAGCCCAACATGAACAGATCCCCTCGAGCCGTCTCCAAGATATGCGTTCATATTGATCAGTATTGCTCGCTTTAGTGAACCGTTGTCGAAGAAGGCATATCCCGTAACGTCCGATTCATTGATGTCGAGTTCGACTATCTTACTGGACACAGAGGACCCACTGGCTTCCGCAATGATGATAGCAGCGTAGTATGCGGGTTGAATGTGAGGGGCGAGAGGTTCCGCTAGTGGAGTGCCATCCTCGATGGAGCGATTGAGGGTAGCGGGTTGGATCTACAATGTCGCAGCCAAGAAAGAAGATCGAATAATGGGTCAATAAAAGAAATCCACAGCTAACAGCGCCCTAGCCACAGAACAGAGAAAGGTGACGTACAAAATTATACTTGTATCCAATCCCCTCATGAAAGTAGACCCTATCGATACCCAGTGTCGCGGAAAAGAGCGTGTAGTCCAGAGCCCAAAGGGCGGCGCCTGCTGTATCACTGACGCCGGCTGCTCCATGGCAATAGTATGAGTTAGTCTCGCCTAAGACGTATGTGAGGCCCTTCGCATGGGCGGCTGAGATGCCGGAGGTGAATTGTGTGAGGTTTGATCGGATGGAGGGTTTGTCCATCAAGCCGGGGAGAGTGCCAGCCTCACAGGAGCCACTATAGTGGTGCTGCGAGATACTGGTATCAAGCGTATTTAGGGAGGGGCGTTTTTCATAAATGTACGAGAAGCAATAAGGTAAGACTCACGTTGCGATTTGAGAGCCTGGTTCGGAATCGAGGATGTCATCGTCTATGACTGCTTCTGGTGTCCAAATGTCGGAGTCAGCGAAGGCAGCACCCCAGAAGGGCACTTTTGACCCAAAGGTTGAGCTGACGGTAGTAGAGACGTTGGTGGCGAACGACGTCCATCTGAGAAATACGACGTCAAATAAGTGGACGAGTGACTTTAGCCTAAATCATCATTCGAGAAGCAGAGAGTCCTTACACTTTTACATACTCCTCCACGGTCCAGTCGCTGAAGGGATACAAGTTCGCTTCGTTTCCAATCTCGATAGCCTCCAGGTTTACTCCGGCGGTTTTGAATGTCGACGACGAAAATGCTTCGGCGATGGCGTTGGCCTCGAGACTGGCAGCCGTCATGTTGAGATCTCTGAGATTCACTCCCCATATAACTTCGGTTCCTATCATATTTTGACAGTGAGGATATAAACCAAGAAGATAATCGAGTAGAAGGCGAAGGCGTACCGGATGGCAGGAATGAGGCAAGCTGGTAATAACCTTCTCCGACAGTGATATTTGAAGCTTCCTGGTAAGGAACAGCTGTGGTCGGGTCCGGGAAGATAGCTTCAGAATACTTGGTGGCATCAGAGTCAATATAAGATCCATAAAACTATCTCCATAGTGGACCATACCATCACATCTGGACTAAAATTGGTGTGATCCTCAGAATCAGCCCCTATCCTTAACCTGGTTGCTGCTCCCGACAAGCCTTTGATGTTGTTCAAAACGTTATAGAAGTAGTCATTCCGCGAGCCGGCACCTATCCAATCCACCCATCTGTCCTGTTCGATAGAGAAACCTAAGAGAGACGGAGAAAGCGTGTGCGCATCGGAAGGCGGTGATGACGGGATAGAGATGTTGACGCCTGAAACTGCTCGTTGGAAAGATAGCAAGAGAAGTGGCGACAGGAGAGCAGATACCATCTCGTCGAACCTAGGCCAGATACCAGACGAGAAAACCAACTGAATCGCCTGTGGAATTGGGGCCATGGCTGTCCGTTTTTATAGATTCAGAGGTACACCGTACAATGGGTCGTCGAATGGAAGATGGAGTCAACGTGACTGTCGTCGAGGATGAGGATCGTATGGTTACGACGCGCAAGAAGATGCACCCAGACAATATATAACTTCAAGCGGCTCAGGTGGTTAGACGAACGATCTCGAGGTTGAGAATGTTATGAGAAGAACGATCTGCTGCACGTCATGCGCGTTGTTGGGCTCGACAAAACACGAGGAGTTGTGAGAACCAGTCGGGCCGAAGATAACTCGGTATAGCACCTGAGCAGGCGCCCACATTCATCAAAGGTCAGGACAGGGCGCATGACATTGGAAAGAAATCTAAACAGGGACCCATTGAAATGTTGCTGGTAGTGTTTCTGAGCAAGCTGGTGCCACACCGAATGCAGACGTCGAGGGAATCTGTGGCGCCGACATAACCGTGGCAAAGTCTTCCTGTTGAGATCCTTCTCCTGCGCGGTCACCTATTCATCTCAGGCGCATTCTCCGATTCGATACGACAGGAACGTATCGTCCTAGAAACTCGTATCCGTCGTGCTCATTTGAACGGGAACTTTGGCTACGCGGCGTCCCGTTTGCTTCTTGCTTCAATACTGTCATTACCAACAACCAAAGGCCGCGATAGGCTCATACCTCATACTCATCTCCTGCCGGCACCCTACCGATATCGATTATGCCTGGTCCTGGCCAGAAGAAAAAAACTAAGCCTAAACGCTCCGGGCCTGCGAACGCCAATGGAGGCACGTCATCCTCGTCCTCTGGTACTGGCACTTTCGTCCCCTCAGACGACTTCTTGACCAACGTCAAGGATGCGGAGGGATGGGCTCAGGTCGCTGGGGCTCTCTGTACAGGCCTAAACTTGCCTGGTGAGCATACATTTTTTCAATCGCTCATCCCACCATTGTCGACGAAGTTGTATTGCCCTTTCCTCATCAACGCTGTCATCACGACTGCCTCGGGAGTGTAAGGTCACGGATTTCAGATGCAGCGATGTAGACGTTCTCGTCAACGTGTCAACAATTGTTTAAAAGTTATATATGTGTCGTCTAGATAATGCGGCACGAATTCTGTAGCATGCACGTAAGGAGTGCAAGAAATCATGGCTGCTCGGATGTTATTAACCTTTCAGTTTCCTCTATGACAATACATGATAGCTAACCCTGAATATCAGACCTCGACACTCGTTCTGGGCTGCGGAAAGTTCATAAAGATTTCGACAAGTTCTCCAGAAAGCTTACAGAGATCTATGACTATTCGCGGCACTCATCGACTCGCAATGATCTGCTTGCTGGCGGAGTCATCGCCGTTTACTCCAAGATGTCTCGAGACGCTATTCTCCGAGATAAGATCTACACGCAGGCTGGTATGAGATTTATCACTGTACAATTTTCAGCATTTTCAAAGCCTCATTGGACGAATATAGGGTTTTTATCAATGGCTATACCTTTGCTCTTCAATACCAATTGTATTCATGTCGTTCTCTACGCCTTCGATATCGCCACACGCCATCATGGGACCGACATCAAAACCAGAATTGCGAACCAGACACCCGAGATCCTCCAATACCTCGAGGGCAATCCAGACGACTTGAAGGCCGCTGAACTCGCCGTCGGCGTCATCTCTCGCTCCGTTGGATGGATTCTGAACGACCTATGCCATGATCACGCACATGACACTGATATTCCCCGAATCCTACGCACATTCGTTAGGCTCCTTCGCCATCCAAAGGCATCCCCAGCTATGTTAGACCACGCGCTCTATCTCTTTTCACGTGCCACCGAGCGTTGCCCGAGTGCATTTCACGAAAACTCATCCGCTCTCGACCTCCTCATCGCGTCACTTCGGCACTCAGAAGTCCGCAGTCGAGCGTTCGGACTCGCAGGTGCCCTCCGACTGTACTCCAAGAATTACGAAGTCGACGAGACGAGCGCGGACCTGGCCAAGATGATGTCGGCTATGAACGGTGACTGGCCCAGCAGTATCGGAGACATCATCTACGACTATCCTATTCACAGCCTCGAGAGCGTTGCGTTGTTTAAGACGACAGCCGAGTTCCAAAGTGCGATGATGAAGGCCGTTCAGGGCCATAACTTCCTGAGCTTGGGTCTCAAGCTCGCCGATCTCATCCTTTTGACCGAATACTCAATTCCGAATGGCTACATGGGTTCCCGAGACCCGGTCACAGGAAGGGAATTGAACGACAACGGAGGTCTCCCCTTCGCCACGTACCCAGACTCCCTCCCTTTGTGCGCCAGAACCGTGCGCACTCACGCTCGCACAGCTCCTGAGGGCCAAAGGCGCGCTCTCGAAGACAAGGCGGACATATTGGACCTCAAGTATCATCTCATGAAGAGACAGATGCCTCAAGCCCACTCGCTTGCTCGGAAAGCAATGGAACGATCGCCACGCGTCGGATATTGGTACTATGTCCTCACTCTTGGTACCGACATTCACGAAGGTCTGAGGGCGGCCAAGCAGGGGCTCATGTGTCCAAACCTGACGAACTACTTGAGGTTCATCCTCCTGTATCGCGCGTCTGAGCATGCGACCGCCTTGGCGATCAAGAAGTTGGAGGAAGCCTGTGAGAGCGGTAAAGCATTGGACGAGGGATTCGCATTTGCGATGTGCGCGTATGAGGACACGTCCACATTCCTGAGGGAGGCACCGCCGGATGCGAGACGAATGAAGAGTGCGATCTATATCAATTCAATGATGATGTTCGTCGTCAAAGGCAAGGATCTGACTCCATCGGAGCTGAAGGTGAGTTTCTGCCTTGAACCCTCTTTTCAGACGTGAGTTCTGATAATGTCAAACCTACATCATCATAGGAGTCAAACGAAAAAATGAGAATTGCCGACGAAATTGCTCGACATCTCTCTTGGCCTATGAGGCTGACACAGATGCGCCAGGCGCGTCAAATCATCATGGATCACCTTGAACCAGCTTGGCAAGAATGGGGCGACGTTATCGTCCGTCTTTCGGCGGCGGCGCAAACCGGTGCGGAAGCTCACCAGGTCAGCCCTGACAAGGCAGAGGAAGACTTCGTTGCTTGGCTTGAGCGAGAGGTGGAAGATCCTGACGTGAGGGGTAACGCGCCGCAGGATTATTCTGACCAATCCAGCGCACGGAGCGTCGACATGAAAGCAGTGGAGCTGTACAGATGTTCTTGGTGTAGGAATCCGAGCGCGGTACTGAAGAGGTGTAAGGGATGTGGAGGAACGACGTGCGTCTCGGACTACTATTCTCCCTGACAGAAGAGGACTGACTTTCTTATGCAGATATTGTGGCGCTTCGTGCCAGATGGAGCACTGGAAAACCGGACACAAGAAAGTCTGCAAAAAGGCAGTAGTCACGGGCGGGGCCGCCGACCAAGCTTCCTGAATATCAACGACGTTTCGTGAGATGTTGTATTTTTTTCTCATGTATTTCGCTCCCTATCAGTTTCTTGAACGACGTTTCGCGCGATGTTGTAGTGCTCCATGTATCTTGGTACCATCTGCTATACCACTTCTTGATCTCACTAGCTTGTTCTTTCTTTGCCAGAGAACCGACCTCCACATTCGACAAGGACCCGTAGACCGGTGAGGACCACATTTCAATTTTGCTGGACCTTGGCAAAGACTGCGAGGTCCAATTGCAGCCTTGTCATTGGTGGCTGACTAATACTCACCCTACCGATCCTTGACGATCACGTCGTCAAGAACTTCCGCGGTGCTGTGATTGTTCGTGTCACCCGGAACGGTACACTTCCAGCAGTAAGTACGAGACTTCGTCCATTGAAATACGTAGACATATCATCCACTCGATAAACATCCTTGGAGCTCTGGTACAGACCTTGGCATTGTGTTGACATTGACGATCCCGGCGGCGCGGCAATGTTCAGTCCGGCGCAGTTGTTTGTTATGCCTCCGCCACAGTCCGCCACGGGACCTCCCTCCTCCGATATGCTGTGTATCCATCTCTCTACAGATGTGCTTTGAGCCATACAGGGTTTTGCATATGAAACCGGAATGTTGCGCTCAGAAAAATCCTGGGCGCCTGAGCCAAACAAAGCCGTAAATGGTAACCGCTCTCGGCGAGGTTTCGGCAGTGGCGCGCCTTCTCATCTCTGCACCCCACATCGTCGTTCATAGACCGCTTCGCACGCTCCCTAGTGCTCGAACCCACCTCATACGGGACCACGCTCTCCAACACATACCTTACTCATTGTATTCTCGTGAATTTACTCTCGCAATCATCAATACGCTCGGTATTCATTCCAGGAGTCCCCAACAAATTTGCACCGACATCAACACCAACTCTTTGCTCTGGCAGTCGCAAGCATTCGCGCTCCATCTCGCGCTCTCGGCCACGCTATCTATGCGATAAGGAAATGGGATCCTGAACGTAGGTATCGGCATAACTGGAGTGATGTTTTTGTAAGAAGCTAGTTTGGGAAGCTTGATCATCTGCGTGTGTCGGAAGGGTGCGTCTTTTCTAAGTCTCTTCTCACCATTAGGCTTATTGTGGTCTGACCTGATCGCACCTCCTCTTCTCCTCGCACTCGGGACACTACCTTGTCCGTGTCCTGAACTGTCCTACAAACGACAGAGCATCAAGTTCCTTGGGCAAAGCGTCAGGAGTGAGTAACCGGTGGTTGTTCGGTTCGTTTTCAATTGCGTGTGCCAGATTTTGCTTCAGTGGAATCAGCTCGGAAACCCGTTGCTCCAGGCCATCGTGCTCGCGATGCCCTCCCGTCCCGCTATGTCTCCGAGACATGGGCCCTCTGCTTTGTAATGTCTCAGTACTTTTACAGGGTGGCTAGTTCATGCTTTCACGAGTTTCGAGACCAGATGCATACATAGAATGGTTGAGTAGGATGATCGGGGGTGTCCTGTGATGCCGGTAGAGGTCGAGACTCGAGTCGTGTAGAATGACAGCTCAGGCTGGACGTCTGCGTCTTCGACGTTGAGGGTTGACGTTGTGGTAATATCCCGTCGAGGTCTTTTATACCGGGTATTTTGTACTTGGCTGCTATGTACTTCAGTAGTCACGGATATGATCACAAATTCACCACTGCTGAGCACGTCTCAGTGGGATGAAGAGTTTGCAATATCGAAACGCTCGAGAACAGGGGCGTACATCCCTGGTGCCACACGAATCCTGCCGAGGAATGCCGTGAAAGGCTGCCGTTTATGGCTTTGTTTGGTTCAGGCACAAAGGATTTTTCTGCGCGCGACATTCCGGTTTCTTATGCAAAACCCTGTAGCATAGAATCACACGGGTTCCTTAGCAGCGTTCTCACCATCGTCCTTAAGGTTGCCCGGTGCATTCAAGCACCGATGACGAAAAGGTATTACGTGGCGTAATTGCCGTCGGTCCCCATACCGGTTTATATGTTCGTCTGCACTGTACTCGACGACTTCAACAATAGATCTATCCTGTCGCTTCTGCAATGTCTCTGACCGACTCTCCTGTATTGCTTGCTGGCTCTTCGCTTCTGTTGTTGGCATTCGTCAAGATTGCGACAACGTACATCAATCGACGCTCGCTAAAGAATCTCCAAGGTCCAGCTTCTCCGTCTTTCTGGATTGGTCAGTTTGCTTTTTTGATTGGCCATTTCATGATTTCGGCTGAATATTCCTTTGTTTGGACCCGGGCCTCTAGGGAATGAATTTGATATACGCTTTCAGAAGGAAGTTGGGGATTGTGAGTTCAAATGGATGCACGACTACGGGACGGCATGGCGGACAGCGGGCTGCATGGGCGTGAGTTGAACATCTTTGACAGCTGAAAGTGGCGGGATTGTGTTGCTGATGTGTATTGTCCGACTTGCGCACTTACAGGAAGATTACTTGATGCTTGCTGACCCCAAGGCCTGTCAATATATTTTGCACACATCGGGCTACCATTATCCGAAGAGGAAGGACAACAGAGCAATTTCGAGATTCGTCACTGGAGATGGGATCATTTGGGTGGAGGGTAAGTTATATTCAAGTCGGTTTCTGGTCATAGCATGGTCCTGATTTTGCATTTGCGTTATTCAGGGGCGGACCACCAACGTCATCGAAAAGTCATGAACCCAGCATTCGGCGGTGCCCAGCTGAAGAGTTTCGTCTCTCTGTTCCACCGAACGGCAACAAAGGTAGTTTGACCATATCCGAGAGATAGAGCATCACCACTGACTAGACTTGTACTTGCAGCTCGCACAGAAATGGAGAGACGACGTGATTGCGAACGACGAGTCGGGTGCTCCAGTCATCAACGTCACCAAATGGTTGTCACATATGACACTGGATGTTATCGGCGAAGCTGGGTTTGGGTATCAGTTTAATTCTCTCGATGACTCGAAGAGTGCACTGTCGGCGGTCTACAAGAATCTCTTGTAAGTCTCTGGCAAATACTGCTCCACCTTACACCAATTGATCTCTCATTCATTAGCATCGATTCAACTCTCTACCCTTCCAAAGCCGATCTGGTTTTCAAGTCTATGTGGCGCTATCTCCCGGACGACGTTGTCAATTTGTTCCGCTACGTCCCTATGAAGGAATATAGTCGTTTCCGCCACTATCTCGATTTCATCCGTGGCGTTGGCCGGGACTTCATCGCTAATAACGAGGCGGGAGATGGCAAAGACATTCTCAGCATCCTTCTCCGTGCCAACAAGTCAGAGAACGCGAAGACACGGCTCTCGGATATCGAAACTGTCGACCAAATCTCGTGAGCCTACACAACCATTTTCTGTCCTGCCGCCTCATCCGTCTGACGATTGTTGGTATCAGCTCATTATTGCTCGCCGGTCACGACACGACCGCTTTCTCGGTGACATGGCTCCTGTGGGAGCTCGCAAAGCACCCGGAGTACCAGGCGAAAGTGCGTGAAGAGCTTGCCGCCGTACGTGCGGATGTGACTGCTCGAGGGGACACCGAGTTCAGCGTGGCGGACCTCGATGGGTTGTCGATGTTGATTGCGGTTATGAAGGTGCGTCATTCTATCGACAACCTGACCTTTGAATATAATCTAATCTGAGGGCGGCTTCCAGGAGGGACTGCGTTTACACCCTATAGTGTGGGGTACTGGACGTTACGCAGAACGCGACGATGTTATTCCTCTGGCATACCCCATCACTACCAAGACAGGGGAACGCATCTCTTCCATCCCTATCAGCAAAGGACAGATCATTCAGATCTCTATCGCCTCCTACAACCGGTAAGGGTCGCCCTTACGTTGTCATCGGCTAGTTCGTTCTGACGCACATATCTTCGCAGGCTTCCGGAAGTATGGGGAGAGGATGTGGACAGTTTCAGGCCGGAACGCTTCCTTGAGAAGGAGAACGACTCGATTTCACTCGGCGTGTATGCGAACTTATTAAACTTTTGTGAGTCTCGAATGCTTCAGCTTATACAAGTAAGATCCTTCGTACTCATATATTCGTCTTCTACTAGCTGGTGGTCTCCGTGGATGCATCGGTTGGAGGTTCTCGTGAGTCATTCATCTTTCCACCAATATCATAAACCACAAAACTAAAACTACACAATCATCTCAACAGTGTTCTCGAGATGCAGACCATGCTCGCCACCCTTCTGGAGAACTTCGAGTTCGCCCTTCCCGACAACGCCGACGAGATGAAGATCCTGCGAAAACCGACGGGTATGATGGTGCCCATGGTGGACGGCCAACCGAGGCTTGGCGCTTGGATGGGATTGAAGGTTACGAACGTTGCGCAGTAGCGGATGGTCTCCTTTTTTCTTTCTTTCATTCGATACCTATCTACTCATCGGACTAGTACTTAGCTTTTTTCTGCGGATCTTGTTTTACATATGCCTAATCTTCTGGGGATTCCCCTAAACTTTGAAGCAATTCGGACATTGGCCTGCGCATGGCAGCTACTGTATACCTATCAGTTGTCTTGGACGAATACCCTTCTTGGACGCAATTATAAGCTGCTTCAACGTTGGCAACAGTCGCAAAGAGGATATTCCGGGGGGCAGTTTTCATATTCCATAACTATGACTCTAGCTCTGCGACAGGTTGAGGTTTGGAGTTGAATGAATCGGTAACGTATTTTGATCGCAGAGCGGGGTTGATCAGTATTGGGTATGCATTAAAGCGGACAGCAAGAGCATTCAGCTAAGACAACAAGAAAATAACGAGGAGGTAGATGGTCCATATATCGTCATTTCAAGAAAATGAGCAGAAAAGCGAGGAAGGGAAGAGGAATGCGGGCTTTGGTTCAAAGCGAGACGGGTCCCAAGTTTGGGTTTGAGTTTTCACCGACGGCTGTGGTTCAGTTCCGGGTCGACGTACTTCATCTTGCCTCTCCCTAACGGACAACAAAGACAGAACGTTAGCCCCGGGCGAAACACAGAGAAAGCGCGATCACGTACCCTTGAACCTAACACCTCCACCGGCATTCGCTTCCCTCTCAGCATCCTCCTTCGCCCTCCTCGCGATCCTCTCCAACTCCCTCTTCCGCGCCGCCTCTATCCTCTCCTTCTCCTCCCTCTCCAACCTCGCATCATACTCCTCCTCCGTCTCCTTCCTCTCACCCCCTTCACCGACGACCTCGTCCTTCTTGCCGTCAGCATCCGTACGACCACGTTCTTTCTCCTTCCGAAGCTTGCGCTTGGCCTTACGTTCACGCTTGCGCCGTTTGCGCTCTCGCTCGTCTTCGTCTTCGGAGTCTGCGGGTGAGCGGGATCTGGAACGAGAATCGGAACGGTGTCGGCGCTTGGATTTGCGATGTTTACGATCACGGTCTGAATCTTCATCGGAGTCGGATTCGGCTGCGCTTTTCGACTTGTCTATTCGGGATGGTGTCGGCGGATCATCAATGACGAGGAAGTGTAGAATTGGCGGAGAAACGGGGAGGAGATAGACGGGATGGTGTCAGTTTGGAGGGGGTAACGCGGGGTGGCGAGACACGGGGTGGTCCAACGCGAGGAGGGGATAAACGCGGTGGCGAGATGTTCGATCCGGAGAAACGTGGTGGGGACAAGCGCGGGGGAGACAGACGCGGGGGAGAAGGTGGTGGAGATGATGAGATCGAGGTAGGAGACCATGAAACGCCATCGGACGAGGAAGGGGAAAGGGAGGAGGACGCACGAGCTGCTGTTGGCGCAGGTGCTTCAGGCTTCTTTCGCAGCTCGAGCTCGCCACAGTTGGAGATTGTGACCGGCACGGTCGGACGGTCTTTTCCGTCGACGGGGACGTCGGCGACCTTGAGAATGACTTCGTCGTATCCGCGAATGACTTTGCCGAATACGACGTGTTTGCCTGAAAGGGTCAAGGATCAGAGGTTACGTAGATGGAGGGACAAAGGTGATGTCATACCGTTCAGATGTGGACAGTCACGTAGGGTAACAAAAAACTGGGACCCGTTGGTGTTAGGCCCCTTATTCGCCATGCAAAGAAGTCTGCGGAGGAGATGAGCCATATAATGACAGTGCTTATGATAAGCTGCATACCCTGGAGCATCTAGTGGGATAGAGAGGTCTTCGTCCGCAAACGGGCCACCGTAGATGGACTCTCCACCCATACCATTTCGCTTGGTGAAATCTAGGCGTCGAATTGTACGTCAGAATGGTCGAGGGGAGTATATGGAAGCAGGAGCCTACCTCCGCCTTGGATCATGAAGTCTGCGATCGAACGGTGAATAATACTATTCTTATAGTACAACGGGCGGTCTGACAGCGGGGAAACGCCCTTCTCGCCAGTGCATAATGCCCGGAAGCTAGAAGATACCATGTTATTAGTTTGGTCTTCTGATAGCAGAGAAGAATCCAGGTCATACTTTTCGGCCGTCTTGGGGACCACATCATTGTAGAGCTCAAAGATGACTCTAATAAACAGTTTCAACACGAAAACATAAGAAAGGTCCATTGTTGTACTCACCTTCCTACAGGCGCACCATCCACAGCAAAGTCGAAAAAGACTCTTGGTCGGACCATCGTTGCAGCCCTTCTGTCCGTTCGTGAACAAGTTCAAGTGGAGCGCGAACGCGAATGAAAGGAGTCACAGTCACAGCAATCACAGAGAGTCACCGCGTGACTGTCGTGACAACCGACGGACAAGGTCGGACAACCGGCGGCAACGGTCGATACGGAGGCCACATGGACGCCGGTTGCTGTGCCTTCGCGCGCAGAGTGGAAAGGTCGAATAAAGCGTCGCAGTTCATCCTCGTTCCTCCCATCGCCCTCGTGTACGCTAACGTGCTCGTCGTCGCCCACGTCGTCCCTCACGCCAGCCTGGCCGGATGTACTGCGTCTGAACTCATCTCCCTGTCCCTCCAATGCGCGAATTCAACACCGTCGTTCTCGGAGGTAAGCATACTTTCGCAACATATCCCTTCGCCACAATATTCTCACATCCTTGCAACACTTCGCTTAACGATGCCATCATCTAAGCCGGAGGTGTCGGCAAATCCGCTCTAACTGTGCGCTTTGTACGCGACGAGTTTGTAGAGAATTACGACCCCACTATTGAAGGTACGTCTCGTCCGCTGCTCTTCGTATTCCGTTCCGTACGACTCAGTCATTTTTTCTTAGAGGAATACCGTACCACTGTGAACGTCGATGGCATCCCCGTTGCTGTGAGTTACAATCATTCCCTCGACTCGATATTCTGGGCGCTCGACAGGAATATTGACTAAAAGTCTCATCGTTTAGCTCGAGATATTGGATACCGCAGGCGCAGAGCAATTTATCGCTTTGAATGAGACCTACATCAAGGTCAGCATTTGCCACTCTTCCATGCAACGCCTTCCTCCCGCTGACCCGCACATTTTCGTAGTCAGGTCGCGGCTTCATTCTCGTCTTCAGGTCAGTATATTCTTGAGTACGAAGCTGATGCTCAGACCCTGACATCGTTTTCGTCACCAGTTTGACGCAGGAGGCCAGCATCTCGGAAATCGACAGCTTACGACAACAAATATACAAGGTCAAGGGGGAGAACAGCGTGCGTCCCCCATCATTACCCTGCATCCCCATCTACGCCTGACCATCATCATCATTCCACAGAATGTCCCAATAGTCGTCGTCGGCACCAAACTCGACCTCGCGAACGAACGTGAAGTCCAGCGCTCAACAATCCAAGAACTCTCGACCCGGTGGGGTCTGCCCTTCTACGAGACCTCAGCCAAGAAGAACTGGCAGGTCAAGAATGTATTCGAGGATCTCATCAGGCAGATGATGAAGCGATATCCGCACGAGCCACCAAAGAAGAGAAAGAAATCCAGGGGCTTCTGCATCATTATGTGATTGTAACCCCGAAAGCCTCGGTTGGTGGCGGCGACACTTGCAGGTGTCGGCGGCGGCAGCTGCTAGCATCACAGCTGAACGTTCGTGCGGGAAACTTTCGGGCTACCTCCTGGTGAGATAAGGGCGTTATATTAGGCGGTGTGGTACATCTCACGAGAATCTTACGTGGCGTTGGATCATGATGATCACATATATTTTCTTGTTTGTTTTCTCTTTTCCCGATTTGCTTACTCGCGCTCTCTCTACACAGACTCTCGCTTCCTCTCTTTTTCTGCTCCCCAAACTATCTTATCATTCCGTACTCGCTCTCTCATACACTGAACCCGTTCTTTTTGTATTTGTCTCGGTCTTGCTTAAACCAGACCTTTTACGACCCACAACCTTACTTGCTCAACTATTATATACCACTATTCTGTCATGTCTTATGATTTCACCCTATCGATCCTTTGCATACAATTCAGAGGTGGGTTGAAGGCCTCTTCTGAAACAAAGGTCCAGGAGGGTTTCACGGTTGAAAGGATGTTTATCTGAATGTTGGCTTGGTGTGCGTTTCTTGTCGTGATGCTGGTTTTATTCGATTAGCTCGGACTTCAGGTTATTTTGCGCAGCTCTTGGCTTTTCTTCCTCGTCTTCGCCTTGGTTGCTTTTACTTGCTCACGGTATTGAAACTTACATACCTACACGGCTATATCGTACGCGTTTCTTCGCAATCATCACCCTAATACTACGCAGCAAAGCGTGCACCTCTTCTAGGCGAGCTTCTCGGTGCTCCGCATCACAGTAGTGCTATATCTTCCACGCTTATTTGCCTCGTGGAGGGTCCTCTGACTATGCATGCAGAGCGACGAGAGGCTCTGAGGTGAAGAAGGATGAAAGAATGTAGCGCCACACCGGCAATGACCGATGACTGGCGTAGTGTGGCGCATCCAGAATCTCTCCCTCGAGTTTCCAGTCGAGCAGGGCTTGAATCCCTTCTACCTGATGCTCTTTTTAGCCCCCTCCTGACTAGCCTGCATGACGCGCCTCCAGTTCGCTAATGATGATGCTAATAGATCGACCTGTATTGACTTACACTTCTGCTCGCTCTCAAACGTTGCTCAGACGCCGAACTCTTCCTCCGAGTCGCTAGTACTAAAGTGAATTGTTTAGAGGCAGTACTGCCTTACCTCTGTTCTTAGTTGCGTTTGCATTTGCAGATAGCCAGCTTCTTACTATCGCTCTTCTTTGCGATTGTATACTACTACTAGTAGTAGAAAACAAGCTCGGGCGCTTCTTGGGCTCTACACGCTCATCAAAGTTGGGGAGTTGTTTGGTTCGTTGGGCGGCCTGTTTCATGCTCATGGCCACACGGACTTACGTCAAGTACTCAGGTATATGGGGATTTTGGCGGGTTCGTGAGAGCCAGGGTGTATCAGTAGAGTGATTGATTCTGTCGATGCGGGTCGCTCCAATCACGACACCCACCGTGACATACACTGGCATATACCTCTCCCCGGTCTCGACCTGATTTTCCTCTTTTCTAGTATCGGACGCCTTATCAACCTTCATGGGCTTTACAGGACTGGTCTCGAATACGATTTTACCTATGCTGCCCACCGTTCCGAACCCAGCCCAGCGTCAACCGCTGACGTTCTCTGCGGCTGCACCCATCTTCGTTTGTTACATCGTTCAGGCTATACTCGTGCAGCTTCCACGAACTCTCGCATGGAAGTTAATCTTCCTTTCAGTTATGATTTGGTCTGTTTGGCATGCCGTTATAGAGTATAGTCTCTCAGCGCGGATAGCATATGTGGTGGGGAGGGAGGACGTCGAGAGGTTCCGTATTTTCGACTATTTGTTCGTGGTGAGTTGCTTTGCGTCAATATCGTGCAGCCAATACATAAGGGTTTTGTTCTTACGGCGACTACTTTTTTAGACTGCGGTACTCAGTATGCTCCTCCGAGTGATCGAGTGGACATTCGCCTCGAAACCTTACCGGCGACTCAGACTGGGCGTCAACTTGTCCGAACCGAGCTCACCAAGCGTTCGCCAACTATTTGAAGATGCAGTCGATCTCGCCGGCAATCAACGTGGCATCGGCTGGTCATGGTCGCGCGACCCGTTCCCAAAGGTCCCCCCTCGCTCCGTTGCAGACCTCATCCTATCCTTGCTCCTCAAACTGTCTATTACTGGCGTCGCGGTCTATTCCATCCAGTTCACATGCCCAGCAATCGACCCCAAAGGCGGCACCAGCATCTTCGACCCCTCTCTCCCTCCTTTCACCCGTTACATCTACGCAATCTGGACGACATTGATGACTGGCATATTCAGCTACGCCGTCATGGATAGTGCCTACCTCTTCGGCACTGTCACCTCATGCCTATTATTCGGAAAATCCACATCTGAATGGCCACCGTTCTCGGACCGTCCGTACTTATCGACCAGTCTCGCAGAGTTTTGGGGCAAAAGGTGGCACCAATCCCTCCGTCGCACAGTCGTCACCCTGGGCTCGAATCCTGTCCGTCAGATATTCGGCAAGCCGGGCGCGGTGATGGGTGCGTTCGTGCTGTCTGGGTTGATCCATGATTGGGGGCTGTATGGATTGGGAAGGAGGACTGACTCGTCGGAGCCTGTGTTTGAGGTAATTAGTCCGGTGGGGATGTTTTTCGTCATGATGGGCGTTGGTGTCGTGTTGGAGGGTGTTTGGGAGGAATGGCTTGGGTGGGGTAAGGTGGGGGGCTGGATGGGCTGGGTGTGGACTATGGGGTGGACAGTTTGGTGGGGGATGGGAGCTGTCGATGAGTGGGCAAGGAGGGGCTTGTCGGTGGCTCCTTTTCCTCAGAGAGATCGAGAGTAGTAGTCGTCCTACAGCCCAACCATGATCATTCTCCTTTTTGAAACATTCTGATAAGATCCACTATAAACACGAGCACGAGTAGGGACTCGCCAGAAAACTGGACTAGGCTGTATTTTGACCGACGCCCCATTGAAATATACATGTTACGGCTGCTGTGCGGAATCGAGTTGTACAAACATCCATGTCATCCTTCACCTTGACCGTTGTCACTGCTACAGGATAAATTTGAGAAGGGACGAGTTGCAAAAGGGACGGGAAATAGGCCATAGTTATATACATACATGATGTGCGATGGATAATATTTTACTCCCTTCTCTGCTACACGCTCCCCTGTATATATCGAACGCTGTACTTCCGAACCGTGAGATGGTCAAGAGATGAAGAGACATTGTGCTACCAAAATATGAGCGAGCAAAAGATTCAACAGAGCATCGAACGAAACAACAGTAGGACTGACAGCAACGATCAGGAATGCATAATATTCGCAACAAAAAACAGAGACCTGAGAAAAGGGCTACACATGGCATGCATGATGAGTGACAATCGAACTGACCGGCGAATGGTTCAAGGGGGAAGGCAGAGAGGGGACAATAGACATATAGAACGAAGATCAGAAGTATCATATGGCCAAACCCCTTATTTTGGGCGAAAAGGGATCGAAACGGCGTGTGCAGGTAAGGCAAGTGGGCCGCTGATGAACGTAAAGAGGAGGTAAACTTGTGCGCCGGAGCAGGCTGGAGGGGGAGAGGGTGACGAAAGGACAAGACAAGCAATGGACTGAAAGCGAAGCATAGAGACCAGAGGGAGGTGCAAGAAAATTTATAAAATAAACAATTGGAGGTCGACCATTAGGTTGTTGCCGATAAGGCATTCCCTAGTTCGAACGGACGTTGTACAACCGGCAAGTCAATAGTACGGATCTGCTCAGATCGTCACCTCCCCAAGCTGCTCCGTCACGTCCTTCACCTCCGGCCCCTGCTCACCCACCTCCTTCTGCGCAGCTCCTTCGTCTGCCTTGCTCGCCTTTTCTGCTGCCTCCTCTGCCTTCTTCGCACTGGCGGCCGCGGCGAAGCTGAACGTCGGCCTCACGTTCGCAGCAGCGGTGGCAACCCTCGGCGAAGGAGGGACAGAGACACTACCGCCTACGCTGGCCGGAGGTGACCTGGGCGTTTGGCCTCGTTCGACGCCGGTGCGGGAGGTGGTGCGGGACACGGGGGCGTGGGTGGCGCGTTCTTTGATCGCCTCACGATCTTTTTCGAGTCGTTCTGCGACAGCGTTCTCTCTTGCGGTCACATCAACGGGTCTGTGGAAAGAGAAAGTCACAACAGTCGGAATCGTCAGAATCGTCCCGATTGCAGGAAATTTATTGGGTCATACTTGGCAGCACCAAAGGGATTTGATCGATGGGCGGTGTTCGCAGTGGCATTCTGCATTTTGGGTGAAGAGAGCGGGGACGATGCGCCCGAAGGTGCGCCGGAACGGGGCAGGAGCTCGAGTTTCCGACGACCCATCTGGGGAGTAGGAGGGGTGGAGGAGTTGGCTTTCAGAAGTTATCAAAGTATCAGACGTGTACATGAAATCAATGAAGAAGATACGGTTTGACTCACGCGAAGTACTTTGTCGCGAAATCGGAGGCCTAGTAGCGCTCCTCCAGTTTTTCTCTTCGGCCACAGGCGACGGTTCTTTTGGTGGGCCCATACCTTCTCCTCTCCCCCTGAACCCTCCCCCGCCAAATCCGCCTCTCGAGCCTTCTTCACTATTTTTGCTCGGCTCGAACTTACCGCCAATAGTCCATTTATCCTCCTTATCGGCGTTACTTGGTCCATCACCGGCAAAGAATCCACGACGCTTCGGTGGGCCCTCAGCTTCTGGTGGTGGAGGTGGAGGACCTCTTCGGCTTGATCGCCACTGGTCGGCATTATCAGCGAGGGAGGGAGGTGGAGGCTCGCGAGGACCTGGACCAGTCGAGCTGTCGTAACGACGACGGGAGGAGTCCCGTGAATCCGGGAGATCAGGGAGGGGACCAGCACGACGCCAAGGCTCTGCGAATTTTGAGTCGTCTCCGCCGAAACCTCCTCCGCCGAAACCGCCACGTTCCTTGGCTGTAGAGACGGGAGTTAGTGGAAGACGCCATTATGAATGTAGGAGAAACTTACGTGGTTCGGCGACGCTTACACGAATCGTGCGGCCTGACAAAGACTGTGGAAACGGGCAGTCGAGTGGGTCTGATGAGCAAAGAGAGACGACGGGATGAATGTACGCACTGTGCCGGACTGAGCAAGAGCGCCCTTCAAATCGTCCAGTCCTTCAAACTCTACGTAACCGAAACCTTTGGGACGTTCATCCCTGTCCTTGATCACCTTCACATTTTTGACCTGAGGGACAGATACTCATTGAGCAATCGAAAAAGGATAGGATTTATGTGGAAATGCACCTGGAAGGATCCGAAGAAGCTTTCCAAATCTTGTTCAGTAAGATCGAAGGCAAGATTACCGATGAAGGCCGTGTAAGGAGGCTGGGTGGGCAACGGGATATCCTCGCGGGGCGGGAACATCTGCCTGTCTCCTCTGTCCGCTGTACACCGTGCTTTTAGCGATTAGGATAGGACTGTAAAGTTGATGGGAGCACGCACGCCTCGAGGAAAGGAAATCATCTCCTCTTCTTCCACCACGATCATCGTCAGCTCTTCCAGAGGCTGTGGTATTACCGTGTAAGGATCCTTGTCAGAACGATGAGGATAAAAAGAGCGCACGAGCAGTAGGCAGAGCGTCCATCTCATCTGCCCATGATCCCAGGGCTGTTAAAGCAGAAAGACTAAGAATATTGTTCGATGATGAATGGGCCTGCGAGCAGAGCACTCACTGGTATCCCCCAGGAACTCATTTAGAGACATTTTTTGCTGTTTTTTCGGCGCTGCATGATGGACATGTCAGTCTTCTATACATCTGTGACGAAAGAGAATGGTGCGGACCCATATTGGAGAGTGTGCGAGGGACAGTATCCGCTGCGAGAATTTAGCGTGGTGGATGTCTGGAAATTGGAGGGTTAAGGTTGCTTACGGTTATTTGGCTTGCTCTCTGTAGTCGGCCCTATGATCGCATCGCTTATAGCACTAGACACCCTTCACGCCCGCCATGATCCTGCTCGAAGTAAGCTTACCGTTTCCGCTGCTTTATCCAGATATTCACACTGTATCTCTTACAGTCTCACAACTACATTATTCAAAACACTCTTGCAGAGAAATTCATAAAGTGTGTCGAAACCGTCCTCTTGTGAGGCTGTCTCTAACCCCAGCGCAGACCGAGCTCGGTCGAAGTTCAGTTCGTAGACTACGATGGTGTTCGTTTCAATCTCAAAACGCTAGAACGGAAGACGGCTCTTCTTCTCTCCATGCACATCCGCTGCTGGGATGAGCTAGTGCAGTACGGTGCTATGGACATCCTCCAACGCGAGTACGGGTCTCTCCTCCAGGCACAGCCAGAGCCGGAGTATAGCGTCAGTCTCCAGATCGATCTCGAGCAGGCTCCCCCAGAAGGAGGTAAGCTGTCTCCCAAAACCATAGAATCACTTGACACCGGTCTTATTTGTGTCGCAGAGGAGAGGGAGAACTTCATCAAGTCTATCTCCCTCTTGAAGCGGAACGCACTGGCCGGGCCATTTGAACGCGCCTTCACTACCCAGAAGGAACTGGATGCGTCGGGACAGGAACAAGGCGAACTGATGGTCTTGCACTATCGCGACGAGGAGGCCATCTTTGTTCAAGCCGCCAAAGATCGCGTAACAGTCATCTTCTCGACCGTCTTCCGCGAGGAGACGGACCGCATCTTTGGCAAAGTCTTCCTTCAGGTAAGATCAGCTTGCCTTCTCGTCAAGACCTTGATCATAAATGAGTTCAAAATACAGGAATTCGTCGACGCCAGGCGTCTGCCCACCATCCAGAACGCTCCCCAAGTGTTATACTCCAACCGTAATCCTCCCCTCGAAATCCAGCACGTACCCGGACTTCAATCCCATGAAGACATTGGCTATGTTACATTTGTCCTCTTCCCCCGCCACTTCGCGAGTCCTACCGTATCGGCCGCCACCATCTCGCATATCCAACTGTTTAGGGACTACCTGCACTACCACATCAAATGTTCGAAGGCGTACATGCATTCGCGGATGCGGCATCGCGTGGCTGAGTTCCAGAAGGTTTTGAACAGAGCAAAGACGGAAGTTGCTACGGAGCGGAAGACTGCGAGGTGCGCATCTTCGGAACTTGTCGCATTGGACACTCTCACTTACATCGAACCTGGCCTACCAGTGGGAGGACTTTACAGACGCGGTGAACTGCTGTATCGGATTCATGGAACTGGAACCTTTCATTTTGTATTCCAAACACGATGCTACTTTATATTCATCTTCTGCCGTTCGATTCAGCCAAAGCTAGAACTCGACCGATACATCACGTATCCTTCTCACCGCATCCCTAGCGGCTCCGAGGTAGGAAGTGAAGCGAACGTCCTTGGGGTGTTGGCCAGACTAAATCCTTGGGTAACTTATCTTCAGCACCTTCATTTCATACTCTCAACAGAATACTCTGATGCGCGCGTCGCTTACAGACACCTATCAAGCTCGGGCTCCCGCCCCTGTTGCCAAAAGGGTCTTTGCTGAGAAGGATCCTTCTCAGATGTCGCTCACGTCACGTTGACCCTTTGTAGGTTATGTTAGAGTGCTGCTTTCCCGGTACGACTCCCGTGGTTACGATCAACCTCCAGCAGGAAACTCCACCAATTCCAATGCGTGTGCTCGGGTAGCATGGGTTTCAGAGCCACACTGTCCGAACACGAAGTCTCGAGGCAAAGTGAGCGGAGAACAAGCTTAACATACGAGATGTGCGCGGGCTGCAAGCGGGTTGCCGTTGTAGGAACACAGCACCATGTACGGTATGGATATATTTGGGCCACGCTGATCTAGGAAGGCGGCTGTCGCGTTTCATTGGCTCACGACGACGGCTTCTGTGCTACTCACCTTTTGTGCCCACGCCACCCAAGCACTCGCAACCTCCCCGTGGGTTTCCCTTCGCTTTTTTTGGACTCCGACCATCATCTCGCTTCCCTCAAATGCCGTCCGATATAAAGTCGACGCGACGAGGTACGCTTTCCCCACCTGCCGACCCCACTTTCCCCTCGACACGATGATCAGGAACGCGGCTCTGCTGATAACTCTCCTTTGGCTGTCTCTCCAGTCGACTGTGGGCGGCGTGAACGTCTCTATCCCGATCGCAGCACCTTCGACTGCACCCGGAATATCTCGCTCTTTACTCTCTTTTTCCATCGAGCAGGACCGTTGGCCGGACTGGGCTGGCACTAGCACACGAAATGAGTTTTACTTCAACGTGTTGTCTAATTTGCAAGACCTGTCTGGTGAGGCGACGAGGATTCGGATTGGCGCCGACTCTGAGGACCATACGAACTTTAACCCGTCTGTCCAGGTTAGTCCGCACCCATCGATTGCCAGATCTTTGTTGACCCTCACCTCATCTTCAGGTTTCCGAGGATATCTTCCCAGCTATAACGGCGACAGTGCCATACCCAGAGGCAACGAATATCACCGTCGGTAACGGGTTCTATGACCTTGCCTCCATGCTCCCTTCGGGTATATCTGTCTATATTTGTCTAGTAACTATATCGTCCACTAAATCGATGAATCTTCGCCGACTAGGTACCGAGGTCATCTGGGGTGTCAACTTGCGCGATTTCAATGTCACTGCGGCCTCACTGGAAGCTAAAGCGATCGCTCAGGCCTTTGCCTCATCGGCTGTTAAAGATGCAGGTGTCACTCTCCAGGCGATTGAGGTCGGAAATGAGGCCGATTTATATAGGTTTTCAGGGTTCAACGTTTCAGGCTACGTTTCAGAGTGAGCTTTTCCTTGCTCGCAATTCTTCCATATATCTGTCATAACTCAAGTGTCGTTCTGTGCTCCACCATCGTCATATAGGTGGACAAGACTCGCCAAAAACGTTTCGGCTACAGTTAGTGCTGTCCTCGGAACGAGCATACCCTTCCAAGGCGCAGCCTTCGCAGAGTCCTCGCACTCCACCACCGGTTTCTCACCGCAAGCCATCATCGCAGACGGTATACTGAACTCTCAGCCCGGATCCCAAATCACTTCGTATGTCACCTGTCAACCGTCATTCTACGTTCACAGCATCTTCCCAACGACTCCTCCCGCCCTCGTCCTCGTGTTCGCCTTGTGCAAGTCGTGATGCTCACTCGGACTGTTAACGTTCCCACAGCATCTCTCAGCATCACTATAGCGGCTCTTTCTGCTCAGGCTCCAATGGTGTCCTTCAAGACTTGATGACCAAATCGACCATCCGCAGCAATCTCACCCAGTTCTCGCCCGACATCTCCGTGGTGCAGTCGAACAACTTGTCATACGTCTTGGGAGAGACAAACTCGTACTCGTGTCATGGAGCTCCTGGAGTCAGCAACACTGCCGGTGCAGCACTTTGGGCGTTGGATTATACTCTGACTGCTTCTCAACTTGGAATCGAACGGCTGTACTTCCACGAGGGGATTGGGTACAAGTATAATTTTGTGCGTTGCCCCGATTCTCTTGTCTGGGCCAGAAGTCTGATTTCGACCTTACCGATTCTATTCGTCTGTATGCATTCTATTCTTGACTTAGGTTCAACCCGTCACCCTGAACCGGTCTATCCTGGACGGATCCACACTCTCCAAGCCCCTCGCGCCGCACATCCAAAGTGCATATTACGCCGCTGTCATCACCGCAGAAGCTATTGGCCCATCGGGAAGCACCCAGGCCGTCGAGCTCACCGTCAATAATAGCCAAGTCTCTGGATTCGGGTTCTTTGAGAATGGGAACCTCGCAAGGGCGGTGTTCATTAATCTGAACGCGTTTACGGGGGACAAGGCAAGGGCGAGCGTCCATGTGGTCCCGAGCTTTGTGGGAGGTCAGCCAGGATGTAGCGCACCGAGCACGATGAGTGTGAAACGGCTATCGATTCCGTGAGTGTTTCTGAGCGCTAGTGACCGATATATGAGGGATATGCTGATGATGGCGCGCGCCTTAGGTTTGCGAATGGGACGTCGGGCGTGACGTGGGGCGGGCAGACGTATGAGACGGCAGACGGGAAGGTGCAAGGGCAGCTGAACGTAACGACCGTCCCTGTCACCGCTGGTGTGGATGTGCATGATACCGAGGCAGTTTTGCTGAGCTTCTCGTGAGGAGCTGGGGTGCTATCATCTTGAGGTCAAGAGCAATATCTTCTAATGTAGTATCAGATATTATACCACAAATGCAACTTGACGACAATGTCCTATCTATCACTCCTCTTATCTTACACAAATTGAGGGTACAATCGTCACAACCACTTCCCATCCGTGTGTCTGTTTGTGTGCCACGTGAAGGTGGCGTGTTTGAGGAGCGTGGGAACCCCGGGCGGTATTTGTAATCAATTGCCGGTATCGCCAGCGTTTTTTTCGTTCCTTTCTTCACCCCCTTCACCGTCCTCCGTGCCTCCCTTTCCCTTATCTCTCTTCTCCTCTCCTCAAATTCATAGACGATCTTTTCATAGTCGGACATAATGGTGAGTTTTCATGCTCTATCTGCTGCGTCCTTTTCTTGACGCGTCATTTCAGAGTTATTACGGCAACGGTTATAGCGGTGGCAGCAGCGGTGGAGGCGGCGGCGGTTACAGTTCGTATGGCGGCGGTGGTGGTGGACGAGGTGGCTACGGAGGAGGAAGTGGCGGTGGTTGGAGCGGTGGAGGTGGAGGTGGAGGCGACAGGATGGCCGACCTTGGCGGCGGGCTCCGCACCATCGACTGGGCGAACAACAAGGCGCCCACGTTCGAGAAAAACTTCTACATTGAAGATAAACGCGTCACTGCTCGCAGCGACCGCGAAATTGAGGAGTTCAGGCGGACGAAAGAGATCAAGGTAGGCTTCAGCATATTCAGATCCCTGAGGTTCTGTGCTAATATGCTATCGGCGATTAGGTACAAGGGCGTAATGTTCCTCGACCGGTCACCTCGTTCGAAGAGGTCGGGTTCCCTGAATACCTCATGACATCTATCAAGGCCCAAGGTTTCCCTGCACCCACCTCGATTCAATGTCAGGCGTGGCCGATGGCCCTCTCTGGAAGAGACGTCGTTGCCATCGCCCAAACGGGCAGTGGTAAGACCATCTCGTTCGCTCTCCCCGCCATGTTGCACATCAATGCGTAAGTGACGTCTCGTACATTCCAACAGTTCGCCAACGATGCTCATATGTCACGATAGTCAACCTCTCCTTTCGCCCGGCGACGGCCCCATCGCCCTCGTCTTGGCGCCCACTCGTGAATTGGCTGTTCAAATTCAGCAGGAATGCACGAAGTTTGGGTACGTTCTTATCAACTCATAAGCGGATCATTCCTGTGTCTGATTGATGCTCGCCCTGCAGCTCCAACTCGCGCATCCGTAACACTGCCATCTACGGCGGTGCCCCAAAAGGCCCTCAAATTCGCGATCTTCAGAGAGGCGTTGAGATCGTCATCGCTACGCCCGGTCGTCTTATTGATATGCTCGAGACGCAAAAGACCAACCTTCGCCGTGTGACGTACCTTGTTCTGGACGAGGCTGATCGTATGCTCGACATGGGTTTCGAGCCTCAGATCCGCAAAATTATTGGCCAGATTCGACCAGACCGTCAGACCCTCATGTTCAGTGCGACTTGGCCGAAGGACGTCCAAAAGCTCGCTGCTGTATGTCCTCTTCATCCCTACTTCAGTGAATCACGCTGATCTTGACCTATTTGCAGGATTTCTTGAAGGATATGATTCAGTGCAACATCGGTTCCATGGAACTTACCGCGAACCACAACATCAAGCAGATCGTCGAAATTTGCAGCGATTTTGAGAAGAGAGGCAAACTGATCAAGCACCTCGACCAGATCAGTGCCGAGAATGCAAAGGTCCTCATCTTCGTGGGCACGAAGCGTGTCGCGGACGATATCACCAAGTACCTCCGCCAAGACGGCTGGCCGGCTCTCGCCATTCACGGTGACAAGGAACAGTACGTGTTCAGTCTTCTATTTCTATCTCTCTTTCTATCCTGACATCTCCTCCAGGCGCGAACGTGACTGGGTCCTCGGTGAATTCAAGGCTGGACGCTCTCCCATTCTGATTGCGACAGATGTCGCGTCTCGTGGTCTCGGTATGTTTTTCTTTGAAAGGTGGCAAGCGCTCCGACTAGATGTCGAGAAGCCTACACGTCGCAAACGAAACTCCTTTCCGTTCTTCGTGAACGGAAAGCCTGCTGGCGCTGGTATGATGGACCGCATCGAGTGCTCTATACTCTGTATGTGGGAAGGACTCGTGGTTTCTCTTCACGCACGTTTTCTTTCATCTACCAGGTCTTAGGGTTGCTGTCGCCTCCAGGAGCAAGGTCAGGTAAAGCAAGGACTACGCGCGCATTCGAACACACAAACGAGGTATGCTATGATTTCCATGGCCCGCTGGATCCCCTAGTATATGGCCTCCTCCCCCTTAAGGATGGAACGCTATAGGGGATGTTATCGTCGGCGGTTATGGACTGACCAGCACCTGGACATTTCACCGTGTTCCGGCCATACGTGTACCCCTCAACCGTTTTCATGCGCGCTCAAGACGTCTTCATCTTGCCTGATCTCTAGCTTGGATGTTGCCTTCGGTCTGTCCTCTCGCAGGTAGGCTGAAGGTGTGACCCTGGGACGGACGTTACTATGGACGTCGGATGCCTGCTTGTATCGTTTGTTTTCGTACTTGGGCTTCCATCGTGAACATTGTCGGTGGCGCTTGTGTCGCGCTCGGTATTGTCGTTATTGACGAAATCTCTCGTGTTATTCGCATGTCATCCGCTCCCTTCTCTTCCTTGATATCTGCTGTACCGTGGGTCTACGCGCAGATGTCAAGGATGTTGGCTACGTCATCGTAAGTGCTTCGCAACCATCCTCACAGAAACACGAGGCTCATTTATCATCTTAGAACTACGACTTCCCCAACAACTGCGAAGATTACATCCATCGTATCGGTCGTACAGGGGTCTGTCATATTCTTTCATCTCTATCGGTCTCTCAACTCACTATCCTGTTCATCTAGCGTGCCGGCTTGAAGGGCACTTCCTTCACCTACTTTACTACGGACAACGCAAAGTCGGCGCGCGATCTCTTGGCTATTCTTAAGGAAGCGAAGGCCGAGGTCCCTCCCCAGCTCGAGGAGATGGGTGCGTTTGGTGGCGGTGGCGGACGAAGCCGTTATGGCGGTGGTGGACGCGGCGGTGGACGCGGTGGCGGTGGCGGCTACGGTGGAGGCGGAGGACGCGGATACAGTGGCGGAGGAGGCGGAGGTTATGGGGGCGGAGGTGGAGGTGGAGGTGGAGGCGGCTACGGAGGAGGACGCGATCGTTGGTGAGCGCGTCAGGACGACTTCGGACTGCTTCTACCTTTCCTCTTCGGTTTTATGAGGCTTCTCCGCCTACTGTCTGCTCGTTCCCCTCTGCACCATGCCTGCTCCGTGGACTAGATCCTCAAGGCAGATTTGCTCGTTGCCTACTGCTCGCTTCGCATGCCTGCCCCTGTAATGTTGTATGTGGTTCACTCCGATTCAGTGTTGAGTGGCTATTGGCCTCGATGACGATTATTTAGACGCACTGTTACGGGTTACCTCATTATTTGTATGAAGGCCTCCGTTAATGCCATCCCTCTTCGTTGTTGAAGACGACGTTTTTGATCATATAACTCCGTGTCCTGGACCACTGCGGGCCTACGTACGCCTACTTTATGCGCCAACCTGGCGGGAAGCGCTCGGTCCTTCTCTGACGGTTCTCGATTTTTAATGCCTCGCACATCGCTCCTGTCTTAACACTTTGCATATCACGTTGGATATGGATTCCACTCCCATAAAAAGGTTTGAGGGCGCCCGATGAGGGGATGACGACCACGATCTTGCACAACTGGGTACATTTGCAACAAGTACTGGTCCAACGACAGTATCGGCGTCATTCTCAAGTGTATCCGACGCTCCGTAAATGCGTAATAAAACGTTGGCTGAATTGTATGTGCTTTAGCCTTTATATTTTGTCTAGTCGGTTATATACCATCTAATCCGTGAATCTCATTGCGTAGAATTCCTGTCAGATCCGTTCCTTGGGTATAGCCCGCACCCAGCGAGACTTCTCCATGATTTCCATGCCCTCGTCTCCCATGTAGCGCCTGCATTCGAAGCTCCACCTCGCATTCGCCCAGACCCATCCGGCCAAGCTTTCGATGTAATTCTTGACCTTCGAATCGGTAGGCTCACCCCATTTCGGTACCTTGTCGTGCTTCTCGATGAATTCCTTCATCAGCTCTTTGTGGTGGTTCTCGACCCAGTCGATTGCACCTGGGATGTCGGTTCCGAGATTGTTCATGACAACAGTGATGATGTTGTCCTCGGTACGCCCGCGCGATTGCTCACGACGATAGGAAAATGTGTCCTGCCTGAACTGTCAGCGATGTGAGACGAAAACGAGGTGTTGGTTCAACTCACGTTGGCTATACAACTAATGTCTTGAATTATGGCGATGAGCTCTCGGATCTGGGAGTGCTTCATAGCTTCGGCTGGGACAGCGACTTCAAGCTCCGAGAGCGCAAAGACAAGGTTGCATCCCGCACTGTCTCTGCGGGTCTTCAGAAAGCCATGGATACTGTCGTGTTGACGCGACGCCTTTCGGGCAAGTGACTCTCTGACCATACCCGCCATACAATCGCGGACGCCCTCCATAAAGCGTTCTTGTGAAAGCGTATTGGAAACCTTGATGGTGCGCTCCCAAAACCTAGTGCGATATTTCTGGTGAGTCAGTGCTAGACAACCGTACGAAGGAAGCTTGAAACACTGACTGGCGCGTCATCTCTCCTACAATCCATTCGCCGTCAGGTCGAGGTTTAAATGGGTTTTCCATGGCGTCCATGAGGATCCTCATGCGTTCCTTCACGGTGGCGTCGTCCTCATAGTCCAAAATATCGTCGACGACGAAGAGGAGAGTATTGACATCCCCTGCGCATCGTAGTCGTTCTGATAATCACGGAGAGTGTGAGTACCGAGGCCGTTTGACCACTGCTGTTAATGTTCACCTTTGTCAGTCGATGGAAGCCCGTAGGCGCAGAACAGAGCTTGGCATGATAACAATTCAGCTACGGGTGTAAGTACGCAGGGATAAATGATCTCCTTACTTCCGTCACAGTCGAGGATACAATCTTTATACTTTTGGAAGAAGTCTCCAAAGGTTGCGAGCCATCCGTCTGAATCGGCTTTTGCTTCGAGATAGAGTGGGTTCCTTGTAGTCTTCCAGGGCCAAGCAGTGAAAAGGTCTGGCATCCGATACGGCACGGTCATGGGGACACTGTAACCATCGTCCTATCGTCCAGAGTTGAAATGTTAACAGAGCTGTTTCGCGGTAATATGTGGGCAGTGGACGAACCTCGGGTTTGCAGGACAGTGGGGTGGACGTAGCTGCCATGATATTTTGCTGAGGTTACCATTGCCGTTGGTGTGGTCTTTTATATGCAGTGATTCAGACTCAAGAAGCGAATAGGGTGTAGTTGAGGTCCATTCGTTGACTTCAGTAAGATTGGGCTTCGTCACGGAGTTGTCGTTAGTGCACTGTGGCCTGGATAGCCCTAGCCGTGCGACAAGCCTCCCCGACTACCCCGAGCCGAAGAAAGCAGTCTTGCTTGAAGGTGTCTATTGTTTTGTGGAGTATTATCGTCACCATCATTCGGAGAAAGAAAAATACCTGAGCAAAATTCTTTGTGTCGAGAGGATGGAGATAAATGAGCACGGGAGATTAAAGTGGCCGCAATGCTTAAGGGTATCCGACACCTTTCGAGTGCCAAGCTGACATCCTTCTGTACATCATAATCTATTTTGACAAAGGGCATGGGCCCATAACTATCGTTCATCGCACAGGCTAGACATAATCATATTTTGTGGGTCCTGACGACGTCAGTTTCTGACCCAATGATGATCTATGAGTGGTATATGCTGAACACGCCTAGGCCTCTGGTGTCACGACGGATACAATATACTCTATGCAATTAATGGGGGCCATGTTTATGACCGACGTAATTTATACGGAGTCAGGCAAACGACACGGGCTTCATTCGTTCAACAGGGTAGGAACTCGAAGACAATTTAGCAGGACGCTTAAGTGCTCGTTTCCTCCGAGCAGTCCTATTTCGGTCATGATCTGTTTTTCCAACTTCTGCAACACCCCGTGTGTGTACTCGAACGACTTCGTTGTCGATTTAAGGTAGGTAATTGCGTGCACTTTGTATGTCGGGGATGTGGGCCGTTTCTCGAGGATGTCTACAGCAGGTATTAGTCGTGATCACGATGGCTTCAAGTTTATCGAAGAAGGGAAGTGGTAGTACTACGTACCGATTATTGTTCTGTCCGACTGATCTGCACGAATTCCATGAATGATGGGAAATGAGAATTTGCCTTCCGTGAAATCCTCAGCAAAGCCCTTTCCCTCGGCGTACTTGATGGCATTCCTCAGCATCGAGGCTGCAGAACAACGAAACAACAAAACTAACCTTGGGGCTGTCTAGGTTCATGTAATCGTCTCGAACCTGAAAGTAATTTCCTAGCAGATTGACCAGAGGAATATAATCCCTGAAATACCTTCGTCATTAGTCCTCATACACCTCAGTTTGCGAACCACATACACGTTTGTATTGGTGGTGGAACACGCCATTAAAAGCTTGATCGCCAGTCTGAACAGACCGCCGGTCTCTGAGGAGAGAAGGGTGGATGCGCTCAGATCACGGCTACGAAAAAAGTGACCTAGAACTCAACTGTTGCCAACCATACCAAGATACTCCGCTTCTGTCGGGCATTGAAGGGAGTCCCGCCATATGATTTCGAGGCCCTGACCACGATGAAGGTTGAGCAGCTCAGCTAATCGGAGTATTATGTCAGAAGAAAACAAAGAGCACATCATATACATATCGATGTGTGTTTCTCACCTGTCACGATACTATGTAGATGCGCCACAGAGTATAGTCGCTGTTGACTATCCGGGAGTGCAGTAGACTGATGAGAAGTGCCGTTCATGCGCTCCATGTTCGCCGTGCTGGAGAGCTCGAACAATCGAAGCAGTTCCTGATATGCGAGGAAATAAACATGGTTTGCCGCATTGATAGTTTTGGGTATTCCGTAGATAATATGTGCGGCTAGAAAACATATATAAGCAGATGAAACCCAGGCTTCGATAGCGGGTCGAACGACTACGGGAGCTGAGCGGGGGCGGCGTTGACGAAGACCTAGAGGATCACCAACCTGGCCGTCCTCTGCGCAAATCGGAATTATCCTCGATGTCGTCAATCCTACATGTATGTGATGCTAGTAAGGGAGTAGTATAGCCCATGATGAACAAGAATCTACTCACATGAGACTAGCATTGTGAAGCATGTTGACCACACTGGAAATCAGACAGCACTCTCTCCTTGGGACGTTAAGCCAGCTGTTGAAGGCCGATATCAGCGTGGTTCGAATATCTTTCCCCGGTACTTCCAAGAGGTAAGTGTACGGTTCTAGGATCGCCTTTCGTAATATGGAGCGTCGTGAGCGTCGTACATTAGACGTCATACAGCGAGCAATTAAACTCACAGCGTCATCTAAAGTAACCGCTGAGTTTGTGGACACCACTAAATAGACAAGAGAGTAGGCTCACCAGCCTCCTGATACCGACAAGTAGTTGGATTATCCATATGAGCCCGAACGTGGACTATATCTGCTGAGTGTGGATTCTACGTTCTTTTAGAGCCTTGCCATGTGTGACAGCTTTAGTATATAACATCGGAATGATGAGGTCATGCCGCAGAGGTGGGCCCTGCCACGGTAAATTAGGCGTGCAGGTTCGAGTGGAATGATGACGGATTGGTGCATTGATGCCTGGAAGGTCGGAGGGCAGGACATCAAGCTACCCGTCCATGTATTATAGAAGGTGTTCGGTGGTCTCGGTCAGCCATTGTGGGGATTACTATCATGCTAGGAGTGCACGAAGAGGTAGTCACAAGCTTGTGAATAAAGCGAGATTTGTTGAGCAACGACTGCATTCCAGGAGTATTGGCTAACTTCGTGTCTTATCAACGAAGCAAGGAAGCGATGAACGACCGAACTGCATGTTGGAACGGAATACCGAAAGGCCCCATATTACCACCTCCTTTGAGACGAGCAAGGAAGCGATGTGACCGAATTGCAGTCGACGATCGGGTACCGCGTCGAACAAGAGACTCCGGCCTTGAATTCACGACGCACAGGTCACCGACTGTCAACGAACGAGATTATTGAATGGAGTCTATATGGCATTCCTCAATCGATTCGACTACGTCATAGACTTCAATTAATGCAGCCATCTTGATACACGCAGATCTTCGTTAATCGTCTACTGGGACACAGAAAAGCAACACTCACTTGGTACAGCTAGACCGAATGAGTTCACATTGCTCGTCAAAGTACTATTTCTGCATAGCAATCCTCTGACGAATGCTTCCGCCACCACGTTCGCCCCGGTTGGTGAGGTATGCAAGTGGTCCATCGGGTAATATGTGTTCACAGTCGCGGCCCCGATATTATCGTACGCTTGTACGACGTAGTTATAATGATCCACGTATGTCACGCTGGTGTTCCCTGCCACTTCGGCGGCATATGCTACGAAACGAGGTGCAGTCGAGGGGACGCTGCTGTTGAAAATATTATCTAGATCAAGTCTGATTAGGTGTTTCGATGAGCTTTCAATTTTATAGGTGACCTACCTGGAGTCTGCGAGGAGACGATGGGAATAGCGCCTTTCGCGAGGAGAGCCGTGACAGCATTTTGAATGTAGTAGTTGAAAGAATGAACGACGAGCGTCGAATTGCTATGGGAAAAAAACAGGTCATGAAGACGTTCAGTTAGAGGTTGTTATCGCGGACTCACTCTGCTTCGACAACTGTAGTAGTCGCATTGTAGCCATCTCCTGTGGCATCTTCGCGGCCGTTATCAATGGCTCCCGCTGAACCATCGTTGTGCCCAAACTCGATAATGACGAAGTCACCGGACTGAACGCCGTTGATGATACTAGTGAAGTTTCCGGCGTCTGTGTAGCTTCTCGCGCTGGTTCCTGCGATGGCATCATTGACGACAGGAAGTGTAAGATACTGTGCGAGATATTGTCCCCAACCTGTGTTCCCGTGGCACGTCAGCTCAAAAGGAGAGAAAAGAGAAGATTCGACATACCGTCCGTACCGCCCCCTCCGCCGCCGGGAGCCATCGTCGAGTCCCCGGCCATGTAGATAGTCTGGGCGCACGAGCGTTGAGCTAGACTGACATGGATGAGAAGTGTCAGAAGGGCTGAAATCATCATGGGCCTGTAGTAGGTGATTCAAATCCTGATATCAACGTCTGATATTGGACTAACCTTTATAAAGTTGTCGTTTATAGAGGAATGTCGTCATTGTCGCAGGTATCATCTTCTAATAATTCTTCAATAATAGCACGGTCGGGCCGACACCTAACATCAACTGATCGCTATCGAGAAGTATTTTGGGCACTGCCAATGAATATCTGAGGATGTGCTGAGCTATATGGCCAACATATTTAAATATAGGTATTGTTTGTGGTTGTCTGTGCCTATAAGACAGCTCACATGTCTTGACATGGAAGAGAAGAACGGGTCAGTAGAGGAGAGGCTACGTGGTCAGGTCCTGACCATCTCTCCATACCGTGAAGTACGTCATATCTTGAATGTTAATTTTGAAAGACCATCCATTCGCATCGTCCTGTGGTTGCTGGACAATTACCAGCGCAACATCCGTGTGTGGTGGAAGTAGAGTTTTACTCCAGTTTCTCGCGGATAGTCATGATAGTACCGGCGTATTTAAAAGCCACATAACCCTGGAGGTGGTTATGATTTTGACACAATACTGACAGTATTTTGTACCGCTCGTATGTCTGAATGGCCGTTCAAAAAGAAGGGCGGCCTGGGAGACGTCCTTGGGACGCCCACCACAAGAAAGACGAGGCTTCGTAAGATGCTTCGGTAACGAGCTATGACACGTCTGTCTGGTGAGAGAGTGCCCGATTGTGAAGGCATAAAGGCACAACTGAGGCCGATAGCCGCGCAAAACGCTCGTCATGAGAAGTTGTGAGAATAGTGATAAGGAACGGCCCTCGAGATGCAGTCGCCCTACGGCAATAAAGTGGGCGAAAAAAGCCCCACCTGAGGACTTCGTGCCCAAGGCTAATGTTGAGCGTGACCATGAGTCATCGTAGCTCTTTACCAACGGCATTAATGAACCAGCGTAAGCTCCCTGGAGTCTGGCTGGCGGAGTCTGGCTGGCTAGGTATGATATGCTTCGCAGTAGTGCGAATTAGGGCCTGTGGAACGAACGACGTTAGATTCGATTGCCACAGAAGTTCGGTCTGCTGCCAACTTGAAGAATTGAAGGGAATTCAACCCTCTGACTCGACTAAGCATGTTTTCTTAGGGTGCAGGGTTAAATGAGAGGTAAACTTGAGGCGTAAACATGAGTATGCACTGACCATGACCTAGCAAGCAAGTAGAGGAACTTCAGGATCTTGAAAGAGAAGAAAGAGACTGAACTACACGACTCTCGGGTCGAACCGGTTGGTTGATTGAATTTGAAATTCGGAAGTTTCCGGCTTACGCCACTGTGGCGCACAACCTCACTGCTCAGAGAAGTCAGATCTACGAACAGATATTCTGAGTGCTTTCTGGTGGTTTGAGCTTGCAACATGAAAGGAGTGGATAGAGGCCATAAAAAACAAGTGGATTGCACGGAAGAAGCGTACAGACATCAAAATCTTGGTAATTTAGTCTATTTCCTGCCAATAAAACATCCACACGGTGCCCAAGTTGGCCATGATATTGGCACACAAGTCGAATAAATATTCCCATCATAGTGTTGGCCCAATTGAAATAACCTCCCTGGACTATGTTGCCGCTGCTTCAGATGCCGGGGTAGATGGAGAAGAGGCGACGGCGCCTTCAATGCTCGCCGCATGCCCATTCCCCTGTAGAGCTTCTCTGGCCTCCTTCAATACATGATCGACCGCGCCATATCCAAGCTGACTGGGATGCCAGCGCTCGTAAGTTGGCTGTTTATCATATGCAATCTCGGCCGTCATGATCTATGTAAGGTCAGCATCGCGTACCGGAGAAAGTGACGGAGATGTTTAAACATCGAGAGGAAGGACGTACGAGGATATCCGTGGTCAGCCCTTTCACAGGGGAAGCAGTACTGCGAAACCGGTGCATACGATAGACACCCAGCCACGAAACCTGATTATCCGATGTGTTCTGCATATATACAAAGCTTTTATGGGCACGCATGCAGATATAGGAGCCTAGCGGATGAGAACGCACATGTAATTCTTCTTCATACGGCCAATGCTCACTACCTCGCGGAACAAGCTTCTCTTTCCTGGCAAGCTCAGGATCCAACAGCGCCTCCAATGGATGGTCAAATATGTGATCGACTTCCCCTTCGCATGCCTTCAATCCGTCTAATACTGTTAGGTCGTCGAGCAAGGCCACAACCGGCGTTACGATGAGCTTGTAGGCGGAGACGAACGGTCGGAGTACACAAATCGGATGGACATGAGGAGAGTTGAGTGGGAGGTTGACTTCCTCATGGGCTTCTCGATACTAGGTGGTCATGAATAGTAGAGATGTGAAGAGTTGCTGGGTGCGATCAGCTGGTCGGCCACGATCCAGACGGTGGTTTACACAGAAGTCACTCACCGCCGTGCTGAGTACATCGTCGTCTGTGTCATCCACTTTGCCACCCGGCAGTGCAGTCTGACCAGGATGAGAGCGCAGAGTCTTCGAGCGCGTGGTGAGGAGCACGCGAAGGTCACCCGCTCGTTCGTAGAGCAGTACGAGAACGGCCGCGAGCTTCGAAGATGGTTGCGCCGATCTAAGTTTCCTCGCATCACATTAGGGCGTAAGTCTTGGTGGGCGTAAAGAAAAGGTGAGACGAACATGTCTACACTGTCGGCTTGATGTAGCCTCAATCGTTCAATACATTCTCTAGATCGTGCTGAAAGTCCTTCGAGCGCAGACGGCGGGATGGTGAATGTAGTGGCGTCTCGCGACATTTCAACGTGCGGCATTTATGGTAGACTGTTTGGATAATAACACGTTGTAGCTGCGAGAGATGAATATGCCGACTGTGGTGGCGAAGGCGGACGGTAGACAGAAGGATTCAGACCCAGCACCGCAATCATGCAGTGTGAAACGCGGAGAAATGTTGCGGATATGTAGACAGCAATAGCATTGTCTTCAAGACAGGATAGAGAGCCACAAATGACAAAGTAATAAAGATACAGGACAAGACAAAGCTAGAGAAAAATCTCGCGAACAAATAGAGGACCGAGACATACAAAACGTCAAAGCAGATACGTAGATCGGGAAACCAAGAGCAAACTATGATGCAGAACGAATAGATTGAAATATACGCCACACTATCGTCTCCTGTGGCCCTCAACGTCGAGCTTCAAGTTCCTCGTCCACCCGCTGCTCGCCTCACCCAGCTTCACCACTCGCTTCACGTCTATTTCTCCATCGGTCTCCTCTTCATCGTCCAGGGCATCCCACGGCTCATCTTCCTCGTCCTCCTGCCCGTTCTCGCTCGACTGAGCCTCATCCTCATCCTCGACAGCACCTTCCACATACCCGACACCCATGAAGACCGGAACACCACCTCCTCCACCATGCGCCATGAACCCCCTCTTCTTACTCCGGGACCCAACACCGACGAGCACAGGTGCTTCGAGGTCACTCAACCGCAGGTCGTCATTCTCCAGCTCCTCCCTCTCCGCCTCCAGATCGTCTTCCGCTTGCTGCAGCTCTTCGTCCAACGTGCGCCGGCGTTCCTTCTTGCTTTTCCGAGGGCTCGCATGAGACGAAGTCGACGGTTCTGGGGACTCGTCACGAACGGTCGGTCGGGCAGGTTTGGTCGACGAAGTAGAAGCCCGGAATGACGTAGAGGCCCGGAGTGAAGTCAGCGATATGGATTTCCTAGGAGCGGGAACTGGATGGTCTGCGGTGATCGGTACGCGTTGTGGCCCTTTTCTTGCCGTCGATTGCACGGAAATAGGGATTCGACTCTGTGGCGGAAGACTCCGCGCAGGAAGAGGCGGGGACCATCCGGAAAGGTCCCTAAAGCCAGGAGCACCCTTGGCCGATGTCGACGGTTCGTCATCGCCGTTGTCATCGTCAGCGTTACCCTCGAGGTGTTGATCATTGGAGATAGTAGATAGACGAGTGTTAGACGTAGACTTAGGACTGGCAGCAGCCCGTGGAATGCGTCCGGGAGGGCGAGGCTTCCGAGGGCTATCAGAGGCTCGCGCGGGTAAAGGGGACTTGGGCGGACGCTTGTCAAAAATACTTTGCGGCGAGCGTGTTGGGGACATATTTGGAGGAAGGTCGAAGTCGAGCATAGAAAGTTCTGCCTCATGTTCTGGAGTTGGCGTCCTCGATACAGGAAGCGGATCAGGGAAAGGAACCTTCGTGTAAGAGGGAGGGGTGGATGCCCGTTGTCGAAGAGAGATGATGGAGGTATTAGGATGCAGTGGATGGTCCTCATCAAGAGGTGGTTCGCTATCCATAGCTCTCTGTTTGCCTTTACCTTTCCCAAAGTCCATCTGTATGGGAGGACCGAGGACTTCGGGCTGGAGGTTGGGGATATTGTTCTGCGGCGGTGTAGAGAGAATTCTGTCCTCGGCATCCCCTTCGACATCGTTATCCGACGTGAGAGAGGGAGTCGTCGTTTCTCCAGAGCCCGAGCTTAATCCAGACCCAGTTCTTGCTGGCCACAAATTGGAGCTCATGTGGGAATAGGAATGTGGAATCGTCGACGGGCCGGCGGAGAGTTCAGGATCAGGATCAGGTTCGTGCTCGTGTTCGTGTTGACTTTGCGTCTGCATCTGGTATCCACTGAATGAACGAGAAAAGAATTCGTCCGGAGGAGGCATGTCGTTGCGTCTCGAAGCATCTGCATGCGAAGCAACCGTGAGTCGTCGTTTGATCGTCTGGATGTCTTCCGCTCCATTCATGCTGGCCCTCTTCCTCTTCTCACCAATCCTGACTTCACCCACTGTATCGACACCTGCTGTGCCTCTTGGGCCGCTCGTACTGGTCAGAGGGGGCAAATCCGGCGGGCGCCCACCCGCAACCTTTCGAAGTCTGGCGGTCTTCATCTCATTCAAGAATGCAGGCATTCTATCGGAGGGAACATTGACCGTCGGGAGGCCCGTGCGTTTGGTACGATGGCCACCGTAAGCCACGTTGATAGGAGCTTCAACCGGTGCTGGTGCATGCCTGAGGTTCGCACGCACACTGGCGAAAAGCGAGCCAGTATCTGGTGGGCCCATATTTCTGGATCGGTGCGAGTTTAGAGCAGGGGTGGGGAGGGGAAGCGGTGGCGGCGGCGGAGGAGGGGGTATGACGTGCGACGAGGGACCGACGGTGCGTCGTTTGGCCAGCTAAGGAAAGGTCATTAAGCAACGGCAACATGCTCATGAAGAGTAGGAAACTCACTTCGGCTCTCAGGCGTCTCACTTCTTCTTGCAAGATCTCGATCTTCTCTTCGTATTGGCCCCGCTCAGCTCGAACTTCCATGCCCTCAGGCTGTTCGCTGCCCCACCTCTGCTCCTTCTGTCGATGCTCCTCAACAGCATCGAATAGCTCCCTTTCCTTGCCTTTCACACGGATCTCGCCCGAACAATCTGCATTGGACGGTTCAGGGGCCCAAAGCTGTTCAGTGCCTTTGGATGAGAATGACATGTCCTGCTGTGACAATGATGTTGATACGGATGAACTAGACATATCCGCGGAGTCCTTGGAGTTGTCTTCGCCGTAGTCTTGATTTTCGTAGGAATCATAAAACTGCGGCTCCTCTGAAGGTTCTGGTAAGAAGCGGCTGGACGGAGACCCTGTCGTGTCCTCCTCGTCTCGTCGTGGCGAATCTGATGTGATACTCGAGTGCGAATCAGGAGAGCTGGTGTTGGGGTAGGTATCCGTGTTTCCTCTCGATGGGCTAGCTTCCTGTTCAGGAGATTCGGGCGATGCGAGAAGCGTCCTCGAAAGATTATTGGCAGGAGGACTGACGATGCCCGAGGCGAATCTGACGTGGCGAGCCGCCTCTTCTGCACGTATTGCCTCAGGTTCTAGGGAGGGCGAACGGGGAAATAACGAGCCCGGCATCGTAAATGAGGGTCTACGACGAAGCGCAGAAGGGAGAGGGGTTGTTGGTGGTGGAGAAGGTGTACGCTCAGTAACAGTGTGCGAGTCTTAATGACGGAGTAAGAGTATATGAGAAACTGGACACTGATGAAGCACTGTTGTTTGGCAGACGCACCTTGTCGTTCATAGTTGCGTTCAGAAGGTAGCACAGGTGTAGCATTGCCGTGCTTGGGCCGCGAGAGGGAGCGCGGACGGGGACTCGGAGAGACTTCAGGAGAAGACGAGGACGAGGACGAGACTGAAGGCGAGCGTCGCCTGCGAGCCTTTACTCGATCTTTGGGGCTGTCGTAGGGTCCATTTCGATGCCGATGCCTCTCTCGTTCTCGTACCCACTCACGATCTCTCTGGTTCTCGCGCTCACCCTCGGCAATATTAGGAGCTCTCTTCTTCTCTCGAGAGCGGTGCTTCCTGTTGGACCCTGTCGCCGCACGGTTCGAGGTCAAAGGACGTGAAGGGCCAGCGTTGTCGGCATTCTAATGTCCAGATATGCGAATAGGAGCAGACTATGAGAATTTTTAACGAATATCAGCTAGTTGCGACACGCACCTCTGCAGGGTCTGTTGAACCGGTCGCGTTGGCGACGAAGCTATCCACCTCTCTCGAAAGGAACCCAAGAACAGAAGAAAAAAGGCTTGATTGACTAGAGTCGGGATCGATAGGCTGGGGCATCGCTGTAGATGGAGGGGGAACAAGAACAAGTCGTCGCACGGATCGTCAACAACCGTCAACAAACGCGTCTCGCCGCTAAACGGATTGCCTTTTTGGGACACGCGATGTGTCGCACACGTGTGGCTTTGGCTTCGCCGTCACCATCGTCAAGAATATATAATAAAGTATAGACTGGGAGCCAAAAATAAAATGCAACATCTGTCCGAGCCTCAAGAGAGGAAGAAGAACATATAATAAACACAGGCAGTACACTGGGTCATAAGTCACGTAAAAGATCCGAACATAAGCATGGTCCTCTTCATGCCTGGCCTCTGAAAAGACGTCCGCCACCAACTCATTCCCAAGCTTCCACCCCACTGAGCCCTCATCCTGTATGTGCACACTTCGTTAAAATCATTGGTATCCTTGGTACGAATAGCTTGGAGGTCCGGAAGGCTGCGCGCCCTGGCCCGACGCCACCGAAGCCCTCACGGCGGCGTATGGGTCCGCATACTGCATCGTCCTGCTCACCCTCGGATTCTCCTGCTGCACACCTCCTGCACCAAATCCGGAGGGCGCCGGATCCGAGAATGCACCATACGCATCCATGCTCGGCCGCGAGGGAGCAGGCATATTGTATGGTGCGGTGCTGACGTTGGTGGAGCTGGCGTTTGGGTTCGTCGCTGTAGTAGCGCTGGAGTAGCGATTCGTATCGGCGAAAGGGGATTGTGATTCGTTGGGGTAAGTCAGCGGCGAGGAGCTGCGAATGGGAGGGATGTGTTCGTAGGTCGATTCTTCATCCTCTGGAGCCTCGTCCCCGGCTTCGGAATAGCCTGTTGGGTGCGTGAATGGTGGGTCTCGTGGGCCAGTAGTTGATTTGCCTGAGCGCCAGTCAAGTACGGCGAGAACCACGGAGGCTATCCAAAAGGCTAGATCCGTGATGAAAAGAGGAACAATGGCGCCATCGTGTGAGCATGGTCAAAGTGCGAAGCGTGAATAGTATGAACACCCACCGAACGCAAGCCAGAAAAAGATGGCACCGGCTTTCTTGGTACTACACCATCCATCAAGTCCATTCTTGAAGTCATCACCCTTGTCTGCATTAGGGTCGTTATCAGCATTCTTACAGCCTGCTTCTGTCCACGCCGAGATCGTGACGATGAAGCTGTGGATAGCCGTCCCGGATTGTTAGCAGCACAGATGGGAGGTGCAAGGAATGAAGACGCACGCGATCAGCAAGCTGAATGTTGTGCCGGTACCGACAAGAATGAAGCTAACCCGCAATTCCTTCAACGCACGCGCTAGGCGCGTTAGCCTGTCGTACCTCTCGTACACCACCGGGACCAATAGCATGAACAACGAAAGGAACATGCCCGCAATGGAGACGAACAGCGCAAATCCTGTTAGTCCGGCTATCATGATTCAAATACCACTATCAGTATCATGAAATCGAATAAGCAGTGAAAGAAGGAACACACATGGACCCACTCCCCATTTGGCTTGAAAGGCAGCTACACTGGCGAAACAACACATAGCGAGAAAGTTGAAGAACACTTGGGAAGTGTGAAATATGATGGCCGGTTTAGATACAATCATCTACGAGAATAACCCACGGTCATGTCCAAACATGAATACAACAGTATTGAACCATTGAACCGCGTGGATCAGGTGCAGTTGAAAGAAAAAGGTTCCGTTAGTCAAGCCGAATGGTTATAGAACGGCAAAGGAGAAATGAACCAATAACGCTATCGTAAAACAGAGGGGAATGAAGAGAAGCAAGACAAGCGATCCAGCGGTGTCCGCGGCAGACATGAAGATGGGCGTGGAGGGGAGAGGAGAGACATTGTGATTACGTAACACACAACGTTGGAATTAGCCTCGTGCGTACGGAACGTATACGTATTGCGCAGAACGGCTGCGGTAGCCCTGCGCGCCAAATATTAAAGCGCGGAATTAAAGGGCGGGTATACTGGAAGGATAAAACGGAGGAAATGATTGAAAAAGTCTGGACGGAACTGACGTACATCATCTTCAAAACCCACCACACCGTTCCCGCTGCCTATCCCGCCAGAAAGAGAGCTGCTCATCGGTGGTCTTCCACGCTTGTCTGGTACAATGGCCGACACCCCGTCTTTCAGCCTATCAAGTAATGTCATTCCGAAAAGTTCGAATGCGAAAAAATGTGGTGGTTGTGGTTGTGGTTGCGAGGGTGAAGATGTGTGATGTGAGGGTTTGGGCAGTATCCACTCAGTTGGAAGGTAGTGAATCAAGTAGAAATGCTTTGGGATAGCTTTTGTGGACCCAAAGTCTGCGCAGACCGTGCACAGGCTATGATAAAGGCTGTGGACGCTGCGGGAGATGATAGTCGGGCTTGGGTGCTTGGAGTTGCTGTACAGAATTATGACGCTCGGCTTCACGCGCCATGATAGTGCGTACGTAAGCAGTCACCGCTTTGCTCTCTACCACGCTGTGCTCCTCCTCAACCGCCGCCCGAAAAATCTGCTCAAACGTCCATCACCGTGATGATATCCGGGGGGTCACCATGGTTTGAGCCCCTAGCATCTTCTGGTTGTGCCATGATATATTCCCAGATCGTCGTGAGTACACGATATGTCAACACGTTCAGCTGAGACGTACGATATTTGGAATGACTTCTAGGTGAGCAGTCTGCCACAAAGCACATACCCCAAATGCAGTCCATGGTTGTGCGAAGAGCAGATCTGGGTTTTCTCTGAAGTGACTCATTTCCGTCGTTGGCGGCAGCATATGTCTGCGGTGAGAAATCCCGAGGTGGTCCCAGATGTGGCAGAAGAAGGCGGTCTATGTGGCTTGCCAAACCGAGCAGGGCTGAGCATCAATAGCCTCGAGACCCGACCCCCTACGCAAAATAGCTGCGAGCTTGGCACAGTTCCATCATGATGTGTACGATTCCCAGCAATGTACTGGGGATCTTCGTAACCCAGTACTCTTTCTGTCGATCTTCGTGTTCACGAAGACCTCGGTACTATGATCTCCGCCTCCGTTATGCCCGTGCACGACATCAATCTGTCTGCTCTAGAAGATGGACGCTCAGCACTGTTTCGGCGATGCCGCTCATCACTCATCACCAGCATCTGCGTCGTGGCCGACATTTTCAGCCACATTCAACTTCTTGCAGCCCGCTACCTCCGGATCCATTCTTGTCGACGATCAACGACAGTCCCGACGAATTCTTCCGCCTTTCCGCGTAGACCCGCACTCGTACAGAGCTGTCGGTCTCACACCTGCACTCATATTCACACAGAGGGCCTCCCGATATATCTATCTGGGGGCGTTTGTCCGACTGGATGCATCGAGAGGAGGTCTGGGCGGCGGTGTTCATACTTCAGATGGTCCCCCGAATCTTCATGGTGTGAGTGACGCTCTGATACATGACGAATGGGATACTGACCAACTTGTACAGACCAGCGAAAAGGAACGCCCCATTCTGAATCTCCGTGACCATCTCCAGCGTCTGCATCCTGCTGCTCTTCCTTGGGTTCCCATGTACAGCGGCAACGGTCTGGAAATACAAATACTACTTATCTTGGCCCATGACAAGAACAGGACCCGTCCATATATCCCTGTGTGTTGTGGCTATATTCTTCAGGTGTCCAGATGTGTAGCCAGCGGGGTGTATAGCTGACGATCCCAAGTGTACTCGAGCTGGTTGCTTCCAGTTGACAATTGCCATGTCAGAATAATTCCGGGTGAGCACGCGGTTTTCCGAAGATCTTTTCAGCAAGCTGCGTCGATTGTGGGTATATTGCGGTGTTCGCCTGATTCCGCTGCATCTGACTGGTCATCCCTTATCGACTTCGCTTTGATCTGCGCCTTCCAGAACCATAGAATCTCACAGTCGTTCCAGCAGGTCAGTCCTCAACACAACCAAGGTTCAATAGTTAGGCTGAAACCAACCTTCTTCCCAGCGGAGAACACAGATCGTCCATGAACCAACAACGCGTCCTACAACGCGCAGCCGAGCGTAAAAGTTCACTCACGTAGCTGACAGTGAGTTCACCATCATTTCCATGAGACCAACCTTGCATTTGCCCTGTTCGATGCTCGTGACATACTCTATAAATGAACAAGCTAACCAAAACTGATACGAACTTCCTCCACCATAGGGTAACATGCCATTATCATAACCGTCTTCGACACGGACAGCAAGTAGGTATGTTTCATTCTCAGTTACGGGATCCCCCATCATTTCAAGTCCAGATTGTAATACCACCTTCCCTCACCTTCCCTTAGATATCGGTCCGAACTCTATCTGTGAAAAAACAGTCCATCTCATCGATTGGAGGTATACGTGATTCATTAACAACGCAGCTGATGGCGTTGGTTGAATGGTATGTAGTCTGACGGATCGTGTCGCGCGCGCCGTTGAGAAGGACGATTGCTGACATGTGGCTGTCTATCGCTCACAGAGGTGAGAACTGGATGTATCCTGGTTGTTTGGTCGGGAACTTTCGGGGCAATGCCGGCAAATTGTGGTAAAGTCGCGATCGACTGTATGTAATTTGCTCTTGCCCTCTAAACCTCACAACGATAGATAGTGGCTGTTTCGTACTAACCAGTATCTTCAATACAGCGCGAACCTGTTGGACAATATCTTGTATTGTGGTCACGGTATGATTAATATTCGCCTCAAAGGTTTGGTATATGCTACGGAGGGCATATCAGTCCACTCTTCAGTCTATACCGCAATGGTCATCCGGAGAAATGTCCTGTTGGACGACAGCCGGCATGTGCACCCCACTCGCACAAGTCTGGAAAGGTTGTTTGGACGCTCGTAATCATCGCCGGCGGTACATTTGGGCGCTACCCCATCGACCAGCTTCGAAGCAGGCTGATCAGCTCCACCCACGGCATCTAGTGATACCGACGATCTAGATCCGCTTTGTTGGTCGTTCGTTCAACTCCATCTAGGTTTATAGGCTCGCGCGTAAGAATGCAGTTATGGGCTTTCTGCTTAGGGTCTTCCAGACAACAGACAAGTCGGGTTCAGAGCCATGACAGCCCCAGAATCAACTCCAGTTGACGTCAGTTCTCTCGTTCGCACAGCAGGTCTGTGATGTGGTTCTGGCGGCGTAGGCAGCGGGGAAGCTACCCCAGAATATATGCCATAGGGTTTAATGCATAGGACACAGCTTTTGTGTGAAGCGCAGCCTATGTTTAGATCTTTGTGAACGGTGTGTAACGCTTCACCGTCTACTGATACCTGAAGGTCTCAGGAGCAAAGTATCAGAGTCATGCACGAAACACATGGGGGTACTAACTTGGGACGGTAGAAACAAGAAATACCGGTCGGACGAACTTCTCAGTTCGTGATTTGGCAGGCGGGTCCTCGTCGACGTGTCCGAATAACGATGGTCCAGCGTACGGCAACGGACATTGCGAGACATTCCTCAACCGTATGTTAGAAGCCCTTCTTTTCCTCTCGACAGGGAATTCATGACTGATGCACTGGTTCATTGTTCCTGTGTCCAGTATCCAATCTTACCGCAACTGCTGGCACTTCTGGTAATAATAACGAGACCACAGAACCCGAAAGCATTGCAGAACTGTCAGTGGCGCTCTACGACGTCCGAGACTCGGGAAGGAATATAAACTAAACTACTCACAGGTACGGCGTACCTTTGTGGCCTTTCAAAGCTTCAATCTTGAGCTCCAAGTCGTCTCCATCTCGCTGCGATGACATCCATCGATCAGTTAGACTGGCCACCTTAAACTTGAGTGGCATTATGTGGTACTTTTCACTCTGAATAAATGCTGGAGGATTCTCAGCGTCTCGGCATCCTACGGCAGGGACCGACGATGTCGTTCCCCGCTTCAGAACCTCCCCTACTTCTGTTGCTTCGTTTGGAGTACCAGATATGTATAACGGATACCCTTAGGTCACCGCTCCCGCAACGCCGGCCTCTATATGGCTCCGTCATCCACCGAATCGGAGACGGGATCGATGGAAGACAGAACCATATACAATGTCTAGTGTCGTTTGCATCACTCGGCAAGTAAAATAGAACAGGCATGTACCTGATCGATGGTCACAACTTCACAAACCAAAGGAGGTTTGGTACTTTCTCCCTTGCGTTAAGCTGACGTACGCCGCGGGGAGGAGGCGGTAGCAATTTATGCGAGACATCACCACGGTAGGAACTCTGAGCATGCCACGCAGATCCTGCACTCAGGCCTATTGTTACCTTCATTTTCCGGCCATGAGGGTTTGATATATTGCGAACCTAGATCTTGGTACCACTTCCACGGCACAGCCGCGGAGTAAGAACCATAGCTCTGTGTTGGCCGCACCACCGAGCGCGCTTGGTGCTCTCTCACACTGTGGCAGGAAACTGACTGAAAATGGGTTTGTGCGTAGGGCATGAAGAGGAATTTGTAGGGCTGCGTCTTCTTTTTCGACGTGAATCTACTGACGTAGTGTCATATCCGATGGGTCGCTTGAGCATCAAAGTATGCCAAGTCAGAGCAGACAACTGCCATGCGACAATTCCCTTGATTATGTACTCCCACCTCTTGCCATATCACCTCGAAACCCTTTTGGAATACCGTGTTCGTGGATCTTAGGCGGATCTCAGCTTCTCCATTGCTGTGAGTGCTTCCACATTCTTCTGCTCTCAAGCGCTTTGCTGATCCGCCCCGCGTACAAACACAGTCCACACACATAGATTATCGCATTGATGTTTGCCTGTACATACGCTAGGAAGACACTGCACGTGTGCGGGCTCGAATCTACACCTCTACGATGAGTGTCACTTTTCTACTCACGCCAGCTACGGCCATCAAAATACCGGAGTAAACCACGAACCCTTTTACGAGTCTCCGCTCCCTTCGCTCCGAGGATTGAATGCACCTTCCCCGAGAAGCTCCATGAGACTAGCGAGAGTTTTGCCCGATCCGACCGACTGGCACTTGTTCACTTCGGCCCCACATTACAAATGTTCTAACTCTGGTCGTCCTTCATGGAATAAAAGACATGAGAGATCTGACGGAAGAAACACATTTCTCATCTCGTTCTCTGCGTCCAGCGTCAATGCAAGACTTCGCTTCCTTCGATACGTCTGACGCTGAGCCCGCTCCGTTTGTTGGCATCGTCGGCACTACTGTCGATGCTATCCGTCTCGTTATTGCAGCTAGGTTCGTGTTCCTCAGTTGATGTATTGTCGATGTTGATTCATGTTGCCATGTAGGAGAGGAGTAATTCCTCGTATTACAAGGTACGACCCTACCTCTCCTTTATACCTGCTTCTATCGACTGACTGTACGGCGCAATCAAGGCGTCTAAACGACGCGGAACGTCGCTCCATGGTACATAGCGGCGCAGTCTTCATCTATTGCTCAGCCGAATGTGGCAGTAAGTGTAAGCTCGCAATGCCGTTAGACCACACGATTAACACCACTATAGTACAGAGATGGACCGAGGGACTCACTTGGAGCCCAAGTCGAATTGAGGGCAACTTTTTGGTGAGTCGTATGTAATCACAGTGGGAGACGGAGCGTGGGATAACCGTGCTGCCCGTCGCTCTGGGAAAACCTTTCGCTGACTTGGTCTCTAGGTCTACCGCGAGGTCACGCACACGATAGATCGTCGGAGCCACAAAACCTCTCAGACTCCCGTTTGCACCACAGTTCCAGGAGAACCCGACATCGGACAGATGCCAATAAGAAGCTCATTAGGTCCGCTGAAACCAAATGGTCTGACAAAAAAGGTGAGCTCATGATCAATACCTCGTAATGAAACGAATCTGACATTCTGCAGACCATTACCGTCAATATCGACGGCGCCAACCACCATGTCGTATCATACTATCGAGAAGAAGATGTCTCGATCAACCGTCTTCGTCGCCCAACGGCCAATACAGAGATCATGTCGCTAGAAGTCCCAATAAGCGCGGTGAAAGACACGAGGTTTCGCCACCCACCGCGCGTTGACCTTGACGACAATAATATACCTAGAATGTGCGTGACACCTCTGTCTACCCTTTGAAGCCACTAACAGATCTATATATCTACCAATTTAGCTTTGACGACGAAGAGTTGGCGTTCAGGGCTCGCTATCCTCCCAGTGCGCGGTCGTCTCAAATGGCCACCCCAGCGCGAATGATGGTCTCTAGGTCTCCAAACTCGAATATACCACAGGGGGCAGCTACCATCAGTCAGTTTTATCCCAATACTGTACAACATAACGTGTGTAACATATATTCTACAGACGTGGGCCGAACTTCGTCCTGGGACGGATCCTCTACCTTACCTCCCGGTGGCGGCCAGCCATTCACGCCAACTGGATCGCACCACAGAGCTGCATACTCGCAAGATGTCAGAGCATCAGACATCCTCCTATCAGGTTACCCCTACACGCAAAGTACACGAAGCCACGACCATTCAGCGTATTCATCGGCGTCTACGGCGTCCGTCCCACACGGCGCAACGAGTTACCAACCACAGCCGTCTTGGGACTCTCGTCACTCACAGTCATGGAACTCTCACGTACCTTCCAATGGAGGCTCAGGAATTTACGCTTCAACTGATGTAGCTAACTCTGTGCGTCATTGGTCGGGGTGAAGGTTTGCTGTAGGAAGAGTGCGAGGGATACGGACAGATATCATGGGGCACACTCGGACAATGCAGGCGTGGATTTCGGATTCTGGAATTGCTGGCACTTGATCAATCATTAATGCTCATAAAAGTTGTGACGAACTATGACTATATGTGACTGCACCATAATACGTACAACCTGATGTCTCCTAGTACTTAGTTTGCACCCTAGAGACCTCATCATCTATTCACATGTTCTACGGCCTTTGACCACGAAGACTTTGACTCGTGCGAAGCTCGCTGCATTACGCACCATTTATTTCTCTTGAATGATCAAAGGACTCTAGTAATTTGTGAGTTATTTCAAGTACCAGCCTACCTGCGGTAACCTGCACAAATAGGGCGGTTCTCCACAATGCTGGTATTCTTGGGGTGATATCGTACATTGGATACATGTTTTCTTGAAGTGGGTGGAGAATTTTCAGGCGTGCGAGCACACGTGATGAGTGATGAGACACTAGGCATCATCCAAATGTACAGCTACGTCTAACTCATGAAGAAGAGATATGGGATGAAAGCCGAAAGAACCAGAGCTGCACACACACAATGATGTCTCCAAAACGGGATGGGCGGACCTTGACCGGAATTCAAGACATCACATTCAATATTTGGACAATGTTGGTGTAACGCGCAAAAACTTTGGGTTTTACAGCACAAAAGGGAGGTGCGTACGTGCGCATATTCTGGACGATATACTTATGTGTGTCGTGCGTTCAAACACAATGAGGGCGTGTAAGTACGCGCCCGGGCCGAAAACTCGTGCGAGATAATAGATTCGAGCGGAGCTCGAACTTCTTTCGGGCGCGTAGGCCCTGTATGGCCTCATCTACTTACAGCCTTCGCAAGAGATTCGGCCTCGCAGGCACTGCAGCAATGAGCCAAGAGGATGGGTAAGCCGATTCAGAGATCTGATGTGGCATACATGTTGAGGGAATGACCACTGCTTGATCACTGCGGTACGCAGTGTGTAGGGTTCAATTGACATCTCGCAAAGTTTATCGACGTGGGACCTCTTTCTCCGTTCATTTCATGCCGCGGTCATATTTCCATATCTGTCATCCAAATCGCTAGGCCTTATTCTTGTTCATTGCTAAAGGTTTCGCCTCAGCTGAAGCTGAGCCACCGTCGCCCGACACTGCGGCCCTCTATCTCGGTGTCTTGTGGGTCCCAGTGTATTGCTTATATCACCTTTACGCCGCTTTCATGTAGGTCCTAGCGCTTAGAAGGATCGCCGTTGAAGTAATTTCAGGTCATGAGAAGATGCCTTGCTTCCAGGGTGCCGTATCCGCACGGTCACTCCGAGGTTCCATCAGTCTCAGCATGCTCCCCCGCGGATGTCGTGCGCTAGAAGTAGCTAGTGGTTTCTTTATTCTTAAGTGTTTGACTTGATGGGTACAGATACAGTCCGTGTATAAAGGGTTGCGTTGGATCTCGCTTGTAACGATACCCCCGCTCCCTGCAGAAGCTTGCGATTACGATCTGCACAAGCAAACCTTTCCTCCTACTTATGCTTACTTTGTCTCGACAGCGACCTTCCCGTCACCTTTGGGGCCTAAAATGGCGATCCTCTATATCATTTATAACGTTTGGTTCGTTATATTATACCTATTCATAAGTCGATTTTGCTGATGATCCCTTTAGTTGTTGGATTAGGTATGATCTGCAAATATATGCCTCTTGCCTCACCGTGGCGGCTGACATTATGGAGTAGGTATCACGACCGATCTCATCATATACTCGATGATGATACCCTTCCTTCCCTTCCACCTCGAACGCTTGAGTTACTCAAGGGTATCCGTGCTGGTGGGCTTCTTGCTTTTCGGCTTGGTGCGTATGTTTTCATACTAGGGACATAGTAACCCCTGAACTTATACTGCTGCTGCCGACAGGAAGCAGGCGTCGTTCTAGGTATGAACATTTACATATGGTCATTTTGAGTGAGATGGTTCCGACCCGCCCGCTCGGTTATTAGCGACGCCGATCACCGCATGGCTATCTGAAAAGTACAAAGCCCGCCAATCCATTCTTCTTACCGGACTACTGGCCTCGATATTTTCTCAAGGAGTAATGCTTGTGTCTCGCCAATACTGGCTTATGGTCATTGCCCAGGTATTCCAAGGCATGAGCTCCGCTATGGTTTGGGTAGCAGGTCTAGCCTTAATGTAAGTGACTTCCTGTTTGCGCTGTTCGCGGCGCATTCATACCTATGTTCGACTGTCTGCTCCTAGTTGTGACACGGTCCCTCAGGAACACGTCGGGCGTACGTCTACAATTGAGTGTGTTCAACCTCACACCATATTCATTCTTTATTTTCAGAACAACTTGGATTGGCTACTTCTGGATTAACGCTAGGGTGAGTTCCCTCACGGTGATGCACCGTACACGCCGTTGTTCAATCCTGTCATAAAGGCAAATGATTGGCCCTCCATCAGGTGGTTGGTTGTACGATCGCTTCGGCTTCCGCGCACCTTGGATATTCACTATCACCATCACGAGTTTGGATCTTCTCGGACGACTCTGCATGGTCGAAGGGCAGAAGGCAAGAATATGGGCCGCCGATCCTGCAAACGTCTCAGGCTGCTCGATGTGTATTGAAGACGATCTCATTGGTCCAGCGACAGTATCATCTGCCAATCCGACTAATTCTGGGACGTCTACAAGCTGTAAACACGGCCCGCTGATCAACTCTGAGATAAGTATTATACAAGATGATACCGTGTCGACGGACGAAGCCACTCCACCGTCGGCGATGACGCCTTCCCTTTCACTGATAGAGGTCACACTCACCCTGTTGAAGTCCTCGAGGGCGCTCACTGCTATTGTTAACATCGCCATCTATGGGCAAGTATCTTACTTGTAACCTTATAACGAGTAACCTAGCTCCTAACTCACCTTGGCAGGTTCGTAACCAGCAGTTTGGAGCCCACGCTTCCGCTTCACCTGCAGAAACTCTGGGGTCTGGGCTCTTCAGACGTAGGGATTGTCCTTGTACTGATCTTCATTCCTACCCTTATTGGTACGTGGATGTTCCAGCAGCATCAGGCGGATTTATTTAAATGCTTTATTCGTGTAATGATTAGCCTTGCCTATCTCGGGAAGATACTCGGATAGCGTCGGCACTGAATGGGTCACAATTCTATGTCTGCTCGGAGCCCTTCCATGGTGGGCCGCAATCAATGTCAATGCTTCACTGACGTTCTTCATTGTATCATACGCACTCAAGAGTGAGTCGGTTTAGGCCACTAGCATGACACCAGGCAGCTCATATATCGTCTGAATCTTTCTCGGCGACAGGGATGTTCAACTCCTCCGTAGTCTCTCCGTTGACGGCAGAACTAGCTTCTGTCTGCCGCACCTTGGATGGTGTTGGTTGTATGCCGGTTCTATTCATGCAATCATGCACTTCTAGCTCACAAGAGACTCCATTGGCGCTATGCAGATGCACATGTATACGGCGCTTTCAACCTTGCGTACGCCATAGGTTGCGGTTGTAAGTTTCAACCTACCTAGTGTCATAATTACTCATTGAATCCTCATCACTTTGACAGTGGGTAATCTCGTAGGTGGGGAGGTACGAGCATTCATCTCCTTCGCATCTGCAGTACTTACCTATGTCTATGACGTATGTTCGCTCCGTGTCTGGTCGTAGATGTACGAACGTATCGAGAAAGGATGGCTTGCGGGAAACATCCTCAACATGGGCCTCGTGACGGTATCCATCGCGATCGCTCTTAAATACACTGGTAACCACCCGTTAATGGGAAGAGTTTTCGAGAGGTTGAGGCAGCCAGGCATACAACTGAGGGAAGATGATGATGCATAGAAAGGATTGGGCGAAATGACGGGTCAAGGTTCTTGATAATACTGAGCGCAGAGCATTCTTACGAAGAATCGGGCAGAGCAAGAGTCGGAAGTCGCTTCCGAGGGTGTCGTTATTCTGACCGTTATTCAGTTGCGAGTTAGACTTACAGTTCATCGTGTATCACGGACAAAATAAGACTGTTTAGGTTGCCACTTGAGGCTTGAAACTTGCAGCCATACGGGCAGGTTCTATACATACAAGCTCTCACGAGAGGCAAGGTCCGGGGTGTACAGTGAACGACCACCTTGAGGAGGCTCATTGGCTTCTGCACGCTAGTTTGACTTGACATCAAGACAAATGATGATCATAGACACGCGGAGTGGATATGTGGGTATGGTATCATAATAGATAAACCTAGTACATAGAGCTTAGAACCTCATGCCGCACCGATACAAGGGTATAAACACCGTAAAACCCAGAGGTAAACTGAAAGAGACGATGAAAGAGAAGAGAATGTACGATGGTCGTTCATATATATGTTCGACTTCGTCGAAGCTCAAATGCCTCAAGCTTTAGAAGATAGCCCGAACCAACCCTCCACCAATTGCCATGCCGGCGCCAGCACCAACACCAGCAGCAGCCGAATGAGCCATCTGATGTACATGTCAAGTACCACGATCAGAAACATCGAGGAAAATCGAAAAATAAAGACCCATACCGTATTTTTATAAGCACCGTACTTCGATGCCTTCGCCTCTTGACCAGACGCTTGCTGTAATCCTAACGAATTCGCTCCTTGCCCTGGCGGAGGTGGAGTATCGATTCCGTGACGAGCGGCCATGAACGGTTTGTAGGCCTTTTTCTCACTCTGGCTGGGTGGCACTGAGTGCACCGTGGCTGGCGGATTCGCCTTCTCGGAGCCGGAGGAAGATATCTTCTCTACATAATTGGATGGGAAAAGACCTTGTCGACCGTTGACTTTGCCAGTCCACCAGTCTGCGTTGGTTTCTTCCACGATTTCGATGATATCTCCCTCAGAGAACGAGAGATCAGAAGGGTCCTACGTGGGACGTATTTTCATCAGCGTCTGATGCGTGTCGGGTGATGGTAGCGACGTGGGACTCACCTCGGCGCCTTCGTTGTACGACCATAGCGCTCGCGCCTGGGTCACATACGCTGGAGGTGGTGGAGGAGCAGGGACGGCACGTTTGAGAACAGGAGAGGCGAAAGTGGGACTCGGAAGAGAAGGGGATGCAGCTGCAGCCGCGAAAGCTTTGTAGGTCCTGTTCTGACTGTTGGGCAGCCTGGACAGAATGGTCGAGGCATCGTTCGAGGAGATGTAGTTTTGAGAGACCAGAAACTCGACGTTGGACTCCATCTGAGCGAGGACGTGTTTGTACAGAGCGGCTGCCTGAGCATCGGAGGGGGGCATGGGAGGCATGGCGGGGTTACTAACACGAACGCTTGCGTTTGTCTAGAGAAAAGGCTCGGAGAAGACACAAAGGCCTTTGAGAACGTCAACAGGGTTTATATAGAGACAATTCTGCATCATGATGGGCCTGCCCACGGTCTGAGAGTGACTCGATGCGTGCTATATGTGTGGTGGTATCAATGGTCGAAGATACCAACGACGGCCAGGGCAGTCCATCCTGTGCCATGTGCCCGGATTGCGATGTGAACAGTAGCTGAGAATGGGGTTTGTGCGTCGGGACGGCCATCACAGTATGAGCCTGCATGCGCGCCATAGACATGGACTTGCACGAATATGGAAGAAGGAAGGAGGAACTCAGGACGGGAATTTATAGTTTGTCAAGCCTAGGCCACACGCCACAGCAACCGCAACCGGCTGAAAGATCGGAACGGTCCGAAAAAGGGCAAGCTGCTTCCTCATCTGCAATCGATCCTTCCTCTTGACACCATTGTACACGATATGAAACCAAAAGACAAGAATAAAAGAAGAAAAAATCAAGCGTAACCACCACTATAACACACGTTCGGAACTGTACTGGTAATGCCCAGAATCACCACGCTTGGTGCCCTCCACTGACCTGTATGCTGTTGACATCATCGCACATCAGTGGTTTGTCTAGCTGGAACGAATGCTGCACGGAAAATCAAAGTGAATCACTCACTCGGATCCTGTACAGAACGTAGATGCGTCAGACGCGAGCCAGGCAGTCACTCCCCGCAATTCATCAGGCCGTCCAATTCTTCCCATTGGGTTCAGCGATGACCACTTCTCTAGAAGGTGGGGCTTCAAGTTCATGTCCGTGTTTCAATTTTTACACGTTCATGGATTATTTCACCGATAATGAAGGTAAAGTCGTCAGTGTTTGTCTCCAAGTGCAGCCACGTGCAACATTGCTCACCTGTTTGTCGAGATAGGCCTTCGTCATTCTATCGACCAAAGAAAAATACGGTCAGAGTGGCTCTCTTGCAGGTAAATGCAAGGCCTATAGACCCTCCAGCGGATCTTTTCCATGGCTCTTCCGCATCTCCTGAACTCAAAGAAAATTAGATCACTCACGCCGTATAGATGTACCCTGGCGACAGAGCGTTCACTCGGATCTTCTTCGGTCCGAGCTCACAGGCCATGCTTCGAGCCATCTGCAGCACTGCACTCTTGCTCGAGTTGTACGAAACCCATGCTTGGTCCTGCGAATGATCGAAAGTTCAGGAATGGCAAGGTTATGAACGAGTGCCAGTGTCAGCGCCTCGTTCGTTGCCATGGTCCAGAACGTAGACGGCCTACGCACCTTATTCGTGATACTCCCGCTCATCGACGCTATCAGAATTATGCTGCCTGGAGTACCGAACTTCACCATCTGTCTGCCCACGGCCTGGGCCGTGAACAATACACCGTTCACATTCACGTCATGCACCTGAGGGTAGGTAATGATCAGCAACCCCCCTGCCCTGACTTAATCTTGGTACTCACTCTCTTGAAGTCCTGTGCAGGATATTCCAAACAATCCGTGTTATCTCTCAATATTCCTGCGGCCGCGATACCGACATCCAACCTGCCCTCCTTTGCAGCAATCATCTCCCCCGCCGCCCACATCTTCTTCTGGTCCGTCACATCCGTAGAGATATACTCGACTCGCCCCTCTCGGCCTTCCTTCTTACTCATCTCCTCCACGTAGCGTTTCACCGCCTCCCATTCTTCGCCCGGTTTCTCCGGTAAATCAAGGCAGTAAACCGCTCTAGCCCCTGCCTCTGACAGCGTCAGCGCCATCTCGAGGCCAAGACCGCGGTTTGCACCAGTGACGAGTGCGACGCGGTCTGCTAGAGAAAATTCGTCCGATAGCTTGGAACGTGGTGCGAATGTGGCGCTACTCGGTTCAGAAACATAGGCGAGGGCGGCGTTGACCCCGATAGGGTCGTACGGGGATGTGGATTGGATGGGGAGAGTGCCTTTGGTGGTGTCGACCAGTGTGGGGGAGGTGGTGCTGAATGACCGGGCGAGGTGAGAGGTGCGCGATAAGGGCCGGTACGCTTTCGCGGTTGTCAAGACACGAGAGTGCAGCAAGGACCTGTGCATCGACATATTGTTTGCGGGTGAGTCTCTATAAATTCGAAGTCGATGGCGCTTTGTGGATTGTTCGTGGGTGAAAGTATACTTTCAGCTCGTAGGAAAGAGCGGGAGGGTATGCGAATGCGTCTGAGAGCGTGTTTCCCGCCTGGAGTTACATTATAATTATACCTATTCGATCTTGAATTTAAGTTCCGCGCTATTTTTGTCCTTGTGATGGGTGAGGTCATCGTCTCCCATGCCACAGGAGACAGAGGATATCTGATACGCACCGCCAGTTCAGATGATCGTGACCAGTGACCACCTCCGGCCACTTTTCCCTGCACATTCCAAGCATACTTGGGAAGAGGATATCGCACTCAATTCACCGCAGCCTCGCCTCTTACCGTGCCCATCTTACCGGCCAAGCTCAAGAGATATATGAGATATGGTCAGGAGGCGCTCAGCTGGTACATGGTCAGGAGGTCCGTTGCTCTGATCGCGGTGCGCTCTGCTGCTTCAGGGCGCGACGAACATTTGATGTCCTCTCTTCCGTGATCCGCCGGAAATTCGGAGTGGCGTAACTTGACCTAGCTCAGATCGCTGTGGCGTTTCTCTCGACCAGTTTTTGAGCACCTCGTTTGGACGCATCTTCACCCCATTTCCACCTCGCGGTCTTCACCACATAGAACGAATTCGTCGTTCTCGCCAGCCTTTTCAAACAAGCCAACGCCCGCTTACGCCATACTTATAGCGGCTCAATTCACCACTATCATCGGTGAATACCATCATGATCATAGCTGGCGCGGTGCATTCATGCTCGTTGGGATGCTGCGCCGGACGCTACTACAGTTGTCAGTCCACTTAATCTTCAATTCGGTGTCCCGCTCACTGTAGATTTTCCATTATCCTCACTTCTGATGGCGCAGAATATATATGAATTGTTGTGCCGGATCTCGCATTATTTTGGTCAGATAAATTTGCTCTCTGGTGGTAGAAAAATAGGATTGTGGGCACTGATGCATGTCTGTAGTAACTGTCTAGCCTCCATGTTTTTGTACTAACATTTTTGGAATCTGTCTAAGGTCCCCTTATGTCTAGGCAGGACAGAGCATCCTTCATTGTGAAACGCGCGTACCGCGTCGCTGTATGTACCAAGGTCACAAATTACCGAACGAGAAAGACCGTCGGGATGTATAGTTCTCGCGACGTACGGACTGTTACTTAATGTGGCGTACGGTGTGGCGCGAACTTCAATTCGAAAGAACCAAGACGCGATCTTATCTTATCTCGAAAGGAGATCCGTTCAGCGACAGAGGTTTCTTGAGAAACGAAAGTGACTCACACAACATCGGACGGCGCCACGCCAGCTAGCGCCATCCCCCCATCGATTTACCATAAGTCAACCTAGAGGCCTCGCAAACCTGTATCGGCTCGTCCTCTCTCGCCCGCCGTTGTATCATAGAACCCGTTTCAAATCTTTCCTCTCGGCCAACAAGCCCTTCGCCACAATGGCACAACAAAACATTCGTTCCGCCGATGGTTTGCTCAGGCAGGTTCCGGATCCGGGCCAGGCTGTAGCGTACGCTTGTTCAATGCTTTTGATTTGTTTACAAACATGACCAGAGGTTTTCGATTTATCAGACTGCCAAAGGAGGGCGAGGAAAACGTCTTGATCACGTCTGCCTTGCCGTATTGCAACAACGTCCCTCATCTGGGTACGTACGAATTCATGGACGCTTCGCTATGGGGCGCACCAGTCTGAGAGAGGGGTGTGTAGGGAACATCATCGGGAGTACCCTCAGTGCGGACGTCTACAGCCGGTGCGTTACTATCTGCACAAATTTTCCGTGCTCCGAGATTGATCAAATTTACTGTTGCTGGCACAGATATTCCCGTAAGTGGAACACATGACTGCTCTCTCCCAGCGGGCCGTGACGAACGAGATCTTGTTCAGGGACACGAAACCGGAGAACGTTGTACATTTGCGGAACTGATGAGTACGGGACGGCTAGCGAGACCCAGGCTTTGAAGGAAGGCATCACACCCCGGGAGCTGTGCGACAAGTACCATGAGCTGCACAAAGAAACTTATAAATGGTTTGACATTGGGTGCGTCGACTTCTATTTGTCGACCTATAAACCGGAATAACGTATGTTGACTTTTGCATCAGCTTTGATTACTTTGGGCGGACCTCGACGCCACTGCACACAGAGTATGTGACCACTTGAACTGAGCGGCATGGTGCTCATGCATCAGAACAGGATCTGTCAAGAGGTGTATCTCAACCTCGCGAAGAACGACTGTTTGGTAAAGCAGACGAAGGAACAGACTTACTGTGCAGGATGTGAAAAGTGCGACATCGTCGTATACTAACGAGAACGCACGCAGCTTACGGTGGCCTTCCTCCAAACAGATTCTTGGCCGACCGTTTCGTGGAGGGTACCTGCCCACATTGTAATTCTGACGTGCGCAAAAGAACCGCCTTGTGTGCGTAATTCGCTGCTAATTCACCTCATCATGCAGGATGCCCGTGGAGATCAATGCGACACTTGTGGTCGCACAATCGACGCCATCGAACTCATCAACCCTCGCTGTCTCGTTGACAAGACGCACAAGGTCGTGTCCAGGTCGTCTGCGCACATGTATGTCAGGCTCGACGCCATCCAGCCAAAAACGGAGGAGTGGATCAAGAAATCGTATGCAGCCGGGAAATGGTCCCCGAACGCCGTCATCAACAAGGAGGGGCAGTTGGTAGATGCTAGGATCAAGTCCGGGCTCAGACCGAGCCCAGTTACACGAGACCTTCAATGGGGAGTGCCAGTGCCGACTGCAGAGGGTGTAGACGATCAGGGGATGAAGGGCAAGGTGCTCTGTGAGTAAGATTCTATACGTCCCTTTCGCCAGTTTTCAGCGTGCTCATTCTTGATTGATCAGACGTCTGGGTATGTTTTAGCGCGCTAAGCCCTTGGTCACTACTCACGCGATTTTTTAGTTTGATGCCCCTATTGGATATCCTAGTATAACCGCAAACCTGACACCTGACTGGAAGAAATGGTGGTTCAACCCGGAGAACGTCCGTCTTTATCAGTTCATGGGCAAGGACAACGTCTACTTCCACACCGTGTTCTTCCCATGCATCCAACTCGGTGACGGACGACCATGGACCATGTTGCACCATCTTTCTACCACGGGTGCGTTCTATTCACTTTTTTTTTTCTCTTCACCTTTGTTGACGGCCTTCATGCATGCTCAGAGTATCTCAACTACGAGGGCGGCAAGTTCTCAAAGAGTCATAATCGTGGTGTGTTTGGTCCGGCTGCGAAGGAGACCGGTCTACCGTCGTCAGTGTGGAGATATTACCTCCTGTCGACACGGCCAGAAACTGCAGATGCCATGTTCTCGTGGGCTGATTGTGTGAGTGATAGCTCAAGCAGGATGCCAGTCAAGACAACTCACGCTATTATCAACAGATCTCCGCCAACAACAACGTGCTCCTGAACAAGTTTGTTGCTTCCTATATCTGACTATAACATCAACTGATTATCGTACTATAGCTTCGGAAACTTCGTCAATCGGGCTCTGAAGTTCATCGCCTCTCAGTACGACGGCGTCATCCCAGAAGGTCCCGATGTCCCCGGCCCGCTTTCCCTCAACGACCCCATCGACGCCGAATTCATATCCGAGGCGAACCGTATCATCAAAGATTACACCGACAAGATGGACGGCGTCGAACTCCGTGAGGGTCTCCATACCGTCATGCGTCTCTCCGCCTGCGGCAACTCCTACCTCCAAGCCTCGGGACTGAACAAAGCTTTGATGGCAGAGAACCCAGGTCGCTGCGCTCAGGTCGTGACAAGAGCTGCGAACTTGATCTACGTCCTCTCAGCTCTGGTTTACCCCTTCATGCCCGCTACGTCCGACGCTATCCTCGCGCAGCTGAATGCGCCCGCGAGGACGGTGCCGAAGGAGCTCTCCATCGATATCTTGGCTGGACATCACATCGGAAAGCCGGAGCATTTGTTTAAGAAGATCGAAGAGAAGATGGCGGATATTTGGAGAGATAAGTTTGCTGGGTCGAAACCTGCTGTGGCGGCCAACGCGGATGAGACACATGTTGCGCCTGCGATGTCGAAGAAAAAGGCGGCGGCACAGAAGAAGGCGGCCCAGAAGGCAGCTGCTGCGACTGGAGAGGATAGTGCTGGTCCGAAGTCTGCTGAGGTGCTTGCTTGGGAGGCTAAAATCGCGGAGCAGGGAGAGGTCGTAAGAGCGTTGAAGGGGAAGACACCAAAGACGCCGGAGTTGGAGCAGGAGATCACGAATGCCATAACGGAGCTGAAGAAAATGAAAGAGGAGTTGGCGGCCCTGTCGAAGTGAGCGCGGTGGTGTTGTGCGGCCAGGCGGGGAAGTTCAACGAATCGAGCAGGAGTAAATGTAAACATAGAAAGGTTGTACAACAATACAGTAGTTGCTCCGTAGATATCTTCATAGGGACTTACATAATCTACCGATGACGACACCGTCGTCGTTGCACACCGACGTAGGAACCTCGAGCTCGCTCATAGCTGACCTCATTGAACCCGGATCCCAAAATGAGAGCATTTCCTGGGATTATATAGTCTTGATTAATGGCTCTCCAGTACCGTTCACACACGAACGTCGTTACAACGTTTACAGTAAAACCCACATAATCCTGCCGCTATGGCATTGACTTCCGAACCATCTCAGGCTCTTCCGGTAACATCCCCTACGTTTCCCACAAACGTTGTCAAGCATCCCGAATTGTGGTTGAACGATGGGAATATCATCATCCGCGCCGTCTCCCAATTTTCTCGTGCATCCAATCCCCAGTCCACAGATGCGCCTTTTCCTCCTACACAAACGCTCTTCCGAGTGCATCGGTCAGTTCTTGCATTGCACTCTCCAGTCTTCAGCAGCCTCTTCGGCTTGGACCAGGGCTCGTTCGAATCCGCCTCGGAGACGTTTGAAGACATTCCCGTGATGGAGTTGCCAGACCCCGTAGAACACGTCGAATCCCTCTTGAAGGCTCTATACTTCCCTAGGTTTGTTCTTGGAGCGTAGGCCATGTTGTTCACCTTCACAGCCCGTCGGCTCATTGTTTCTCTTCAGCGAAACCTATCGGTATCTCAGAGAACTACAGGAGCCGACCGAGATCCATCGAATTCCGAATGAAATCGCTGGGGCGTTACTGCTCGCCACCAAGTACGAAATCGCCAGCCTGCAGAGGATCTTGACAGACGCGCTCACTAAGGCGTGGCCTGCGTCTCTGCGGGACTGGGATAAGAGAGTTGCCATGATCAATGAACGCCGTTTTGTCCCTCCAGACCCCGGTATGCTCATGCTTCTCTGTCATCGCCTCTATTAAAGACTCTAACAGCTCGTCCTTTGTGTTATGCAGCACAAGCTATACGACTCGCAGTGGCATCCAGAGCTTACAATGCCCTCCCTGCCGCGTTCTATGAACTTTGTCTGACCACCTGGCGCACCGACAGATCTCTCAACATTGCACCTCTGCATGCAGACGAACTCCGATGTCTCCTGTACGGGCAGAAGAGACTGATGGGAAGATTCGATCCCGGAGGGGACTCATATCTTCCATCACTGTTACTTCGACTCCCTCCTTTGCCATGCCCTGAGGGTCTCGAGTGCTTAGACAGAACGATACAGTGGATCCACGGCTTTGCGAACAAATTTCCCGGATACATCACCAAAGGGTTCGATCCCCTGCGTTGGATCACGGATGCGAGAGACGATTTGGGGTCAGGGGACTTAAGGTGCTGTGATACTTGCAAAATTCGGATGAACACAGTCTTTGATACAGAGAGGACTCAAATATGGAATCATCTGGGAGAATATTTCTCGCTTGTGAGTTGTTTCCTCGGATTTCTTCGCCATTTTTATGCGGCGTACCTATCTTACTGATATTTTATTTCACGTCGAAGAACGGCCTGCAAGAATCGCATCAGTGAGTTGTAGGCCACGAGTCGGCTAGGAGAACCGGCAGCTAGGCACGGAAGCTGGAATCCTTGGTTGATACTTATTTCGCATCTCATACCACGCAGGGAAGTATATATGTTTTCCTGTGTCACACTTACGGTGGCGCGCTCGCTCTGCTGCGTGTACGCATATCGCGATGGTTCTCCAGGGGTATCGTGGCCCAATTACATGCCATGTGTGAAGTCTACACATGTTAAAAGGCACGGTGACTGGTACAGTTGACCTCTTTGTCTCATAAGGTAGCATTTCACCAAAGAGGGCCGTTACCATACCAATGCTCACACCAGCGGCGGCAGGATGTGCTGTCTATGTCCTACTCACAGAACATCAGTGAAAAAGTAGGAAGCCTTGTGCCATCAAGATGCGAGTGTGAATTCTATCCTTGCATTGAAGACCATGCGCACCTGGACTTGTGGGGACAGAAGTGATTGACAAAGCTAAGAATATTGAATTGAGAGTTTCAGAGCGGACACGAAACTTGAAGGTATATTATAAAGTAAAGGGGCATAATCGTAAGTCGTGCAGCATAGGGCATAGGTTGGTGTAGGAGAGAGAGGTGATATTAGGGACAGCAGAGCAAGAGCGTCGATCCTAAGAATAAGCATTCCAAGCAAAGGCTGACTGCTCTGATCATGCGAAGAGCTGTTTCTTGCTTCGATCAAACTCAGACTGGGAGGTCCTTCCGTCCGTAATAGACGCCGCTGAGGAAGACACTGGTGGTGGGAAAGAAGTCACAGGAGGGCGAGTGTCAAGAGAGGCGAACTGTTGCCCTGAGTCGGACGTGACCGGGGCCTTGTATGCCGGATGGTCTTTGTTCGAAGCAGAGGAAGACGGTTTCCTACGCTTAGAGCTTGAAGCAGAAGACACAGGCTTGGTGAACACCCTACCATCGAAGCCTGCGCGGTGATGAGGTATGTGCCCATGGACTTTTTTCATATGACGGGTCTTTCTCGAGGGGTCGATATAGGTCCATTGACACTCTTCTACGGGGCACACTAACCGTATGTTGGTGCTGTCGAGGCATGACTGGATTAGTATTGGGCTAGCAACTTGGCTGAGATGAATTTACGCACTGGGTTCTCATGTGGGTTTTGAGGTTACTGAGCTGGGCAGTCTTGTGTCCGCAGACGGAACATGTATGTTTACTGGTAAGAAAAAATACGATCAGATATGTGTGGTGGGACCGAGATATCGTTCAGGGAATAGCGAACCTCCTCTCGGCTTTTTCGGGGCGGTGCGTCAGGTTATCATGTCGTAACAAGTTGGCATAGTAGGCGAAAGCGAGAGGACAGTGTGGGCATGGGTAGTCCCTTGGATAATCCGGTTCAGAGGGCGGAGATGACATCGGCACAATTATTAGATGACGGTAGCGGGCCCTGATGTGGTCAAAGGGTTAGAGAAGTATTGGTGGGATTATGGAGCAAAGAGCATCTCACCTAACGATATTTATATTGTCTTGCGCTCGCTGTGAGGTCGTAGCGATCGGTTCATGAATTTGAAGACACCTGCACGTCATGATGTAATGATGGCACTGAAGTAAGGTCTGAAGCTGGTTGCCATGACATGAACGGATAGCAGACAAAGGACGGAAGTCAAAGGGAGCGAGGGGTCTGGGGCGTGCCAAAAGAAATACTCCAGGACACCCGAGATCGGAGCCAGCCCAGGTGTCTTGTCATGGAGACCTTGAAAGATATCCAAAACAACAAAGGCCTCAAAGAGACAGTCTTGGCAGTTAATTTACAGACTAAGGTCTGCTAGGCCGGCATGGGAATGTGTCTCCCTCGGGTTTGGGCCGTTTGGGCGTAAGGACAATGCGATGATGGAGGCTCCCCACCGCAGCGAGGTTCTCAAATGATCGGAGGCGTGGAATATTCGACGTAGGGTGCCAGTTCACAGTCCACTATTAAAGAGCTACATTTGAGACCATTGTTACTTCTGGTACAAGAGGAATGCGGTTCGAACCTGGAATGAACGCCGCACTCGATGCGTTCTGGGTGTTCAAACTCCGCTGTAACTCCGCCGAACACATGCAAGTTCTCCGCGAACGCGACTCGCCCAAGTTCACACGCGCCCTCTTGCTCTCGCCTGCTTACAGCTTACAGGCGCAGGTCTCGGATAACTTGTTACTACACCTGAAATTGCGAGTCATATTTGACTGAGGCTCTTCTTTGTCTCAATAGTTGTCTGGATCACGCACGGTCGCTGGTTGCTGTGACATGGACTCCGATTCAGAGATGACATACTCCGGGCTTGACGAGGGTGCCGGCACGTCAATCCCCTTCATGCCAGACACCGTATCTGTGAGTGATATATTTGTAATGTTCCACTTCTGCGGGATTGATGAGCGTGTCTTTGCCTGCCAAGATCCGACGCAGAAGGCGACGGCCAGGATTTCAAGATCGTACCATACTATCGGACGACTTGACCGTCATATATGAACCACATACAACCACCCCGCCTATCGATGTTCCCGAATCGACCATTGAATCAACTAGAGACTTCACCATGATTCCTCCCATCCAGACCATTGACGCGACGACCTCGAGTCCGTCTTCGAACTCCTCCGACGAGAAGGTGCCGCTCAGTATCGAGGCATTCCTCCAGTTAAAATCGACTCACAATAATGCGAAGACTTATGGGAAACGGAAACGAAGGGCTGTAGTCGACCTCAACCATGGCTCCAATGGCTTCAACTCGGACGACGCTGCCATGGGCTCAGGCTCCGGTGAAGATGATACCCAGGAAATGAGTGGTGTGACTTCAGACACCGTCGGTCTCTATATATGTCTTGAGCCGCGCTTTCACTGACTGCTGCTCTTTTCGCCATCGATATCAGCTTCCCATTCTTCCTCTCAAGAAACGTAGACGTCCGAACCGTCGAACAAAGCCGCTTGCTCAACGGATGTTCGAGGCAGCAGTACTCTCCGGTGTTGAACTCCCGCCATCGAACGACGCACATACACCCACTCGACGACCCTTGCCTTTTCAGACCATACGAGGCCCGTCAGATTTTGGCGCAATACGAACAAAACGCACTCGTCTAGCGCATATATCGAGCTCTCCGAGTACTAACTCTACGGATAGACGGTCACCCAAGTCCGGCGACGTCTTTGGGGAATCGACATCCAATACGGTCACCGCAATCCCACAAGACACCTCGAAGTCATCGAAGGTAGTCAACGCGCCCGGAAAGTCCGGGTCTACGAGCAAGGTATTTTCGCGTAGCCGCAATGGCTATAAGCCATTGTCATTCATTCCTCTCAGCGAGATGATTGCACACAATTTGGGCGAAATACGAACAATACGAACGCATATATCGAGCTCTCCGAGTACCCACCCTACGGATATACAGTCAACCAAGTCCGACGACAGTACGGTCACGGCGGTTCCACAAGAGACATGGAAGTCATCGAAGACAAGTTCTCGAACCAATGTGTCTGGAAAGTCCGGGTCAACGAGCAGCGCATTTTCGCATAGACGCAATGGCTATAGACCATTGACATTCGTTCCTCTCAACGAACACGAGGAGATGATCGCACGCAGATGGGGAACCTCTCGGTATGTCTTCCTTCGACTGCCTTTATCGTCGCTGTCGTTAACATCCTGCGTATTAGCACCAAGGGAGACCGTAAACTCGCCTTGGTAAAGACGCTGCTACCGGCACAAGGTCCACAACGCGTTCACTCACCCTCGAAGTTATCCTGCGGCCCATGCATAGATGACCATCGACCTGCGGCGCATAGAATTCCTGCTCCGAACGACTTCTCGGCGGAAACACGTCTGCACATCGACCGTGCTTCACACAACGACGACTCTTCTCTTGCTCCTTGTCACCCTTCTGCCTCCAGTGTAAACGCTCCTGTCTCTGACGCACCTGTGTTTTCCATGAATTCTTGTGCCCCAGAACCGCCTAATCTTCCCCAAGCCTCTTTCTCGAATGCCTCTCCACTTAGTACTCGCCGTGCTCGCATACGTCCAACTCAACCTGAGAAGACTTCATCCGGACCTCTATCATCTACGCAGAGCAGCTTCCTTCCGACCTTTCACAATCTCTTGCAGTCACTCACAGCGTCTCAATGCCCCTCGTCTACCTCTTCTTGAACTGCTATCCTCCAGCCACTGCTGTATCTTTTGTAACTCGAGTTCTCACTGACACTTTACGTCTACTTCGCATTCATGACTGATTCGGCTGGAGCCTGGGACGATGACTCTGCTTGTACTGCTCTCGAAGGGCTGATTCGTGTTGTATTTTGTGCACTGTCATTGTCATACGCAATGCATCAATATTATAATCTTCTGCAGAGGAACATAGTTATATGGTGTGGTGACCCATATATGTTCGCCGTCGGGTTCGGGTGTTATTGTGCTCTGCTGGCGCCACCCCTGTTCCACGCGAAACTTAGATATCTAAAACACGATGCTGCTATAAACTCCCGGGGCGACACGAGCCTATGTGGCAGTATGTACACTCACAATAAGGTCGCCTTGCAAGTTGCTCACGTCAATCTTCGACGTTTATCTTGACGTAAGTTAACAGTCGCGCGCGAGGGACAAAGCCATAAATCCTACGTATACAGTACATTCATCGCCAGAGATACCTGTCTCGTACATGTTTAATTCTCTTTCCAATAGATACGAAAACCTATATGCAAATGTCCCGCAAAGCAGAGAAGAGAGCAAGACTGAGAGATGCGAGATGCGAGATGCGAAATGGAGGGTTTCCTCTTCGTGCGACTCCCCTACGATCCATCTGTCGGTCTCGGCTTAGCTCGCACGGCCCGCAGGTTAGGATACGTCAGCATCAACCTATGCTGGTCTCTCGAAGCGTGGATTTCCTCGAACTGCGATAAGTGGATGGGCACGGGGGATTGGTTTATGACCTGAGTACGATAGACGCGGAATACAGCACGAGCGGAGACGCGCACCTTGGTGCCCTCTGGGAGAGGTATGGTCCGACTGAACTTAGTCTCCTCTCTGTCTCGAAGAATCTTGCCGCCTTCCACACGCTCGGTCACTTTGACGGTTTGCCATGTAACGACGAGTCGATCGACCTGGTAGCTGACGTGCATGTCCTGTTTCTTTACGCCTGGGAGGTCGAACGCAGCCATGACCTATGGGAAGAGAAGGGTGTGAACGAAGAGGTATGGGCGATATTTAAGAGTAAAGATGTACTCTTCTGCCGTCTGGAGAGTCCTTGAAGGTAACGCTGGAAAGGCATTCAGGATGTAAAAGAGGAGACAGGTAGAACGTGCAGACTCACTGTGACTTTCGTCTCTTCAGCTGGGATCTGACCGGAGGTGATTCTCGCGGAGGTGACTCGACTCGTTCGGCGGACTGCTCTCCAGCAGACAAAGCCTCCTCCAAAGACTTTATCTTTCCTGGAGACTTGGCCATTGTTCTTTCCTTTCTCCTCCTAACCTCGCTCCATATGTGATCCAGAGAGTCTGAATCTGCGGGAGTTTCGGGTTCAGTGTTCGACGACGTGGATGGATGGGAGTACAGGGGGGTGGAGAAAGGCTCCGGAGCCATTGGGCGCTCGTGCTCGCGTGAGGATAGTGGGCTGTAGTAGAAGGGGCTATCTTCTGGGCTGTCTGGTGACACGGGTTGGGCAGAGAAGATTTTATCGAAGGCCTCCCAAGAGTGTAAGTAGTCGTCCTTGTCGATTCGACGACCTGCAGGCATGCTCGAGGTCTGGGGTACTGTAAGTAGCCTTGGGCTAAGGTCGACCGGAGATAGGCCCGTGCCCGCTAGTGCTCCTTGGGGTGAGAAGATCCGAAGCGTGATAGAGAGACCTGCTATATCAAGAGGTATGCTGCAGGAACAGGGGATGTTTGCGTGCTGTCGAAAGATCGAGCGGAGAGTGCACGAAAGAGACGGTGCAAAGGTTATCGTCTGATGTGACGCTCGTGGGGGTTATTTCGACAGCGCAGCCATCAGCGTCAAGACTGACAGGCTGAGTGGTGATCACGGAAACGCTGAAAAATAAGCAGCACAAAATGATAAAAGATTTGGGTCGTCGAAGCTCTCGTGGCGATTGTATTTCATACCGTCACCCATGGAGCAAAGCGACCTCGTTGTAAACACGAGGCGGGGCTATGATATGCACAGGCAGTGGTTTTATGTGATTCTTTGGAACGACGCATGAGCGAAGAAGTGTATTGAGGCGGCACATAGATGTGAGCTCACGACTACAAGTAGCTATATGTACCGAAGATAACTAGGGATTGATGAAGGTAACGAACGGTGTCTGTTTCTGCCTTGTGGTCCAGGTATATTCAAGTTCCGCTGACGGCCATCGCCGAGGGCGCTAGCGATGGCAAATTGAGCGACAGGCGCTCTCTGCTCTCCATCCCGTTCGACGTCGGTGAGTGTTCAGCGTCGGGCATCACAGCGCTCGGTACGCCACACTGACCGCCGAAATCTGTCCTTGCGCCCTTTGCAGACGTATCAGCAGTGCTCTGGCACGTTAGCCAGCCAATTTTTCACCCGGTGCGGCCGTGGGATGCACCTGATACTTGCCACCCGCCCCTCTTCTGAGATTTCTCGCATCCATGTCGAGCACTCGTGGTAGGAAGAGAAATGAGGCGCTCCCGCCAAGTAGGGCTCGGGATATTCAAGTACGCACCTCTGCACTCGAGCATCAGACTTTCACTAATCATCAATTGGCCTTTAGCGTGCGTTTCGTGCTCGCCGAGCAGCTCATTTACAAGTGAGATCTCGCAAAAGTCCATCCTTTGCCTGTGCTCAATGTTTACCTTCTAGGCCCTTGAACAACGGGTAGAGGAACTGGAGGAGGAGAACAAGACTCTCAGAGCGGCGCTGAACCTCCCCCCAGCGAATCGCCCCACACTTGGCAAAGGACCCACCGGCAAGGACAAACCGAAACATTCTTCCTCACTTTCGGCCTCTCCTCCCCTCGCATCGTCATCTCACTCTCAACAAGATTCTCTTCCCATTCCTCAGTCTCAATCCCCTGCTGCACAAGTCGAGCCACCAGTTACACAGATGCACCACCATCCTCTCGCGTCTCCCAACATGACCATGTCCAATACTCGCTCGATGCCCCAACCGATGATGTCCAACCACGAGCACGCCCATCAGGGCTATGGCACTCACCCCGTCTACCAACAACACCCCCCTCGCAACAACGCTCCGTGAGGCACGGACTCCATACGCTTCTCTACCTATTTTTACCGGAGCGAACGCGAGTGGAGATGCCATTACTGACTGTGTCATGGCACTGCTTTGAGGTGAGACTTCCGCTTTATTTGCCAGCGCCCTTTTTTCTCCATTCGATATGATGCTCTAGTCAATAGCATGTTAGACTACCAATCCCTCAAAGAGGTTGCGGATAACTTTTGGACTACTGATCTTACTCTCTGTCTTTTGACTTGCCCTTTGTTCTTGCGTACTAATCTTCGACTCTCTCCATAGATTTTGATCGGGACGAACCGAATGTCGTCTAGCTTATACAGTGGACTTGCCTTTCCTGAGATGACGAGTGAACTTTTGGACCGTATTTGTAGTCTTTTCGGGCCCTTTTCTTATCACTACATAAATGCTCTCTTCGATCTGGTATGATACATATGTACTCCATACATCATAGCAACAATGAGATAATGCTTCGGACTTGTCAACGTTAACACAACACAAGAAAATAGCAGAAACATGTCCGCGTCATGGCTCAGGCATCGAGGTTCCTCATCATCATCACTGTCCGGGCGGCTTGAACTTCTTGTTCGAGTACCCAGTGTGAGGTCGACCCATACCCAGACGTCTCTTTACACCGGCGACTGGTCCCGGAGGGTCAGCAGCGGGAGATGAAGAGACGGTGTGTGATGATGGAAGACTTGGGGACGAAGAGTGTGGGGCGATAGTGGGGTGATGGTGGTGTGTTTGAGGGGCCACTTGTGCTCGGATTCGTGGTAGGGCAGTTGACAGTGAGGACTTTGTCTTTCGAGGGGATGTATTCGCAGATATGCGTGATGGGCCGGCTCGAGGAGGCGAAGCCCCCGAAGATCGAGCTTGGGGGGCGGTTTGAGGTTTTGACCTCCCTTTCTGCGACGTAGAACTGGGCCCCGATGCTGTAGCGTGAGCGATTATGGCGACTGGTAGAGGCCTCGTCGACGTCGAAGCTTGAGTAGAAGGCGGGGTAGAAACATCGGTCTGGTAGCTGTTCCGATTGCGATGGCCAGGCGGAGAGGCTGTAGGTGGGGGCGGCATGGGCTCATGCTCCAGGTCATGAGTAAGAGATGTGGTGGCGATCTTGGAGGGAGGTTTACGGCGGGAGGGAGATGCGACTCTGGGCAGTGCTCGAGTCTGGGCTTTCTCCGCCTTACGTGCCAGGAAAGCTGAGACTCTCGGGTCGTCGGGCTGGGCGTCATCCATTGGTGGTGTGGAAGCAGCGACTGTGACGATGCGGGAAGTGGAGGCGCCAGCTGTTTGTTGAGGCATCGCAGGGTCATTAGGCTCTACGCTCCCTGATTCCAAAATCTTCTTTCCGCCTGTAAAACCATTCGGATAACGAGAAACACCGATAGCTAGTCAGCTAGATGTGGTATAAAGAAGGATGATTTACGTGAGACTAACTCTTGAACTCGGTCGAGTACATCGTACTCTGTTCGGCATCCCGGTGGACGTCAATAACGTGACTTTGATACTGTGGCGCCTGCTGGGGCATTTGCATCAAGGTTTCCCCCCGGCGAACGTGTACGCCTGCTTTCTCACTTACCGCGATAGATCGTGAACGTGAGCAACAAGAACGCCGGCCAAAAGAGAGGGACAATACTTACTATTCGCGCATTCTCTTGTTGATATCTTCTATCGAAGGACATGGTTGTCGAAGCACACGCGAGATGACCTCGACTTCCGGGTAGTTCATCGCTGGAGGCTGGGTCGTCGTCAAGGTCTGTGGCCAGATGAACAGTGAGTCTGAGATCAGTGTCAACTTTGAGAACCGGAGATGAGGAAGCGCACAAGGTCATCTTTGAGCACGGCGGATATGAATTCCGAGACTTGTGTGAACTTGACCTTGCCTCCGTGCATACGGCCTACCACGTTGGAAATGTACAGCAGACCTTGCGCCCTGGTACATGCCACGTACAGAAGACGCCTGTGGAGAAATTAAGCGTCAGCTAGGACAGCCTGTGTGATCGAGCATGCCAGCGCGTACCGTTCTTCTTCAGTATCCTCCGTTCGGTAAAAGGGAAAGATGTCTTTCTCGACTAGAATATCTCGTGTGAGATGCCGCGTCTACTTCGGACATGAGGACGGAAATTGGCGCACCTGCGGGAACGAAAACGACAGGCCATTCCAGTCCCTTCGCTGCGTGGCATGTCGAGATTGTGACTTTCTGGTGACGAGAGCAGGGTCTGGGTAAGATCGAAAGCGGAAGTGAAAGCGAAAGTTCCGAAGTCTTACATTCTTGTCACCGTCTTCTCTGGTCTCTGAGTCAGTTGACAGCATAGACGCTTGCAGGAAAGTGCGCAGCGGGGTCTCGAGTCTATAGTCCTTAGTTCAGAAGAGGTTCCTTGAAGCGTATGAGTGGGGTCGACTCACAGTCCTTGTTCAGTTTTGGGAGGTGTAGTAACGGGCTTCTCCTTCTCCTTTCCTTTGACTTCGCTCGCAGGCTCATCGACAACCATAAAGCCATCTTGCTCAAGATCATACATCTCGATGTTGTCCTGTTCTTGCGATTGAGATTGGTCCTGTGACTGAGATGCTTGTGGCACTTCCACTGCGTCGAGATCCATGCGTATGGTTTCCTGAGGTTGAGCTGCGAAGGTGATCAACTCCTGGACGTTCTCCCATCGGGTCTCCCAGTCCGGAAATAGCTTCTTGAGGTATCCTTCGTAAGCTGTGAGCTCGAGCAGCTCGCGTATGAGGTCTGCTGGGGGCGTTCCCTAAACAATAGCAATTGCCACTGATCAGCAATAGATCGAAAGAGCGTGCTGTGAGGTAAGAGCTAGTGGGGGTGGGATGTACCGAGTTAGCGAGCTTGCGAAGCTTCCGAATGGTCGGCACGAAACTCCCTATCTTGCGCTTTACAGCGGGTTTGATGTCTGGCATTTTGCTATCGTATATGCCCTCAAGGAGAGTCAGTGGCGAAATCTTGTCCTTTTCTGCTCTGGCAAGTATCTCGTTCACGGACTAGAGGTGAACCATCAAAGTATGAGCTTGAAAACTCTTCGCGATGAAATACTTTGCCGACCTTTTCGCCAATGGTGCGTGGAGGTGTGTTTATGCACCGAACGAAAGCAGGGACGAAGAGGGGATTGTCGACAGTCTGGAGATAAGCCAAGAGGTCCTTGATCTGTACGTCGGTATAAGTAAGAGGGTGCAACTACAACTCTGACAAGGTTGGGTGGTGATATGTTCACCTCAATCCGTTCAAAGAATTTATGTCCGTTCAAAACTCGGTTGGGGATGCCTTCCTTTTGTAGAGCAGCTTCGAGGGCGCGAGAGAGCGCATTAAAACGCACTAGAGTGAGACGGTCAGCGAGATCATAGAGCATAAAGGGATATAGAGACGCATACACAGGATAACAAAATCCTTCCATTCAAACATGCCGCCGCTTGCTGCAACAAGACGCTTGGTTTCCGTGGCGATGAACTGAGCCTCCATCTTCTCGTCGCGAAATGTACCTAGCATTGGGATGGTCCCGTGTGGATGTGATGTATGTAGAGACTTGGGTATACGTGTTTTGTCTGTTTCGAGACGGTAGGAGGGGGTCAGCTAACGCATATACTCAGATAGTACGGTACCAAAGAACAAGTGAAATACCTTTCGAGACAATAGCCAGGCTTACAGCAAGAATGGAAGCTGTTGATCTGTAGTTTTCTTCCAGAAAAATCTGTTCCGTTGTGGAAAAGTCTAATGATGGGTTAGTTCACAATATAGCAAGACGGAATGTGTTTATAGAGGGCTAACCTTTTTGCATCTTCTTCAGATTGGCCACGTCCGCTGAACGCCAGCCGTAGACTTGGAGCAGGTTAGTTGGTAGAGGTTGACGCAAGAATTATCGACGCACTGGATTGATCTGGATCGCCCACGACGGTAACGGAGGTGTGGTGGGTCGCAAGATGCTTCATGATTGCGTACTGCATTGTGTTCGTATCTTGACTGAGAGCACGGTCGGTCGACCGTCAATAGCTCTGAAGAAAGAACAACTTACAATTCATCAACAAGTACATGGCGACACCACGAGACCACTTTGTCGTGGCCCCTGAATAGTTTCACACCATATACGAGGAGGTCATCGAAGTCGAGGCTGTTGCTTTTCCTCAACGTCTTTTGGTAGTCCGTGTAGACCTCAGCGAACATGACTGTGAGGGGATCGGGAGGCGGTGGATTGGGCGGTATTATGCCGTCCTTCGCGACAGAGAATCGAAGGTACTGTTGTGGATTATGGCCTTGGGCTTTGGCTTTAGAAATGACGGACATGACGGTCTTCGCCTTGACCGTGATCCCCTTTGCTTCCCATTCCTCTAGCCGGGGCTTGACCAACTTCGTGATCAGCTTCTCACTGGTGAAGAATAACCAAACATTCGTAATCTAACAACTGCCAGCAAATATGGAAAAATCGCACCTTTCGTCAGCATCACAGATCGTGAAATTGGAGTCAACTCCAGCCAACGTGCCATGTCGCCGCAAGAAGAGAGCGCAGAGCGCATGGAATGTTCCCATCTTGATCTGGTAGGTCCAGTCCCTGCCTATTAGTTTTGAAAGTCGTTCCTTCATCTCGTTTGCAGCCTTGTTGGTGAACGTTACGGCGCATATCGCTGAGGGAGGAATACGATGATGAAGAATGAGGTGTGCGATTCGCGATGTGAGAACCTGAGGTTCACCGACAGTTATCAGAAGTCGTTTCAGTGAAAGAAAGATTGTCTCAGACTTTGGTCTTTCCACTTCCTGGACCAGCCAAAATCTGAAGTGGGATGTCCGGACAGTGACGGACGGCTAGAGCGCAGCGTAAGATCAGTATTCAGGCTTGCGATATGAACTGGGCGGCAATGGTGAGTTGTGGCCTGCCTTTCTCTTGTGATGGGTTCAATGACGCTGTGATATAGTCGACCATGATTCAAAGCTTCCTGAGGCCAGATGAGTGTTTCTTGGAAAGGGTAAGAGGGCGAAGCCGATTGCTCGCATACACAAAGCCTCATATGGGCGATGGCAAGACACAAGAGCCACAACCGCGTCGCGTCGCGTCCCAGGGAATATCCACGTGATCGGCTTCTCCCTGCCTCGAGTCTCGGGTTAGGGTCATTTTCTAACTTGTTCACTCGGTACCTCATGATAGCGAGTGTGGTTATTAGGGCAGCCGCACACGACATTCTTGGGCAAATATTATAAGCTATTGATACATAGTACGAGAAGTCGTGTGGTCCTACATCGAAGGTTCCCAGAATAAAGAATAGATGTGAGTCCTCATGGGGACGCCGCTGGCGAATCGGCCTGTATGGATTTGAGGATATATCCCTCCAACCCTCCACAGATCCACAACTCCTGCACGCTAGGTCCAACCGGCTTGATGATATAGTTCTTCTCACCACCCTCCAGACCCTTCACCACGACTGTCCCATCCTTCATGCTGACCGAGATCTCCAGTCCCTTGTTCACGGTCAACTCTCCGTCTTTGCCACCAGCTCCCCTCTTCCCATCCTTAGCATAAGCATTGGTGAGGTCAGCGATGAGCTCCGGAGACTCGATGCAGACGAGACCGTTGTTGATCGAGTTGCGTTTGAAAATATCGCCGAAGGAACCTGCGATCACGAGGGGTATACCAGCTGCTTTGAGCGCTGTAGCAGCTTGTTCGCGAGAAGATCCAGTGCCGAGGTTGTAGCCTGCTACGAGTATGATACCCTGCTTGGCCCCTGAGTTGGAGGGCGATGCGGTCGGTGCTTGCTTCTCTCGGATGGATGCGACGAGGGACGCGAAAGTTGGATCGTAGTTCTCCATGACGACTTGGGCCTGACGCTCGAGAGTTATATCGTCCTGATAGGTGTATTTCCCGGGGTAGATGCCGTCCGTGTTAAGATTGTCTTGGGGAGTGAAAAGGAGGGGCCCACTGAACGATGTAGGAAACTCGGGGAGTATAGGCTCGTTAGCGGCTGCCGCAGTTTTCGATGCTGCCGCCGCATCAGGAGTGTTAGCAAAGAAGGTAGGGGCCTTCGTGGGAGGGAGTGCGGCGGGGTCAAGCGAGTCAGGACTGCAGATATATCCCTTTATGGCGCTGGCGGCGACCACAGCAGGACTAGCGAGATATGCTTGAGCATTGGGGTGGCCCATGCGACCCTTGTAATTTCGGTTCGTCGCACTGATACCAGTCTGCCCCTCCTCGAGCAGACCGACGCCGAGACCGATGCAAGGGCCGCATCCAGCGGGAAGGGTCTTTGCGCCGCTCTGAACGAGAGCATCCCAGTCACCCAGGCGCTCGCTCTCTTGTTGTACAGCGGAACTGGCGGCGGCGATGTAGAATTCCACTCCGGGTGCAATTTTGTGGCCACGGACGACAGCTGCGGCGGCAGCGATGTCCGAAACGCGTGAGTTGGTGCAACTCACGAGATAAGCCTTTTGGATTGGGACATGCGAGGCTTCGAGCTCGGGGAGAGGGGTGGAGATTTTGACGGAGTTGGGTCCGGAAACGTGTGGCACGAGTGTGGCAAGGTCCAGAACGAGATGCGAAGCATACTCGGCTCCAGGATCTGAAGCCAGGCGGTTGGCACGCACAGAGTCCAATCTTTGGCGGTTGATACGAGGGTGCTCTGGTGGTGGTGGGATAGAAGAGTCCGTTGCTGATGCAAATGTCCGGAGCTCTAACCGCTTGAGTACGCCTTCATACCATTCCAACAGCGTATCATCGACAGGGAAATGGCCGACAAGGGCACCCCACTCCGTAGTCATGTTCGAAATCGCTAGCCTGTCATCGACAGAGAGAGCAGCGATACCGTCGCCTGTGAACTCGAGGGCCGCGTTGAGCACTTCGTCCTGGTTGAATGAACCACAGAGTGCGACAATGACATCCTTTCCAGTGACTCCTGGAGCGAGATGCCCTCGAAGCTCGACCTTGATCATGCGTGGAACTTGCCACCAGGTTTTTCCGGTGGCCCAGATAGCAGCAGCATCCGTCCTGACGATAGGTGTTCCGACGCAGCCTACGCCTCCATACATGTTACTGTGGCTATCTGACGCCACAGTCATGGTATAGGGAAAGGCATAGCCTTCCTCGACGAGAATCTGGTGACCGATACCGCGTCCTGCGGGGAAGAAGTCGACAGAGTGCTTGCGGGCAAAGGTCTCGATGTTATAGTATTTCGCAAGGTTCTTGGTCGACTTGTTCTGAACGTCATGATCCAGAGTAAAGACTAGTTGTCTTGGATTGTTAATTCGGCTGGCACCAATGGAGTTGAACCTGAGAAGCATGGCATGGCATCCTTAAGCATCGTCAGAGTGAATAAGGAGTGTCCGACGCACTTGGATATCACAGGTCCTGTGTTGTCATGAGTCATGACATGCTCTGGTCGAATCATAACATAGTCGCCTGCCTTGACGACCTTTCCCTCTGGGAGGCCGACAGCATATTTTTGAACGACCTTCTCAATCACGGTCTGGGGTATTGGAGGAGTGGTGGAGGAGACCGTCGCAAACTGTCTCTTCGCGCCGAGCACTGAGCGCCATAACGAGCGCATGGCAAACTAGAGAATTGTCACATATCATTTCATGAATCCCGATGACAAGGAAACGAAAGGGTGTGATTATGCATACCGGAAGTGCCTTGGGCGAAGTCAGTTGTGGCGAAGCCAGACAATTTCTTCGATCCAAAGTTCTGATCAGATTTAGACCTAACCCTACTCAAGGGGTAGCTGGTGTGGCCGCCAATCAAAACGCTTGCCTTACTTCACCACCTTTCTACGCCACTCTACACCGACTTGACTCATTCCATCTCCTTCAACTAAACTACCAGGTGCCCCAAGCGGACTTTACTGCAGTTACTTAGAATAAGTGATTCACCACAGCTTCTAGAGTATTACTTAGGGACATCAAGTGGCAGACATCCAGTAAGCATTCAACTAATACTAGGCATCTCGTCAGGTACTTGTCTCCCATCCTCCTAACTCGATCGCCCATGCGACGGCCATCTTTGAGAATTGAAGTAGGTGTGACCAGCTGAATTCATCCGAGATGTCGATCGCGCTGCATGAGAAAGGAGAGCACGCGGTTAAGAGAAAGGTATGGAGGTCATCAATATGGGAAAGTTAATTCGAAAACGACTTACTCGTATGCCCTGTGCGCGTTTGCACGATTCCAGTTCTCGAATGTGCCCTCTAATCGGCCGTTACATTTGGAGTGAGTACGGTGTTGACCGTCAAGTTTTGATTAACGTACCAGCTACGAACGAGGAGGGATACTTTGCTTTGTTCCATGGTGCACTGCGACAGAATCAGTGCATGCACAACAACTCAACATCGAACACCTACTGATCACTGCATGCGTAGCCGCCTGGAATAATAGAAGATAAATGTCATATGCACGTATGGAGAATATCGCAGTCAAAAAGCTTACAAGTTGTCTGGATACGGATGGTGGATTAGTAACGAATGTGATAGCGCATTGACGACCAAAATCATAAGACGTACTTCTACCCAAGGTATATCAAGGTAGGTCTCGACGAGCTTCTTGTTGAATTCGGTCAAGCTTCAAGGTTGTTTCAGTCGTGTGTTAAATCGAGGGCCGGAAGTGTAGGACTAACCTCTCGTCAATCCACTGGTCTTTAATGATGCCGAATTCCTCTCGGGTCCCTTTCATGATCCAGGCCGTCATATCGAACTTCAAATAATTCAAAGGCGAATCGCGCGTGAACAGACTGTGTAAGAGAGTATCGAATGACATGACATGCCTGGATCTGTGCGAGAACATTGACCCCTTGGACCTCATAAGCGTGCGCCACCGCCTGCGATCCTAAGAGGCCTGCCTCCTATAGTTTGGACAAACGTAGTCTCCCCTCAGCACTAGAATGTCCTGTGGCAGTACGAGGCTTACCTCCGCAGAATACCAGTGAAACTCGACGTTTTCTAGGGGGTGAAAGTCTGCGGCAAGTAGCGCACGGTATGCTTCGAGGATAGTCACAGTTCCAGAACCTAAGAGTAGAGAAAATATATGAGTATTCGCAAATTCGTCTAGTTATGGTGAAATATGACTCGCCATCGTCATCAGCACCTGCAGTTGTGGAAAGTCAGCGTACATGAAAGATAAAATGAAATATGGATGGTCCTGGACCTACCAGGAGCTCGCATCCAAGGAACAAAGTTCGCGCTGTCAATGTGAGCTTGAAGGAAGTGGTTAGACTGCTATGCCAGAGCTTCAGAGATCATATCAGGCTCGTACAGCTCATGATAATAACTCCATCGTCGGTCGGCGAGGATCCGTTGATGCGCACAATCTAAGATAATGATCAGCGAGCCTTGGCGAGACGGATAAAATTGCGGTGCGACTCACGATAGACTGTTGTCCCCATGAATGCGGAAATGTAGTCTGCGTGATGCGTTCTCGAAGCCCTTTCGGAGCATTCGCTTCTGTGACCTATTGGTGCTCAAAGAGTCTCAGTGTTGAGATACGTCTTCAGATGCAGAGATTCAGCACCTCAGCTATCTTCGAAGCCAGCCACAGCGCACTGTCATGACCAGTCTTGATCTATATAAGTGCCTGCAGATTTCGAAGGGCATAATGCTATGGTACCTTGCTTGTATAATCTGGTATATATATTATGAGCGTTCTGCATAGAAGACGCAAAAAAAGCATCATACATCTTGTGTAGAAACTAGTAAATTCTTCAAGAATACGGGAGGGCAGATCCGTGGAGAGCGTCTTGATTACTTTCGTGACTTTCTCATCTGCGCTAGAGATCTCGGGGTAGACTATACGTCGAACGGACAATCAGCTATAGGAGAGAAACTGACGGTAGGAAAGCGTACAAACCGTGTTTGCGACGAAGTCCGCTGACTGTTCCCAGATTCGGTGTTTCCGTACTGAAGATCTCATGTCAATAGACTTTTGAGGACAGTACCCTGTAAATAAAACTTACATATCGAAGAACTTGAGACCGCTTGCCCATGCTTGGATCTGGGTTCATAAACAACCAAACGAGGTCAGCGAGCCGCTATGTATCTTCAAAATCACTATGAATACAAATACACACCTTTTCCCATTCGGTCATCGACTGGACGAGACCATCTTCAAATTGAACTAATCGTTGGCTAGTGAGAGTCCCGAAATCGAAGTTTCCCGCAAAGTCAAAAGACGAATCCTCAGGCCCATACAGCTTGGAAGAATCCTCGATAGTCATTGGGATCTGTTCCTCATTGGCGAACGGGCCTGTCACCGGAGAAGACGTAACATGCAATACAGCAGCAGAGATCAAAACCGAGGTACGAAGCCAGGACTTCATGGTAGCCTGCAAGTTGTAACAGAGGAAGAACAGGAAGCCAAGGATGCACGGATGACGGGCTCTTCCATTCCTTTATATCAATGCACATTGATGGTTCCTGCCGGCGTCAGTAAGGTAGGGCTGGCCGGTCAATGCCCATGAGTATGGCTGCGCCGACTTGACACAACCAGAAAATCAAAGAGATTCTGAGCCCGGACGTTCAAATACGCATATGGGAGCATGTGGTATCATGTCGGGACCAATTCGAGACTGAGATAATGCGGACAGTGATAAGGCCTACATCCGACGGCGGGAAGGATCGCCGCCCGGAACTGATACCCAAGTGGCACTAGGGAATGCAGAACGGACATCTTGTCTAGCTGTGAAGAGTGGGAGTGGCTTATACCTTGAAAATATCGGCTGAAGGGACTACAATAGATGTGGCCAGGATACAACACCCACCACATACGCCATCCATAACTGGCCACAAATAACGTCAAACCGAATGGTCATCCCAATCCACACCTCTAACAGGCATCTCTACCATCGCCTCAAGCCTGACGTTTACAAATCCACCCGCTTACTCCCATCCGCCGAGTTCGACAGCGAAAGCGACCGCCAGCTTGGAAAACCTAACAATATGATCAAAGCTGAACTCGTCGGAGACATCGATGGCACTGGTGCGAAAAGAAGAAAAGAGAACCAGTCAGCGTCTTCAGCTTGAAAGAAAGAGTAACGCTATGCTTAGAGGAGGACAAGACGTACTCGCGTTCAGAGTGGACATCATCGCGTGACATCTGCTCCCAAGCTCCCTCTGTTCCAGAAACAGAGCAAGCGAGGAGAAAGTGAGTGTCGGAACAAAGACATGAGATATGCTTCAATGACGGGGCTGTGGAAATTACTTACCACAGGCGAAGGAAGAAGAGTACCCGGCTTTATGCCAGGACATGCTACAATGTAGCAGTGAGCATGGTTTTACGAGGACAAGGCGGTAATCACGCACTGATCGCTTCCAGCTCTTCCGGGAACTGAGTATTGTGAATGGCCAGTCAATAACATGATTCAGGAGTTTGGAAGAGAAATGAAAGGACTTACGAGCGCTCTGTTTATATGCCACCCCAAGATCAGTCAGAACACAGAATCATGGCATTCTGCACAAGTTCTTACCTCTACCCAGGGTATGTCCAAATACTCATCAACGAGTCTCTTGTTGAATTCGGTCAAGCTATAACGATACATCATATATCGTATCAAACACTGCGATTCAACATAAGATGAGGCGCGGGGAAAACACTTACTCATCATCCACGAACTTTCTGTAGATCCCGATCACCTCTTCAGACCCATTCGCCACCCAAGCCGTCATGTCAAACTGTGTAGAAGCCGTCAAAAATCTGACAGTCACTCGTGCACACGAGAATATAGGCAGACCTGTATCTGAGCAAGGACGTTCGCGCCAGCCTTCTCGTATGCAGAGACTACAGCTTGAGATCCCAGAAGCCCACCCTCCTGCAGACGTGAACACAATACATAGTAAGCTACCTGACTGGAGAGCGAGAACCACAGCTGGTGATAAGCGGAGATGGGTAGGAAACCCTGACCATACCTCGGCAGCGTACCAGTGGAATTCGACGTTCTGAACCGGTCGGAAGTCCGCGGCGATGAGACCACGGTAAGCCTCCAAGATTGTGACAGTACCAGAACCTGAGAGGATAGCAAAATGAATTGGTAGTGAGAGAAAGGGGTCAGCGGTCATGAATTCGAATGATGATAGCTACGGTCGTACCATCGTCGTCCGCGCCAGGAGAGCGTAGCCAGGGAATCTTGTTTGTACTATGCGAACAGGAATAAACGCGAATGAATGTCTCGTAAGGTATGTTTGATCACCTATCCTGATGAGCTGAAATAGATATCGAAAAATATAAACAAGGGCAAGAGCTGAGTGCGCGGCAGAAGAGCATACCACTGATTACGACGACTCCATCGTCGGTTGGCGCGGATCCGTTGATGCGAACAATCTAATAGTCTTTGTTAGCGTCTCTGCATGTTCACTTAAACAGAAGTCAGAGCTTACGATGCTATTCTGGCCCCATATATGTTTGAACTCCGTCTGTGTGATGAGACTTTGAAGGGCTGGGGAGGCGTAGCTGGTGGTAACCTGAGTGTACCCGGATTGATGAGCTGAGCGAGGCAAGAGTATACGAGAGTACCATACCTCTTCAATTTTCGAGGCCAAATATGCCTGACTCTCGCGCCCAGTCTGGATGTAACTGCGTCAGCAAAGCTGTAACATGGGCCTCGACAATCCGAAATGAGGAGCGGCACCTTGGACATATAGTCTGAGTATACAATTCAGTTCGTAGTGTATCAATTTTTGTGCGAGAGCAAGTTGGGACGCACATCTCGTGAAGTATCCCGTCATCTTCTCCAAGACCGAAATCGGAAGCTCAGTAGAAAGGGTTCCGATCACCTTCTTGACCTTTTCCGAGGCGTTCATCTTCGTGGGGAAGTCTGCGATACAGGAACACAGCGTTATTCAATTCAGCACAACAAGTCGCTGGGACCGGGTAGATTTCTCAATTGCAACGAACTCACTGAACGTCTTGCGGAGATGGGAAAGCGAGCCCAAGTCCTGTGTTTCCGTGCTGAAGAGGGTAGTCTGGTCAATAATCGTACTACGGCATGAAATATTGTTGAACGACTCACATGTCGACGAACCAGTGACCTTGAGCCTTCATCTTGATCTACGAAACAAAGAACGAACTCTCAGCAACATCACAAGCCTTCGTAGTCGCACTATTCTGTCAACCTTGTCTAACTCGGTCATCCATGCTACAGAGCCGTCTTCCAGCTCCACCAAACGTTGGTTGCCGAGAATACTGAAGTCAAAGCCAGCTTCATTGACGAATCCAGGATCGAGAGTGAAAGTAGACTCGTCGATGAGGCCATTGAGTGTCAACGGAAGCTGAAAGTCAGAAGACGCGATGACGGACGCGACAAAGTGGACGGCGCTAGCCAAGGCAACCAAAGTGACTCTCATAATCGCGTTGTTCAAGTACCGACAACCAAATGAGAGGGAGGAAGCACGGGGGCCTAGTAAGAGAAGGATAGCGTGCTCTTATATTTATCGTCTTCCGAACTCACCGTCGGAAGCAATGAGGTAAGGAACCGTGATCGAAGGTAAGGTACACGAGGTAGGTAGGCGCACAGGTTCGGCCACCCCAGAAACAGTGTACATTTTGGCTATCGCACCTGCGGGAAAGCCGCGGAACGACAGCGTGCGCAGAAGATGAATGACTCGACGTTCAACCTTCAACGTCGAGGAAAGGGTAACTGATGATGGCCTAGAGGGAACCGCAGTAGTGGAGAACGGACACCATGTACCGTCGTGGTAACTTGATACCTTGGTAAGGCCAAGACCCTCTGTTAGATTACTTACTGGGACGAATGATGTTGAAGTTGAAAGAGCTGCGAATTCAGCGCAGCCTTTGAGTCATCCCACTGTGTACGGATATCTATGGCTAGTGATATCGTGTCGAGCGAGTGAAAAGCTACACGGATCTTGCGCAAGCTCTCAGAAATAAAGAAGAAAGGAATTGGAGTACATTAACCAGACAAAGAAAACGATAGAGGAGGACACGCGGACAGGAGTACATACACAATGCAAGGAACGAGACCGAAATCACAACCACTAATGGAACGTCAAGTCACTCTAAGCACCCACGGCAGAAAGAGCTGCGGTGGAAGTAGATGCAGGAGGTCCATCGACAGCTTTCTCCGCGACGTCAGATGTAACAGGGGCAGGAGCGGCCTTGGACGAAGACGAAGCAGGCTCAGAATCCTTGGGGGATGGCTCCTTTGGTGGAGGGCTCGTCTTAATTTTCTTCTTCTTCTTCAGCAGGCCTGGAATATCATCAGTCAATGTAAGTTGAAAGTCGGGCGCTTGAAAGACATGAGAAACGCACCCATTGCGACCGCACTCCTAACATTATCCACAATATCCTTGCTCTGCTCGATGAACTCGGTGTCATCCAAGCGGCGCTTCTTGCCCACCGAGGGCTCACCGCTGGGGGCTCCGTTCTTATCGATACCCAGCTTACGCTCGAGAGCCTCGAGCTTTGCCTTCTGAGCCTCTGCTGCAGCCTTCTTGCGATCAGGCTCTGATTCTAGGTATTCTGCCAATCTAGAGAAGCATGTCAGCACTGAGAGGAGAGAAGAGCGGACACAAAACGTACTTCTTTGCCTCCTTGATGGTGCTCAACCTTCGTCCACTGAGATCTCTACACGAGTCATTGTTGCTCGTCTTCTGACTGCTCATGCGCCCACCTGCCGCACGCAACTGAGACCCAAAGCCTCCCTTTCCACCACGCATTCGTGGCGCCAGTCTCAGCGAGACGAGATCTGATGTCTCTTCATCTGAGGCCGAGGAGTGAAGAGATGCAAGCGTGGTGGATCCATCCGGTAAGATTCCAGAGAGGGGGCTAAGGAAGAGGTCATCGGAAGATGGCAGGAAAGGGTAACGGTCAGAGAGCGACTCGTAGAGGCCATCGAGAGTGATATCGGAGGGTGCAGAGAAGGCAAGAGTAGGGAAAGGCGGGAATGTCGAGATAAGAACGGTGGTGGCCATCGTCGTGAACGGTGAGGACGGGGTACAATTCGGCGTGGTGGTCGAGGGAAAGACGGGGAATGCTGAGTCAGCCGGCCACGTCGCCACTTTGGGCTGTTCAGCGTCGCGCGGAAAGTGCCAGCAGCCAGCTGCAACTCACCTTCACCGTTACCTTCCACCCCGCACACGATGGTACGTCCAATCTATACATTGTTGCTCACATTGCTCAAGAATTGTTGCTGGTGCAGTCCGACTCTGATTCCGCCCGCCCTGCGTCCCCTGCCAATGCCGTAGCTAAGCCTCCTGGCGCACAAATTCGGTCTGTACTACTTTGTGCATGACTGGCTCTACCCAGTGAATCGACAATATATTCATTGTTTCTAACGGATATGTTTAGTCGCCGCGCTGGCGCGTCGTCGGCACAGGTCTCGAAACCAAACTCCACACGAGCTGCAGGTGCTGGCGGGTCATCTAACACCATGCTCAAGCTCTACACCGACGACTCACCCGGCCTCAGAGTGTCCGTGCTCTCTCGTCTAGTATTGGTTGAAGAATATGCTGACATTGCTGCTGTTATTAACGATGTTACAGGGACCCGTTCATCGTCCTCGTCCTATCGCTCTCTTTCATCGCCTCCATTTTCTTCCTACACATCTCCGCCAAGATTATCCGCGCATTCTCCAAGTAATCTAGCTGCTGCATATACCTTCTTGTGCTTTCGGGATTGTAGGGATTGGTCGGGGTAGGCTCTGCGCATGGGAAAGGCAGGGTACAAAAGGGTATCTTTACGCGGACTTGGGATAGGCATCTTTGCAATGACACGTTCCTTTCACCCCAAGGCGCGCGGCGTTCATCCTCCCGGAATACTTCCCGAATTGTTGGAGAGGACGGTCAAAACCCGAAGATGTCAGATTCATATTCTACTTTACCGAAAACGCTGCACGATCGGTCTATATAATCATATATTATTCCTTCGCCTCTCCCAGTACGGCCCATATTCTGTCCTCAACAGACCTGACGGTGGCCGGAGACGTGTTCAGACTCGTCATGAAATACGCCACATTTCCCAATGTCCTGAAGTGGATGCTGAATGGTGCTCCTCCAGGCGCAGAGGACACGATGTCGTCTGTGCTCTGCACTTTCGAGTTGAGTGATTGCAGTGTGGTCTGTGCCGAATGAGATTGATAGCCTGAGTTTGAGATGTTAGTCAATCCGTCAGTGAGAAAGACGAGATTCACAAGTAACGTACCCGCGTCCGAGTCTTTGAGCTTGATGGCAAGGACAGTTCCAAGCGTCATGACTTCTTCTGTATTGGACAGCTGCGACACCGCATCCACGAAGCTTGGATCCCAGAAACTCCAAACCTCACTCTCAGAGCTCACAGTGACCGATTTCTCGCCCTCAAGACCTTCTCCACTCTGTGTCGCCACATTCCGCCACATATCTTTCGCCGCATCCCAGGCGCCATTCTCATTCATTCCTTCTATGATTTTCAACGTCTCGTTCGCGACTTCGCATCCCACCGCGTGTGCCGAATAACTGTGCCCATGCAATAAAGCATCCGTTTTTTTGTCGCTTAAGAAGGCTTCGAAGATGGAGTTGGAAGCGAGAGTGACGGCGAGGGGGAGGAGGCCTCCAGTGAGGATCTTAGCGTTGACGGAGATGTCGGGATTGACGCCGAGGAGAGGAGCTGTGGATTGTAGGCCGAGTCTGTAGAGGCCTACGAAGACTTCGTCGAAGATGACGGGCAGACCGCGCCAGGTGGTGGGGTCCTCAGATTGGGGGGTTGCAGGGGGAGAGGAGAATGTCTCGCGGACGGTGTCGATCATGACGCGTTGGAAGAGGGGATCGACGAAGACCATTCCACCTGCACCGAGGACTAGGGGTTCGAGTACCATGGCGGCGAATGATGGTCCATGTCGTTGCTTCAGTTTCTCGATGGTGGTCCGAGTGTAGTCACGATAGATCTCTGCAAGCGGCGAGTGCAGCCGACGAGGAACATCGTAAGCATAAGCGATAGTTTCAACTGCTATATGCTCTGAGGGAAGTTTCCCGTGTGCAGCTATGGCGGGGGGTACAGTCACCGTGGGCTCGCCGTTACGGATGGAAATGCTCGGTGGATCGAACCAGTATCCTTTGGCCTGGTGCCACTCGCAGGTATAAACGCCCTCCTCACAAGCATCCATGGCGCCAATAGTGTCTCCGTGGTAACTTCCCTTCAGTCCAATGATCCCAAGAGCCTTCTTCGTCTTCCCGTCCTCCTCGTATTTTGTCCCATGTCGTACCGTGTACGCCCGCAAAGCCATCTTGAGCGCCACCTCCATGCCCGTGGACCCATTATCGGAGATGAAGGCGCGAGATGCCCAGCCCTTCCCTGGGCCTTTGTTGACGAGGAATTCGGAGAGTTGGAGGGCTGGAAGGTGCGTCGCCTGGGGGAACATGACGTGCCCGTATCGTCCGGACGCCCGGGCGGCGGCGAGGGTGAGAGAGGGATGAGCATGGCCGAGAGCTTGGGTCCACCAGGACGATGAGCCATCGTATTGAGGCTCGAGGAGTGAACTTGAATTCGCTTTCTCTGCGTCTGGGGAAGTGAGGGTAGTTGCTGTGGAAGATTTGTGGCCATTGTAGATGGAGAAGAAATCTTGAGAAGCGCTGTCGATTACGTTCACTTCTGCGGGACCTTTGACGAGACCGTGCTGGACGAAAGGCCACCAGACAGTGTCGAGCGTTCGTTGTGGCATGGACTCTAGCTCGCTTATCCGCTTTGCGTGGCAATCGTCTAGATGCCGCTGGATGTCGAAAAGTCCACCTTGCTGGTCATCGGGAACTAGGGAGCCGTAATATTGGTCTGTGACCTCGAAGTTCCTGGACGGATCGGACTCCAGAGGTGGTGGTGGTTCAAACGCTGAGACGTGGACTCCACGCTCCGCAAAGTAAGGAGTGAGGTACTCGTAGTTCCGGTAGTAATCGTCCTTGAATAGGAGAATGGCGTCGACGATGTAGCCGCGTAGAAGAAGAGATTCGTAGGACGATATCGTGGATGATATGCCGCCTAGTCTAGAGTCGCCGATCAAAATAGTTGGAAGAAACAGAGGCCTGTAGCTGTCAAGCTGAGTGGTCCCAGATAATGTTGGGCTGTGTACGCCTGTGAAAATGATGTCGAAAGGGATCAGACCAGTACCACAAGGAGGACAGAAGAGTAATGACGTCGGTTTACCGCTAATTTAAAGTGTCATTGAATCTCACCTCCTGCTGTTTCGACATACATATGACTGGCTTCTTGAGATTGTGTAGCACATCGTCGGATGTAAGTCGCCACAGAAGTTACGAATGTCTCGTCAGATGGTGGTGCTAGCTGGGGAGGCCCAGATTAGATGGCAGTGTACAACAAAAAGACCAAGTCAACACACATCTACTCCTGCTTTTTCCGATGCCATCTGGGCAGCCAGATGAGGACTGAGGGGTTCATCGAAGCGAAATAGACAGTTCGCTTTGATGAATTGTTTGTGGGCGCCAGCATACCGCAATACGTGTCTGCGTCGCACATTGTCAGCACACAGTACCTACCCTCGACTTTATCTTGTCAGAAACAACTTACTCGTCATCGGCATCCTTCATGGGACCTGTGCTAACAGGCTTTAGATAGTATACCTGATTTTTCAACGAAGCCGAAGCGCGTACGAGAGCCGACGTGAGGATGGTTTTCCCGACATCGGTGTTGGCGCCGAAAACTTGATGTAGTCGCAGATTTTTGAGGAGGAGGGACATTGTCACTCTACATGCATGTGGAGGTTCGAGTCAAAAGACGGCTTGAAGATTGCTCAAAGTGAGGACGGCGACGGATCGTAGAACGAAAGAACAATTTCGGCATCAAGCGGCCGCGGCCGTGGTATAGTATGCACGCCATTTACGTAAATTCAGATGCCGTAACATCAACTTGGAAGCTCCACCCAACAGGTCGGCGCGACAGCTTGACACAGCTCAACTTGGTCCACGAACATGGAGCATTTACCGGTGTGAGACGAGGGTATACATCAGCCAGTAGCAACTCATTAAGGCGTGTCCGCAATCCTCGCGACCAGTTTCCTCCCACTGACCTTACCCGCCATCAGCCTTTCTACTCCTTCCGGGATGCCCAGTAAACCTTTTGGAAGCAACTCGACCTTACTAGGCTTCACATCCCCGTCTCTCACCATCCCCTCCAACGCACCAAACAAACTCTTCCCAAGTCTTGTATCGCCCCCCGCCTTGTCATTATGCACACTTCCAGCCACACCAATCACCCTCCTCCCATCTTGATCCACGAACCCGTCTCCACCTATTATCTCCTTGGGCGGAGCCGGATGTGCCAAGAGGAGCTGACCGGCAGGTGCGAGGATGGACCAACAGGCCAGTTGAGACTCTTTGCTTACGATGGTGTCGTAGATCACCTTGATCGGTGCGGTCGTGATGGAGGAGACGGCTTTGACGAGTGCGGGTCCGTACGGTGTGTTGGTATAATCGATGACATGGGTCGCGCCTGCTGCCTTGCAGTATTCTTCATTGCGCGAGGAAGCGGTGGCAATGATGGGGCTGAAGCCGGACATCTTAGCCATCTGGATAGCTGCCCCGCGGATTCGAAAGGTTCAAGACCGTCAGGGGACCACGTTGACAGGACTTGCAAGCGAGCACTACTCACCAAACTGACCAACGCAGGTCGAGCCGCCTATAACGACGATAGCCTCGTTATGATATTTGTTCCTGCCGCCCTGTTCCCAGGGACGAACGAGTCCCGCACCACCGTGGTTTTCCCTCAGCTGTCCATAGAGGCCTACGACGGCAGTGGAGAGACAAAGCGGGATGGTCGCCGCTTTCTCGAAGGAAATGTTAGAGGGGATCTGTGGTGGTGGGATGTTATGAATGGCGGACAAAGTACATGATGAGCAAAACCACAGACCTTAGCAGTCACGGATGCGAGTGCGAGTGCGTACTCCTGCCATGTCTTCCCATTCGCAGGAGCTGCATCAGGACCATACATGCTGTTGAACCGTCAGCCTGGGCATCGAAAGCGAGCTAGACCCTGGCCACGTACACTCTGTCCCCTTTCGCAAAGCCCGTAACGCCCTCACCCACCTCCTCCACAATCCCAGCCCCGTCGAATCCACATACATTAGGCCATGAAGCGACGAGGAGGCCCCGCGCCTGATACGTATCCACCGGGTTGATTGTCGTGGCTAAGATCTTAACAAGAAGCTGACCTGGACCGGGTTTGGGCGTGGGGAGCGTCCCGAGGATTAGTGGCGCGCCTTTGGATTCGGTGAGGAGTGCTCTGTGGATGGAGGAGGACATGATGACGACGTCTGCAGGTGGATGTAGGTGTGTGTTTTGGTCACGGTATGAGTGGTCGTTTGAAAGTCGACGGTGCACGATATTATAGACAGGTATACCGACTGGCGGAGCATCGGTGGATCATTTTAAACTTCCGGATACTAGGGTGGATGTGTATTGTTCCCACTATAGGATGTCCACGAACTTTGAAGTATGCAGTGGTATTCATAGTCCAGCGGGAAGACGTACAGCCCCACATGAAAAATCCACCCGTTTCCGACATCGGAATATCTGTTGTTTAATAGCTAGTAAGCTCGACGACATCACCTAGCACTCGAAATCGTACGCACTAGATGCCGCTTATAACACGACCGTCTTCAACACACGTCTTCTTCCCTCTGATCAGGCTCGGCCGCCGAGGAAGCAAATATACAGGGATCCGTGGATCCACAGAGTTGGCAAGCCCCACATTCATATCCACATTGCCATCCACACACCCACACCCTTATCCACCTCAAAGCCGAGGTATTTAACGTGCGATATGCGCGAGCTCTAAGTAAGGGCTCGATGGGCGATCCCCCCTGGACCCTTGGACCGTCGTTCGCTGAAGTGGTGACACAGACTGCTGTCGCCAGCCTATTTCTTCAGAACACTACCTTGGATACGGTCAATGTAGTTGTGGCCTCGTTCTCGCATCCACCGCGGCAGGATAGCACTAAGCACTAAGCATTCAGCACGCAGCACAGTCGAACGTGAGTCCAGCAACCTGAGGTCTCTACCGCGACTACCGCACCTGCACCAGGTAAGAACTGCCGAGTCGCATCAAACCCGTAGGACAGATACCCGAATGTGCACACAAACACACATCAAGCGCAAAGAGCAAACCAAAAACGAGCGTCGAATTAACCGTCGTGAAACAAGACATAGATACAAATACCGAGAAGTGTGTGCACGAATGCCGTGCTTTTTCCAAGGGCCACGCAGAACTACTACCAACGTATGTGCTCATGATAATCAAGGCTTGGCATCGGGACGGAGAGAGCGCACGGTCTTGCCTGTTCAATGCAAAACGCCAGTCAGTATAGTTTCCTAGCACATAATAATGGAAGGCGGGAAGGCGGGAATGGAGAGGATAAACAGACCTGCGCGCCAGATCTCCTGCTCGTCGATCTCCTTGAGCTCCTTCGCGAGATCCTCACGGTACGTGCTCCTTCCATTAAAATCAAGCGATTTGCGGGTCTCGGTTCCGTCACGGACGCTCTGGTAGAGCGCACGGAAGACCGGGAGGTTGGCCTGTTCGAATTTGGGAGCCCAGTCGAGGGCGCCGCGGCGGGCGGTGGTGGAGCATGCGTTGTACATGTAGTCCATTCTGTGTGTGGTAGTTTAGTGCGAGTTAGATTGTGTGGAAGTGGGAGGAATAGGAAAACGTACCCGTATTGGCCGATGAGGGGGAAGAGGGATTGGGTGGCTTCTTCGACGGTCTCGTTGAAGGCTTCCGAGGGGGAGTGGCCGTTCTCGCGGAGGACCTGGTATTGGGCAAGGAACATACCCTCTACGATCGTATACTTCCATCAATATCTGAAGGCGAGCTGAAGTATCACGGTTGAAACTTACGGATACCGCCCATCAACTGTAAAACATGGATGAGCACGTTTGATATCGCGCGAAAGATTTAACAATACTCACGACACCACGTTCACCGTACAAGTCAGAGTAGACCTCCTTCTCGAAGGTGGTCTCGTACATGTACCCAGAGCCGATAGCGACACCAATAGCGGTAGCCTTTTCCTTGGCCTTGCCGGTGACGTCTTGCCAGACAGCAATAGAAGAGTTGATACCACGGCCCTCCTTGAAGAGGGTGCGGACGGTGCGGCCGGAGCCCTTGGGTGCGACGAGAATGACATCGACGTCAGTGGGGGGGATGACCTTGGTGTCCTCCTTGTAGACGACGGAGAAGCCGTGCGAGAAGTAGAGGGTCTTGCCCTTGGTGATGAGGGGAGCAAGTTTGGGCCAGGTCTGCGACTGAGCGGCGTCGGAAAGGAGGTTCATGATGATGGAGCCACGGTTGATGGCCTCCTCGATGGAGAAGAGCGTCTCGCCGGGGACCTGGACAGGAGTTGTAAAAAAGGAGGTGACGGTTAGAGGGTGGGTGAACATACCCAACCGTCCTCCTGGGCCTGCTTCCAGCTCTCGCCGCCCTCACGAACACCGACGATGACGTTGATACCGTTGTCGCGAGCATTGAGGCCCTGACCGTGGCCTTGCGAGCCGTAGCCAATAAGAGCAAGGGTATCATTTTTGAAGTAGTCCTGGAGCTTCGCGAGGGGCCAGTCGCTGCGCTCGTAGACGACCTCCTTGGAACCAGCAAAGTCGAGAGTTTTGATACCACGGACGCCCTGTGAAGACTCTGTGATGAATATTTGTATGCCTGCATCGGAGGATACGGACGGACCTGGACAGCTGCTCTCCGGGGGACGGCAGACGCAGCAGAGCGGGCGAGGATGGAGTACGACGCGGCCTGGACGGGCTTCGCGACGACTTTTGGAGCAGCACGGCGCGAGGCGGCGCGGAGTGCGCTGGCTGAACGGGACGCGAAGGACATTGTTGTGGTTGACTATGAAGGAGGATGGACGAGTCAGAGAGCGTGCTCGAAACTTTTCTGTTCTGGTTCGCTGTCGGCCGAGGGCGGCCGTGGGCCGATGGGGCGGGCCGGAGCGGCAAGTAGCGAGGAGTTGTAAATTCTGATGGACAAAGTGGAGAGGAAGGAGTTAGGAAGTCGCTGTACGCTACGAATGCCGAGAAATACAAGCGATGGTGCTGCCCTTGCGATGTGCTCGCACAGGAACAGACAATCCACAGCAGCTGATTCCCAGGACGGTGCGGTCTGGATCCCTCCCGCATGCGCTCACCCGCCTCCACAATAATCCCTGAAATAATATCCCCTCTCTCACCCCTTTCCCCCGCTCTCATTCCCCACCATGCTCGCCCTCCGTACGCTCTCCGAAATGGCCCGAGCGTCGTCTTTCGCGAGGGCACTAACGGCGCCAACCGTCAGGGCTCGCCAAATCTCCGTGCGTGCTTCGTGCTTCGTGGCAGACGCCCCTGGGCCAACTGACCTCCTGTCGAACAGACCGACCGCCAGTCCCTGGTCCAAAAGCCATTCTTGACTCGCCCGGCATCGTCGGCAGTGGCCATTAAACAAGTCTCGCGTCCATCTCCGAGCGCGTACTCTGTGGACTACGAAAGGTCTCCCACGAGCACCGCAGATCAACACGAGGTTTTAATAAAATGGGATGACAATCAGCGGTCGAAGTAGTGAGCAACCCGCCTTCTTTCCTCTATCTATCCCTCGCCAAAGCTGACCCAGTCGGACGCGCAAGTCACCATGTCTGGCTGCGCGACCACTGTCGCTGCCCTGAGTGCTTCCATCCTGTAACAAAACAGCGTCTCGTCAACACGTTTGAGGTGGGCCGCCACGGTGCAGCCTGTAGTCCACGTCCATATGTTAAAGTAGACACTAGATTCCACCAGATATTGAACCCGTCTCCGTCCGTTCGAACCAACAAGGCTTGCAGATCACCTGTATGTTCAACGTCGATCCCCGTGATGGCGGCCTTCGCGCTGATCTTCACCAAAAACCCTAAAAGGGCCTTCCCCACCACAGCCTCACGCGTCTTTCTATCCTTGGTCATGGCTCAAGGCGAACAGCTATGATCCCCCCGCGCTGCAATCTAGTCGAAACGAGCAAGTCCTTCCCCCTTCCAGGGCTGACGTCTATTCGCTTACCACGCTCTCACGCACGCAGGAAGATCCTCTGGGGATCCAAGATCGCCCAAGGTCCCCCGTCAGTGGCCTACGAGGAGGTCATGGCGCCGGGTGGCGATGGCCTCTATAGGTGGCTATCTCAGATCGTCAGTCATTCCTCCGAGTCTCCTGCCAATCACTTCCTGTGAACACGTTCCGTCACCAGGACAGATTCGGTTTCTGCTTCGTCGCAGGTGTGCCCCCGACGCCGGAAGCTACAGAACAGCTGTCGACCCGTATAGGCTTCATCCGCGAAACGCACTGTAGGCGTCATCATTTGTTCTCTTCTGTGCATACACACCTTTTTCCCGGGCTCACCTCTCCATAGATGGCAAGTTCTGGGATTTCACCGCTGACCTCGCTCGTGGCGATACCGCCTACACCAACCTGGCCCTCGGCGCGCACACCGACAACACCTACTTTGTGCGCCTACATTTCCCTTACTTTCCGTCTCCCACGCTCTTCTTCTGAATTTGTTGTTTTGTTTACTTTTTCAAAGTCCGACCCCTGTGGCCTCCAACTCTTCCATCTTCTCTCGCACACCGAGGGAACCGGTGGTGCCACACTGCTCGTCGACGGTTTCCACGTAGCCACAACTCTTCGCGAGCGCCACCCGGAATTGTATCGTCTTCTCGCGACGGTGCCTGTCCCGGCGCATGCTGCGGGCGAAGAGGATAGTTTCTATTTTGATGAGAGGCCTGTGCTGGGTGTGGATGGATATACGAAAGAGCTGCGGTCTGTGAGGTGGAATAATGATGATCGGAGCGTGGTCAAGGGTGTACCGCGCGGCAAAATGCTGCAATGGTACGTTTTTTAAACCTCGTATGCTAATTAATGGTTTTTACCGAAACTTGACCGATTTTCCGATGTAGGTACGATGCTATTCGGACTTGGAACGAAGGTCTTACCAGTTCAGAATCGGAGTACTGGGTGCAACTAACCCCCGGTACCGTCATCGGTGCGTTCATCCCAGCCCACTCTCTTTCCCTCTCTTCCTCTTTTCCCCCAACTCACACTTACACCCCTGCGATGATGACGACATAACAGCCATCGACAACCACCGCGTGCTGCACGGCCGCTCAGCCTTCACGGGCAAACGCCGCATGTGCGGCGCCTACATCGGCATGGACGAGTTTCGTTCGAAACTTGCTGTTCTCTCCGAGAGGTTCGATAGGAAGACGCGGGACGCTGCTCACGTCCACGGCGGCCACCGACACGGGCACGGGGCTGTCGAAGGAAAAGGAAGGAGTATATGGAGCTCTGGGCTCTGAGCGGGTTGCTCTTTATTCTTAAAATTTATGACGTATCGCAGCACGGTCTCGTCAGCCGTACGTCGATAGGCCCTCTGGTGGCTGATCAACGGACATTTGTTTATTTCTCTTTTATCGTTCTTTATATCTCAGTCTGCCCTCTGTTGTTTGTTTCCCCTCTCTCTCACTCTCTCTCTCACTCGTGGATTCGCACATCACTATGGATCGGACCTTGACCCCATCACCAGCACTAGCACTGGTCTTTAGACTTTGATCATGACTGGCGATTATGCTGTTTTTCCTTTTCGCTTTCGCATTTCTCTTATTGTGCCAGCGGCTTTCGACGCACTCAAAAGACGATGTTCGTATGTTCATATGTCCATATGTAACGCTTCTATCGTTATCTCTTTGTTGTTTGTTGTTCCTTTACTCTTCCTTCTTTACTCAGCCGCTTATTTACACGCTCGCAATGGAACGGCACCGGACAATTTTGGATTTCCCTCTCTTTCTCTTGTGCGTGGTGGAGCATGTCGGTGTTCCGCAGCCTGGGAGATTTCGGCTGACAGTTATTGATCCAGACTGGTCCTGTGGGCTATACCTGCCTGTTTCCGCGATTGTAAACTTGGACTTAAGGAGGCCTTGGGAATCTGGGATCGGACGTGGGTCACGGGGGCGGCTTGGGAATGGGTTTTGGGGGTGGTGGGATTTTGAGGACGGTGAGTTTCTTTCGATGTGAGTTGATATACAGTACCTATGTCTTACAGCACACCGGTATCCTCCAGTTTTGATCGTGCTCGTACTTGCCGTCACCCAGTCGCCAACTGCCCTGCTTCAAACAATCCGCGGCCCCAGTCAAGAAGCTTTTCAGAGTAAACAGCCTCATTGTGGCGATGTGTATAGCTTATATCACAGCACATCGTTCGCGATCTCGACTGACGGTACGTTTCATATACTCTGCCTTGACTCGAATGCATCGCCTGGTATGTTGATTGAAAGAAACGCCGCCGCACGGTCTCATGGATCACAGCGCTCCGGGTATGGTGGACGCGCCGTTCTTGCGTGCCGTTGATGAATGTTGTTAGCCGGGATGTCGTCTCGCCTTGTTGCCCGTATGCGGCGCTCATTCTGGAGAGTAAACGAAATGTATAAATGGGGGCCTCGAAGGGATTGTTGGCACATCGTCCATCGTCTCTGTGAAGCTATGAAGGCTCCCTTCGCGTTGACTTTCGCTTCCTTCGTCTTTTACTCTCTTGCTTTGCAGCTACCTGTCCAACGGCGCGCTGTGTCAACCTCTAACGGGTTTTCTGCCTCCGTCAAATCAGCCGCCGTCAATTCCTCAGATAACAGTGGAAACGTCGGCATCATAAATAGCGATGATAGGCTCGTGCGTTCATAACATTGATCTATCACCTGCTGCATAAAGCTAATAATACTCACACACGCACAGTATGTCGCCAATGTCACAGTGGGGGGGATAGGTCTGTTCTTGGTTTTATGCTATGATGCATGGTGCACTTTCTCACATATCCCATCACAGTCATAGAAGTGCAAATTGACACAGGTTTGAATTTGTATTCCTCTACTGTAGAGTGCTCGAATATCTGACTCGTTCTTGTCAGGCTCTGACAACCTCTGGGTCCTTCCAGAGACACCGATTCCGAACTTGAACGTCAGCGCTAATAGCTCGGTATACCTTGGATATGGCACTGGAAGCGCCACCGGCCCTGTTGCTTTCGCAGAAGTATCTATGGGGACGCATACGGTATCCTCTCAAGGTACGCAACGCGAGCATGCTCGGAACCGCATGGCACGAGTTGAATAGACCCTGACATTACCGTTGTCCGGTAATAGCTTTTGTGAACGCAACCAATGTCCGTACAGATGGGTTTGCTCGTTGTTTAATACGTTTCTCAAGGCATTAACACAGGTGACGGAGTTCGACACATCGTTATTCCCTGACGGAGTCCGAGGCATAATGGGAATGGGCTTGAGCACTGCCTCGGACTCAGGTGTTTTTGCGGAGGTATTCTTCAACATCTCCAAGGGATCCTTTGGCGGCAAACCCTTCCTGCAGAATGTCTTTGCACAGGACCCCTCGTCGCCTGACTTCCTGTCTATTTTACTCGGTCGAACGGACGATCTCGAGGATATAGCCAACGGTATCTTTTCCATCAGTGAATACATCGAGTCATACGAGAACATCGCCTACGCCCCTCATGTGCCGCACTTCCAAAATCCTGATGAGGGTGACTTGATCCAACAGTGGACTGCCCTCATCGACGACTTCAAGGTCAACGGGGTACCCCAGAACCTAAGCTCCAACATCCAGAGTGTACCGTCAGGCAAGGCCTTGGCACTATTCGACACTGGTTCCACCGCCGTTTCGTTACCCGATCCAGCCTTATGTGAGGCCATCTACGGCCAAGCACCAGGCGCTGTCTTTGACGATGTGGACTCGCTGTGGCTCGTTCCATGCACAGCTGAGCTCCCCAACGTGACTGTTACAATCGGGTGAAATCATTCCGTTCTGCATGGGTAAAACGCTACTGACACCAAGTTCTACAGTGGGGTTGACTATCCTGTGCATCCTTTGGACTTGACCAGGATCGTTGAAAGGACGATCGACGATGTCGACGGTGTCCTTTGTGAGGGGTTATATGTGCCGAATGACTTCGATCCTAAAGGATTCCCATACGACATCTTTCTCGGAGATGCCTTCTTGAGGAACGTTTACTCTGTGTACGCTTTTTCAAATTACAATCACGGAGCGATGTTTAATGATGAATCTTCGGGCAGGTTTAATTTTGGTACTTATGGCGGGGATGGGAATCTCACCACAGAGAATGCGAGCCTCCAATTCTTGTCACTCACAGACCCGGATACCGCTTTCTCCGACTTCCACAAGTCTCGCCCAAAAACCCTCCAGTCGTACCCGCCCGAGTTTCCCCCAGACCAGTACAAGAATGCCTTCTCCTCGTCCTCTGATGACAACGACGATGACGACTCGGCAGACGCTGTCGCAGGTGCCTCGTCTGTATCGTCGTCGTCAGCAGACGCAGAGACTTCATCTAATAGCCTCAACACCTACGGCCCCGTCATCATCGGCCTGCTCGGTGGAAACGTCCTCGTCGGCATCGTCCTCTGTGCTATCGCACTCTCGGTTTGCATCAGGAAAGGCGGGAAGTCGCGAAGCGTGAGACAGGATTACACGCCCGTGGCGTTCAAGGGGGCAGGCCCACGGGCGGAAGATGAGGTGATTGCGGCGAGGTATGGAGATTGAGGTGAAACGGTGGTCTCGAGTAGTGTGCAATGATGACGGACATGACTTTTACTCTTGGACGATTATTCTTGTTGGGGTCGTATTTATATGTTTTACCTTCTGGGTATGGAGGCGAAGTATCTGGTTCGGAGCTTCTCTACTGATTTCCGTCGACGACATCGACGGCGAGCGTAAGGAAGCAAGCTACGAGAGTAGCCCGCAGCATAATCAAGGAAATAACTGGACAGCAAAAGCGAAGCGTGATGGCGACATGGTACACACATACATACAATTTGGACAAACAACGCTAGGGGAATTTATTTCCATCCGCAGAAACTTCACCACCCTACGATTGATTTAACCGTGTCATAACCAGATTTGACGAAGGAGAAGGAGTCGAGGAGGAACGTGTCGCCGATGAACTCATCCCGTCTATGCAACCTCCAGGACTTATGTACAGAATATATGTGGGGGCGAATTTCTTTCCAGAGAGCCAACGCCTGTTCTGCGGGAAGCCTTGATGAAGGATCTGCACGTATCATGGGTTCGAACAATGGCTTGAGAAACCCGACGTTTGAGAAAACCTGTTACAGGCCCATTAGATCCGAACGCATCAATAACGAATGTGGAGTCAAGACTCGCGTCGTAAAAATTACGCCGAAAAACGTTGCCCATTATGAATACATCCACCTTGAACGGGTCGTAGGGAACAGTGTCCGATAGTTCGGAAACCTCTTGGTCAATACCGTCTTCTCCTAAGACTAGTTTGGGTTCCGTGTCCGAAGGGGAAAACGAGGATGATATTCCAAAGTCGACGAAATAGTATTTGACGTGGGCAGCTGAGCGCGCAATTATAGGTGCCCAGTCCTCGAAGCTAGGGAGAAAACTCTCATGGAGTGGGTGATGACCCTTGGGGTACATACGACTAGCATCCATCATGAGATTGTTTGAAGCACAGTCTCTGGGCACAATGTATGAGTTTGGATCGATTCTGAAGAGGATCCGGCGTCATACCGATGAGCTACTCCACGTTCGTGGAGAAAGACAAATCCCTTGTTCGAAGCCATCAGAGGACTCCAAAGGATGGTGATATTCAGACGCCTACCTCTAGAATCTGGTCACAAAATTCTACCACATCTCCAACGGTTTCGAAAGGTGGGCCATCTATGCTAGACAGGAAGGGCATAACAAGATACGATATAGAGGGATCGTCTGAATCTTCGAAGTAGTCGATGATGGGGACACAGTGGTTTTGAGTGTCCTGGCGAAAAGTATTGTCGGAAAGATAGAGGGCAATGCGAGACTCGTCGTCGTCAGTCTTGACTCGCTTGATAAACACCAACTCCCCGTCCGATATTCTGGTTGCATCCACGCACGGCTTGCGTCCCTTTATCGAAGAGGTCACGACTTTACGCTAGCATGGAGCAGATGGTGCGACTCACAGAAAGACAGCAGGAGTCCTCGCAAAGTCCAATTGGAGTCGTGTTGCCCGGTATCCTCCACGATGGCTGCCAACCTGGGCGAAGTCTTGGGCGAAGCATGTATCCACGAGACTGGAGGAAAAGCTGTCGGTCTCTCCAAGGAATCTCGTAAGGGTGGAGTGTTCCGAAGATTTCATCGAGCTCAGCACGTCGAGAGGTCATGCTGCGTTGACTGAGTCAGAGGAAAGATACACAATTCGTCGTACAATATTGTACTTGTAGACGTGTAGCAGAGAGGGCGAACATGTGTTGCGAGTCAGCATCTAGATACCTTACGACATCTACAGTTCCTAGTCGCACGCTCGTCTATTGTGTAGACCCCTGGTAGGTTGTACGGCGCTGTCAATGATAGCGATGGTTATCATAGTGAGCGCCTCGGACTTGGTGCTAAGTACAGCCAAGGTGGCCGCCGTAGACCAAGAACGCGTGCGGTATCGAACAGGAACGGACGAAACATCGAACGTACTTGACCTACCGTCGAACGCATCCCCTGTCGGAACTTGCTGTCAGACTTTCCTCGCACAGTCCGACATCCTCCGACAACTCAAGACAACTCACCCCTCGCCACTCTCCTTGTGGCGTCACTCGATCCATCGATATCACGAATCGCACTCCTGGAGTTTCTTTCTGTTTCTTTCCTTCGGTTTCCTCCAACCTCGAGTATAGTCATTGGGAGCAAACAAGCGTACAACACTCCGTTCCCGCCGACCAGTCGAGGTCTATCAATCATCCGCCTCCGAGACGTTCAAGTTCCATGTGAATGCAAAAGTGCTGTACCCAAACCCATGACGACGAGCAGTATGAAGATGGAGGCCGATAGTTAGAATGTGATGTGCAGGTAACAGACAAATGACGCGCGTACTGGACGCAGTACAAGTATCGCAACCGACAGTAGTAAGCATCAACCCAGGTCTACACCAGCAGTGAGTGGGCACAGAGAAAGAAAGGGAAATAATAAGTAAAGATGAAGCAGCAATTCCCATATGAGCGAGCACGAAAAGCGAAGCCGGTCCACAACATCGTACACAGCAATACATAACACGCAAAAGACACAAAACCCGCAACCTCTCCGGAAGAGCCCTGGAAGCACGACCCACGACCCGATCCAAGAAAACCTCGAAACTCTAAACGAGCTTGGCGAGTTGGATCTGGTTGGTGTTCACGTTGGTGGAGAAGTACGCGTTCTTGAGGAAGACATCGCCGACCAACCACTCGTTGGCGCCACCGACGCTACCACTTGAGATACCGGAGACACAGTCGCCTGTGAGGTCGTTCGCGTCCACGGGGGCAAACAGAAGATCCCTGGGGTCGATAGCGAAGGAAGTGCCGTTCATGGTCAGCGCGATCGAAGTCGAGGTGGTGCAAGGAATGGTGAATCCGCCCTGGCCATCAGACTGAGAACCGGGGATGGCAGCGTGAACGGTGGCGGCGTCATCAGCGGGAGCAACGATGAGGGTGGTGCCGGTGTCGAGGATGGCAGTGCGGCCAGTAAGTCCGAGATCTTGACCGTCAGCGCTGAATGAGTCAACGGCTGCCTCCCAGAAACCTTCGGTGTTGACGTTTGCGATCGTAGTGAGCGTAGAGGCGTCGAACTTGGACGAGTCGAGACCACCGAAAGTGATTTCACCATCGTTTGCCTGATCGGCGAGACGAGAGATCTTGAAGGAAGTTGTGGCGGAGTCAATGAGGCCGGCAGAAGCAAGTGATTCAACGGGGGTGGGTGTCTGTTGCTCGGAAAGGGTCTATCAAGAGATTAAACGATTAGTCACACTCTGAATGTAGAAATAGATCAATCGCAACTTACGCTCTGCGCGAGACCCATGAGACCGTCGAAAGGAACAGAGTCGTCGGAGAAGTCCTGGGTTTCCTCAGTGGCAACACCGAATGTGTGAGCGTTGAGACTGAGGCCAGCGACAACAAGGTTGTCGGTGACGATATCACCAGAAACGGCACCGGAGCCATAAGTGATCTGCCAAGCCGTGTTCGTGTTCACGAAGGAAGAAGAGGAGGCTGTGCCGAGGAAAGTGTGGTTTCCCTGTTAAATCGAGTTAGACAATGATCCTCAACGAAGAGTTGATATAACGCACGCAGTCACCACCAGCACTCGACTGGCATCCATCGGCGGAGCCAACCCAGAGATCGGCAGAGCCAGAGTCCATGAGCAACTTGAAGTCCGTCGCGGGTGTACCCATCTGAACGGTCGCAATGTAACCAACGTCGTTGGCCTCAATGTCAAGACCAAGACTGTTGTTGCCCGTGGGGGTGTTGGCTGCGGTCAAACCACCGTTGGTCTCCGCGTCGACATCGATTTGCGAAATGCCAGTGCCAGAACCTGCGGCAGCAGATGCGGTGGCGGTAGCGCTTGCATTGGAGCCAGCAGCAGCAGCAGCACCGGCACCAGCAGCGGCTCCGGCACCTGCACCGGCGGCAGCAGCAGCACCCTTGCCCTTCTTCTTGCCTTTGGCAGCAGCGACGGCACCCTTCTTCCTATTACGGGAACAAATGCGGAATCAGAATGGACTGTGTTATGTGATTGTGACGAAAATAGACGAACGCATTAGCCTTGAGGTCAGAGCTGCTAAAGCCGTTGCGGTTGAAACGGGCCTCGATGGACTCGCCACGCTTCTCGATGTGGTACATACGCTTGGCGATGGCGTTCTCGAGGTCACGCTTCGTGGGTTCGTCCCGGCCAGTCATGCGAGCCAAACGACGGTGAGACCTATTGATGTGCTGTTGGAGAAGCTATACGATATCACAAAAAGACTTCTCAATAAAATTTGAAGGTATATATTTGGTGGAATAAGCGTACGAGCTGGGGGTGGAGATCATCCCTCTGCTGAATGCGCTTCAAGGGCATGGTGACCATGCCACCAGGAGCACGACGGCTGACAGGGGCAATGCGGTTGAGAGGAGCAGCATCAACCAACTCTGGTGCAGAGATGGCGACGACGAGGCTTGCCAGAAGCGAAGTAAGACCAAGACCGAGCTGCATATTGACAGAGAGAGCGAGGATTGTCGTGAATATGTAGCGAAAGAGGACGATGAAGGAATGAAGATGTGGCGACGACGCTCGGATAGACTAGCTGACTTGAAGGAACTGAAGGCCCTGCCTTGAAAGAAAATGAAGAGAAAATGAAGGACAAAGGAGACGGAGGGAGGAGGCGTGGAAGGGAGGAGGAAGAGATGGAGACGCGGGGTTGCCCTCGACGTTTATGTATCCTTCCATACTGCGGAGCCACGCAGCGCGGCCTGCTCGGCGCCTGTGCCTCGGACAATGCACCTGTCCAATGGCCGTTGCAAGCCGTTGCCAAACAACCATCGTCTTCGGCGCTAAATATAGCCTACGTCGTATGCACCCATCGCGCTTCCGATCTGCTGCTTCCCCATCCACTATGTTTTATCATCAGGAGCAAAAGTTGCAATGAAAGCACAGAGAAATCACGACGCGCGCAGCGTTCGGACGGCAACATCCAGAAGCTCGATTCGCTCATACCTCATCGAGCTCGGGGAGTATGGGCTACTAAGGGTACAATAATCACCAGGCTAACTGCCCCTTCCAGTCTTCCAGGACAAGGAAGCCGCACAGATCAGAAGTCTGTTCCGCTTGTTGTAGTAACCTCTTTCAACCTCCACTGCATCCGTTCACTAACACTGGGCAATACTCATACGATAGATCGACAGAATGCTTTTCGTTGCACTGTCCTGTTGGGATTAGGTAAGACAATTGGGATATAGAGAAGGTCTATGAACAATAAGGGTTATGGACAATGTATCAAGTGCCACTATGATATCAGTGGATTCACAGGAGGATCACGACCTTCCGAAGGCAACCTTGAAGTGTAAAATACATTGACGAAGTTCAACGGCGAGCACGGCGAACAGTTCACGCTAGAAATCCAAGGAGTCCCATGACGATCTAGTTCGTGATGTAAATCTTGTACATGCTCGATGTATGATGTAGAATGTCGCAGGAGTCGTTTGTGGGCTGCATCATGTGTATCCCGCTTTTAACGTGGCACCGCTGTTAGTTGGGAAGACGATGCATATCAATTGAAATCAACGCACATATGTGAACTGTTTGTTCCCACTGAGCTACCATGGTCCCAGCGGTTTTACAGTGCTCTTGATGATGGAGTGGTGCAAAGGTGGTGGGGTCACTCCATCGCCCGCATGAAGATAGTAATGATGACAATTCTGGGCCTTGTCGACGTGAGCGTAAAGTGTGATACAAGCAGGATCAAGGCTTGGACTACGACGTGTGCGGCATGTGCGGCGAACAGGAATACACACGGTCGTTATACGGAGGAACAAGATGGAACAGCCCACAACAAATCGAAACCATTTCCCATTCCTCTGTGTGAGTACCATACCTAATGATGGCCCCAGTAGGAAGAGTTAGATGCGCCGAGGTAGTTGGGCCTAGTTCACGACGCGCTGGTAAGGCTGTCCATTTCGTCACAGCATACATGAAGACGTGTCGAATTCAGAAAAAAAAAAAAGGAAACAGGACCTAGGAGAGGGAGCCGGAATATATCACGATCATGATGTTGAATGGTGAATGTTGTGAGCAGAAGCAGCAGCCGCCGTCCTGACAAAGGACAAGTGATTCCATGAGTAGTTGTCACCATCGCCTTCTACGATACTGCGCAACATTTGATACAGCCTTCGGAGTGTAGAGATGCAACCTATGCTCAAAGGCTGAGACTCTGAGGGTACTGATTGTTCTCCGGGACTGGAAAAGTCACTGTGAGTGTCGAGTTCAAGACGCGAATGTGGCGAAAGGATGCGGCAAGTCGCGAAAGTAGCCGGGCGTTGCCGGACAAAGGAATACCTTCCGCTTACGGTAAGGGACACGTATAGGTCCTCATGGGTCCAACTATTTTCTTTCAGCGGCCATTTAGACGTATCAATGGAGTAGGGCGCTCATTGTCGTTGACTTTCTTTGTCCGCCGCTCCTGGCTGGTTGGCCTTTCTTCTCGCCTTTTTTGACTTAAAAGGCGCCTGCAATTCTTCTGGTTTCGTGTTCATTACAATTCACCCCGACGACTTGCCCACGACTGACTCTGCTGCTATGGCCGACACTGACCCGGCGCCTAGGGCAGCCGGATTCGAGGACCTGGTCAAGTTGATGGAGAGACAGACCGAGCTGACGGGTCGGCTCTTGGTCGAGACGGAAAATGTTCGCAAAGGATTGGCGGGAGCTTCTACGTTATCGGGCAATGGTACGTCAAAATATTAGTCCATCCATACTTTGCGCGCTGATACGACATTATTTTAGCTGTATCATTTGAGATCCTTGATATCTTGCGCAAGATATACGAAAAACAAGTCTCTGTGGCTTCAAGTTCGGGTGCGTACCTATCATTGTGAACTACTGATAAGATAGGGCTCGATAGCGAACCACGAACATCACGTGCACGGTGGCGAAAAGCCTCCCTCGCAGCGCACAGTGAATTGCCATCTGTAACAAACAGTTCTCCAGAATCCAGCCGCACAGAAAGATGCGCATGAGTCCCAGCAAGAGAACCTTGCAATTACTTTTGTGGATTTCGACGAATGTGGTTGGCCATTCACTGGCGACTGTCGAAAAAAAAACCGCGCGCGTCGTTGTCGCGCCACATGAGCAATCCACTTAGTTCCTCATTGCTAGCTAAATGGCCATCGCAAAATGGATCTTTTCCAAAATTCCTCCGCACAGAAAGTTTGGCCTCACCGTTGGCCGGAGTTCTGTGCGGCTGGATTTTTAATTAACTGTGTTATGCTTTGGCCATTCGCTGAGAGAGAGGAATGGGGGTTTGCACGTGATGTTCGTGGTTCGCTAACGAGCCCTATCTTACTATCTTTCCCAACTCGTACTGACACCATATGGGCAGATATGACAAAGCAGGCGATCCCCGCCGTCCCTGCAACAAGTGCTGCTGCATGGTAGCCGTTGCTTCGCTCGCATCTGGCTCATATCCAACCAACCCTAGATCGCTGGAGGGGGACACTCGACACCACCCTTGTTTTCGTATGTACTTCAAGTTGGTGTCTCTTGCACCTAACACTGACTTAATTCTGCATAGATTGCTCTTTTCTCGGCCATCATCATCAACCTTTTCGTGCAGTCCCTTCCGGAGCTGTCACAAAATCCCGTGGATAGGACAAACGAGCTGCTCCAGAATCTCACCAACATTGTGGTCGCCACCAGTGACGTCAATTCCGACCTGAACATATCGCCACCCGTCCCTTTCAAGCCTGACGCAACGGCAGTCCGCCTCAACTTCTACTGGTCCATATCGTCAATTCTTAGTGTACGATTACAGTTTTTTTGACGCAGGCTAATACTAATTCCTCGAACAGATATCGGTTGCCGTCCTTGCAGTGACAAGTCGAGGCTATGTTGCAATGCTAACACGATCTCGCCACTCCCAGGCTCACAAAAAGCTGGGCGACCTTCACCGGCGTTGGTTAGAAGCCAACAGGTTGCTCGCTCCTACGGTCGAGTTCCTTCCCCAACTCCTGGTTCTTCCCGTCGTCTTGTTCGTTGTTGGGCTGTTGGACAACGTCATCTCGAGTGCAGTGCCACTCTCGTCACCGTTCATCCAGGTCCTCGTCGCTGGCATTTTGTCGTCTGTTTTTGACACCGCTGTTGCGATGTACACAGTGTGGACAGTGCTCCATGGATGGTTGTACCCTGATCGTTCTCCGTTCCAGTCAAGCCTGATGCATTTCTGGATCATATATGGCCCTTCGATAACCAGCGCAACTGATCAGCTTTTCATGAACATTCCTAGCTCTTGTCGTTCATGGTTGTCCTGGCTTACGAGGGGTTCGGATTGGTCTCAGAACGCTATCTTGGCTGCTGCTCATTCATCCTCCTCCTCCGATACAGCAGTCGTCAATGTTCTTCCTCAGACAGACCACGCTCCGAAAAGCGCAACTCTTTAACTGTACTCGACTGTTTCGTGGAGGTGGAGAAGTTGAAGCGGGAGCCGATTAAATGTTCTCGATGCCAGCAATACGGTCACATGGCTGCTGTATGCCGTTCTGAGGTCGACGTTTGCGGAACGTGTGGCGGAGCGCACCGCTCCCATACCTGTTCTTCGTATAAGACCTTCCTCTGTGTTTCTTGTGGTACGAGCTCTCACACGAGCTCAAGCAGGGAGTGCCCTACTTTCCTCCAGCTCTGTGATGAATATGATGCACGCAACCCCGATAACGCCATGCCATTCTTTGTTACGAGTGATCCTATTACTCACCGTTCTGCTCCCCCTCGTGTCCCCGTCCTTGAACGTTTCCCAAAGGCATTTGAAGTCAAACGGATTGACCGTCGTGGTGGTGACCCTCCCCCCTCGCAGCCTCGACAGACTACGTTGTCGGACTGGAAGAAGCCGGCTCCGCCCCATCTTGATCAGCGTCCCCCACGCACACTCCCGCCGACGCCTAACGCGTACCATGATCCCGAGGGCCTAGGGCCTGCGCACTGTGTTCCCGCGACGTCCTCCAATGCTACCCCATTAGGACCCCGATGATTGTACGACCTGACTCCTCTACTTCGAAGTTGCGCATTTGGCAACAGAATGTGAACAGTTCTAATGTCACACAGCTTGGCCTTTTTAATGATCGCTCTTGGGCGGACTATGATGTGCTTGCTATACAAGAGCCTTATCTCGACTATCTCAATAACACTCGTGCTTCTCGTGACTGGCATGTGGTCTACCCCTCAACACACCTCACTACATCTCAGACCTCTCGTTCAATCACATTTGTCCGCTCTAATATCTCTGCTTCCTGTCCTTGGGAGCAGCTTTCGTTCCCGTCGCCGGATGTTACGGTTCTCCAGTTTCGTATACCGCGCTCCTCGGGCGCCGGAGGTGGTCCTCCTGTCTCTGATTTCGTCACTATATTCAACATCTACAATGATTGCATCAGCCCTGCCACGGAGGTGGCCCTTCGAGAATTCTTCCGCCTGAACCACTCTCTCTTGTTTCCTACGTCTGCCTCGCATGTCATCTGGCTTGGAGACTTCAACCGCCATGATCCGGCCTGGGACAATCCAGAGGATGTCCGGCTATTCACTAATAAAGCGCAGGACGCAGCTGAGCACTTCATGACCCTGCTTTCAGATCTCGATCTACGCATGGCTCTCCCTGCCAATATCCCTACCCACCGACATTTTGTCTCTAAGCTGTGGTCACGTCTCGACAACGTCTTCTGCACTTCTCATACTCTTGACCTTTTTGTCTCATGCGATACTAAACCAGAGCTGCAAGGCCCCACTACAGATCATGTCCCCATTGTTAGCATTTTGGATCTCTCTCTTGCACATGTTGACTACCAACCGACTCCCAATTTTCGTCTCGTTGACTGGGAGGCCTTCCGCTCCGCTCTCTCTGACCGTCTATCCTCCTCTTCTGTGCCCAACGCTTCTTATCTGGTCTCCGAAGAGGACTTCATCCGTGCCGTATCCACGCTCACCTCCTGCATTCAGAGCACTATTTCTTCCCATGTACCGGTGGCTCGCCCATCGCCTCATTCTAAGCGCTGGTGGACTCGTGAACTTGCAGACTTGCGCAAAGACATGTTACGCAAAGCGCGACAAGCCTATAAGTTTCGTGACCTGCCTGGACATACTTCACATGCCGTTTTGGCTGAGGCGCGGAAGCTTTACAAGTCTGTTCTCGAGACTACGAAGCGGCAGCATTGGCAGGACTGGCTAGAGGACATCTCGGGCGCCGACATCTGGACGGCCAACCGATTCATCTCTACCCCCTCAGGCGACGCCGGTAAGACAAGGATACCTCCTCTCAAGGTCCAGCAACCCGATGGGACTTTCAAGACTATTTCATCGGAGGCGGAGAAGGCGGAGGTTTTCGCCAAGGCATTCTTTCCCCCGCGACCGGACACCTCATCCGTACCTCGCGACTTTGCATATAGCGACCCCGTGCCCGGTACCTATCACAACTTCACACGAGACCAGATTCGCACCCAAGTTCGGAGGCTGAGCCCTTACAAGGCTCCGGGTCCGGATGGAATCCCTAACGTCGTTCTCATGAAGTGCATCGATGTCATACTCGAGCGTCTCTACTTCATATTCCGCGCTGTATTCACACTTCAAACTTACTATGGTCCGTGGAAGGAGTTCCTGACTGTGGTTCTGAGGAAGTTCGGAAGGGCGGCTTATGATCTGGCAAAGTCGTTCCGCCCAATTGCTCTTCTGTGCACGATTGCCAAGCTACTGTCGGCCCTTGTCGCTGGCCAGCTCTCCTATATCACCGAAAAGTTTGCTCTTCTTCCACCGACCCACTTCGGCGGACGACCTGGCCGCACCACCACCGATGCCATGCACTACCTCGTTCATCACATCAAACACGCCTGGCGCCAGGGCAAGGTTGCTTCCGTGCTCTTTCTTGACATCGAAGGCGCCTTCCCCAACGCTGTTCACGATCGCGTCATCCACAACATGCGAAAACAGCGTGTCCCACTACCGATAGTGGACTTTGTGGCCAGGATGCTGTCCAACCGTCGTACTCGGATGCGGTTCGACAACTTCACCTCGGACGCCTTTGATATCGACAACGGGATCGGTCAAGGCTGCCCATTCTCCTTCCTCATATACTTGTACTACAGTGCTGACGCCCTCGACATCCCCACCGGCCCCAGCGAGTTCGCCTCAGGCTACGCCGACGATACCATCTTCATCGCCACCGGAAAAACCTTTGACGATACTCACCTTACTCTAGCATCGATGATGGTGCGGCCGGGTGGTGGCCTTGATTGGTCACGGGACCACAACTCGTCATTCGAACCGAAGAAGTTGGCGGTTGTTGACTTCTCTCGGAACAAGAAGCACCAAAGTTGCTCTCTGACCATTCCTAACTTCGCTGTTGTCCCCTCATCTTTGTCGGCGAAGTACCTGGGTGCTCACTTTGACCGAGAACTTCGCTGGCACGTCCAGGCTCAGTATGCAGTGAAGCGGGGCATGGACTGGACTTTACAGCTGCGGCGGCTAGCGAAACCGTCGAGCGGTATGTCTCCGGGTCAAGTTAGACGCCTCTTTGTGGCTGTTGCATTGCCGAAGATGGGTTATGCTATAGACGTATGGTGCTCCCCCCTTGTCGATGTTGGGGGGAAGCGTCTGGCCGGGTCCGCTGGGCACATCTCGAGCATGGCCCGGGTACAGCGTATTGGAGCGCTAGCGATCACTGGTGGCCTTCGGACCACGCCAACAGTCGTCCTCGACGCTCACGCCTACCTCCTTCCCACCATGCACTGGGTCGACAAGATCTGCACTCGCTCCGCTGTCCGACTCGCGTCTCTTTCCTCCTCCCATCCTCTTTTCCCTATTGTGAGACGATGCGCGCGCCATTTCGATATTTCCAGTCACCGCGAGCCTATCCATGACCTCTTCCGCCTCACAAGGATTGTCCCCGACCGGGTCGAGTCCCTCGCGCCGCTCTCCCTTCGCCCCGGTTCACGTCTTCCGTTCTCAACGTTCATAGCTGACTCCCGCGATGAAGCGGTCGCTCTTGATGCCGTCCAGTCCAATGATATTCGGATTTACTCTGATGGGTCTGCGATCGCAGGTCGTGTTGGCGCCTCTGCTGTTCTACTTCGCCACAGTCGCCCTCCTCGAACCCTCCACTTCCACCTCGGAAAACTATCGCATCACTCTGTATATGAAGCCGAACTAGTCGGGCTTCTCCTCGCCATCCACCTTATTTCGACTGAGCCGAGTGCTTGCCTTACAACCTCTATCAACGTCGATAACCAAAGCGCCCTGATGGCACCTTCGACGGCTGCAGCCCACTCTGGACAGTACCTGGTTGACGAGTTCCTACGCCTGGCAAAGACTGTCAAGCGAGAGAGAGGCCCGCATGGGTATCGTCTGGAGATCCGCTGGGTGGCGGGTCACGAAGGAGCAGAGGGCAACGAGCTTGCTGACGTCGGCGCTAAGTCGGCTGCTCATGGTCTGTCCAGCCCCGCTGCTGACCTCCCGCATATCCTCCGCTCCCGCCTATCCTACAACTGTTCCGCTCTCATCCAGTCCTTCACGTCCAAAATCAAGGCGAGCTGGGCTAGCGATTGGGCCCAATCATCTCGGGCCACTCAGTTTCGACGCATCGGCCCTTCGCTACCTTCGAAATCCTTCCTGAAGCTCATCGATCGCTCCTCCCTTCGCCGCGCCGGCTCCAGTCTCCTCTTCCAACTTCGATCTGGTCACGTCTCTCTCAACCACTACCTCCACCGCTTCGGTCGCGTCAACTCCACTCGGTGCCCGGCGTGTGGCACCCTCGATGAGACGGTCTCTCACTTTCTCCTTGAATGTCCGAAGTATCGCTATGAGCGTTTCATCCTTCAGAAAGCTTGTCGTGCCCGTCGGCTAGGGCTCGACGTCCTCCTGGATCGTCAAAGCAATATTGTCCCACTTCTCACCTTTGTACATGCAACACGCCGCTTTGTCCGGCATGAGTATGATCCCGGCTAATTTTTTTTTTCCTTTTCCTTTTCCTTCGCATTCTTATCAGTTTCGTGGCGTGATTGCTGACACAACTGAGCATCTCTTATTCATCCCAGTCAAACACAGTTGTCTACTCGAGCGTTCGATCCAACTCCGCAACTTCGTGCGTCCGAGCTCGCTCCGCAACTCCGTATTCGTTGGTGGAAGGACTGTAGGAAGCCTGCCCTCGCACGTTTGTGCCCACCCTCTCGCATATCCCCTCAAATAGTCTGCTTAGTCTCGACTGGTCTCATACACGCACCCCCTTCTGCCCATTATCTGTTCGGCCTATTTCTCGTATGTCTCTGGCCTGTCTGGTCTCTTTTTCGTCCGTCTTTGTCGTGTTCGGTCTTTTTCTCGTCTGTCTCTTTCTCGTCTGTCTCTTTCTCGTCTGTCTCGCTCGGTCTTTCTCTCGTCTGTCTCGCTCGGTCCTTGTATCGTCTGTCTCGTTCGGTCTCGTTCTCGCCCGCGACTGTTTCCGTCAGGTCTCTTTCTCTCTTGCAGTCTTTCTTATATATCAGTCTTCGTCTTCATCAGCCCGTGCCTCACTCGTCATACGGTTCTTGCCACCCTACTCTCGGCTCTCTTACCCCCCTCTTACCTACCTCTCCCTGTTCCGGTTTGTTTCAGTCTGCACGCTTCTCCCCTTCATACCCCTCTCTCCCCCTCTGTGCCCCTCGGGGTTCCCGTCAGTCTCTTACTTATATCAGCCCCTCTCGTTTGTACCCCGACGCTCTGTTCTGTCTTACATAGCGGCTTCCTTCGCTGATGGACAATAAACTGGATTCAAAAAAAGAAACGCAACTCTTGAACTACACGACGCCGAAGCTTTCCATTCTGCTCTCAAACTGACTCACGACGCCGATATCATCGACCAAGCCGTAGCCGCATTTCCTACCCTTATAATGCAATGTCTGTCCCAAGGCAGGAAGCCAGAGTCGATACCAGATAAACTGTATCATGTCGCACGGCCTCTGGACCGCGAGATAGAGTCCTGTGCCTATATGCTGTCGACTGAGGCGCATGCCCGGGCGAACGTCTCTGCGGCTACTTTCATCGCGGATCCATTCAGCTTTGCACCCGTTGCATTGAGAGGTCAGTGCTCCTAGCCCTCCAGACCCTTTCGTTTACTAATCGTGAACCGTATTGCAGACATCCAAGATCCAAGGCTCGAGTACTCGACTGCCAATACCACGCTCCTCTAACCGCTGCTGGTGCAGGCAGCCGAGAGATACTCCTTGTTCAGTACGGGGCAAGTCCATTCGCATCTGCTCTGGGAATCGCCCTTCTCCACAGCGATGCACATGCTCGTCTCGTCGACTCCCGATCTTCGAAACCCGTACAACCAATCTGTATCTCGCCATTTGCCCGTCGTGGCGCTTCTACTGCTCAACATCCCCGAGTTCAATAGTTCAGACTCCTCCCCGGAGACATTTTCTCGTACGAAATTCATGGACTTTCTCTGGGATGTCTTTGCAGCGGAGGTGCAATGGAAAGCGTCTCAGTCGTCATCACCGCTCAATATCGAAGGTGCTGTGAGCGAGGTACTGGGATACCATGGCTCGTGGTCACTTTACATGGGCAAGCTGCGCGACAGCTTGGGAGACAGTCTTCCGCGCAACATGACCGAGTTCATGACTCGAGGCATGAACGTGGAGCTCCGTAGTCCGCACATTGACCCCAAAATGGCAAAAGAGCTCGTGAAGTGGGTTCTCTGCTCCAACAGGCGTGAAAAACTCGTCGACTTTCCTGCGGTCGTTGGGGGGCTGCCTCGTGCTATTGATCTCTTCGGCGATGTGTTGACTCGAGTTAAAGACAGGAATGTTCTGTTCAGACACCCGAAACTCACGGCTGCGTTCGATTGGTTGGCTTTTCTGCTGAAAGAAACGACGACGATATTCTGCGCTACCTTCGAATACCCACATTCCAGCGCCTATTTGGACCGCGACGCGCAAGGACGTGCATTCGCTTCCGTATGCATTAGTCTGATCCAGCTCTTGTAGACCTTTGACAGTTCTTATGTCGAGAACGTCAGCAGCGCCGCATACTTCAGTCACTCGTCTAGTGGAGAACACCCTAACGGCTCCTGCACATCCCTCTGCGCGTTCCAGGCCGAGATCCTGCGGGCTCTTGAGAGCGTGTCTCGAGCTAGTCCGTCCATGGTACTGGACAGCCGAGTGTGGAACGATGCGGTCGTGAGCTTGTCAGGGACGAAGGGCGTCGAGCTGTTGCCGGGGGCCTATCACGAAAATTGGACGCCAATGGACCATCGCGATGGAGTCGCGCAGACCATTCTGGAGGCTTTGAGGCCATTGGCGTTTCCTGGATCTAATACGAACGGTATAGGGCCCGAACGCGAGCTTACTCTTGATATTCTGTCACGCGCTCTGGACGATTTTCGGACTACGCTGAACGAGGAAGAGGGAAGGAATATTATCTTCCGTCACCCCAAACTCGCGAGTGCGTTCGCTCGGTTAGCGTCCACCCTGGAGGAAACGACGACGATATTCTGCGCCACTTTTGAATCCCCGCTTTCGAGTCACTCCCATTTGGATCGCAATGTGCACGGACGGGCTTTCCTCAACGTCTGCGTCGACCTGATACAGGTCCTGCAGGACTTCGACGTTTCGTATGCAGAGAATGTCGGTGCTGCGGCTTACTTCGATCATCCGTCCAACGGGGAATATCCAAAGCACTCCTGCACGTCACTTTGTGCATTCCGGGCTGAGATATCGCCTGATATCGCGCGCCGTCGAGGGCGTGCACGGAGCGTTCGAGGTCGACCAGTGGAATAGGATTCTCGCGACGTTGACGGGGACGCAGAGCGTCGAGCTGTTGCCTGGGACCTGGCTCTCGAAGTGGACACCGCCGAGCCATCGCGACGAGGTTAGACAGACTATTCTGGCGGCGCTGAGGCCAATGGCGCCGTTGACGTTCGAATCAGGTGAGTTGGTATCTTGTGTTGTACATAGGGTATCTCTGACTGATATTTTTGTCGGCTTTGTGCTCCTCATAATTAGTCGTTACGATACCGTGGAACCAACTCGAACAACGATCCGCATAAAATACTGGGGTATGAGAACCAGGTCGTTCTCAGCTCGGTTTGAGATGATGATGACCTCGTTCTACTTACCTGCTAGAGTCCAATCGCTTTCAAGTGATCCTGAATCTGTTTCTTCGTTGTTTTTTCTCGCTTTCTTGCTATCGTCGTCTCTCGCATGTTCAATTCGTCGTTCCTTGCTTTCTTTTCTCGCCGTGTCATCGCACTGTTTTCTTCGCATACACCTGATACGCTCTAAGTCCCTTTCTAGAGAGCATAATACACGCTCTACCTAATCTCAATCTGCTCTCACCATGCGTTTCCGCTATTTTTTTCTCGCCTCATCGTTATCTCCGCTCTCGCTCACTTTTAGTCTGCAACGTTTGCTTTCAACCGATTGCTTTCCATCCTTGCTTTTCATCGCGTACACCGTCTGATCCGCTTCCTTAGACTATCCAAGCCCATGTACTCGTACATACATACTCTCGCTTTCTCTCGCTTCATCGTCGTTCTCGCTCTAGCTGCTGCGTTTGTTTTGCTTTCAGCCTCGCCTTTCGCTCTGATCCACACGCTGTCAAAGATCTGAATCTGGATCATGCTATCTGACTAGTACTACGTACATACATGTCTCTATACAACCTTCTCATACAGCTAACCCTGCCCAGCTTTGCTCTGACTCGGAAAACTCGACCAACGACAGGCCGTATTCTACAGGTACAGTATAAGATGCAGGAACTTGGAAGCGACGCTGGGAAACCAGATAAGGATGATCGTACGGTGATGATCTGTAGCGAAAAATGGATCGAAGGATGCGAGGAATATGTGTATATATATCTGAGGTCATGACTAGGCGAAATGGCCGTACTGGAGACGGTAGACATCAGATGCGCACGTAGTAAGTGGTGTTCGGTTGGGCCATGACGCTCGGATGGATGATTATCTGCAATGCTTGCTATTGGGTCCGTGCTGTGGATTCGTACGATGGCCAGCCTCCGAAACGGGTGTGGTTGGGATAAAGTCTGACGACAAGAGGTCCGTTAGCCGATTCGTTGTGGACACTTGTCTATTTTGAGGAGCGGCGACATGTCGGAGTGGGTCGCTTTATCAGATAAGCTTCGGAGAGAGATAAGATGACAAGTGGAGATTCAGTCACGAATGAACACATCAGAAAAGGGATCCGGAGGTCGTACGACGTTCAACTCGGCGACAAACATGTGACATCACGAGCATACGCAGAAGATGCTGAGCGTGCGTTCAATCGTGAAGGAACAACGCCAGGTGACGGAGCAGGAGGGCTCCTCGTTGGGGTCGCAAGGCTCCCCGCTGATGCGTGGATGAAGGTGAGTGGACGGTAGTGACACTGAGTTCTATGTGCCGTGGAAGTGGATGTCATTGTGATGGAGCAGAGGTGGCGAGACGGCGAAGACGTCAGGCTTACTACTTGCCGTGTTAGATGATTGTGCCAGAGGTGCAATGGAGCGTATGTCATGCCGTCCGGAGCATGAGAGTGCACTGGTGGAATATACTTTTTATGTCGAGTCGAGGCAGTACGAGGATTAGGAGAATTGATCGCCTCAGGAGAAATGCAGCCAAAAGAGTACGTTCGTGAGACACGGAGAAGAAGTGGGGAGAAATGTCGGAGACTTGTCCGATTGAATAATCATGAAAGACCAGAGCTGACAATTCGAAAAGAGCAGAGCTGATTGACAGACCACTTTGACAGAGGATACGCTGCGGACGAGCAGAATGAGGAGACATTTAAGGCAGGCCAGGGCGGCCTGGAGTGGATGAGTGAGCGCCTGTTTGTGAGCGGGTGAGAGCGGGACCGAAGAGGCCGCGGGGAGGGATTACTAAAAGGGGCAGTGGCGCGTGCAAGGTGGTTGAAGAGAAAAATGTGGTGTGACTTTCCGATTTATCGTGCGCGAATAAAAGTGAAGCGTCGAGGACGATGGCCCGAAATCCGCCCCCCCACTCGTGCTCATCGTCGACGACAACGTCCAGACCACGATGGATCTCGTCCTCTCCCTCGCCGACCACTATCTCCTCGACGCCGTCTGGGCTCGCGTCCTCCCCCTCGACGCCTTCAACGTCCCCGCCCACCTCTCGTCCTTCGGCAAGCTCCCCTCCGACGCTGCTGCTCTCCCCCTCCCCACCTGGCGTTCGCTCGTAGCACACCTACCACACCCACCGCTCAACAATGCCACCGCGCCATACGCGTCTTCCGTCGCGCCCCTCCTCTCCGCATGGCCGCGCGACTACATCCCGAGACAGATCCTCTCCCTCTCCGCCATCACCCTCGCCGGTATCATCGTCCTCTACTTCCTCTTCGCCGGTCTCTCCTACCAGTACATCTTCAATCACGAGATGATGGACCATCCGCGCTTCCTTAAGAACCAGGTCAAGCTCGAGATTCAGTCCAGTCTGTCTGCCTTCCCCGGAATGACCCTCCTTACCTTGCCATGGTTCCAAGCGGAGGTCATGGGCTACTCGAAACTGTATCAAAACGTGGACGAATATGGCTGGGCGTACTTCATTCTCTCAGTGCCATGGTATGTGCATTTCGACCTGTGCTACCCGTCCACTCGCGCTTATTATCCCCGTCTCGCAGGTTCTTGCTGTTCACCGACTACGGCATCTACTGGGTCCACCGCCTGCTCCACCATCCTGTCCTGTACAAGTACATCCACAAGCCCCACCACAAATGGCTTAGTACGTCGTGCTTCGCGTCACTCAAGTAGACTTCGTACTGACATGCCCGTCTATCACCAGTCCCGACGCCTTTCGCATCGCACGCCTTCCACCCCATCGACGGCTACCTCCAATCCGTCCCCTACCACCTCTTCATCTTCATCTTCCCCCTCCAGCGCCACCTCTACCTCGCCCTCTTCGTCGCCGTCAACTTCTGGTCAATCTTCGTACGTTGACACCCTCAACCAAATTATCTCGCAGACTTGATTCTGACCATCGTCCTCTAGATCCACGACTCTGACATGATCACCGGCCACTTCCTCGAGAAGGTCATCAACGGACCAGCACACCACACGCTCCACCATCTCTACTTCACCGTTAACTATGGCCAGGTACGTACTCCGCTCACCGCCCTATTACCCTGGCATTGCTAACATTTCATTTATTATCACGCAGTACTTCACCTGGGCTGACCGATGGGGAGGCTCCTACCGTCAACCCGAATCGTCACTGGACCCGCTCCTCGAAGTCCAAGCCGCGAAAGCTTTGAAGGCACAGAAGGCACAATGATCGTCTTCCCCGAGCCGATGGCCTGTGTTTTTTTCTGGCTTTTTGCTTCGCTCCTCGTCTTGCGCTACACCGCCGTATATACCACTCCTTTCCCGTCGCGTCCGTCTTCAGCGCGTATGGGATCAATTGGCTGGACGAGCGCAAGCACCGAACGGAGTCTGTGCTTTCGGGTGATCTAGTGGTGTTAGAGAGGTTGTGGGGAGGGTGATAGTTGGGTACATCCAATCTATTTAGAGAGTGGGCGGGTGGGAGGTGGGGGTCCTGTCCTTGTACAGTTTTCGATTTGACTGCTGTTGCTTTCACGTTTCCGTTGGGGTTACTATTTGTTGAAGGAATTGAAAGGTTTAGAAGTTAAAAACTCCGCTGACAGTGCTCACGAGAACGAGCGTACGAGCTCGTGCGTATATATATAAACGCTACTTATTTTGACTCGCACAGTGCACATTTGACTATCGATATTTTCTTTCACTCCGTGACCACGACATCCATCCATCCATCCATCCCATCCATCCATTCATCCATTTACACCTTACATACCATTCATGTCTTTGTGTCGCGAAGTTGCTGCTGTTATCTACTTATTTAGCTTAACGAATAATTTTTTCTATCGTTGTCTTATTCCTCTCTATCTCAATCTCAATATCAATCAATTGAAACCTGGACTTGCGAAGTTGGTTGCGGTGCATTGGGGGACGAAGGACTCGTATTAATCGGTTGTTCAGCGTAAGTTCGGGTTATGCGTGTTCGTGAGTGGGCTTATTATATTGTGGACAGGTGGAAAAAGCTGCTCAAGAACGACTTGCTCGGCGCTCATCACCTCAGTTCAACTTCCTCCTGTTCGCTCAGATCTCCAAGGAACGGTTTGTGGAGAGGCTCGTGGGCTTTGCTCCTATCTGCAGCGTTCTCACACACACCGTGCATCTGAATCATAGTATAAGTATAAGTACAGTGGATCGGTGGAGGGGCCGTTCAACTTCGGGTGATAGAGATTCAGACGATATGAGGTTTTCTCGGAAGAGTCGACTTGCATGATGCATGATAAGAGCAGTGGGTAAAAACCCACACCCACAATACATATGAACAGACGAATCAGACATCCACGACCCTACGAGCAATAAAAGTAAGAACATCCAACCGCTACTTCAGCCCCTAACGCCGCTCGTCGGACACGCTGATGACCGATGACCACTCGCATGGGCCGTGAACTTGAAGGTCGTGCGACGGCTAACTAATACTAATAGTCCGTGCAGGAGTTCTCGACTCCGACCTCGATACCGACCGGGATGTTGTTGATCTCGTAGTTGTACCTATAGGATATTAAAAAAATGTACGGCTCGGTTTAGCACGCGATAGCGATACATCATATATACCAACTTGAACGCGGCGACGATTCAGACATACCAGATGTAGTGTCCGCCCTCGGGTTTTCCGTAGTTCACCCTGATGCGGTTGCACTGTGGTCGAAGGCGTGATTGTATTAGCGTCGTGTTGGACGGGAAACCGAGAGCTGGATAGAGAGAGGGAGAGAGGGAGGGAGAGAGGGAGAATGAAGATGACTTACAGGCTTCTCGAGGTTGCAGTGGTCGGCGCCGCCGTGAGGCGGGCAGTTGATGAGGTTGGCGGGATTGCCGGGGTCGGTGATGCGACGCTCGAGAGTCTCAGAACTATCACGCTCGACGTTCACGTTCGCAGCGGAGACGGCCACGGCGGCGGCGGTGATGAGAGTGAAGAGGGTGGTGAAAATCTGCATGTTTGTAGTGGAGAGGAACTGGTTGGTGAGAGAGGAGTTGAGTTGAGGAGGCTGGGTGGTGAGTTAAAGAGAGCGGTAAGGAGGGTTTATATATGTTTCCTGGAATGAGAGAGGGGGGTGGGGGAGAGTTGATAATTTCTATGAGCTGGTCGTCTATTGCAAAGCCAGGAGTCCAAGGGTACTACGACGGCGAATTCAATTGACCGAGACAAGTGGAACGGTCACACCCTGGATCAAACCGCAAGCGCCAACATGGCCTGCACAACGCAATGGAAGCTCTTGAGCGCTCTCCAGAAGAAGAGAAATGACTACTCACATTGTCCAAATTGTGTGCAGTATACAATGGAGGAAATGGGATTAGCTAGACAGTACTGTCAGTGACGTTCTGAGCGCTTCGGATACGTCGAGATTTTTGACCCTAGATCAATGATATGTGCAAGGGCCAATGATGCCGGCGAAGGTTGCTCAGATGGTCTCTTTCACGGGGCGACAGGATACATACAATCCAGAAAACCCCGAGGTTCCTCGGGCGGCGAATCGGAGACAAGCATGGTGAGCAAAACCCGACCTTAACCAACAAATTTTGCGGCGAAAAGTACATGAATTGTGAATCGGTGAAGCAGGTGAGCTCGCCTGTTGCATCAGAGCAAACATTCAATAATTCCTGATGTATAATAAATTCGCGGGTTCTTCGGCAACGAACAACGAGTGCTTTGGATCTCGTCCGGCTAAAAGCATACTGGTCTGATGCTAATACTAAACGACTACTAGTATTTCGAGACGGTTCTGGTCTCGACGAAGCTGTTGTAGGCCGCATGTCGAGTCCGGCTAAGTTACCAGGTAGTAATGTAGCAAAGTCCGAGCCGTCCACAGTGACCGCCCTGAGCGGTACAGACCAGGAGAAATTCAGAGCAAGATCGAGGATGTCTGTATCGGTGAGAGCAAGGCGCCGAGCGGGGTGGCTGAGGCTGCAGCGCATTACCTGGATGAGGTCAATAGGGCGAAGAGTTACTGTACTTTTTCGACCGTAGGATCGCCACACTTCACGGTCAAGAAACTGGAGGGTGGCGCTCCTATCAGGTTTTTTTTGGCCAACCCTAACCCCAACATATTGTTCGATCGGATCCTTCCGGGAGCTTTATACTAAGTTTAGAGCCACGACGATGCGACCTCGCCGCCGACTTCTACGTCTCGTACGCTGAAGAAGGCTGATGCTTCGACGTTTCTCCAGGCAGCATAGTACTCTACGAAATATCACGAACCATTCATCACGACAAGTCAAAAGCTGATGCAATGACCTAGTATTTTCGGGTCAGTGTGAGTCTTCATTTCTCGACTCAGGGCGTTCGGGCGCTTGTTTAGTAGCCGCCGCTTCTCCTCCTAGACTACGTCTGCTTCACGGCGCTGGAGACTAACACGACGTGGATTAGTGTGGAAATGGAAGTTAGTCCAGCACGTCCCAAATGTGGCCTACATGGCTCCTGACGGGGTTTACCCAGCTGGGAGAACTGTAGTCGCCCATGCAGTGCATGGGGTCCGATGTTGTCGCTTTCCGACAGGCAGAAATTGAATTATGAATAGAGCTTCGCTCGAGGAATGAAAGGCAAGCGCCTTCCGCTGCTCAGCGCTTGTCCCAGAGGTCGAGCAATGTGTACTCGGTAAGACCTCGTGAAGAGTATGGCGGCTGCCCTGGAGACTAACGTGACTTTCTAGGATCACGAATGTTGGCTGAACGGGTATCGCACATGATTGGGCCCCATAAGTTCTCTACTTTTCGTGACTTCAGGAGACCGATAGCCTTTTTCAAACAAAATTCGTGCATGGATCCACAAGCGCCCACCCATTACCGAAAATGATGGAATGAAACATATAATCCTGGGGTGGTTCACGACCAACTCGGAACAGGTGAGCGCGATCTGGCTCTGAATGCGGCTTGACGGTGAGCTTAGGGCAGACCATGCCATGCTGGTGCGTTCGCAATGGCACAGCGTTTAATGAAAGTACTCGACTCTCCCTGGCAGGTGGGACTCAGGCGATGTCTCGCTGCAAGTCCCGCAGACTCCGGGAATACTCTTCGCTATGACCCCCGAATCGTATATAAGCCATCGCCCACCACACTTATGGTCCTCAGTACTCAAGTACCCTCTCCTCCGCACCAAGCACTTCATTTCAGTTCCAGTGGTTCTTCGACCAAATTTTCCTTCCAAGCACCTCTTCCAACATGCAGTTCTTCATCGCCCTCATCACCCTCGCTGCGACTACCGTGATCGCCTCCGCTGCTAACCTCAACGTTGAGCGTGAAGCTGTCGATACTCTTATCAAAAATCCCAACAACCCTGCCGACCTTGTCAACTGCCCTCCTCACGGTGGAGCCGATGCGTGCCATCTCGAGCAGCCTGTAAGTTTTCCTCCCGAGTACCGCCCTGCCAGTGTGTCATTTCTCAACATCGCTCGTTCTTTGTGATTAGTGCAAACGCATTCGTATCAACTACGGTAGCCCCAAGGGAGGACACTACATCTGGTATGTAACTTGCAAACATTGATTGTTACACTTTCCTCTATCGCCGTCCACGTCTGTGTGGACTCTTGCTGACTTATTCGTGTGTTTTTAGGTACAACTACGACATCACCGACATCCCCTCTGGTGTCGAAATCGGCACTGAGGTTTCGTGCACGGACTACTAGACGCGAGGGCACCTGTTAGATTATTCTGTCTAGGTTATCGAGGGGTCATGGGTATCAAACGGGTCTTGGGGTTCAACTCCGACTGGTCTTTTTGTTACTTTTGGTAATGCGCTTTGTGACGAGGTTTCAACTGCATTTATTCTCCTGAGCTGGTCGGCTAGTGATTCTATCTACACGTCGTGAAATGATATGAGTACTATGAAAAATGTTGATGAGCCAAGATCAGCATGGTAATATTTATCCTTCGCGGTTAAAACACCCTGAACCACAGGAGTCAGGACTCAAGATTATGGTGGTGACTCGGGCCACTTATTTCTGTGCTATTATGACTGTTATGTAAAGTGATTGGAGCCGTGTTTGGCGAGTTAGTTACTGAGGTGCCAACGAGCACACTTGTGATTTACTTCCACGCCAGCTGTGACACACGAAGTTGGCCGTCACCCGATTTGGCAACGGCGGCAAGCTCCGGCCTGGATCGTGAATCCCGCTGTAGGTACTGAAATTGACGCACGCAAGGATCATAGATCCTGCGGGAACGCCTATTGATATAGAGCCTTCTGAGCGAGGGACATAGATGGACCGAAGGCTCTCGACTTAGCGATAGCTTATTCTCTTTGATGAACGGTCCCGGGCTGTGAGGGTGAGGAGTGTAGATCAGAGCAAGAGCATAACACCGACATAGGCATCACTATTCCATCTCAGAACATGAGATAGGCATTTTTTATGAGATAGATATCTTTCATGAGGTTCTAGATATTTTTTGGAGACATGTGCATCGGGACTAACGCTCTGAGGGCTTGCTGAGGCACACGAGAGTGCTGTGGCCCAGCTTGTGGCGAGCCCGGGTGAGGCTCCGAGTGGGGCCAAGCCCCATCGACGAAAATCCTGGATGCGACTACGATTCTGAAAACAGCTGTAACACGATATCTGACTCGGAATGAACTTCAGGACTCTCCTCCGACCTTACAAAGGGAAGATCATAATCATCCTGGAATGCGGGGTCAATCGATGGTCATAGAACGAAAACAACAGCGAAGAAAAAGCAAGCAATACGACGACTATCTCAGACCCCGGTCATGCCGTCCTGAACTAGTCCGCCAGGGTAACTACCGCTTCGACGGCCTCTTCTTCACCTCATCGTCCTTCGTGGCGTGCAGCATAATCTTGTTCGGGTGACCGCTGGTCATGCCCGAATGTCCCTTGGACCAGTCGTAAGATATGGCGTAGGCGAAGATCGATCCGGTCCTATTGAAGGCGGTGGCCGCAATTGGGCCGGGGCAAGCGTCGAAGGCTGTTACGCGGCGGACATAGTAGCGGGTGGGCAGGTGGCAAAAGGGAGGGCGAGGACGGATCAATGAGAAGTGAATGGCACGTAGACAAGTAGTTGGTGATATAAGCGAGAACCGACGATGAGCAATAGACGGAGGATAAGAGCTAGGATATTTAACGCACTCTTCAGGCGTGTCCGTGCATCCTTGTCCCAGAAGTTGATAGTTCCATCGGATCCTAGTGAATATCGAGGAGTCAGCCATTGGGGAACATACAGAAGCAAAATAAGGCAGATCTACCGCAAGTCGAGAATGTGCCGTGTACTGGGTGAAAGCCAATATCGTTCACTGCGAAGACCAAAGATTGGTCCTTCGAGTTAGGCGCTGAGTCCCGTCGGTGGCACTTGAACGAGAAATTATTGCTGATCCACATCGAGGAAAAAGAAACGAGGTGAAGAGTTAGTCAAGGTGGTTCTGAGGGCACTCTCGAATATTTTGGAGAGCAACGTACGCGGACTGTGAGTCGTCGGTGTACCTGGAGAAACGATGGTCAGATTCCAATACCGAGTCAGGTATAAGGAAAAGGTATCTCACTGGATTGCAACACGCCCTTCGACACTCCCGACAGCGAATCCGTTAGCTTGCGGGAAACATGACACGACACGAGTTTGCCACTTTAGGGGGGAGATCATGACCTACAAATAATGAACCGAATCCATTGTAATGTCGATACAAGCAAAGTAAGTACCGGCCAGAAAATGATGATTAGGATATGGTTACGCACTTTCTGTGGGGCGGCAGGATTTTTGGCAAGGTCGAAAGAGGCAATGTGGCGCTCTGCGGTGCCCACGACGAGCAAGGGATACTGCACGTCCATGGAGTAACATCGCTCTGGAAGTTGAACGACGGTGATCGGGTTTGGGGTTCGTAGGTCCCAGTACTACAGGCAACCATCCATTAAGTTGATCATCGGTGTGAAGCAGAATGAATAGATGAAGAGTGCGGACCTTCAATGTCTTATCCCAACTACCAGTGGCAAGGATTCCCCCCTGTGGTGTTTCAATCCATTTGACGACCTTGACTGCATTGTCGTGTTGCGCAACTTGTGACGACTGCCCACTCTGGATGTCGAAAAGTCGAGCTGCATTGTCCGCGCCGCCGGAAATGATCTTGGTACCGTCCTAGTTTTGACCGGGAAAGAAGGCGCCAATGAAATAATTGGTGAATTGGAGGGAGATTGAATGGGCGAGATGAAAGCGAGGAACAGTGGTTAGAGTTTTTGAGAGGAGCAATTCAAACAAGGCCACACCTTATTCCAGCAAAGACTCAGCACCGGGCCTTGGTGTGAATACATTGCTTTCCCCTGGGTCTGCCCTGCAGAGCCTACTTCGTATATACGCACCTATCATACAACATCCAGATACTATGATGAGCAACTACAATGGGTGAGGAAAGGATGTGGTGACGGTGCGCACATTGTTGTCCCAGCTTCCAACAGCAAGATAATCTGCGGCGGGAGAGAACCCCAGGGATGAGATAGAATCTGGAGGTGGGTCGACGACTTCAATATCTTTGTCTTGTGTCGCTGTCGACGTCGAGGCCGCTGAGCCGAAGAAGGACATGGTGGTCGAGAGCGAGGTGTAAACGACGCGTCTCAACACCAGTCACGCTCAACGCACCAAGCGCGTCTCGGTTCCGGGGTCCGTGCCAAATACAAATGTCCTTGTGAATATCCTTCGGCCAGCATCCCAGGGCATGGCCGGCTGGCCTAATGGTTAAGGCGCTAGTTTCCGGAGCTAGAGATTCCCAGTTCGAATCTGGGGTTGGTCGTAACCTCTGTCTCCACATGTTTTTCCTGCTTTCGTTCTTGGGCATTATACGATCGTTTCAATCGTGTCACCGAATATACCGGTTGACTGTAATGCCTCAGTAGTGCGGTGTCCCTTCTCTTGGACCTTCAGCTGTTACCTAGATAGAAAGCTTGCTTTTTTTTTATCGTCGTACATACATTGGATCGTGCCCACTGGCATCATAGGGAGTTCATTCTTCATGTTCGGGGTGTTCTTGCTTTTCGTGAGTTCTATCCTTCCGTTCTTCTTTCTCAAGCATCATGACAAAATGACTGTATGCACCAAGTTGGATGGTATCTAAACAGACTTGTATTGGAATATTGGGGGGGATAGACAAATGACTGAACTCCGAGTGAGACCATGGAGGATGAACACGAAAAATACAGGTCTAATGAGCCGTGATACCCAGACGATGCATGAGTATGTGGTTTAAGAGCTCGCTCGAGCCCCCATCGACCGCCAAAACCTTTGTGACTTCCTCCTCGCGCAAAATCTGGTCGATGTACTCTGCTGCACCTGACAGATGGGCGACACGGGCACAAGCCGCGTGGAGCTTGAGGTAACGAGGGTCGGGCAGAGGGCGCTTTACTGGGTCAGATGTGGTGAAGTCGACTTGAGTGCTAGGAAGAATCCTAAGAAGAAATCGACTGGAAGACGGAGCCTCCACGGTGTAGCTGCTATTGGAACCCTATGAATGGATGGGGGGTCAATCTAGGTCGTTGTAAAATGTAAACACGACCACTCACATCAGGAATTTTCTTCAGCCAGAGCTTCAGTTGGTCAAAGGATGTGTGAATATTGGTATCTAAGGTCAGGATGTTCTCAAGGCGATGTATGTTTGCGCCGTTGAGTTCCTGAAAGGAGTTGATACCGCCGTACCGATCCAGTATAGCATGCACAGATGCTGCATAGGGCTCCTACAGGAGAGATAGGATCATGAATAACAATGATCCTTTCGGTTATAAGGTAAGAGCACACCTTTGCGGAATCATCGAAATTCTCATTTGTGGATCTATCGAAGATATGGGCACAATGGGTGACCACTCCCATACTCACCCCGTCGTCGAGAACAAGCCCTGCAAACACAGATCCGGAGTCGAGCCGTCTCGAAATGATGCATCGATACCCGTCACGTTCCAGGGCCTCGAAGAGAATAGAGAAGACCGGGAAAAGAGTCAGTGTGCCTCAGCCATAAGACATTTAAACCTAGATGGCGTACTTGCGCCTTGGCTACGTCATGGGAAGACGGAGTTGCGAGCAACAGGGCACGAATTTCATCTTTTTTGAGGTCAAACGATGGTGCGGATGGATGAGACGAAGGTGCCGGAGTGCGACCGTTTGTTTTGTAGACTACGTGAAAGCCGGGATCCTGCGTAAGCTCCTGCATGGATATGAAATAAAGGTAGCTTTGACTTACAGCACCTGATGAAGTGGTCCTTGTAGAGATTCGCCATGTTCTGGAGATTGGTATCGTCCTGACACCGCACGATCTCCGAGGCGACATTTGCGCGACCGTCGTCAGTCGGTGCCTCGAGCAGCAGCCGCCCGATAAGGCGAGCGCAAATTAGGGGTGAGAGCTTGCCCGTTTGTGGGAGGGCGGCAGGATTGGCCAAGACATTCGTTTCGAAATCGAGACACCGAGAATAAGCTGTGTGTAAGACGAGTTCAGTGCCGGTGTTGAAGCTGTTCGGTCGAGGAAGAGGTTCGCCAGAATCGCTTGATTCGGCCATGGTGGTCGTCGTGGAGGTAAACCATGGTGGACTGTGGTACAGGTGAACTTCTTCCGTCTCCGGTAGGTAGGCAGTCATTATTCAAGGAAGTTTTGCAAGCGAGGAGTCCTAACCTCTTGCTTTCTCCCTCGAGAAAAATGAGTAAATCGAATAGAACGAGAGACTCTCAGCAGCACAGGAGAGAGAACGCCTCTACCCGGAGTTCGAGGCAGTCCCAACGGGGGTTCCATCTTGTTATATCAAGCATTCATTACTACTCAGGTAGTCTATCTGGTCTCCCGTGCGTAGCACGGGCTCGCTGCTAGTATTTAAACTAATACCGTCCTCGTACGTCATGTATGTATAACTCTTGGTACACTTCATGGAAAATGCGGAAGCGTCAGACAGCAACGAGCAGCAAGAACTTCAATGTGACTCATACATACAACATACGCTCAATCCTCCAGGACGCGATATCATGAACAGAGGCACTTAATCCACACCGCCCCACGGCCAGAACACGGGCACCGTTCTACGATAGAAAACAATGAGACGGATATGTTAGCAAGTGTGTCTGATCGAGGGCGCGAGAGGGAGTGGACTCAAGGAAGGCCACGAGGGCGTCATTGGTGGAAGCGGACGACTCACCTCTTGTATTCTTGCCACTTGGGATCGTTGCCGTACTTCTTGTCACCGGATTTCTGTGCTCAGTGGGATGAAAGTGAGCGCAATACACCACACTACTAGTCTGCATTTCAGCGGTTAGGCGACTTACCTCCAACGGAGGGACACCGGAGACCTGAATAGTCGCCAGTTTGCGTTTGATAAGAACATCAACTGGGAAATAGAAGGAAAGTGTGGGACGTACGTTTCGCAAGAGCATGTAGGTGACCAAGGGGCTGACGGCGGCTACCGCCCAGGTGAGCTTGGGAAAGTATGGCGTTCTCAGCGATGCAATGGACAATGCCCAGATGCCGGTCCAGATGCCCACTTCGCCGACATAGCTGCAGTGTAAAAGGCAGTCAGTTCAGCGTTCAGATGTTGTGCAGATGTAGAACGTCATACTTTGGGTGTCTGCTTAGGCTCCAGAGCCCGCTGGTGATAAACTTCTCCTCGTGCTGTTTGTTCTTTTGCGCATTCCTCCAGTTCGCCTTTTGACGGTCGGCGATGATCTCGAAGAGGAGGGAGGCGCCGTAAATGCCGACGGCGGCATAGTCGGCATAAGACAGTGCAGGGTGGAGGTGCACTGGAAGGGTGTTGACCTGTTGAGCCACAGGTCACAGTCAGAAAGAGACACGGCGTGCTGCAACCTCGGTTCTCACCATGTAAACGGGAAGTCCGACAAGAAATACCCAGGTGGCTATAATACTATAGGTTCAGCAGGTGCAGACAAAGGCCTAGGAAGACTCGGTACCTTGGGCGAACCAGAAGGCAGTGAATTTGGCGGGTTGATGTTTGACTTCGTCAAAGCGAGAGTCACCACCGGCCTTGATGGCTCTCTGGCAGACCACAATCAGTTTTCAAAGAATCAAGCAGCCCAGTTATCTACCATACTTGGACGAGAAAACTGCCGAGCCGAGCACTCCATATTCCTAAAGCTGCGGTCAAGAGCAATTGCCTAGGTGCGAAGCTGGACAGTGCAGGGAGTGGGACAAGGCGTCGTTCGAGGACTGAAGATTTGAGCTGAGGATAGTAAAGCGAGACGAATGCAGTGGAGAGAAAGCCTAGAGAGCCTCCTAGATCATAGTACTTCTCGTTCGCTTGGGGAACGAAGATGGCGGCGAGGGCTGATCATCATAACGGTCAAGACGAGGTTTTTGGGGATGTCAGTCGCGATGGGGAGAGACTGACCTGCCTGGAGCCCGTAGGCAGAGCCGACGACGGGAATCAATCTCGAGAACGCGTTCATGGCGGTTGTCGACAAGGAGGATGATGGACGGCCATCGCATCGACCTGCGTCAGGCCAACGTCAGGCGCAGATCGCGTTGCGGACGCGAATAGCGACTACTGAATCGAGCGTGGCATAAGATGCGGTCACCTAACTGTCTTGTGTGAGGTCTGCTACGGAGACTAGCGGTCACCTGATCGGCGCGTTCCACGCTCAGATTTGTGCGTCGTGCGTCATGTAGTGATGTCAACAGGTTGTACAAAGGTTGTATATAGACCACTCCCTCGATGGTTAGTCTTCGCCATATCCTCTTTTCCAATGCCTCTCCACGTCAACGCTCATCCAGGCTACTATCACGAAGAGACAGAGCACTCCGTCATTCCTCATCCGCCCGACGAGGAGCAAAAAAGCGGCCATGAGGACTTTCCGGACACGGGGTGGAGGGGCCAACCTCCCACCCCTAGTCAAGATGGGGGCGACTCCGAGAAAGATTTTATGCACAAGCCACCGTACCTTTGGAAGTCGGATGGTGACAAGTTCGAGAAACATTATACTTCGTGGGTCGAATTCAGTGGGATTTTGGCTATATGTCTTCTCACAGGGATTATTGCAGACAGTGCTGGTGTGGCGACGGTCAGCACCAACTCCTTTGAGAAGACATCCGTTGGTTCTCATATTCTTTCATCCTCCCAGTCGTCTTTGAGTTCCACGGCAACCCTTTGGATGCTAAGCACTGTCACTGTCATCAGTGCCAGAGTCTTCATGGTACATCCTCGAACACATTTCGCGCCATTTCGCAGCCTTTCCCTAATTTACTCACTAGGTGCACCCTTCCAGTGGGCTGTTATCTTTCCCAAGGTACAACCTTTTTTTACTTGTCACGACACTAACTCACTATCAGCAACTCAGACGTCTATCAGGCTCGTGAAGAATGAGGAGGACCACCTTCACTTCTTCAGCACCGAGAAGTAGGTTTTGTCCTGACTTTGATGTTATTACTCTTCTTCTAACCTATGATTTCCAATCTCCTTCACCTCCAGACGAACATCAGGCCACGACGTGCCTTGCAAAGTCTCATGCGATAACTGTCGCTCCCCACTCTTCGACGAAGGCAAAAATACCGTGCTCGCATACCCTGGCTCATTCCGCTTCAAAGATAGGCATGTCCCGCATGATTTCCAGCCCACGGCACATATATTCTATGAGCAGCGGGTGATGGAAGTACCTGATGGGATGTGCGTTGATCCACACTCTTATGTGTCTCGATCTGCCTAACTTTCGATCGTCAAATTATGACTGGTTGGAATATAGTCCGAAATGGTCTGGCCATAAGGGTTCCAGTGTGCGTAATTGATATGCTCACTCGCTCATTTACCATTTGGTTTGACATTGCGGACGTACAGAAACTGCTCCCAGAGTTGACAGCCGACGAAGGGTATGTGGTTGACCACGATTCAACGATCCAAGATCGTCACATGCTCATCAGTTCTCCTATATATGTCACCACAGTAAACTACCGAAATACAAGGGCCACAAGGAGCCCGACGAGGATGGCGAGAATCAGAAGCGCAAGCGAACGGAAGCATGACTCTTCAGTGAAGCGATCCAAGATTGTTGCAGTGTAGCGATCGTGGGGTATTTTCAAGGTTGTACCGTCTTGTGTTGCCCTCGAATGTCACTTCTCGGGTCAATAAAAGACGGAGAGATGGGCCGCTGCTGAGAGGAAGCCGACACAGCTGGAGGTTTTACGCGTGTGCACCCCACTGTGATTTTGATGATACTGGCGCTCCGAAGGCAGCAAACGCCAGCCTTCAAGGTCGTTTTCAATATTAATCTAAACGCTCGTGAGCTTCGCTTCCTACCAGGAATCCGTAGTGATTCACCTATCAAGGAGGTATATCTAATAATAATACATTGTCATCCTGAACCACATCCTCTCGTTCGGACATCACAATCATAAATTATTGAGCCCTGCTTGGCTACTTCCTTCACCGTGCTCATGTTCATGGTTCGAGTGAGCGTAATGGTCAGGGGAGTGGTAATTGGGACTGTTCACATCTTCCTTGGACGCGCGTCGCGATCTTGTTGGTTGGAGATAAAAGACAGTACTGAGATAACCGTTTCCGTCTGTCGTCGACTCGAAGGTAGAGGGCGACGCGCGGGTTATTCCAACACGAATGATGACGCCATAGAAAATTATGGCGATTAAGGGTACGGTCTGTAGTGTAAGAATTTGTGTCAGATTGTGGGCATAAGGATGAGGGTGCTCGAGCTCTAAGAGGTTATGATCTGCCCGGGTTTTGCTAATAGAGGAAAGGATGGATGAACACCCACCAATTCGATCATGATGGCCATCGCGTTTGTATTGACCAGGAGGCATATAAGGGTCACGCCAAGGGTCAAAGTGTAAAGCAGCGCAGCGTCGACGACAAGGTGGAGGACGGGAAGGGCGGAGTGACGAAGCTGCTGTGGGAGGATATGGGTGTTGAGCTTCCAAAGTCGAAAACCGAGTAATGCTGCCAGCATATAGAATAAGTAGAATGTAAATGACTGCAACATCTTGCATGTGGGAGTTAATCATACGTACAAGAGCAGGTGATGTTGACGATAATGGAGCAACAAGCAGCGGTGACCACCATGATGGGAGCTAGACGTCGTTGATATACAGCATAGGCCCATATTCCGGTGAACATAGTACCTTAAGGATGTATGGCCGTATGAATGTTCAGTACCACAGAGTAAGCAGCGATGCAACGAGGCGTATCAATAATTGTCCCACCCGAAGATCAAATATTTGACTAACCTACATACCCACAAAAGAATGCAACTGGCATGAGAATGATGACTGCACGACGTTCCCAGACCACATAACAGCGGTATATCTGCGCGACAACCACTCATCAAAGTCAGGAATCAAACGGATTTTCCGTAGAAGGCTCACCAGGACGGCATCGCCTGTGAAGCACTGGCAAGCGTACAAGACAAGGATAGTAATGAAGGTCGGGGATGATTTGTCTTTGAACCATTCAGCTGGAAGAGCTTGGTCTAAGAAGCCTTCAATCGTGTGGCGTATGAGGACGGCGACGTGCTTTGAGATCTTTGCGTTAGCTGACATGCTGATAAATCCAAATAATAGATGCAAGAATTAGATCGAAAACTCACCACAGTGCTGAAAGTGAAGAACACGCAAGTAAAAGTCAACATCAAACGGCTGATTTCCGTGGCGGAACGACCATGCAGCAGGACCCATAGCGTCACAAAGAACATGAACAATGAGAATCCTGGACATATCCCTTTATTCGTCAGCGCCCGGAGTTGTAAATATGTAGATGACCCCGAGCAGGTACAACGCACCGTAAAGAATGCAAGTAAGACTCAGCGAGATAAGAGTCGCCTTGGGCAATGAAAGGGAGGCAACTGACATATCGTGTATGCCGCAGCCCAGAGGGCTCACTCGCCTTTGCGATGGCGGGACGAGAGAGAACGGCGATGACGAGGATTGTAAATCGTGTTTCGCAGATGCCGCTGGGGGCAACCCGGCTCTACAGATATCACATAAAAGGTTTCGGACGTTGTTATACTGCCGAAGTGACCCGTCGGTTAGCTAGCTCTCAGGCCAACGCTATATAGCAATACGGAAAGGACGGGAATCAGCACGCATTGGTAAGTAACGGCAGGCAAAGATGCGATAAAATGTTGCGTGGGGACTTCCTATGCCCCAATGGCCAGGGCTCTCGTAACTTGAAGTCGCATCACCATGGTGTGCCAGGAATTGGGAGAAATCGCCGGGGCACTACAACAATCAAAGAACTACTATAGTGCACAAACCATGGTTATGGTAGCGTATTGTTGCTGGCTCTCGATAAAGTAAGTACTGTAGTATGTTGTGGCAGCCCGGGGAATTGCACTGCCGCATCTAAAGTGCGGCTATTCTATCTAAATAGTATTAGGCTTTGGCCACGCGAACGGCTAATTTGACCGAGCCCTTGGCGCCGGACTCTTTGTTGCGGGACAGCAGTCAAACAGCAGTCAAACAGCAAGGAAAAGTATTCGTGGGCGACAATAGCACCGTCAAGCATACATGCTCTACTAGGAGTGCGACTTACCCTGTGTCCGAGACGCACAGGTGGCACCCGATGCGACGTATTTCAACCTCCCCCATTGGCTCCGCCTCTGTTCCATACCAGACTGTCACCTTTAAACCTCCCGTAGAAATAGACATGTGAAATTGCTCGATTACAAGGGAAAAGACCGGGGCAGCCGTAAAGTAAGTACCAAAAAAAATGTGCACACCGGCAGATAGGGATCAAACACACAACTTGCGTAAATGAAACAAGTTAACCAAGAAAAAAAGCCGCAGCCGGAGAGGGAAGGGAGGGGGATGATGGCATACAGAAACAATAGACATTCTGATATCTACACGGACACCAATAGCAAGCATATTAGTACAGAAAGCGGCAGTAAGGGTAAGCTCAAACCAAGCTCGGACAGGAATGAAAAGACAGAAATGGAATGGAGGATGTGGGATAGAATGTTGGGGCAACACTAAAGATGCAATCGGAGCAAGATGTTGAGGGTAGAATTTCTACGCTGGGTATGGAATGCAGAGAGGAGTCGAATATGGAACTTGGAAGAAGACGAAAGAACGAAAGAAGTATGAATACTATCAATAACTATAACTCATCGTCCGGCTCTCCCTCAGCATCGGCGTCCGAGCCCTCCTCATACTGGAACTGCAAACCCGCGAGCGGCGTGCCATTTAAGCCTTGAGCTTGAGCAGGATTGAACTCCGTCTTCGCGTCTACCACCATCTCCGTCTGCCCCTGTTGATGTCCATGGCCGTTCAACAACGACATCTGTGTAGGACTGGCTACGGCAGAGTCCACATCCATGTTCACCACGTCCATGCCCTTCCCGTTGCCCATACCATTGACGTGCGCGCCGTCACCATTTCCGATAACGGTGTCGTCGCTGGGCGCGCTCTGACGACTGTGCGCGGTAGCTGTGAAAGGCGTGCCAGAGTCGAATTCGGATTTGGCGTCTTCCATGACATGGTCCGTGTCTTGGGGAAGGGCCAAAGGGGGCGGGAATGATATGGAAGGCGAACCATTTGGAAGCGGTGGGGTATCGGCGTCCTCCGTCGTACGATTCGGCAAAGGTTGTTGAGAACCCTCGTCTGGCCCTGCCTCGATCTCCGGCTCACCCTCTGGCTCTGGTGAAGACTCGATCCTGCGTCGTTTACGCCCCACGATCCTGCTGGCCGCAGATACCGCGGAAACGGATCTCTTCAGGATGGGCTCTGAAGTGGGTCCACTGCCGGTGCCCGTCGCGCTCCTCGATCTCAGAAGACGTGGTCCGTCCTGAGCTGCTAGCCGAGCAGCGAAGGCAGCATCATCGTCTACGATGCCAGCATCCTTAACAGAGGCTCTACCACTCACTCTCCTTCTCCTCTGAGTGGGCACCGGAAGTTCTTCTTCAGACTCGGCGTCCTCTTCCGTGTTCTCGTCGTCATCGTCATCACTATCGGGAGGCTCAGGGAGTTCTTCACTCTCTTCGCTCGCCTCACTCGCCTCGTCTTCTTCCTCCTCCTCTTCGGAATACTCCGCATCAGAATCCATCTTTCGTCTACGCCTCCGTACGGGCCTAGCTGCCGCAGACTTGCGTGGCGAACGGGTAGTACTCTTGCGCGTCCGGGTCCCCCGGGTGCTAGTCCGCCTGGCGGACACGGCTGCGTTCTTGCGCGGACTGATGATGTTGGCACGGCCAGAGGGAGCAAGCGATAGAGGAGATGGTGTATTATCGCCCCTCTGACTTCGCAGACGACGGATGGGGGTATTCGTTGCACTACCATTCGCCAGTCGACCGGAGGAGCGAAGACTCTTGTTGGAAGGCGCACGCGCAAGTCGTCTCGGTTTCGCTGGCGAACGAGAGCCAGAGTTTCGCTTTCTACCTCTGACAGGGCGAACCTCGTGATCTTCTTCCTCCGCACCTTCTTCATCGGATTGAGCACCACGATCATTCCTCTCGCCGACGGAAGCGGTTTCTGCCTCTGGCTGATGATGGTCCAGCGTCATCGCGCTCGTACTCGCCTCTCCTTCCGTCGCCGGCGTTCCGAATCCTACCCCCAAACCAACACCCAGGCCCCCACCTCCAGGCCCTCCCTCCTCCAAACTCCTCCCTTCAACTCCATCCGTCTTCTTCACCCTCGCCAACAAGAACGGACTCCACTTCAACCTCTCCGGCCTAATCCGCAGGTGCCCCTTCTGCTCCCAACGTTCAAGCCACTGCCACACCTCATCCCTGTTCCATCTTATCTCGTAGCTTGCGGGCGGCACGAACGGCGCGGGTTCGGCTCCATTACCGCCGCCGCCGTTGCTCTGCGAGGTCTGGGAGCGGACGAGGTGTCGCCGGGCAACGCCGCTTTTGCGCCCTTTGGGGAATTTGATGGATTGGCCTGGGAGAGGTTTGGGTGCGGGGAAGTGGGATCGAACAGAGATGAATTTGAGGTCGGAGAGGGTGTTGTAGATGTCTTCGAGAGTCATGCAAGTCGCAGAGCTGATGTCTATGAGGCAATGTGGTATGAGCATTTGGAAGTAGGGTTACTGGATAAAGAAACAGACCTTCGAGTCGAGGATGTGCAGGAGCGGTGTGAAGGTATCGCATAAGTGATAAAGTCCAATAATTCTTGTATCCCAGCGCGCCCAGACCAGATAGGGGCTTCTCCGGCGAACCAGTACGCTGTTCCTTTTTAGACAGAAGATAGCCTGAGAAAAGTTCCAATCAGATACTTGACGCTCAGAGCAAAATGATAGAGAAGAGAACAAAACTCACTAAACTCGATGAGCAGATTTCCCCAGCCCTTTCTCTGCCGGACGGGGAGGGTCATGATACAGCTAACGTTATAATCCTTCGGGCTGCGTTTCTCCTTACTGAAGTAACCGATAAAGTGTGCCCCAAACTCGTCGACTTCGGTCATGACGTAGAACAAAAAGGGCTCGACGTCGTAAAAGAGGGATTTGTGATCGAGGAACATCTTGGACAAGAGGCACAAGTTCTGACAATAGATCTGGAAATGAGGTAGAATTGTGAGTTTCGTCTTATGCGAACGAAAGGGAGTACAAACTTTGTTCAGGCGACCGTCCACTTCGAATATGGACACGGCGCCGTCCCTGTAAATTTCGTCGCCGGGTGGATGTCGCGCTTTGCATTTCATCTGCTCTCGTACACATTAGTAAATACACATATGACGAGGACTAATCATCACGCACCCTATGCCTAGCAGCCATGAACTGGCTCTTCATATACTTCAGGCAGTACTCGCACAACCAAAGTCTCCCATCCGGTATGTTGTTGTACTCCTCCGGAAATGGTGCATCGTACCACGTCTGGATATCGTAGATACCGAACCGTATGGTGCGTATTCGGAGTGGTGGCTTCGTCGCCAACGAATGAGGGGCGGGGGTAGACGGTGCAGGAGTTGGTGTCGGGGACTCTGAGCGGTTGGTTGCGGGAGTGATGGGTGTATGGATCGATGCGGCTATCGTAGATCGTAAAGGGCGAGAAGATGGGCCTGCTATTGGGGTGTCAGGAGTGGCGCTGAATTCTGGAAAGGGCAGCTTTGGTCGAACCGCCAGCTTGTCCTGCACAAAAAAAAAAGGTGAGTGCACGACGACTTGAATCGGTGAAAGACTGTGGCGTACCTCAGCCAGCTGCCGACTCCTATCGAACCTCGATTTATCCCTCACCGTGATACTGGTTTTCGAGATATCTCGCTCCTGGGCGGTCAAAAGGTCGTCAAAAAGACCCTTCCCAGGCTCCTCGTCGCTGCTCTCAACCTCCTTCTCCTTGCCCTTGGTACTTGCCGAGGCCGGCTGCGGTACTCGCAGTACGACCCGACGCTGAGGTATCGACGGATGCTGCGGCGGTGTGATCTTCAAGACAGGACGTTTAGGACTGGATGATGCCCGTGCAGGCGGAGGAGATGAGTCTTGGATGATTCTTGAGGCGCGTCGTGACTTGCGGGGAGAAAGAGACGGTTTCTTTCGTGGGCGACGGCGGGAAGCTTTTGGTGTGGAATCGGATACGTCCTCTTCATCATGTTCTGCTTGGTGTGCGGGCTGCTCGACAGTCTCGACGTCGATGTTCATGTCGACCTCCATCTCTGAGTCGCCTGCCGCCAGCGAATGGGGTTCGACAGCATTTCTGCCTTTGCCCTTCTTTCGCGTCGACTTGGGGCGACCCCGAGGCGGCTGAGACCGCGAAGAAGAAGCCGGGGACGACTGGCGTGGCATGCGCAGAAGTTCATGCATTTCAGGTTCGGGTTCTGAGAACATAGGCGGCTGCATCTCTTGCTCGAGATGGAATTGGGGACATGCTGGACAGTGCCATATTCCAGGAGGCGCCTCTGCGAGTGGAGGGTCCAAGCAATCCATGTGCCATCCTATGGTATGCCGTTAGATGTTATCATAACGGGCAGACCAATCCAGCGCACCTCTGTCGCAGGAATCACAACACAGCATGCGGCCCTAGAAATATGTGTGAGCGGTAACAAAGGACTATGAGTTTCAAGGCGAACTCGTACATCGTCCTCCTTATCGTTGCACACTTCGCAAGGTTTGCATTCTGCGCATTTCCAAGGGTAGGAGTACATGAGTTCGGCGGCGGAATCGAGTTGCATGCACCTCGGGTGGCCTACGGATCAGGAAGTCAGACGCGAGTGTGGCGAGGGAGCGGGTGAAGGTGAGTGGCTCATACCGCTACGACCACACTCGTCGCAAGTGACCATCCGCTCGGGCTGGCCGTCTCGATTCCTGTCGTCATTTCCCTGACAGAAGCCACACTCGTCCTCTCTGAAGACCTTCTTACGTTTACGCTTCGGTGTTTTCTTTATCGGGGATGGTTGGACTGGCTGAGTGTCATCGGGGGGTGGGTAATAGACTGGGATCGGGGCGAACGGATCTCCCTGTGGCGCTTGGGAGTACTCGGGGCGGTGATGGGTTGATTGGTGATGATATTCTGCTGTTGGAGTTGAAGGCAACTGTAGAGAGAGAAGAGACGCCGAAGAATGAGCGGGAGAGCGTGCGAGCGCGTCAGGATATTAGAGCGGGAGACGCGACGCGACGCGATTCTACGATCGGCGTATGTGCAAGGCAGAGACGTCGACCTGCGTCCCCGACAGAGAAATTAACGGCGAGCGCACCTCTTGACAAGTATGAGATTGTTGGGGAGTCTGGAGCGCAGGATCTATGGGCAGGTCAGCAAGAGCAGGGTCAATAGGGATGTCGTCTGGGCCAGTGCTCGCGGCTGGAGTGCCGTACTCGTAGGACGTCTCGCGGTCAACACCTTGCGGAAAGGGCAGACCGCGCATGTCGCCTGAGGAGATTGTGTGGTGAGTGAGCCGTGACGGGAGACGGGGGACGTGGTGGACGACAGGCGGGATGGCTGCTCGACGGCGAGCACGACGAGGAGACCGTCCTCCAAGTTGTCGTCTATTTGGGACGCCGCATCCCCGAACACCGCGACCGAACCGTCCCCCGGGGTCCTCGCGGCCCGCTCATTTCCGGCGCGCGAGTTCGAACCATCATCTCAAGTTTCTCACTGACATGGGCGCCGTGTCCGCCACGATTGCATGAAAAGACAGAGCGAACGATATCGATACCGAACGGAAAATGTGATTTGAATGTGTATTCCAGGCAGAGAAGGACGCGTAATAGATGGAATAATGTATCTGACTGTGTGACACCGTGTTCCGCCCCGCCACTCCCTTTTGTGGACCCCCTTCAGGCATCCCCGAGGGTGGAGAACAATGAGAATTCTCTTGGTTCGCTCACGGCCGTGCATTACTTGATTGCTTGATGAGCACTCCGCACAGACCCTGGTTACGTTACGCTGCTCGACGTGACAAGGGTGTCACGCGCCCCAGCCCTGCTCGTACTCGAGTCAATGAGAGTGCAGCTTTTTTTGTGCAGAATGCTGCTGATTGTAGGCTTCGACTGCAGTAGAATTAGATAATAAATTGAGAGGAAGTAAAAAAAAGAGGGAGGAGCAGGGGTGGAAAGGGGAAGAGGGAAGCGGCGGTGTGGCTGATCGTGGACAAACAGTGCACAACTCGAACTCATCCCGAGTCCGGCTCGGTGCTGGCTCAAGTACCTGCTCTTCCCCTCCCTCGCTGTCCTCCCATCTCCTTCCTTCGTCCCCCCATCACACCGTCGCTCGCACCCACGACATTCTCGCTCTTTCGACCCCCTTGAATTTCCAGCAATGATGCAGACAGCGGTCCAGCACATGCCCGCTCACCTCGTGCACCAGTACCCAAGGACGTCACTAGCCACAGCGAACATGAATCCAAACGGCGTCGCTACGCCCCCTCTAGCCGCCCGCAAGCGAAAGCGCGCTCGTCAGTACACCGTAAACTACTCAGAAGTCCAGGAATACGACCCAGACGGCAAGCTCAGGGAGGTCATCGTCATCGAGGACACTCCACCCCCTCCCACCGTATCACCTGCGACGACCGTGCGCACGAACGGCTACTCCGCCTCTTATCAACCCCCACAGTACTCCGCTCAGGTCAGGACAAGAGCCAGAGCAGCAAAGGAGGCAGAGGCACTTTCCACCACCACCACCTCCGTCGCCCTTCAGGCGCCTCCACCCAAGAAGAGGAAACGTGACGTCGGCGACGTCCCCCAGGCCACCAGGAAGGTCGCTCCCCCATCCTCCCAGCAGGCAACCGTCGATGGCGCCGCCACCGTTTCTTCCTGGGCGACCAGCAGCGCAGCCACTACAACCAACACCGTTGATGTACGTCCCCCCAATTTACCCACGCCCGCCTCACCATACTCATATCGATCTCTTCGCACGACAGCCATCAAAGGCCCCACCACCGTCTTGCGACGACAAGGAGGGTCACTACATTATTGTCCCGGACGACATTATTTATAAGCGCTGTATGTGCTCTCTCCCTTCTCTTCACCCCCATCACCCCATCCGTCTTCTCACCTCCATCGATGGGCATTAGATCGCACTGTTCGACTGCTTGGCCAGGGTACGTTCGGCAAGGTCGTAGAGGCAGTCGACCAGGAGACAGGCAGACGTGTCGCCATCAAGATCATTCGCGCGATACAGAAGTACAGAGACGCAAGCAAGATCGAGGTCCGTGTTCTCCAGAAGCTCAAAGAGCGCGACCCCACGAATCGGCAGTACGTATCGCACCGCATCGCCCTCCCGTCGTCCCCCGAGCGCTCGGTTGACCTCATGCCCTGACAGCAAATGCATTCACTTATTACACTGGTTTGACCATCGCAACCACATATGCCTCGTATCGGAGCTCCTCGGCATGTGTGTCTACGACTTCCTCAAGGAGAACGACTTTGCTCCTTTTCCACGCTATCAAATCCAAGATTTTGCCCGGCAACTCCTCGGCAGCGTCGCCTGTGAGTCTTTGCTCGATTCGTAGATCCGCGTCATCATTCTCATATGCCTTGCGTTTTAGTTCTGCATGACTTGCACCTGATTCACACCGACCTTAAACCGGAGAATATTCTTTTGGTTCACAACGGCTACCGAATGGTGAATGTTCCCGTCCCTGGAAAGGTCAGTCTCATTACGAATCCACCTCTTGCCTCGGACTAATTGACACTCTCAAATACAGCGGCCACAGCAGACTCGGGCCAAACGCATACTGAACTCCACAGAGATTCATCTCATTGACTTCGGTTCGGCGACCTTCAATGAAGAATATCATTCGACGGTCGTGTCCACACGCCATTACCGTGCTCCAGAGATCATTCTTGGTCAGTTTCATGTGTATCGCCCTTCGATGAAATGCTGACATTGGGCGATTCTTTTGGTCTCTTTATTATCACAGGTCTAGGCTGGTCATACCCTTGCGACGCGTTCTCCCTGGGGTGCATACTGGTCGAGTTTTACACTGGGGTCGCTCTCTTCCAGACGCACGACAATCTGGAACATCTCGCTATGATGGAGCAAGTGATGGGCAAGATGCCGGATCGCTTCGCCCGAGCCGGAGCCAGGTCGAAGCCAGAGTACTTCAAAGAAGGCAACAAGCTCGATTGGCCGAAGCCGAAGGCTTCCCGGCAGAGCAAAAAGGAAGTTCGGGCAACTCGTAGTCTCCAGGTCTGATCATCTCGTCGTTCATTGGACGGCTGTATCAATGCTGACTCTCGCTATATTACAGGATATCATCCATCCTACAGACCAGATTAACCGCCTCTTTTTGGATCTTGTGCGCAGGTTGCTCTGCTTTGATCCTGCGCAGCGGATAACTGTCCGGGACGCGCTCAATCACGCATACTTCATGCAATCGATTTCTCCAGAGGAGTTGTAGCCTCCCCTCCTTCGTCCACTTGTGTAACATCGTTCTTGTCTTTTCCCTCTTCACGGACGATCCTCAGTAGACAATCATGGAGGCGGGCCCCGTCTCATTGCTGGCCTGAGTGCGGCTGCGCTTTACTTGGTTAGCCGATGTACAATACATCCATCCGTTCCTTTCATCTCCTTTCGTCCTCCTCCACCCGGCGGGCTTGTGCATATGCATCCTCATCGATCTCGTTTGCGCTCTTCAAAGTGTACCACTATTGTTTCTTGTTACCTCTGGATCCATAATGCGATGCCTTCGCACTTTAACCTCCACTATGATATTTTTCGGAACACCTTTTCTCTCTCTGTCGCATCTTGCGCCTCCTCCTGCTTCGCTTTCGTGTTTCGTCTTGTCTCGTTAGCACTCACTGAAGCATCGTTTCGTGAATTCCTCTTTCCTTCTATGCATCTCGATTCCCATATGATACATGACTGCCTCTTTGTTCTTAAACTTTCTTCTTCATTTTCTTTTTTGGTGAGCCATTTTAACGTGCTTTCATCCCCTCGGACACCACGTAGAGATCTCAGCCTGGCGGGGTTCGGTGGCTCGTCGAATCCCGCTCCAGCGCCAACGTTCCTTCAAGTCCCTTGGTTTTCTTTTGCTCCCTTCGATGCTTCGGAATTGTTTGAATATCGGCTCGAGGTTGCCTAAAGCTGTCTACCGTACGTATGTATTGTCCCTCCCCCGCTCCAGTCGTCAATGAAGACAAACAACCGAAAATGAAGAGTTGTGCTGAGGAGGCGCCCGTGCCCGTATGGAAGGGTTCCTTTGGGAGAGGTGGCGTCAGGAGAGATAGGTCCACGACGGTGTTCGTTCGAGCTTCAAGCTTGCAAGCATCGTCATCAAGGCTGGTTTACATGAAAGGGTTATAGAAATAGAGACGGCGACGAGAGATATCGAGAATCTAGTCTATTCGAAATTGATCGATTATTATAATACACGGCGAAGTCGGTAGGTACACGTTCTCTTCTGAAGCTCTCTTGTCCGGCCCATTGGCCCACTGCACGCTCACGTATCTGCGCTCTAGGTTTTTGTCTGGACCGGTCACGGCACAGGCCCTTAGAGGTAGAATGCGACTTGGTCTGAGGCCTGGGGTACTTATTACGTGGAGTTATAGAGGAACCGGAAGCCCGTTCGTACTGACAGGTAAGGAAGTTCACACGTCGTACAATGATTGCATTGCAGCCGCGGTACCGCGGTCGCCCCAAGGAAGTAGATGAAACTTAAAAATATAACGCAAGAGTCAAGATGAAGGCCTGTGAATACCTTGCAGAAATATCAACGCACGTTTCTCTCACATGCGAGTTCGAACTTCGAAGGCCAAGTCTCGCCCAGGACCCTGTGGTTGCTGCCAGGCGCTGGATGGCCACTGTGATTCGACGTATAGACCTCCCGTGGGTGAGGTCAGACTTAGGTCTCGATGCATCCGGTGTCATAAGAGTGAGCTCGACTTTCGTGGATATAACTGGCACTGGCATGCCATGTGGCCCGCACCCGGGACGGTTCCGAGGCCCTCCGAAAGTAACAAGAACAAATAACCTAGTTCGGGTGATTGTGGCCCGTTGTAGACTCGCAAATCAAGCTCCAGTCGAACTCCGTGGTGTTCCATGGGCGACCGAGTCGCATTAGAAGCGATATATCCGAATCATATAACACATCCTCTTCATGAACATACAAATACATACATCTCCTAACCAATGTCTCAAAACGCATGTACAATACTCATCTCGCGATCCCAACGATTCATTTCTCCGGATGAGCCAGTTCTGCGTAGCTCAAAGGTATCCGTCGTGGGCGAGTGCGACTTTTCTTTCGACTCCCTTGTCGATGGCTCGTATGACGGTTCGAACGCATAACCGTCCTCGAGCTCGATGGGTGCAGTCCCCTGACTGCGAATCATGGTCGCCGCCTCTCCGCCAGCTTGTGCGACATCTTTTTGTTTGTCTTCGCCGTCGAACAAGGCGGCTGTTTCCTCCAATGTTCGACCTATGTCGAATAATGTTATGTACTTTCTATTTCGGGACGGGAGACCGAACAGGCGTACCTCGCGTCTCAACAATATAGGTTATAACGAAAATAAGCTCAAACCCGAGCCATCCACACTGCAGGAATAGGTCAATATCTATATCATGCCGTATATTCTGTTTCACTCAACGTATACCAGATACTGAGATGATCAAAACATTAGATGATTCCCAGGTCACGAAGAAGAAGAGGAGACTCAACGTATTTCCAGCCGATGGCGTCCAGAGCCCATGGATTGACGAAGGTGTTGAAGGCCAAAGTCAATGCCACAGTCAAGTTCTGATCCACCCGGGGTTAACGACAGTCCTCTAGGGTTAGGATGATGAGGGCAACCTACCATGATTGCGAAGCCTTTCGCGCGAATGGCGTACGGAAGGATCTCCAGGGTATATGCGATCAACATTGGCGTGTAGGCGATGTCATAAAAGAAATAAAAGATGAAAATGAATGGGACCGTCGCTGTTCGTCCCACGAAGTGAGTAAATTTGCATGCGATAACATTGTTTTGGTTGGACTTGCCTTTAGCGGCTCCGGCAGTATGGATCGTGTTGAAAAGAGCGGTGGTGAGTGTCCATACAGAGAAAGCTGAGAACCATCAATCAGCTACGCTGCAGCGTCTGAGGGGTGTAGAAACATACCAATCAGCATGCCCGCGTTGGACGTAATAAAGAGTGTTCTTCGACCGAGCTTATCCACAAGGGCCGCACCACCAAAAGCAGCGAATAAATTGAAGATCTGACCATTTCAAGTTCAGCCGAACCCAAGTCTGTAGAAAATATGCAGTGTCGTGTACCATTAGTCCTCCGTTGATTGCAGCCTTCGTCGATGTTCGTTGTATGCCAACACCTTCGAGGACGAGATTGATGTCTGAGCAAAGCACGTCGGGTTAGTGAACGTATAGGAGATGCAGCTCAGTAACTTACAGTAGGATACCAAACCATTTCCACTGTTAGGCAAAACGCAAAAAGAAGCTGATCAGCCACAAAAGGTTGATACGTATGAGGGATTCAGCTCACATACCTCCATTGAGAAAAGCTGGCGATAGCGACGATGATCATCATCCGTCTTCGGTTTCCCGGTGTGGCGATTAAAGCTTTGAAGGAAGTGGACTTGGACATCTCTTTCTCCAACTTGAGGGCGTGCCTGATTTGAGCCATTTCGAAGACAACTAACGGATCATGCTCATCGAAGCCATTTGCATGGAAGCGTGCAAGTACTTGGCTTGCTTTCCCCTCCTGTAGCCGCATCATAAGTACCATGTTCATACTTTATGAGCAGCCAGGACGCACCCGACCGGTATGAATCAACCATCGAGGACTAGAGAGAACGTCAGACATCAGTGATCATCATGGCCGGACAATGAGAATATCTAGTTACCTTTCAGGCATGAACCAGACTAGCGCGAGTTGGATTAGGGGCCCAAGACCCTATTGCCAGATACGACAGGTTTCGACGCTTAGTTCAGACTTGGCTCCCCAGAAAGGGAGAAAGGCTTACTTGTACTAGTGTAGGAGCACGCCAACTCCAAAAGCTGAGTGGCGCACTTTGGTAGGCTCCAAAACAGGCCCAAGCCGCTGAGAGATGGTTGAGCTCATTGCAATGAAAAAGAGAGGAGGACGTACAGATGACACTCCCAATATACCACGAAGCGTTATAAAAGGAGGTCATTTTCGCGCGCTAAATACGAAGTTTTAGCGTAGTGTAACACCAGAGCGCGTGATCAACTGGATAGGCACCTGGGTTGGATATGCCAATTCCGCGATGAGAAGTGGGGCGGCATTGGTTTGGAAAGTGAGGCCAGCACCAACTGAGGATTTTCGCCGGTTAAAGTAAATTATCCCACTGAAGAACAACGACGTACTGAGAACTCTTGCTCCGATGAACCTAGCGACCGTGCTCGCCGTAGCCTGACTAGTATGGTGTCATTTCGCGATCAGGGAAGTGCCTGAAATTCGTACGTACGTCGCAACACCGCCTAGCATGAAGATAGAACCAATGAAAAGAGTCGCTCTCCGTCCAAATAGGTCAGAGCAGTATGGCGTGAAGGGTAAGCCCTATACAAGAGAAGCAACATTGGTGCTCGGCAAAACAGCATGGGGTCAAGGGCCTCACAACTAGGCTACCAATCATCTGTGCGGAGTTGATGAGCCCTGAATTCATTAGGAAAGAAGAAAAGTTAGATATTGCCAACGGACATCCTCAGACAGCGCCAGGCGCAGACGTACCGAGTGCTTTCCCCGATGGGTGGTGGAATTGGTCTTGCCATGATGGTACAATTTGTAGGCCTACGGGCGGTCGTCAACGGCTGTGGCTAGTGCATACGGAAGTGACATACCGTTGATTAAAGAGGAGTCAAACCCATTGACCGTGGCCGTGAGCAAAGGAAGAATCAAGTACAGGTTAAGCATTAAGATGCCTGGAGACGTGGATCCGAACAGTTAACCTCATGGTTGCTGCATAACAGAGCTTGAGATACCTACCGTGGTTCCTCCACCATGGCCCTCGATCGATGAAATCAGCAACCGTCCACTGTGTGATTGCCATATTCCTCGGAAGTTGCGCGAAGACAGAGACGGCAGACAGGGTATACGGGAGGACGAACGGACAGCAGGATAGCTCCAGTTAACGAGCTCATGTGCAAACTAAATACATGGTCATCCTGGTTCTCATGCTGCAATATGTCCGACAACCTGTTGGGAACGCGGGGTAATAAGTAGCGCGGGAAGGCGATGATGTCTAAGTTGCATCACGGGGACCGACTCGGCTCACTGGGCTTGTCCCGTAGTAAAACCGGAACTATCCAAAGAGGTACAGAGCGGGCTATTTTCGCTTAGACTGCACCGTCTGTAGATATGGACATCGGCTGTTACGCACCCGTGTCGGCTAGGGGAATAGGAGGCACAGGAGGCAGCGGGGTGGGGAATCTGTAGCAAAATAAATCAGAGCAATGACGCACAGGACCCTTCAAAATGTCGAGCATCGCGAGGGCTTGGACCAACTGTAGAATTGTGTCCAGTGGGGGTACGCTCAGATCAGAACTGGCCCACTGGATCACCCGGCAGGCGCATTTTTTTTCCCTGGCAGGCCCGCTCCCCGGCGCCAACCATCGAGGGGGTCACAGGACAGGACCGCGGTAAAACGTGAGCGAGTGTGAGGCACGTGAATCCCTATGAAGGTTAGTGCCCATTGGCCAATTACAACTTGATGCACAGCACAACAGACGACCAGGCAAGTGACATTCGATGAAGGTAATGCGGGCCTCTGGTTTGCGCCAGTGCCTGAGCCTACACAGTTGGCAGAAACGACTATGCCTTTGAATGACGATTGAGAGCACATATAGCCAAGTCAAAACTGTGATGTCGAACCGTTCTTGTATTCATTTTGTATTCCCAAGCTGCTCCCCATGACGTCTGAGAGAGGATTTGAGCGAGTTTCGTGCGAAGAAGAGTCTAATTATCCCATCGCTGCGGAGTGCGCATCGTCCATATATGCGAAGACGGACCTACCCCTCGGGGCCGTGAAGGTTTTCTTTCCGTATGCGGCCAGCATGCACGAAGCAGCCGTGGAAGAACGGGTAAAACTGAAGGGAGGTGCGTCATGAGTGGAGGCGGTCATTGAACGAGTAAGAATCCTACGTACTCATTGGCTCTCGAAGTTTGGCGCTTTGAAGTGCATTTGCTATGGTTGAACAAAGGCTGAGTTTGCCGCCATGCGCTCGATATTCAGTACGATGCGTAGAGCAGTCACGGTGCATGCAGATGCTGATGGAAAACTCATGCGGAGGATACTATACAGGACACAAAGCTCACAGACCGGAGGAAAATGCGATCACAAGCGGGCCTTGGCGGCAGCATCGTCCATCGCGAGCGTGACCATCCTGACCTCCTTCTTTGTCCCTTCAATCACATCCCTATACACCTCCGTCTTGACCCGTAAGTTAGTATAGGGATTAAGAGGTATTTACCGATTGGAGAAGAGAGGGAGGACAAGAACTTACCTCAATGAGGCCCCAGACACCACCCTTTGCCGTGCTAGCCTTCGCCTCTGCCATCTTGAGAGCGGAGGACAAGACAGCTTCCGTACCGCCCGGAACAACTTCGTCAATTATGCCAGACTGTAGAGCTTCTGAGGGTGTGAAGCGGTGGCCCTCTTGAGCAATCTTGCGATGAGTGGGCATTGCGGAGATTTTGGCGCGAAGAAGGTAGGCGAAAGAAGTGGGCCACGGGGCGCCAAAGTGCACCTTACGTCCGAGAGAGAAGCAACGGCCGATAAAGAGAGTTATTAGTTTGAGATAGACAAAGAATCAGCCCGGAGGAGAAAGTAGCCAACCTCATTCATGCAAATCCAAGCGTTACGCTTCGCGCCGTCGGTCATGACGCGGTAGTCGCAGGCAAGAGCGATGATGAAGCCAGCTGCGAAGCAGTGGCCGTTGATCGCACAAACGGTCGGTACTGGTTTGGACAGCTTCAGTTCTTCCATGGTAAGTGTTACGAAGAATGAATCTACTCACTGGGAAATGTCAACAGCCGAAGGAGCAGAGGATCGAAGGTATCTGCGCGGTGCGACCTATACTCAGTACTAGCTTTCGCCAAGCAGAAGAGAGACAGATTGCACATACGAGGGAACCAATTCGGATCAGAGACGACGCTCTGGTAGTCAAATCCTGTGGTTCATGAATAAGGGCCACACTCAGTCAATATACGAAAGTCAGTCCGGACAGAACTCACCATTGCTGAAGAATTTATCCTGGCCCCTCTTTCCCACTATGATCAAAGCTCCCTGCCCATCCACAGCATTCTTGTCTTCCGCATTCTTCGTGCCTTTGGGCTTGCTCTGCAATGCGTGCCAGCTTTGACGCCACTCTCGCTCGACGATGTCCAGCGCTGGCTTGAAGGCACTTTGAATGACATCACGAGTCAGACGATTGTCCTCGCCATTATGAAGTTCGATCTGCCATGTCACTGGTGAAGCTGGATAGGTAGTACGAGTGTATATCAGATCATGGACATGGACAGAAATGAGCTAGCAAGAACGTACGACGCGTGATGGTAAGCAAAGGACTGGAGGAGCTAGAAGGTAATTGAAGAGGGTACATTGCTGGCGGACTCATCTCTTCACACAGTGTGCAGGAAGATGCGGAAGAGAAGAGTTTGAATTCACGCAGAGCCCATGTTACTGTACATGGAGACAAGGCTATGTCCGTATTATTCTTAGTCCAATATCAAGTGCTTGGGGATATGCTTCGGCGTTCGTGTAGAACCTCGCCCGAGAGAGAGTCGCGTCCAACTTGGAGCATGTGATTGTTGTGTGATTGACTGACTTGCGGATGGAACTTTGTGAATCGAACATGCTTTTATACTCCGGTTTTCAAGCATTAATGGGGTAGTGGTAACCTGGGTCGTTGCCATCGACCCGCCGGGGGTTCGATTCCCTCTTAATGCAGTAAGCCAGCTTGGTATCTGATTTTTTCTCGGGTTCCCTCTCTTCAAGAATAGCGAGGTCAAGGATCTCTAACAAGTACTTCCATACGCCGCCCAGTGATACGCACCGTTGGAACCGCACACTGTTGATTCCTGAAAGGCACGCTACCTAACGTCAACGTACAACTGTAACTTCCTTCGATTCATTGCAACGCGCACCCTACAAGGCACTAATATATAGTATACATCAATAATTGGACGTGAGCACACGCACAGAAGTGCGTTTCACCGGCTTCACGCCGGTTTTTGTTTTCTTTGTACAGCAAGCACCGTCGTACATGAGCGTTCGGAGGAAAAGAATGTGAAGTGAGATAATGAGTCTGAAGAAAGCAATGTCGTGGAGCTGGATCGATGAAGTGGTCCATACAGAAGAAAGGGAGCAGAAAAGGTAGACGAGGGAGTGAAGTACGGTAGAATGTAAAGTCGCGGCGAGTGAGAGGTGGAGAAGGGCGAAGAGTCGTCTATGCAGCGGCGGTGGCGGCGGCGGAGAGTTCAGTGCGCTGACGGTCCCGGTGCTCCTGGAGCAGCCTGTCAAGAGCCTCCTTCTGGCCGACCTCGAGCTCACCGGACTGAATACCGGAGTGGTAGACACGGAGGAGGGAGTCGACGTCGTCCATCGACTGTGTCCGGACGTCGGCGAGCTCCTTGATCTTCGCGGTGGCGTCCTTGATCTCGTCGTCGGTGAGCTTGAGACCGAGCTGCTCGACGCGGGACTTGACGGCGTTCCATCCGGTCAGACGATGACTGGTGAAAGAGAACGAGCCCTGAATGTGAGCACGTCGCCGGGGAAGGGTGGGACGCGTGTAGCACTTACCCGATGGAGACGTATCTTGTGAGACCGAAGTCCTCAGGCTTGAGGATTTCGTAAGTGCTAGGGTTGTTGAGGATGGCCTTCGCGTGGATGCCGGCCTTGTGAGTGAACGCACAGTACCCACTATGCGAGGAACCCGCCGGGTCAGCGTTTGTACCATGCGGGATCGAATCGAAAGACGTACGTGATGGGGTTGTTGTACGGGATGTTGACCTCGACGGCCTCTGCGACCAGGTTCTCGATCTCACGGAGGGCCTTCAAGTTGTACTTGGACTTGACGTATTCGGGGTTGGCGGCGTACATGCAAGCGACCAGACCGCCGAGAGAGGTGATACCGACACGTTCACCAATACCGAGGACGGCTGTTGATGAAGGTTTAACTGTCAGTAGATGATAAAATTCGAAAGAAGTTGTGATACGGACAGGTATCGATGTGAGTGGCACCGGCCTCGAGGGCGGTATAAGCATTGGCAATAGCTGTTGATGGATGTCAATACTGTAGCTCACAGTGAAGGCGAGCGACGACTTACCCATGCCGGTATCGTTGTGCAAGTGCACCTCGATATCACAGCCAACGACACCCCTCAACGTCCTGATCAGCTCATACACCTGCCTTGGGTTGGCGCACCCGACGGTATCCGCAATACCGACACGGTTCACGCCGATCTTATCGACTGTTTGGTAGATGGAGAGAAGGTCGACGAGGTCGGAGCGGAAGGAGTCTTCGGTCGAGAAGCGGACTTCGATGCCCTTGGACTTGACGAAGTTGATGACCTCGATGGCGGTCTTGGTGATGTAGGTCATGTCCTTTCCGTGCGAGAACTCACGGAGGAAGGATGAGGTGCCGATAACGACATCAACACCGTCAACACCTGATGTGGTCGTTAATGAGACATGAGGTCCGATGAGAACAGAGAAGACAACGAGGAGGAGGAAGCGTACCAGTCTCGACAGCGATCCGGGCATCGTCCATGTGACAACGGATATGGGTCAAAATCTTCGCCTTCAGGCCGAGCTTGCAGATGGCCTCGCAGTCTGCGCGAGACTGTTCTGATGCGGCTGGGGAGGTGAGCTCGAGGTATTCGACACCGAAGGCATCGAGGGCCTTAGCGATAGCGATTTTAGTCTTGGTGTCAAAGAAGGCGTTGGCGAACTGCTCGCCCTCTACGTATCGCCCGAAAGCATAGGGTTAGTTTGACGGATAGCTACGACGACGACAGAACTTTTTCGCACCTCGGAGAGTGCTCTCGATGATCTTGAAGTTTGAGACGTTGTTCAAGAAATCGGAAGCACGGGGAGCATACGGATTCCGACGTTGCGAGTCAGTGTGGCCGTTTGCGCTCTTGACGCCGTTAGGGGTATTTTCGATGCCGACCATGTCGGAAGAGCCGTTGGGCAGGGCGTCGCCGTTTGCGTGTGGGCACATTGGAGGAGATGTGGTTGTTGTATGAGTGTAAGGGGGTGGCAGAAATTGTTAGATGGAGAGAGGGGATGGGGAGAGCGGAGAAGGACTATAAGTTGGAGCTGGCCAGTAAGATTGCCTACAAAAAGTTTCCAAGCTTGATCGAGTCATGCCGCGGCGTTGCCCGAGTCAAACTGAAGAGCGCTTACCGCGCCACACGTGATCTCGCACCGGCCGAATTCTAATTTCTGGCGGCCGATGCACGAACGGGTGGCACCACGGTGGGCCACCAACTTAGTCTAGGTAGTTTCAACGCCGGACGCAGTGAAGATCGATAACAAGGTGCATAGAGAACCATGTATCATTCGTCAGATCAAAGTAAAAGTACAAGCGCCAGTTGGTATCACGGAAAAAAGCTCGGGCAACAGTCCTCACAACACACGCCTCTCGCACCTCGTCTCGTCGTGGGTCGTCTGGCAATTCAGATCGCAATACGACATCGCACACTTCATGCATTTGTAGCGGCCCCAGTAGCCACAGACTGAACACAGCGCACGAGGGGGAACCTTCGGTGGCGCGGCGGTCGCAGTGAGGTATGTAGGCACGCTCGGTGGCAAGTGCGCGATGCCCTAAAAGGACAGCGTGAGGGTGTAAAGAAAGTGAGGAATAACGCGAGCGTACGGATTGTTCAATCAACGTCGCAAGGCTCTTTGGATAGAGGACGGCGGACCGAACGTTCATGGTCGACTTCTTGCGCTTTGGACCTGGCAGCGCCTGGAGACGCTTGTCTGAGATTACTTGACGCGCACGACCCTTAGCAGACTTGGCAGCAGGTTCGTCATCGTCGTCTGCAAGACCAGGGTAAGAGCTAGAGGAAGGTTCGGTGTAGTTGGAGCGCTAGGAGAGAACGAGTGAGCGAGTTGGCGATGAAGGGTGGCGTAGGGCGCACTTCGAGTTCGTCGAGATGGCGCTTTGTGCGCTTGGCGACGACGTCGTCGCCGACGAAGTGGACAGTGGCCTGAGCATTGCGAGCAGCTTTCGAAGGAAAATATGAGTGGCGAGAAGAGGGGGTGGCGAAAGAACCGTACGTTGTCGCCTGGGAGGCATCGTTCAGAAGAAAGAACGGTTTACGCAAATCCACAACTCTCTCGCCATCCTTTCCCACGCTTTCATGCCATAACTTCATCTTGCACTCCCTTGACTCCCCATTAGTTCCTCGTCGTCTCTTTCTTCCGTACACCCATCTCCCCGCTCGGCATATCCCCACAATGTCGCCCTCAATAGACCCAAAGGCAAAGGCCAGCTCGTCCCTCACTGGGCCACACGACCTGCCCACTCCAGAGCCTGAGTCCCCTCACCGTCCTCGCCAGCCCTACCGCTTTGCGACACTCTGTGCGACCGTAGAGAACCCAGACATGAAAGACCAGTACGGGTCCAGTTCCGTTCCTATTTATCAGTCCTCCACCTTCAAGGGTGTAGGAAACGAGTTTGATTACTCGCGAAGTGGCAATCCCACCAGAAGTCATCTAGGTATGTTCAATGTCTTCCGTTCGCATCCTTGTTGCTTTCCTGCCTCCGTCTGCGTCCGGATAATAGTGGACGACGCATATCTGCTCTACGTCCCGTCGCCCTGATACCTTCTCTGCGGCCGCACGTATCATGTCAGCACAAGGAGGCGCTGTTTCACAAGTGGTCTGACCAGTGCCACATATATCTACCTACCCAATGAAATACACCGCAGACGTTATTCCGTTTCATTTTATTACCTCTCCGTCAACGCATTCATGTCGTGCTCACCACCCAGTTCTGCAGAGCACCATATTGCCAAAATATCATCCGCCGCCCATGCTATCACAGTCTCCTCCGGCATGGCCGCACTTGACATCATTCTCCGTCTCCTCAAACCCGGAGACGAGATTATCGCAGGAGACGACCTCTACGGAGGTACCAATCGTTTGCTCACATATGTCAAGACCCATGTCGGCGTTACTGTCCATCACGTCGATACCACCGACCCGACGTCCCTCCTCAAATACATACAGGCCGGAAAGACAGCGATGGTCCTCCTCGAGAGTCCCACAAACCCTCTGCTGAAGATTGCCGACCTTGCCACTCTTGCTGCTGAAGTGAAGGAACGCGCACCGGATGCTATCGTCGTAGTGGACAACACCATGATGAGCCCGTACCTGCAGAGACCTCTCGAGCACGGTGCAGATATCGTGTATGACAGCGCGACGAAGTACCTCAGTGGTCATCATGATCTAATGGCCGGCGTTATCGTCTGCAACCGTGATGACCTCCACAAGGTTCGCTCCTTGTCTTAGTTTTGAACAGGTCAGACCACTGACTTTGTTCTTTGGCGCGTAAAGCAAATGGCGTTCGTCGTGAACTCTGTAGGAAACGCGCTCAGTCCCTTCGACTCTTTCCTCCTGCTCCGAGGTATCAAGACATTGGCCGTCCGCATGGATCGCCAACAGACCTCCGCGCTCGCTGTCGCCAACATGCTTGACCGTCTCGGCTTCAAGGTGCACTATCCCGGTCTTTCGAGCCATCCTGGTCGGGAAATCCACGAGCGTATCGCGACGGGCTATGGCGCCGTGCTTAGTTTCACGACTGGTGACAAGGCCCTTAGCGAGCGCATCGTTGGCGCTACTCGACTTTGGGGCATCAGCGTGAGTTTCGGCTGTGTGAACTCTTTGATTAGTATGCCTTGCGTCATGTCGTGAGTAGCGTCGATCTATATGTTAGGCGAAACAGATGCTAACGCAGTTCGTGGTCTTGATCAAAGGCACGCGTCTATTGACCCCGCAATCCGTGCTGCTCGCGGTCTTCCAGAGGATCTCATTCGTCTTTGCGTCGGCATCGAGGACCCTGCGGACCTCCTCGACGATCTTGAGCGCGCTCTTTTGGAGGCTGGCGCTATTACTCTTTCTGCTAGTGAAACTGAGCATCACTTTGTGCGCGCTAGCTTACCACGGGAGCCTGTCTCGATCAGCCGCGCTGTCGAGAAGCTGGCTTATAACGACAATGCTGTCACCGGGCGCACAAAGGAGAACCGTGAGTGGTTCGTCAGCGCCCCTGGAAAGATCATCCTGTTTGGAGAGCATGCCGTCGTACACGGTGTGGTGAGTCTCACGCTCCCTTATCTACGTATGTCGATCAAAGGCGCCGTTGCTGATATACATGCGACTCGATTTGTTGATGTCTTATGAAAGACGGCCGTCGCTGCGTCAGTAGACTTACGCTGCTATGGACTCACAACCCCTCGTCACGATGGCAAGCTAGGAATAGAGTTCTCGGATCTGGGTGATTTCAGTCACGAGTGGGTGTTGGACGAGCTGCCTTGGGATGCCGTGACGAGTGTCAATGTGGGCGACGCTCATCCGGACGTGTTGGACCAGAGGTTGGTGGACGCGATCGCAGCGCGTGCTTTGCCCTCAACGATCAATGACAAGGCAAAGCCTGCAGCCATCGCCTTCCTTTACCTGTACATGAGCATGGCCCACGGAGGTGAACGGTAAGCAGATTTGCCATGTTGTTTGCACGCATTGCACCGGCTGACCGGACATTCACTTTTAGGCCGTCATTCGGTTTCACAGTCAGGTCCACTCTTCCTGTAGGTGCCGGTCTCGGTTCATCAGCCTCGTTCTCTACCTGTGTCGCAACTTGTCTTCTCCTCCTCCACCAACGCGTAAACCTCCCTTCGCTGCCCCCACCTACCACCTCCGCCGACGCGTCCGGACCCGGACACATTCACATTTCCCATCAAGGTCGCCGTGCCATCCCGAGCGAGATCTCGGAAGAGGTCAACCGCTGGGCGTTCGTCGCCGAGAAGGTTCTGCACGGAAACCCAAGCGGGGTGGACAACTCTGTGGCCGTGTTTGGCGGGGCTTTGGCGTACACTAGGCCCGGGTTTACGAGGAAGTCCGGGATGGAGGCTATCAGCGGGTGCGCATACATCCCATTGATCGTCTTCGTTTTTGCTTGGCTCAGTCTTGATATAGATTCAAGTCTCTTCGATTCCTTCTCATTGACTCGAGGGTTCCTCGTGACACCAAGAGCCTGGTCGCTGGCGTTGGTGCGAAAAAAGCTGCGGTGAGTTCTCAGAATTCGTTTGTACGGAATTAGGTCGTGCTGAACCGATTTTCATATCTAGGAACCGGAAGTCGTTGACAAGGTCCTCGATGCCATCCAGAGCATCACGGATGAGGCTCGTCGTGCTCTGCTTGACCCTGAGTTGTCGCGTCCAGCGTTGCTCTCTGCCTTGGGCGTACGTTATTCACCTTCTTCCATTCCTACTACGACATTAGACTGATTTGCTGGACTTCTGTGATCTGTAGGCCCTGATCGAAGAGAATCACGCTCACCTCGTGTCGCTCGGTGTTTCACACCCGGTCTTGGAGATCATAAAAGCTCGGACGGCACAGAGCCCTTACGGGCTGAGCACGAAGCTCACGGGTGCCGGAGGAGGCGGTTGTTCAATCACACTTGTACCGGATGGTTCGTATCCTTCGATGCTCCCTCTTTTATCACAAGCCTGATATTATTGGCCCACACAGACATGGAGGAATCCCTTCTAAAGGACCTCATGGCTCGTCTCTCCGAAGACGGATACGTTCCCTATCTCACCTCTGTCGGAGGTTCTGGTCTCGGCATCCTCTCGCCCTACGATCCTAACAACTACGACGACCATCCGACCGCCACAGCTCATACACAGACTCCCCCGGAGACGCCTGGCGATGAGTCCGCACTGGGCGGCCGTGAGCCGTTGAGGGCGACGCTTCAGTCGAAGCCCTTACATGATTTGTCCGAGTGGGCGTCCAACAGGGGAAGGTGGATGTACGTATGAGTATGAGTTTGCGTTAGCGCTTGGTCTGGCGGGATAAAACATCAGCAATTTAGAGGCGTGGATTTCGGTGTATATGTGCTGTGCTTTGTATGTCTTTTATTTATGTACTTCGTGTATCTTTGGTGCTGGTTTTGGCAGCCGTACTTTAGCAGTTCAACTATCCTCGACCCTGTGATACGGAATGCCCTGTACTTTCCATCTGTTGAGAATCGAGCTAGTTGCAGCTCGACGTTGCGAGACGTTTCGATACGTTTCGGTATTCAGTCTGAGTCAGCGGCGCAGCCGCATGTTGTTATTCCTTGCCCTTACAGGCAAGTGGAGCAGGTTTATAGTATTTTGTAGAATATTCTAGATGTACTGTACAAGTAGTATAAATTGTGCAATACATGTCTCGTCGTAGGGCATCGGATTGCCCTAACGCGAGTCGTTCTCACCAACCAGCGCGATTGCAATCCCTCGTCCATTTTCCTCTGATTTTTCGTGCTTTTTCACTCTCGCTCACGAAAATCCAACACCATCTGACTGCAAGACACTCGTGCATGGAGGGCAACCATCGGAATGACACCTACCGCGCCGGTCATTGCTTTATCTGGGGAAATCTTTTCCGTTCATATTTATCTGGCATGACGCTGGACGATGTGCGTGACTTATATATTGTACAAGAGAGTCCATTGCTAGAAAACACATAGAAGTACATCCGTCTGATACCCAACGTACGCCAACATACACTGGTATGAAGCCTCTCAGTCCCGGAGGCCGCTCAAGTCTTCACGGCCGACAACGCATTCGTAGTGGATGTATCTATGCTCAGCACATCCTGCGTGATGACGGCCAATCAATGTCTAGAACTTTGAAATGCAACAAGACGAAACAAACCTTGCCGGCACGAATCTCCTCCGCGGAAGGCATCAAGCCGAGACGGATGAGCTCGGAGCATTTCGAAACAACGGGGTCATTTTGCATGCTGTATCTCGCGGCGTGAGATATGTGCAAAAAAGGATGCAAGATTAAGAGCAGACCTGGCGACGGCGACGACCTTGCCTTTCTTCACGTAGTATGAGATGAACTTCATCTCGCCTGGGTCGCCTTTGATGATGATGTCGTCGTGACCTGCGCCGGTGCCACAGTATCGAAGCTGTTGCCCCTCTGCATACCGAAAGACGAATTCATGCAATGAGTACGCGTTAGCCGACCTGAAGGAAGGACAACGCACGAGCACTCCAGAAAATTGGGACTTTGACGAAAGGTTGAGGATCGCCTGCGAGCGTCTTACCGACAGCTCGTCCATGGTTTCCTGCGACCTGCGAACTAGTCAGCCTCAAGCAAGATAAAGTACGGAAGCTGACCAGACAGCACTTACGTTCCAGTGCTCTATTCTCTTATACTCTCCAAACTCAGGATAGGTAGCAATATCGCCCACGGCAAAGATGTCGTCATGGCCGATGACCTTCAAATATTCGTCCACCTTGATGCTGGCATCCTTCTCGAGCTTGAATCCACTCTCCTTGAGATAATCTGTCGATGGTCGGACGCCTACGCCCATGATGACGGCGTCCGCATCGAGTTTCTCGCCGGACTCGAGTTCGACGGAAGAGGCCTTCTTCGGTTCTGAAGAAGATTTGTGAATGGCCTTGATGGAGGCTTTGGGGTGAAAGGTAACCCCTTGTGACTCGTGAAACTGCAAGTCTTTTCAGTCTACAGGAAACTAGTAGATAATGGGTATGAGGAGAAATGATTCTCACCTTTTTGAGTCCGGCACCGACTTCTTTGCCGAGGACGGCTTCGAAGGGGTATTCTTCCATGCCGATAACGTGGATAGACTTGAGTTTGCGCTTTGAGACGGCGACCACGAGCTCCATACTGATGAACGAGCTGCCTATGACGACGAGATTCTTGCCTTCCTGGCAAGCTATTCATGGTGTCGAAAGTTGAGCGACGAGTCTGATGCAACGCTTCCTCTCCCGGCTCGTACCTTCATCGATTGCTTGAGCTTGTTGAACGCCTCTGAGAACATACACGTTCTCTAGATCGGAACCCTCAACAGGGAGTTTCTTAGGTAGACCACCACTGGCGAGCACGAGCTTGTCGTACGAAACCGCGTCCTTGCCGCTGTCTAGAATGACCTTCTTCGCCTTGATATCTATTGAGGTGACGGTCTACGGGATAGGTGATGTCAGAAAGAGGGTATGGCTGGGCAATTAGGTACTGATGCTCACGACGCCTGTGCGGAGAGTGGTACCGTATTTGATCTTTAGATCAGCCGCACTACGTAGCTCGAGTTTGGAGGGGTCGGTAATGAGAGCTTTGCTCAGCTTGGTTCTGGGACGATGATCAGCACAGAGATCAAAACATGGCGACAAAGCGACTGACCGGTCGATTGGTGCATAAGCCTCGCGTGATAGAACGGTTATGGGACTTTTATAGCCGTGCTGAGAAGAATGCGCGGATCATGAGCTCCGAAGATAATGGTCAAAAAAGGGTATGGACCTCTCTCAAGCTCTCGATGGTATGGAATGCGGCTGAACCTCCTCCTACGATGACGACACCTGGGCCGCCGACCTCTGCACCTGTGGCGAGGAGGCGTGGGGAACGAGACATGTTCTCCTTGGAGGCTTTCATCGGATCTGCTGTGACGTGGACTTTCCCATCAGCTACGTGAGCTTGGAAAGAGTGAATTGCATTCGGGGCGGGAGCATCCTCTGCGGCGGAGACGGAGGTATAAGCTGTGAGAAGGACAACGTAGTCGAAATGGACGAACCGATGTCACCATTGGTGACCTTGAAGCAAGCTGCACAAAGGTGAGACAGGCGATGAAGTGCAATGTACTCAAAACAGACAGACCTCCATGCCAGGGACTGGACAATGAAGCTGTCGTGAGACCTCAGCAGAAATAGGAGGAATTAAAATGCACACCAAACGACTCTGCCGTCTGCGGTCAACACGCCCTTCGCAAGCGGTGCACCATAGTGAGTACAGAAAGCGCTAGTTGCATGGATCTGTCGTTGTATGTGAGATACATGGAGAGCTGTCGCTCAAGAGAACAGACCTTGTCTCCGAGGCGAGAGAGGAGGACTTTTCCGCCTTCAAAATCAACCTCCTTCCTGGGATGCAGTTAGCCCCTGTCCGCGAATTGCTTCCGAGGGTGCGGCACTTACATCTGGCCGTCCTTCAGCTCAGACTCGTCGAGAACGGATATTGTCTTTGTGGACATCGTGCGCAACGGTGAAAGTAGAAGACGATGGTGGGGGTGTGAATGAGAGAGGGATAAGAGAGCGCGGGTAGGGAGTAGTCGCATGGGGGGAAGAGACGCGACGGGAACGATGCACTGTTTATATCGCGTCGGCCAATGACGCGCCTCCCGTTTGGAGTGATGTCAGCGCCAGGAAGACACCAAGGGCCACATATAGCGCCACCCACTCAGCAATTCTATCCAAGGCCAGAACCGACATGGCGAAATATCAAATAAGTTACACACCAGATCCGAGAGCGCTACTTCACAAGATCGCACATACAATACATCTGTCTTCAGTCAGCATCTTCTACTCAACTCCCTCGAGCAATATCGTGAAGGACGTCACATCCACAGCAAAGCAATGCGAATAACAATAAAGAGCAGCACATACGATATCCGCGTCCATAGTATCCCTGTTTGAGCCATGTCAAATTGGAACCCAGACGGAGATAAAGCGCGATGCACGACGCACCATCAATATACCTAAACAACGACTTTCCGAGGCTTGATCACGACCAATCGCGTCCGTTTCACTTCGTCGTGTAGAGTGCCGAAGTACCTACATATACCAGAAATCGTCAACTTCATATGCTTAGATTCAGCAATCCTTCAGCTTACCTGTTCGTTTTGAACGACCACTCCAAATTCCCAATCGGCCAGTTCTCCATCGCGTTCACATATTTCCAAACGTCCTCATCCAGATCCCTCGACCCGAACGACTTCGACGCCAGTTCCGCCTTGGCCGTCATGTACTCCTCCATTAACTCCGCATAGTACTCACCGACGTAGTCGCTCGCAGCCTGCATGTCAATGTCTCTCGCAGCCATCAGGACGGTAACGATGTTATTCCCACTGTGACCCTTAGCTTGTTCCACGTTATACGAGTATACGTCCTTCCGACCAAGTTATGACATATGTCAGCCCCGACATCCATTGTGCCTAAGATTGATAGGAGAGGAAGGGAGGGAGTGAGGTGTGTGTGTGGTGTCACTCACATTTGCCCAACACACCATGTCCGCCGAGGCCCAGTACATCTTCATGAACGTCTCATCCTCAAACACTGAATCCGGAAGATCGATCCCTAACGTGAACTCGAACAGGCCGAAGCACAACCGGATCGCTGAGTTCTCCCTCCTGAGGGACTTGAAGGAATCCATGTCGAGCACTTGTCCCCGTTCGCGATATTCTGCCTCCTTAGCCACGCAGTCGATGTAGTCTTCGCTGTGCCTCAGGAAGCGACGGAAGGATTGAGGTCCGACCGACCTCAAGAAACGCGCGCGAAATCTGCGGATAATGAGTTGAGCCAAAGTCAAAGTGCATGTTAGCGTCAGTGCGCCCTGAGCTTAAGAAGCGAAAAAAAAAACACGCTAGTGCTTACTGTTGTGTCATCTTCGCCAAGTCAGAGCCATCTGTCCATTCAGGATCGCGCATCGCGTTCAGATACACCTCCCCTGTCCGTCTCGCGGCCTTTCCGCTCTGATCGTCGCTAATCTCGTCAATGACGAACAGCAAGTTTACAAAGTCACAACATGTTCGAAAGGCATCATAATCGGCATGAGGATATGTGTGTGAGACGAGGAGTTCGTTCGAACCAGTGATGAAGTCAGTCCGCTTCCGGTCTGAGAAGAGGTTGTAACTAGAGACCCAGGCTGAAGATTCTGGGGCGGCCATGGCCCAGTGCGGGTTTGTCGAGCCATTGAAAGGTGTCGACAGAGAAAGCAGGTCAGGGAGGATTAATGACTCGTGATGAGGGGTGGAGGGAGGATTTGAAGTAGCCATTCCGGTATTCGAGAAAAGGCAGACGGACTGTCGACAGAGAGGGGAAGTACTAATGACGAGGTTTATAGTGGAGGCACGATGGTCGAAATGAGGCTCGCTAACTTTCTAGCCCGCCCTTTATAGTCCCGAGCGGGGCCTATGCCGGGGGCAGGCAGGTCAAAATTTCGTACACGAGATAATCATGATGACCCTAAAATTGACACGCACCTCCTCTCGTACTGCATGCTTAGGTTGGCCCAATCCAGATCAAGCCTCAAGGACGACTCGCGGGCTGCAAGGCGAGCATGTCCGGGATGACGGCCATGTAAACGCAGCCCGATATATGTCTGCACGATGGTCTTGTTTGCAATGATTGCCTTCAAGTTCCATTAAGCATCCGTAGCGGGGCCGAGGGCTATTATGGGTCATTCGTAATCAAAGGTCGTGGTCTCCAGATAAGGAAAAGTTCGCTGAGCCGCCAAGCAGAAATGAGCAGGCATGAGTGGAGTCCTCAAATACGACGCTCATTCGGTACTGGTGTGGTGATCTTGACAAGCAACGATACTCACCGGGTCGAGTTCATCGGTATGTACATGCAAATAGTAGTCGCCTGCAGACACTCCCACGAAGTAGCGCGGTCACGTTACTGCCCCTATGCGGGGTAAGAAGGAAGTGTGGGTTCTATCTAACTGTAGCAAATAGGAAATATTGACATCGTGGCCTGGGACCATGAGTCGGCCGGGCGGCGCTGTGGAGTTACGGTACAAATGCTATGGAGCCACGGAGAGTGCATAGACACGTACCGAAACGTCTGGTCTCTCTCTGACGTGCTGTTATTTACTCTGACTTATTTGAAACGTTCTTGAAACGCAATCGCGATCTTAGCCGGCAAGACTCGAGAGCGGGTGGTACATGGAGTAGCCCTGAGAATGACATGATACGGTTCGTATGTAAGTGAACTTGCTGCATATCCGAAAGCCGAGAAAATTCGACGGCAGTAGGACACGACATATTGCCACGTACATGAGATGAAGCACGCGGCGATGCGGTAGCATGGTGAAGAGGACGTCTCGCGAAGTAGCCTCTCGCTGACCGATATGAGATGGTTGTATAAGACTGAAATCTTCGGCGAGACATTCCCAGATGGTACGCCACATTCTTCGAGGTTCATTCTGTCTAAGAAGTTCAAAATGATCTCGGGAGGCAAATACTGAGAAAATCCATAGCACAAGAATGAAGTCGAAACCCGAGCAGACCGGGGCCTAAGGCGAAGAAGCCTTCGGTCGTATAGGCAGGCTGTTACTTGGATCTCCATTCCATCGAGGTTGACGGACCCACAAGTGCACTCGCGCCTGAGGTGAAACCAATGTGAGACCTCCGGAGGAGTCTTCTGCCCAACAGACACAGTTAGAAGTTGGGAGCTCTGCAGAAGGTCCACTTCGCAGTCGGGAAAAGCGCATTATTAGGACACGATAGATGTCCATCCGTGAAAGCAATCGGAAGCGAGGACAAGGGATGCGTGGACATTTAGCATTAGCAAAACAAATAACACGAGCTAATAGATACAATAGTGGAGAGGGCCGTTGCGTCCCACCGTGGATTTATCATAAGACCAGTGAAACGAGCAAGGCAGAGCCTTTAAAAGCATATGCGGTAACTGGCGTACCGACCGCTCGTTTCACTCGGGCGAGTGATTTTGACAACCTGACCTCGTCGAAGACCATAATATCGTGCAATGGGATCGGCTGGCTGAATTCTAGGAAGCTGTGTCTCCTTCAAGTGGCTGCATGTCAGTACAGGCGTTTATTTAAGCGACAACTGTCGTTAATGTGATATGGAAAGGAGGGAGAAGGGTGGGGGACACACTAGCGTTCAAGAACCATTTTCTTTTCTTCTGGAGTGAGAACGTCGTGTCGAGGAACGAGTTTGTGATGTGTAATGTATACGAGCAGGTCGGCCTCCGCAAACTCTTCAACCTTGAGGTTTGCCATTGTGAGTATGCCTGTGCAGAGGGCGTTGAGCTACATAAGCACATTTTGAGCGGCATAGGCAATGCACCTTGCGCGCCGATGGGGTCATGATGCCAGGAAAGATGATGACGCCGCTGCGTATGTCCTTCTCCGTCATGATTTGTGAAAGCCTGCTCGAGTTAGGTCAGACAACAATTGAGAGAGCCAGAGGTGACGCACTTGCGCATCGTTTTGACACCGACGCTCAGGAAAATACAAATATCTGAGGGTTGACTCGTAGATTGGTGAAGAAATTGAGTTGATTCCGACTGTGGCAAGACGTCACATCATGTTCTGCGCTCGGCACTATGGTTTGAATATGACGAAGAGAAAATTGACACACTCGACACTCCCTGCACTGTTTGCATAATGAGACTCGAAGGTGGACAGGTCCATATGAATCTCATCGTCCGCCACTTGGTAGCCCTGCTCATAGTCGGTCACCATCTGACGGAGTTAAGATGCCAACGAGCTGACCCTATCCTTGACGAGCTCTTGAATTGTACGATTTACTTTCCAAAGCGTAGCAGCCTCACTGTCGTCTGAGGAAGACATGATGAGCAGAGACGAGAGTATTTCAAACTCAGCTCGTGTGTCCTTGACGCGTCTCAGCTGAGTCCCACGACTCGCCCAACCCACTCTGAACGACTATGGCACCGACGGATACTGGGCCCATCCATTCTCTAACTCTGACGCCCTCCCTCATGGTAATTCTGAGCCGTACTTTTCCCGAGACTCTCTGACAGATGTCACAGGGAAAGCTAAAACCGGCCAAGATATTCAAGACAGCAGTCGATCCAGGTCCGCTTCCAGCAGCTGGCAGCCGCCCTAGGGAAAATACTGGCCCGCGACACATCACAGGCATATCGTTCGACGACAAGGGCGGCCATATCATCACGGCAGGCGATGATGAAACGTTTCGACTGTACAGCTGCAAGACCGCAAAGTGAGTCGCCACCCACCTCATGTTCGCGCTCATTCGCCCTCAACGACTGACTGATAGCAGCGTTCTCGCAGGCACCTGAAGACCCTTTACTCGAAAAAGTACGGTGTCGACCTTCCACGGTTCACTCACAGCGACAGGAACATCATTCATGCGTCCACCAAGGAGGATGACACCATTAGGTACCATGCTCTACACGACAACAAATATCTGTCGTATTTCAAGGGCCACACTCAGAAGGTTATCTCCCTAGAGGTATCTCCTATTGACGATGGCTTCATGTCCTCAGCCATGGACAACACTGTTCGTCTCTGGGATCTCCGTACTCCGACCTGTCGCGGTCTTCTCAACCTCCCCGCTGCTCCCATCGTAGCCTACGATAGCACCGGGGTCGTTTTCGCTGTCGCCGTCAATCGTTACTCTCGAATCCTGCTCTATGATCAGGCCAACTTTGACAAAGCTCCTTTCCTGACCATCACCCTCGAGGATCCGACATTAGCCCTTATCTCCTTTCCACCGCGCGCCATCTACATAACATCCATGTCCTTTTCCACGAACGGCAAGTACCTCCTTGTCGGCTGTTCGGGCGATGCGCACTATGTCATGGACGCGTTTGAAGGCCATCTACTTGCCAAACTAGTGGGACATGCCAGTTTAGAGAGGAGACGACCAGAGGTGCCACTGGGCATCGAGCCTCAACGAGGCTGCAGCGGGGAGGAGGTGTGCTGGACACCAGATAGCAACTATATTGTCGGAGGCGGACTGGATGGGCGCATTTGTATATGGGACGTGCAGGATCTGGGGGAGAAAACAGGACCTATCGATTTGAAGGCTACGCCGAGGCGCCTGCAACCTCTGACGAAAATGGATGGCCATCCCGGTCCAGCACGATGTGTCAAGTTCAACCCTCGGCTTGCAATGATGGCCTCAGCGGGAGCGGAACTTGTATGTACAACATATTATTGTTTGGTGCAGCCGGAAAACTGACCTTACCACGTAGGCGTTCTGGCTGCCAGATCAGTCTCCAGACAGCGACGACATTGCAAAGGACTTGGTGAAAAAGTTGGCTGGTTAATTTCTTCTCAGGCCATAATGTAGCCATTTATTGTACCACTGTATCTTTGCTGCCCAGACGCGCTCTTGCATACCCTAGTGAATACTTTCGCGTTCACCGAACGGACGAAGCACAAGTTATTTTGCCGCGAAGCACGTGAGGGACCTATGGAAGGCAATTGGAAATTGAGAAAGTGGAGGACGTGGCACGAACGAACGCGCTCTTCCGATTCAAACACTTCTACGGCCTGACCGAACTCTAACTCCTCCCTTCCTCTCGTTTTATAAACTACCTCACGATGCGCGTCGGTACTTTCTTTGCCGCCGCTGTGTTGTTAGTGACCTCGGTGTTTGCTGTTGAAGTCGGTGAGTACAGGCCCTTCCTAATCCACAGGCGTTGTGAACTCATATTCGTTCTCTCTTTTTTTTTTTCAATAGCACCCATGGATGAAGTTGAAGTAGAGGAGATGGACACTCAGCCGGATCCTGAGGTTCTTGTCGTTGCCTCTTTCCCCGAGAGCAACCCTTTCGGTCGTACGTGCTCTTGCTCTGTTCGTCTGCCAGCGTTCCTCAATATCCTGGACGGGTCTCTGAAGATGTCGTCAATGGCGAGCGAAACCAGATGTGGTTGAACATCGAGAACAATCTTGGGAAGAATGTCACCCTCTTGACTGCTGCAGGCGAGTTCCGGTACCCAGACTCGGACAAGACTCTCAAAACGGTATGCCCTGTCCGCATCTTCTCCACTCTACTTCCTTGTACACTCTTGGGTTTAGTCCTCATTGGTTCTCATACTCTTTTACAGCTCAGTAATCTGACATATGGCATCAATCTCATGGAAGGAGCAAAAATTCGTCTTCCTTACAGCTTCCACAGCGAGTCCGTGCTTTCACTCTTCTTCTTTCTCGCGCTATATGACTGATCTTTCTATCCATATATTCAGATTCAAGGTACGTTTGTAGTGTCACCAGAGTCCGCCGGAGTAAAAGCCTCACTGTCGTTGCAGCCGGGAGATTTAAAGCTCAACCTTTGGGTCCAACATGAGGCCGAGGTACGGACCTTTACATCGTTGAATATACTTCCTACTTACTTCTCCCGACGCTACTACCCTATTATAGGGCAACACGTACATCGTCCCCGCGTTCGATGGCATCGTGACAGTGGTAGAACCTGAACTGTCCGTCTTCGATCTCAAAATGTATGTCTTTCCTCAGTCGTTCGTGCGGGCGACGGCTCACAACATGCGCCCGTCATTATAGGCTTTCGACCTACGCCACGGTACTTGCTCTGCTTAGTGGCCTGGGCTACATTGCTTATCAGACATACGTCCCCCAAACTACCCGTAAGCCACGTAAAGAGGCCGTATCTGCCCCTGTTGGTCCTGTCACGGCTAGTGGTGCTGGAGGATATCAGGAGGAGTGGATCCCAGAGCACCACAGGAAGAGGGCGGCGAAGAAGGGTGCAGTGAGCAGTGGAGATGAGCTGAGTGGAGCAGAGACGAGTGGTACTGAGGGCAAGAGGAGGAAGGGCAAGAAGTAAAAGCACTAGCCTCGACAGCATTCTGGATTCTAGTGTTCTTGAATTTGCTTAATCGTGTAGTGTTCGTGAGCATATGATGATATAATGTCCCAATCACCATAGGTTTTGGCAAAGCACAGATGTGCCATGATTGCGAACGAAAAATGCGAAGTGCAGCACCAAATTCAGTTGGAAATGGCCGAGGATTTACAATGATTTGTATTGTCTAGAGCGGGAGTCATCCTCACCACCAATGTATCGTTAATGTCACGCTGTTTCCAGCACAGATGAGAGCGAAGACGTTGTGATTCGAACATTATGCGATTTTCGATTTCGAGGAGGTGCATTGGGGGTCCGGAGCTATACATCTATATGCTTATAGCCCTGGATCTGAACCTGTGATTGAGTTTCGTCCTGGTCAGAGAGCGTCTGATGAAGACGTACCTTGTTTTCTCTCAACATAGAAATGTACTTATCCGCGAGCTCCCTGCAATTCTCGTAGTGGTTAACGCTCTCAGACCGTTGGCATGTCTGCAACATGTCCTTCACGATGCGAGTTTCCATTGCGCGAACCCAAGTTTCCCGGATGTGCTCATCACGGGAGGAGACACGTGCTGTGATCAGCATATATGCTTCAGCTGGCAAAGAGGAAAGTAGACGAGGAAGACGCACCCTTGAGATCTTCTACGTTGGTGGCCGACATGGTTATGGAGGTAGGACGTCTCGCAGCGCGTCAAGAGGATAACGCGGCCGACCCAACCGCCTTCCTTTCTTGGACGCGCCCAACCGCGCGGCTCCCGCCACATGTTGGTCGTTTACTATTGGCCGGAGATCGCACGCTGTTCTGGCTCTATTCGGACTCCATATGATAACTGCGCTGCGGTATTCTTACTCATATGTTGGGGTTAGGTGACGCAGAACAAGACTGAGACAATGGATACTGTGGATCTCTGAGACATTGTCGTCACTGCCACTCTCATCAGTAAACCACTCCATTTTGTTTTCGCTTGTTTTCGCCTTGTTTTCGAGTAGCGAACAGCCAAAACTTGCCAAACACAGAAACAAGGCAAACTAAATTGCATGTTTTGAAACTGGCACCAGTTTTGCAAACACAGAAAAACTAGAGCCATCCCGAAGTTCCTTGCCCAAAACCAAAACTACGAAAACTAGCTTGGGTACATGAAAAGTAGTACTCTACATGGTCAACCATGCTTGCCCATCAAACCCGAGTTATTCCACAGCAGTGTCATCCTCCCCAAAGCCAGCCTGCAACTCTCGCACTTCAGCTCCTGCGAGGTCTATTCTGTCATCATTTTCACCCACGGCTAGTCTCATCATATACAGTGTCAGGGGTAAACAAACAAGACAACAACACAAACAGAACTCACCATGTTCAAGCCCGACTGGCGAAACCTGTACCCGATGTAGCAGATTTTTCAGTAATTGAGTGGCAACGAATGGAACGAAGGCTGAACTTGCCATAAAGGACCACTGTTGAGTTGACCTCCCATAAACTGAACCCTCATATCATGTGCCTACACGAGGATACACGTATCCTCTTCCGTCTCCATTTCTACGTCTACAGGAACTTGCTAACATCAGTGAGTTTCCTCTTACCTCGTTTGATGCTGTTGACAAAAGAAACAGTGCATTATCAAAACAGAAGCAATACGGCTTGGGACTAGACGGCGGCGAGATCGCTCGATAAGGCGATGAGCAACTCTTCATCAAGTAACCAGGTCGGGCTGGGTACGATGATGGTAAAAGCAAAAAGTAGATAGCCAATCTGGTATTGGCACCTTATCACCATACATAGCCGGCACATACCAAACACTAACATGTAGAACAGTGGTCAAAGGAGAATGGGGTGGTGCTCAACAAGGGCAGGCAAACATCTGGGCTAAACGACGCGGCATCGCCAGTGGAGATGGCACAGAAAAATTGAGCAACTCACTGTTCACCACGAACGAGATGCCTTGTTCGAGTCTCGAAAACACTCAAAAGAGGCTGGCTCGGCACTTGGGGCAATGCAGACAAAAAGAACAAGAAAAGTGTCAGTAGGACGGAGCGAGGCGCAAGACAACAGCTTACCTTATTACCTTATTACCATAATCATCTCATCACGCCTCAATCACGGGCATGAAATTGTAAACGGGAACATTCAGCGGGCACTACGACTTAGCTTGGAGGAGCAGTTACGTGACATCAAGAACAACCGTGTTATAGTGCAACAGCACCATGAGCAACCTTGAATGTCGAGTATGGCAATGGGTGTCTGGACGAAGAGGTTTGGGAGCGAAGAGGGAATGGGAATGGGAGTGGGAAGAGACAAGAGACAGCTGGAGGGAGTTGCAAGTCAAAGCCAGATCAACGGAGTCACGTGCAGTTTAGGGCAGGCCTCGACGCGCGTGTACCACGACTGGACAACTTCGTCCCTTTCGCTCTTCCTCCCAGCGCTGTCGATCTTACTTCCTCTCATCCGCTCTGCTTACCACCGTCATCGTTGCCCTGCCACCTTGACATCATTCAATCCACCATAGCTAACCGTTCTCATAACGGTCCCAACGTGCTCAGAACTCGAAGCCCGGTGGCGCCAAGGTCACCTAGCCTGTCGAATCCTTGGCCCGCCATTTCACGCGTATGTTGGGTGTAACCATCAGGTGGCTAGGGAAAGGGAAGTGCTCGAATAGATATTTAGGTGAGTGAACTAGAGAATTGTTCGATATACGGAATGGTCACCATTCTTCCCTCTCGTCGCAAGCACTTGACCTCAGAGTTTCCGTGGACCGGTTGTGTGATGTAGTGAGGATATTCAAGGTCAGTTTGTTCGAGTAGTCTATACGATACTGTTACTCTCTGTCGGGTCCTGGTCAAGTTTACTTATGTCGCCACTCCACATATTGCGTGACTGCTTGCTTGAGAGAATGAAGCACCAGTCTCGGCCTACTTCAGAGTTTACTATTCGGGAATGACACGGGTCACCCGCGGGTTAGAATACACCTACCCGGACCCGGACCCGCCGGGTACGGGTCTCTCGGGTCTGCACGGGTCTGCGGGTTGGGGGCCGGGTCTGGGTATGCCAGGGGTATGTACACTACTACACTATGGATTGGCAGAATAAATTATAGAACTGTCGAAAAAAATGGTGATAGTGCAATTAGTGTTCAGATGAGAGGGAGGAGGGGAAGGGGACATACCGGGAGAACAAGGCTATGTGTTGACAAACGGACAACGCGAGTGTGTTCAGATAGTTGAAAAACCCCCGAAATCACTGAGAAAACGGAAACAACGTGGCTAGAACAAATGTGGGGAGTTGAACAATGTTTGGGGAAGGGGGAGGAGAAGAAGTCCACGTACCCAAGGAACGAAGGTACGCGTTGACAAATGGACAATGGGAGCGTGTTCGGAGGGTTTGAAAACCCCGGAAAACACTGAGATTTGAGAAATCCTACGGTGTAAAAAATGCGTGCAGCCCGATTAGTGTTTGGGTGAGGATGAGGGAGTGGAGGGGACACACCGGACAAACGCGGACACATATCAACAAACGGATAGCGGGAGCGTTCTCGGAGGGTTCGAAAACCCCCAGAACCGTTGAGAAACACGATACGACACCACTGGAAAAAAGGTAGTAGGCCAATTACTATTTGAGAGGGATGGAGGAGGAAGATTGGACGCACCGGATGAACGCGGATACGTATCGACAAGTGGACAGTGGGAGCGTTTTTTTACGGGTTGAAAACCCCCAGAGCCGTTGAGAAACGCGAAACAGGCCGGTTGGAAAGAATGTGGTAAGGTAATTAGTGTCTGAGGGAGGGTGAGGAGAAGAATGGGGCGCACCGAATGAACGCGGACCCGTATGGACAAACGGACAACGGGATCGTGTTCGGAGGGTCTGAAAACCCCCAGAACCACCGAGAAATCCGAAACGTCAAGCACCACCTATCCCATCACACACTCGGTGGTGGAGGGCAAGAGAGAGGATGAAGCGGATGAGCTGGCAGCTTCTTCAGGAAGCGCACAGCATTCCGGCAATTGCCGGATCGATCCTCCGACCCGCGGGTGACCCGACCACGGGTCCGGGTCAGCTTCGGGTTCCCAATTGATGACCCGGACCCGACCCGTCCGGGTCTGGGTACGTTACCCGGCCGGGTTACCCATACCCCTGTCATTCCCTATTTACTATACGTCTTTACTGTCGTGTCTTCGGTGCAGCCTCATTCCATGTTGGCTCCGAGTCAACACAATCATATTATTCTACTCCGTTCAACTTCAGTACCCCTTTGTGTTTACGTGCCATTTGTTCTGCGGACAGAGATCTAGTTCTCTGGTATTGAACATCATACAGTACTTTGTGCAGTTCCGATAGAGGGGTGTGGTTTTGCTGATGCGGGGTCCTTGCGGATTTCACCACAATAATAATTGTAGTTGAAGTTCTGTGCGCATGCTCTGTAGTTTTCGCCAGTTTTGCTAGTTTTGGCCCGAATGATGCTTGCACGGAACAAGGACAGCTCTCCGCTCACAGTAAACAAGCGAAACAAGCGAAACAAGCGGAAACATCCGGAAACAAATGTGTCTACTGTACTTTTACGGGCTATCGTTCTGTCCCACGTCCCACATCGCTCGAGAACGAACAATTTCACCGTGACTGTCCCACCATTTATCCCCGTGGAGAACAATTTTGTGTGACATTCGGTAAAAAGCATAGAAATGTATTTAAACAAACAAAAAATAAGCACAAGTAAAAGACCACCTCAAAGACCCACAAAACCATCAAACTTCGTCGTCTGAACACGACGACGCTTCCCCCGACCAAACTCCTCGGGCTCAGGTACCTCTATCCCCCCGGCTCCAACCCATCGACCAAACCGAGACTACCGTTTCCACTCGCCAGACCTGTAAATTTGATCTTACCTTGGAACATCGTCCCCTGTCCCATCCGCCCACAGAACGAGGAGACAGACGTGATGTCAGATTTCGGCAACATCCGGGTATTTGAAATGGAACGATAGCCCGTAAAAGTACAGTACTTTACTGATGCCTTGTATAATAGTTTACTGTATTTAGTATAAATATAGCTGAGGAACCGATATTGGGTTCCCCAGAATTCTCCACCAGAGCATGTGGGGTCATTATAATGAGTGACGGTAGTGCCGTCAAACCACATTATAATGAGAGACAGCAATCCCGTCTCCACTGTATGGCGGGGCGGGGCTCTCATTATAATGAGCACTCTCCCCATCCTTTTGCTGGCGGGGCTCAAATATGCTTCCATATATGGCTGTTCAAGCGCTGTTCCAATACTTCCACTGCACTCAATATTGGTATGCCCATATTGGGACGGCTTGGGCTGCACTCGCTTACATCCTCACATCCTAATCAGGATGCAGCTTGGTCATCACCCAGCACCCTGTGGCCTACTATCCTCGTAGCACCAATCCTGGGGATTAGCCTCTACTTGCATGTCCCTTCCTAAATAGTGAGGTTCAGTTCTATATTAATGGAGCCAGTAATCTACAGAAAGATCGAAAGAATCTACATAAAAATAGTAATAATATACAAAACATTTAAAATGCAAATTGGAAAGCAATGGAGAGGAAGATAGCAGGGGGAGGAGCAGGGGCAAAGCGACAGGGCCTAACTGAATGAATGAAGGTCGTAGGGTGTATGGAAGGTCGGGGCTGGGATGATGAAAGCACATGGAAGGAATGTGGCGTAGGGGCCACCTAGTGACGTTGCCTTTTGTTCTCTCGTCGACGGGCTCCGTGGGATTTGACAGGGCTTGGATTGACAGCTGCACTCCTATTATATCCATGAGATTGGGGCTACAGAGTATTTGATGATCATTTAAGGCTTACCTGGTTTTACGCTTCCCAAGTACTGGCGAACCCGGTTGTGCCACTTGATCTTCATCGGAGCCCGATCCTTCCTCTTCCTCCTCTTCGTCGTTCTCCTTCTCAGCAGCTGCTTCCTTTGACCTCAACAGGTCCGACAGGACAAACTCCACCTCTGCCACAGCCTCCTCCCATTCCCGTACCTCAGTACCCCCGGCAGTCCATGCACTCGCCCCCCACCAGGACAGCGTCATCATCACCAGCACAATCCCACAGCTCGTACTTACATCAAAACTTTTCAATGAGAACGCATCCGTGTTCGCTGAGCCTTGTGGATCGCCTTTGACCACCATCCTACCGGGCACGAGGTTCTGCCACCACTTCCACCACTTCTCCTTCCACAGTCCGATCCTGTCGATGCCAACGTCCTCGACATCTCTGCCGGCTTTGATCCAGGCACTAACCTGTGCAGGCCTGTCATCACATGAGAACCTTCTCCCATTCTTTTCAACCTATAAGAGCGATCAGTAAGTACGAGCGCAAATGATAACAAGACCCAATAAAAAAACTCACCGGCTGACCGTCAAACATCTCGATAGCAGTGAAGGCCTCGATACACCGAACCCACGGACCACCCTTCTTGTGACCATCTGCAAAAAGCCTATAATACTCGTTCATCTTCGGACAGAGCCCCTTCGTATTGACGGCAGTCTTCAGCCGCTCCAACGGCGCTTTCTCGGAGGCATCGGGAACGTGTGGCGATGACTGTAGCGACTCCGGAGCGGGATGGAGAGGCGCTGTCGAATTGGGAGAGTGGTGGTGTTGCGCGGCATTGGGCGATGGCGTATTGGTTGGCAGCGTGGTTCGCGAAGCCGCTGAGAGAGGTCCGGGCGCCATAGGCAATCGACGAGGAAGGGGTCTTGCTGAAGACTGTGGAAGAGACGGTTCGGGATATTTTGAGGCAGGGATAGTTGGCACAGCGGTGGCGACGATGGTGGGGGTGGCGACGATGGCGGGGGTGGCGACGATGGCGGGGGTGGCGACGATGGCGGGGGTGGCGACGATGGCGGGGGTGGCGACGATGGCGGGGTTGGTACCAGGAGTGGTATTGGAGGTGCTGGAGGCGGCGGAAGGGGCAGCGCTGACAGCTGCGGTTGCAGGGGTAGTGCCGGCGGCTGTGATTGCGGTAGCACCGGTGGCTGTGACGGGAGTAGCGCTGGTGCTGAGGGGAGTAGCGGCATTGGCGGGGGTGGCGTTGGCGGAAGTGGCGTTGGCAGAAGTGGCGTTGGCGGGAGTAGTGCTGTGGGAGGGAGTAGAGGCACTGGCGACGGCGGAGGTAGAGCTGGCGGTGACTGCGAAGGAGGCGGTGGAGGCGGAGGCGGAAGCGGAAGCAAAGGAACCCTCAGCTCCTGGAAGATAATCGGGGCCCATAAGGGCAGGATCCAGGGCGAAGGTTGCGTTGTGCTTCTCAGCGGGCTTCGAAACAGTGCCAGACTGTTCCTGCTGGTGGAAATCCGCGACGGTGGACGGGAGGAGGGAGGACGGTGGCCTACATGCATTAGGAGGGCCAGTCTCGTCCGGAGGGGTATCGGGCACCCAAATATCGTTAGTGGAGGTTTGCGTATCATTATGAGGCTCTGCATCGAGTGCCGGCGTGCGGTTATTAGGCCTGGCTGCTTTGTTGCGAGTTCGTCGCCAAGCAGGCCCTTGATGTGGGGCCTTGGCTGTACCTTGGGACTCCGCGGGTTCTGAAGACGCATCAGGGGAGGCGGGACGGGGTTCTGGTACACGCTCGACATCGGAGACGTTGCGGGAATTGCAGGTGTTGGGAGTATCGGGGGCATTAGGGGCATTAGGGGCATCGAGATCGTCGGGGACATCGGGAGCCCAGGGAATACTGGGAGTGAGAGCATTGCGGGCATCAAGAGTGTAGGGGGCGTGAGGAGCATTGCGGGCGTGGGGAGCCTGGAAAGCGGCGTCGAGAGGTATATCGAGGTTGGGGATGGAATCCGAGGGGTCGAGCAGCGGTGGCAGGTCTGTCGGTGGGCCTGCTGGAGAGCCCGACTCGGTAGTGCTTGCGCCAACGTCGGGTCGCAGTGCTCTCGAGTCGCAGACAGACTGCGCTATTGATCAGAATATGAAACTGTCAGAATGCGATAAAGCAAGCATTAACAGCAAAGGAAAGACTTACGGAAACATCTCTTTGCGAATGCATGCATTGCGCGACAGACGTCGAAGTATGGATCCCTCATGGCCTCATCGAACGTTTGCTGGTGAAAATCCATCGTACGGCCATAGGTAAGGCTATGAAAAAGAACATCAGTTAGTACTGAAGTAAGAAATAGAAACAAAACAAATACGCACGCGCGGAGCTTGATCTGCCCCCCACAGTCTGGCATAGGGCCAGCAATAATGAGAGTGCTGACCAGGCCCATCTTCGTGTAGATGGCGTTAACCACTGGCTCGAGGAGGACAGCGGCGCGATCGATGGCGCTACTCCCAACAAGTCCGGATATTGAGGAGTTATGAGTGAAAGAAAGAAAGAAAGAGATGAAAATACACGACGTACTGTTGATATTCCGCCGGTGTACGCTCTGCGGGCGCACTCTCGGTCGGAGCCTCCTTCGCCTTCGCGTACTCGGTGTCTCTCTCTGCCTCCAGCTCCGTCTTGAATTCCTCGGATTCTGCAGCCCAGGCCTCTCCGACCGCCTCCGAGATCGCAGAAATGATCAACGGGGGCTTGTGACCTTCCGACTGACCGGATGCAACGAGGTCCTCCCAATCCTGCTCGTGTCGACACCGTATGATTCGATATCGTACGAGGATACGCTCGTTCCAGTACCGCGTGCTGTAGTACTGTAGGATGGGCTTCTTACGACCTGAACCTTGCGCGTCGGAAGACGGACCGTCGAGGAACTCGGCCAAGGCAGCAGCGGGATCAGCCACCTTCGAGCACCGCTGCATGCGGGCACGGAACCAATTGGAGAGAATCTAAGGGAAAAAAACGAACCAAAATGATGTATGTGTCAGTAAAGAACAATAACAGACGTAGATGTGACGCACCTGATGGCAGGATTTACTTTCCGTGGCCCTCTTCTCCCGCTGTTCCTTTGTCAACTCCTCGACTACATCTGGCACCGAAAGGGACTCCTTCTCGTCGACCTCACCATCCGGATCTGCCCGCAACGGAAGTTCCAACCCGAACACTTTGAACCAGATGTAGAGGAACCGGTTATAGAAACTCTTGCGGTTGTCGCTGGCGAGACAGTCTGCGAGGTGCGCTTCGAGGAAGGCGAGTTTTTTGGGAGGCCACTGAGATTTCCGGCCCGGTTTCCCCTTCTCCTTCGGCCCGAGATTCCGTGCGCCTTTGGGGCCCTTGCGCGTCGGAAGGTCTACCGGGGACGTTGTAGGAGTTACTAGACTTGCTGAGGGAGTCGGGTTCGTGGACGATGAGGAGGTCGTGGCATCGAAAGAGGATGTCGTGGGAGCGGTAGAGGTTGCGGTCGAGGTCGAGGTCGAGGTCGAGGTTGGGATCGTGGACGATGAGGAAGTCGTGGCATCAGCAGAAAACGTGGGAGCCGTAGAGGTTGAGGTCGAGGTCGGGATCGTGGTCGTGGGAGCAGATGTGTCCGGACTAGGTGAATGCGAGGCCGCGGCGGTCCCTGGAGAAGATGTCCTGGATGGGAAAAGAACTTCACCTCTTCCGGAAGTTGATGGAATGATGGCGGCGTGACCGGATGATAACTGTCCAGAAAGACAAGCAGAGGCACCCGCAAAAAGAGCGGTAGGTGAAGAGAGTCCAGCATCGGTTTGGAGGGCTGTAGGCTGTGACGCGTCCGCCATGGTGAGGTGTCGGAAGAAAATCCCCGGTTCAGAAAAAAAAAAAAACAACCGCCCACAACGCGTCAACGCGTCAACGCGTACCGGCGGCCACGTGTGATCAGTTCCGATGCTGCCCGATGAAGTCTCGCTCTTTGCCGAGAGTTGAAGTACGGCTTATAATAGTCGTCGGCAATCATCTTGGCCATCATTCCCCACGTCTTCGCGATGTCCCCTCTCCCCTCTCGTCGTTCCCGTTCCCTCCCCTCTCTCCCTCTCCGCACTTCTCACGACAACGAGGACGATAGCGCCTCCTCGGACGAAGCGGACGATGACTCCACTTCGGAGTCGTGGGCAACGGCGTACGAGAGCACAAACTATGATGGCTCGGACGACGAGGCATGGCTGGCGGCGGCGATGAGCGTTATGACGGTCGAGGCACAGCCTGGCACTCTGGGTGCGTCGTATTCCCGTTTTCTGTATTCCATTCCGTTGCTAACCGTTGAGCAAATCCGCTAGCCGTCGTCCCCATTGATTCTGAACCTCTTACTCAACCGGCTCCTATCGCGCCTTCATCTCCCCCACTGGCCTTGTCTACCTCGTCTTCGTCTACCTCGTCCTCGTCCCCGTCCCCGTCCCCGTCCCCGTCCCCATCGTCCCCCCTGCCCTCGTCTGACGCGCGTCAGGATGCCTCACTCGTCCCCGCCCCTCCCGCTCCTTTGGCCCCTAACCTCAACCGTGCGAACAAGGTTTACGCCGTCGACACGCCAAAGTTGGCCTCGCCGAAGATTGTCAATCATTGGTATGTCTCGCATGTTACCTCGAATCTCACGATACTCACAGGCTCTCAGGGCAGAGGCTGCGGATCTTACCCAGGGTGTCCCAGGAGCGAGCGTACGGAGCGTCGTCGTCCTTACGAACCCCCGTCAACTTCGCCCCGAGTTTCCTCTCTCGGCCACGCGCCGCCCAAAGTATAAGGCGTTTAGTGCGATCAAAGCATGGCAGCCCGGTGTGTTCACAAGCTGGTGAGTTCCGTCTTTGCATTCCTACACCCCTCGATGCTGATTATTATTGGTCCATATAGGTCGGACACCCGTCTTGCGGTTTTCGGTACCCCGGGTCAGTTATACAAGGGCCATCCCACGGAGAGGGAGGCCCATATACATTTCGCCGATATGCTTCGCAAGGGTCTCGTCCACGCGGAGCCGGGATATCGTGGTCAGCGACCGCTCCCATCGCCGATCCCGACTCCTGCAGGCCTCCCTCCCCCTCCCGAATCCTCGTTGACAACGTATGTCGTTACACAGGGTAGACGCGTTGGCGTGTTCCGTGATTGGTAAGTTTCTCCTTTCATCGTCAGTACAATTCCGACAATCATACTAACTCCTCTAATCTAGGTGTGAGGCTGCGGACCAAGTGTTGTTCATCAAGCGTGCCGTCGTCGTCTCCTACAAGAACCCGCAGGATGCGCAGGCCGCTTTCGCTCTCGCGATAGCGCAGGGCGTGGTTCGGGTGCGCTCTCGTTGAGTGCGGAAGTAGCGGATAAGTCGGGAGGGGGTGGATGGGTAGGGCTGGGTGAGATGTCGTAGTAGAGGAGGACAACAGCGACGGTGTGGAGGTTGGACCATATGTGTAGTTTTATTTATTCTTCTTTTAGACCTTTCTCTTGTCGCACCCATTCTCCATCCCAATCCTTTGTACATACGTCGTTGCCATTCGCTGCTGTCTTGCTATCCTTTTCGTCTTTGTTATCTTCTTGTTCTGCCGTGCTTTGTGCTCTGTCTTGTTTGTTTTGGATGTACATACTGTCGTTTTGAGAAATGTGATATGCTGCCTATCGTTGTGATTACCGCTGTGAGTCTGGCCACCTTGCATTGGTGCGATCCCTTGAAGTCCCTCGACGAGTGGCACTGGAAAAAGAGCCACCCTCTCGCCGAGCGGAGTCCGAATGTCTTCGTAGCGTCGCTACAAACAAGCGCCCACGTCTGATGTGTCTCCGGTTGTCGGTTTCCCGCAGCGCAACACGTAGTGCACTACAATGGGCACTACGACTTCATGCGTAGCCGAATGGCCCTGTCTACCTCACGTTCGCCTCATGCTTGCCTCACGCCGCCATCGTCGACGTCCTCTAGGTTGTATTTCCCTTCTCGCTTTGCTTCCCTCTCGCTCTCTGCCCCGCTCTCGCTCTCTGTGGCTTCGTTTCCCTCTCGGCATAGTACTCCCTCACCAGTCACCATTCATCTCTACGGTCCCTTCACTTCGTTTCCCTATGGCTACTCCTGAGGTTGTACAGGAGACGGTAGGAGATGGCCTTGGTCCGGAGCAGGAAACCGACACCCCTGGACCCGAGCAGGAGATGAACGAAGCCTGCCTTGGGCTCGACAAAGTCGATTTCTTCACGATTGACTGGCCTGAGGGTAGGGTGCCTACCTATCTCAACAAGGAGTATGCGAGCTTTCTTCTTCGTGGTAGGTTTTTTCTTCCATCTTCCAGCGTCAGGTGAGCTCTTACCTCCGATGTAGCTCACCATCCCGAAGCGAAACCCCACAACAAGATCAGCAAGTACTTTCGTTTCGACGAGATCTATGAACGGAAATGCGAACACCAAATTTCGGAGGAGGAGTGGGCCTTGTATCTCGAGAAGATCGAGAAGCGAACCGCCCAACTCAAAGAACAGTACGCCCTTACCATCTTTTCACGATCATAATCCTTTTTTTTAACTTGCAACAATGCCGGTAGAGGGTACAGTAACCGGTTGGCGCTTCCAGCAGGCGAATCGCACCCAGATCCATGTTGGCAGGTCCTCGCCATCACCACCTCCAATACCAACCTGCAGTCCAGTATGCGGGCTGCCAAGGACATAGTCGAGGACGCCCTAGATGCTTTCGGAGACGAGGAAAGCTGTGCCGTCCTCGTAAAAGGCCTCAAAAACCACTTGCAGACGCGTCTCAATGTCGTTGCGGAGCTCCGCAAAGACTGGTGGGGCCCGCGAGATGATGACCCACTCCGACAGGTGTCACTGGCCAGTTGGATCCACTCCATCGCCTGCTATGCCCAGGTCCTCGATCTCCTCGCATACAGCACTGCTCACCTGGTTGCGGCGTATGAGGAAGAGGAATTAATCTTCCAAGGCCGTAGGTGCGTATCATAAACTACTTTTTGCTCTTGGTCTACGCACTGAACCCTCCGTGAAGCGTCAACGTGGACGAGTTCTACAACCAGTTCGGGTTTGATCACAATTCCTTCGCCCCCGTACCCACTTCCTAAATCACCCGTTGTACGTCGTAGTCTATGATTGCTCGCATAGGAAGGGTAAGTAATTTCTATCCTGTATCCCCCATAGCACACCGAAACATCTCACTAACCACTTCGGTTTTCAGAGGTAGAGTTGGGATCTCGCGCCTTGTTTTTACATTCTCATTCTCTTCCATTTTCCCAGTGCAGTCATGCTGTGTGTCACGCTTCTCGTATCCCCAGTTTAGTTGTGCTTTGATCTGCTTTTGTATCTACACACTTTGAACTCCCGCTTTGCTGCAATGACATATCTCTCCGGTTTTCGATGTGTGACTGCATATGATATTGACAATGAAAAGACCGCCCACGAGAAACATACAGGGTAATCAAACAAAGTCCCTTGAAATAATAGAGCTACGATGTGCATTCCGAAGACTGAATCTTGCGGTATAGGTCGCTTGTCCGGCATGAATGGACCAGGAACAAGCCCGAAGCCCCTATTCTGCCACAGAGCTTCCGACTTTGTCTCTTGATTGTGCGAGAAGACAAAATATAGAGAGGGCTCTAGGTTGTGACATCTGCATTGCAAGTGTCAGATGATTTTACGAAGAGGTGAGCAGACTGCAAGAGTATTGTACGGGAACTGAATTAACTGAGCTTCGTGATACTGAGTGGCAGTAACGGTGCAAACACAACTCTCTTTCGACGGAAACTGCTTGTTCAGAATGTAAGACAGAGTCTAATTATGTAGGTCTATTGACTGGATACTTACACTCTGACTCCCCATGACATATGCACAGTTTTTGAGTAGCCCAAATATGTATCCTCGTTGGGAAGGTCGAAAAGCATCTTGGAAGAACGCAGGCGTCCTTCGAACTGACGCGAGTTGCACGGTTTGCAGAATCCAGAACTCGAGTTTTGCTCGATTACAAAAGGATGGGCTCTACAATCGACCTCTATATTTTTTTGAGGACTTTTTGGGTGACGGTACTATGTATATAACGATCTATCCTAGCTTCACGGGCTCGGAATCAACTGTAGTACTCCAAACACACCTGGATCGGAGACACAAATATTGAGCTGTGGCACCGACGCGGCTTCGAGTAAGTACATGTTGCCAAGAGTCTCAATGGCGATATGTCGAGATGAACCTTGAAGCTTTAATGACTGAACTTTATGGTATGTGCTTGGACTTCATATTTGAATCGTACGGTCGTACTGCAGGTGTCTCTGAAAGTGTAAAGTACTTACATGCACGATTAGCGCCACCACACGCCACACACACCAACCGTATTCAAACTTGGTACAGAGCAATACACCACGATGCTGAACGTGCAGTAAGAACTCGCCGTGCCGTGGACTGATCTTTGTGTTTTTTTGCATAGCAGATCAATCCATGGACAGCGTATGCTGTTGTGCAACTTACCCTCGGGCTGACCCTGTCGTTGGCGCGATCGCGGTGACCTAGCCAAGCCGTGGGTCCAGATTTAGGGTTATATAAACTTGTCCCGCAAATTTCCCCTTGACCCCCATCTCTCGTGCAACACCCACAGCAATACGGACGCCCTCAAGTTTATTCTCCCAAAAGTGAGCCAATTTATTTGCGATCCATTTTCGTTCTATCGTCTCCGTATTGCGACCGGTGGTGCGTCTCTACGTACTCACAGACATGCCCCACGCCAAACGCGCGTCGTCCACATTCCTTTCTGAACCGCAGAAGCAGTAGGCCCGACAGGAGCTTTAGCATCGCGCGTAGTAAGTTGCTTTGTGTTGCACGGTAGCGTTGGGTTGACCGGGGCATCTCTTCAACGGTTAAATTACGCGTCTTACGTGTTTTTGACGCGTTTTTTGACGCGTCAAGTTCCATTCCTGTCTCTTTTGATCTTTTATTTCCCTCGAAGATGCATGTACTGATCACCTTTGTCTCCAACACGCTTGGATCAGCCACGAGAACGATGTCTGGCAAGACCCGTAACGGCCGCGAGTTCAGCGCGTACGTCCCGTTGCAGGTGAATGTTGATTACGAAGACCTCATGGCCAGTGCGTGGGACGCAGCCCAAGCGCACTGGGACGAAGACGAGAAGGAAAGGAGCCTGGCCCGTTCACACTCTACCACGATGAGCCGCCCTACCCTTGTCAAAGCTAGCCCACTCGGCCCCACCGCCATGAACCCTCCATCCGTCGACACCACTTCCATTCACTCTCACTCTCTCGCTGCCGCTTCCGTGGAGGCCAACGCCATCAATACTGCTCGCGTCGGCTCCAGCTCTGTCGACGCCCCTTCGACTAACTCCGTCTCCGGCTCCGTTGACGCCCCCGCGACCAACGCCGTCTCCCTCGATTCTCCAGCCGTGGACGCCACACCCACACCCACTCAGCCTGGATGGCGATCCCATAAATCCACGTACCGTTTGTCGTGTCCCTGCCCCGATCTATGTCTCTCCGACCTCTCCGACCTCTCTGGATGGGAATCTGATAGTGATGCCGGATCTACTTCCGGTGTCGAGTCGGTCCCTCAAGCCGGTACCAGTAAGAGGAGGAGGCAGGGGTGGTCGACAACGAAGCTGATGAAGGAGAGAGAGAGGAACAAAGCGAAGAAGGAGAAGAAGAAGGCGGAGGGTAGGCTGCCGAAGAGGAGGAAGAGCGAAACCCAGCGGCAGAAGAAGAAGGCGAAGAGGGCGGAGGTGAGGAGGCAGAAGACAGAGGCAGCAGAGGAAGATGACGAGTCGGGGCCTTGGCCCTCTGAGTATCGGCTTCCCAAGCATGCCATGGAGAAGTGGGGGGCGCCGATCACCATCAAGACCAACGTGGAGATGGAGACGGCATCGGCAGCCGAGGGTGCGTATGTTGGGAAGAACCGACCGGTCGATAGGGAGCATGGGACGGACGATTACACGGTGGAGGGTGCATTGGCTATGGGATGCAGACTCGAGGAATGGGATGGCGTGTAAGTACCTTGGATCCTTGCTGTCTCTCTCTTGTTCACTCATTCGTATATTTGTAGTACGCCCCACGCGATCATCGACCCACACAGGAGGTTGCTTGGGGTCCTCGGAGGTCATCCTGATGACCCGAACTGGCACCGTGACGTGCTCGAGCCCGCAACTGCTCTCCTCGAGCAGACGCGCCTCGATGGTGACGCCATGGATGCATGGACCGAGAAACAGCACGATGCTCGACGTGGTGACTTTGTTTCACTGACGGCCGGTGTATCTTATGGCGGGGGTCAGCAGGTTCTTATCCGTCCCGATCCTTTCTTTCCGACTTTGCTGACGCCTCGGCTATTGCAGGAGCCAGGAAACCTCAAGCCGGAGAAGGTCTGTCAGGTCCCTCTGGTGGGCCGCCTCCTGAGAAGCAAGCCTATCAGGCGAATGGCTGGCTTCGCAAATTGTAAGTGTTCTATCCTTCGCCCAGTCCCCTCTTTGTATGCTCATACCGCTTCAATCCAGCCGCCTTTATGACCTATGCCCCAAAGCTATACAAACAATACGCAGAGGAGACGGAGGCCCTCTATTCGCATGATCCCAGCTGTCGACGCCCTTTCAAAAACGCTGTGTGGCCCGCTTGTACATTTAATCTAGGTCCCCAATGTTGTTGTCGAGGTCATTGTGACTCCGCCAACGTCCCTCACGGCTGGTGCGCGGTTTGGGCCCTCGGAGACTACGATCCGAAGGTCGGCGGCCACCTTATACTTCTTGAATTCGGTCTCATCATCCAATTCCCTCCCGGCTCCGTCATTCTGCTTCCCTCGAGTACCATACGCCATGGAAACACACCGGTCGGCCCCACGGAGCATCGCTACTCGTTCACGATGTATTGCGCTGGGGGTATCTTCCGTTGGGTGCACCACGGCTTCGTTCCGGAGTGGGTGCTGACCGACGATCAGCATAGGGAGGCATATGGACGGCATGGGCAGCGGTGGATGGAGGCACTTGGTAAATATTCTGTCTTGGAGGATCTCGCGGACGATTATCGAGCATGTTTTGGGGGTAGCGAGGATTCGGACGACGAAGAACGGGGGTCGGACTTTGATAGCATTTCGTAGTAGCTTTTACCGTGTTCTTGATATGTTTTCTCTTGTTTTGTTTCTTGCTATGTTTACATCCCCCAATTTCATCATATTCATCGAGTTCTTGATGTCCGTAGACTGCCAGACTGCTCGTCGATGTCCACCTTTTGCGTGAAAAGCTAGAGACGAGGAAACGCACGTGCTCGTGTTTATTGATATCCCACGCTGTTCCCTCGCCCTATTCGTTGTGGCACAGTGTCCTTCTTTGCCTATGCCACCCAAAAGACGGGCTGATCTCCTCGACCCTGAAGAGCAATACCGCACTCTGACTTCCACGACCGATGTCGAGCTGCTCCAGACCTCGAGCGATGGCCGAACTCGTCGACTACGGTCTCGGAGAGACCTCATACCCGCCGACATGCCTCCCAGCGATTCGGTATTCGACATGACCCCCAACCAGGACGATCCAACTGTCTCTTCGCCCCCAGACCTTCCCTTCGATCCGGAAGAGATCTCACTCTCGGCACCGAAACCTCCTGAGATCCCTGGTCTGATTTTGAAGACCACGCAGCGCACGAAGCGTTACTTAAACTCGGTGCGTCATACCCTCTGATTTCTACGGCGAACTTGTCGGCTTACGACCCCCACCCTTTTTATTCTCTTCTGTAGGATGCTCCCTTACACACATGGCTTGGCTTCCGCTCAGAATACCTCGACGAGTTGATGCGTTCCGAAGGCCGGGGCTTTTCGTGCGGGCAGACGTATTGCAGTCGCTGCCAGAAGGTCGGTACCTTGTATCGGTGTAAGGATTGCAGCGGTGGGGATATGTTGTGCGGCGGCTGTATAGTGAACGCACATTTGTTGCTTCCCCTGCATATCGTCGAGGTACGTCTTATTAATTCGTCTTAATTCGTCTTATCGAACCTCCCTTTCTTCCGAAGGAATGGACCGGCCAATTCTTTCGCAGGGTTCGTCTCGCAAAGCTGGGCTTACGGATACAGCTCGGTCACAAACCTGGCGAACCGTGTGCATGCCCTCACCCCGGTAACAAGGACTTCATAGTCCTCCACATCAACGGAATTCACCAGGTCGCGGTCGACTTCTGCGGCTGCTACCAGAAGGTCGATCATTGGCGTCAGCTCGCGCGATATCGATGGTATCCCGCCACACCGCTCAACCCCCAGACGTGTGCGACATTCGAGCTTCTTCGGCTGTTTCAAACCATGAATCTCCAGGGCAAGATTACCGCGTACGACTTCTACCACGGGCTCGTTCGACTTACAGATGGGTATGGCATTGAGCCTCTTCCGGTATGTGTTTTCCCCGTCGGCGATGCAACGTTGCGCTTATCTTGTATACCCGTAGGACCGACTGCCTTCCTTCATGATCATGGAACAAGAATGGCGGAATCTCTTGCTCCTGAAGAGAGGCGGTCGAGGTTTAGATCCCAGCGGTGTCAAGGGCACAAAGCAGGGCTCTTTAGCGGTGGATTGTCGGGCTTGCCCCATCCCGGAAGTCAATATTCCAAAGGCCTTCGAATATGCACCAAAGGAAGAGGCGTAAGCTCTCCTGATTTTCGGACTCGATCGCCCATGTATTGATCTGTGCTTTCTAGTTGGCTCTATCGGCTCCTTCTAGCCCAAGACGCGAACTTCCGCCTCAAGGGAAGGCTTCGCAGAACATCTGTCGCCGACATATCCCTCACCAACGGCCTTGCCTACTTCGTGGAGGAGAAAGCGTACAAGGCATACCTCGATACAAGGAAGGATAAGGAGGACGATCTGGTACGTCCCTTTTAATATTGTGTCGCTGATCGCTGTGTCTTATACACGTTTAGCTCAGTAATTGTGTCCCATTCAACGCCATATCGAAGGCCAACAACAAGGGCGCAAAGTCTCTCGCAAATACCGGCGTTGGCGGCGTCTGCTGTGGAAGGCACGAGTGTATAAGACCGAACGGGATCGGGGACTTACAGAAGGGTGAGAGGTACGCACGTCGCAGTTTATCCGTCGTGGCTGTTGGCTGATGCTTCCGGTATTTTAGGTATGCGAACATGGACTACATCTTCCTCGCCAGCATCATCGGTATCATGCTCCTTGCCCTCGTCTCCTCCTACGACATAGGCTGCCAGTGGAGTATTAATTTCTGGGAACGGATGGCGGAGATGCCCGACCACCTGCAAATGGCCGACTCCATCATCAACATCCTCTTCGTCGTCCCCGCGTTCCATCTGGAAGCCCACATCGAGAAATGCAAACCGCTTTTTTCTCCGCGTTTCTCTCGCTGGCTCGCTCTGACGGAATTCGAGGCCATTGAGAGGATATGGGCGATTCTCAACGGTGCGGCGTTTAGTACCAAGGAGATGAGGCCTGGGCACCGGCGCGATACCCTCGACGACTTCTGTGGGTATGCAAATTGGACAAAGACAATCAAACTCGGTAAGTTTAATCTTTCGCTATCCTCGACCCGGTCAGTGGCTTAATTGTCTTGTTTTTCTCGCAGGCTCGAGCTTGCTCAAGAAGTTGGTCGTCGCCATACCTGCCTGCTTAGACCATCGAGCGGCTTTACGAGGATTCGAAGATAATCTAAGGAAGGAGTCCCCGGCGGTCTTTGCATCGTGGGTCAAGATGTATGAGGACTGGGAGGAAGGTGAGGACAAGTCGGTGGGCTGCCCGTTTGTGGCCCCTCGTCAAGGTAGGCCATTTATTTTGTTTGTATTGTCCTCTCACCGTTTGCTTATGTCTTCTTATATAGAGCTTACCATAGGAGAAGTCCGTCTTCGCCTCACTCAGAAGGAGCAGGAACGCGGCGTTGCGTCTATACGGGGGAGAGATGACTCGGGCGAATGCGCGTTTATTGTCCTTGGGATGGATATAGAGGTCCAGCAGTAAGTCCTAGTCGTGTTGTCTTATTTCTCAATGGGCTTTGACTAATCACCGTAATCCAGAGCACAGCTCCAGGCTGACCTGAAGAAAGCAAGGCATGCGACGCATTTGCAGCGCGCAGATCTCGAGGATCGCCGAAGCTCACTCCACCGCCGAATCCAGCGTCTTCGGGATCTGCAAACCCATCTCATGCCCGACCTTCGATTGAAGCTCGACATGACCGAGCAGGCATTCAAAGGCCGCCGATCCGACGCCGAAACCACCCCCCTCCATCTACCTTCGAGTCTTCCTCCCAATGTCCGAGCAGCGACATGCTCCAGCTACCTAATCGAAGCCGAACAGCAACTCCGTGAGGCTGAAGCCTTCGACGCACTGGAGAGTCTTCGAAATCAGCTTCGAACCCGGACTTTCATGAGCCGCTACAAGATCTCCAACATCACTGGCCAAAGAACGAATACACGGGCCCAGGAAATTCTCACGCGTGTAGAGGGCCGCCTCCATCTAGTCAAGCTCCGCTACCGGCGTGCAAGAACAGCCGTGATGTCCCTTCTCGGTGAGCAGAGGTGGATGGAGAACGGGATGGGCGCGAAGCTTCGGGAGTTGAAGGACGAGGATGTTAGGGGTCTGAGCGATGCGGTGTTGAAGGAGGCGGACAAGGCATCCGTGGAGTTTGCCCGCCAAAAGGCTGCGGCTGGGAACGCCACCCTCGCCACCACCCGGACGTTGAAAGAGGTCTCAGAGAAGCAGATAAAGATGTCGTGGATATGGACAACGGTTAGCATCCAGGAGGATGGCTCCGATCCGGGATTCAATGATGGTATGTCTCTTTTTTATTCCGTTTATGGTTGCTATTGACAAGTCGCCAGCATTACGAATCGAGTGGGCGAAAGCAAAAGCTCGGGCATCCCGTTGGACCGAGGAGGTCCAGTTGGTCTTCGAGGAGATGCGGCGGACCATCGAGTACTGTAGATGGCGAAAAGGCTGGTGGGAGCGTCAAGCTGGAGCTCGCAAGGAAGTGGCACCGGAGCTCGCTGACGGTCTGTCGGTGTATGCTCTCGAGCATGCAGACCTGGAAGATCGGATGGCCCGGAACCTAACAGAGCGGTGGGGCGTTATTCGCAGCCGCGCAAAGAGTCTCATAGACTCTGGTTTCCAGGAGAGTAACCAGGACGAAGGAAGTGGCGACTCTGTGCCACCACCGCCGGCGACCGTATTTCTAAATCTTCGGGATCTTCAGGTGCTAGTTGAGGATGACGACGACGGCGATGAGGATGATGGCGATGGCGGCAATGACGATGAGGATGATGAAGACTTGGCAGGAGATTGAGGGCTTTTTTTTCTCTTCGACTTTACTGTGTAGTGTAGATCTCCAGGGTTTTCCTCTACTTTTTGTATTTTACTCTCTTACCCTCTTTCTGTACAATACATAGGACACCCATAATAGCAAGTAGTGTGTTGAGGTGTAAGATAAAAAAAAAATAGAGCCGCAAAGAACGACACTGACGCCCAGCGCGGTATATATGTTCTTGGGCTTCGACTGAAATCGTACAAGTCGAATGATGTGGCACCGTTGTGGCCCATCTCATTCCGACACACGATCGGTCTCACCCTATATTCCCCTGATATGCTGGAGATAATGGTCCCTCAAATGAACCATGTATACGACAGTATTATTTCACATTTATACCAATAGGTGCAGAAAGAACTGCAAGGCGTAAATAAGATTTGTTCATCGGGCCACAATAACAGGGGCAGTGCCACATGGATTGTATACCTTATTTTCATGGCCTAGAGGATGTGCATATGGTAATAACAGAATGGGAGTATCAGATAATATCTGCTCTACTCATACATATGCTCCAAAACGATGCTGCAACTGAAAACAAATAATACCAAGAACTGGGATGATGTGGCCCGAGTGGCCCCCGCCACATTCCAGCGAAACAACCCCGTTCTGGCACAATAAGGTGAAAAAGACTATAATAAAATTATATACTAACTACCACTAAACTACATTACACAAGTGGAGGTAGATTGACCATCCACAGTGAGGAGGGTGAGCATAAAATGTGGGTAGCCAGGCCGGTGGGCAGCACCCAGGACACGTGGCAGCTGGTGCCAAAAGGGGCACGCGCAGAGGAAAGAGCGAGTGTAAACAAATGTAAATAAGAATGGGGAGGGAATGAATATTTCATTGTGCGATCCTCCCTTGGCGGAGTTTAAAATACTGGTGGGGCAGGTCGAGCTCATTATAATGAGAAGGGCCGCATGGAAAAGGCCCCAAACGCTCATTATAATGTGGAACGCTGACGGGATTGCCGTTGCTCATTATAATGTGTCCTGACGGCACTACCGTCACTCATTATAATGTCCACTACACGGTCGCCTGAATTCTCCTAATCTGTCTACGTCTGCCGCTAGTGTTCTGCTGGGCCGGGCTCAAAAGCCCAAGCCCGCCCATACCCAGCCCGGGTATAGTAAGCCTGGCCCGAGCCTGGCCTGCTGTAGATATGGGCTGGCTAGGCAGCGTGAACAAAGAGTGATGTAGGTATTCGCCCAGAGGAAGGGCGACCTCGAGACAAAGGCAACAGGCTTCGCTGATGGCGCCGCAGAGCCAGTCAGCAGGACGAGACGCGAAGTTTGTGCGAAGTCGTGAGTGGCGCACAGAGTCAAACTAAGTTTGCGAGAGCTTGTATCAAATCGCAAGCTCAAAGTAAGGACAATAAGTACGAATGAATCATTAATACTGCTAGTTATATACATATGTGTCGTGAGATTTTGTAAATTCAACCATGAGGAAGCTTGATTTGCATTGAATTTGCGGCTCGACCGGCGTGTGGCCCAGTACCTCAGTTGGCTGGATGTTCATAGAAAGGGAATAATGCACAGCAATGCTATCTAAAAAGACTCGTGAGTAGCTAAGTTCTCTACACAAGCCTCATGCTGTCACGACCACACCAGAACAACCATATCCTACGAAGAGGGGTTGCTGGCAGGCGATCTCTCACTCAGAAACACACACCAAGGGCGAGAAAAAGGTTGTATAGGGGGGAGATTGACGATCTCAAGACTAGAGTACAAAACAGGAAGTAGGTAGGTTTATATACTAGCCAGAACCAAACACAACCAAACCCAGGCCACAGTGGCACAGAAACTCGGAAAAGTGTGGCCCAACTGTGGCACCCACCAGGAAATAATAGAAAAGGCATGGAAATGATGAAAGGTCATGACACATGCTTAATCTGTAGTACTACAGAGTAATACATATATACATATTCAAAAACTTTCATGGACATCAATGTCGCAAAGGACGAGAAGGCTCTCGGTAGAGAAACTCAGGGCAAAAGTACATAAAAAGCGCGAGGAGCATGGCCAGGGTTTGAACCAACCACCTCATTGACAGCACGGTAGTCACAAACGTACAAATAACCATTCGGCCAAGAGTTCTTGTTCATCTACCTCACGTAATTTTCTATAACCATCACTCCACAGCTATGAATGATGTGATTTCTCCACCCCCCCAGCCCCGAGACCGACTTCAGGCCATTTAAAAATATTCACTTTTCGCAGAAAGCAACATTTTGATTTGTTAGAAATAAAAGTACCCAAAATGCCTGTGACAAGTCTCGGCCAGGCCATCTATGAGCGAAGGAAATGGCAAGCCCAAAGCGGGCGGAGGGTGGCAGAAACTGTCAGCCCGACATTCTGGTGATGCCTGCAGGCTTGCGTCATACTTTGTTCACACTCACTTACCATATGGGCTTTGGGCTCAGGCTCACATCGTTCAGAGCCTAAGCCTGACCCGAAAGCCCGGGCTTTATGAACCTCGCAGTCCCTGAAGGGCATATATGAAGTGAATAAAAACACTTCTATTGAGTGCACTGCAGCGAGAAATACACTTTAATTTGGATCAGACAGTATAGTGAAGCTTACCGGTGTCGAGGTGTGGGCCATTCTTGTCATGACCTTCCATCATTTCCATCCCTTTTCCATTATTTCCTGGTGGGTGCCACAGTTGGGCCACACTTTTCCGAGTTTCTGTGCCACTGTGGCCTGGGTTTGGTTGTGTTTGGTTCTGGCTAGTATATAAACCTACCTACTTCCTGTTTTGTACTCTAGTCTTGAGATCATTAATCTCCCCCCTATACAACCTTTTCCTCGCCCTTGGTGTGTGCTTCTGAGTGAGAGATCGCCTGCCAGCAACCCTTCTTTGTAGGATATAGTTGTTCTGGTGTGGTCGTGACAATTCTGCATCGAACAAAGGGCAGCGTGCAATGAGGCGGCAAGTTACGCCTGAGCTGCCACCGGGATCCGGGCCGGCCCTCCAGCAGCATCTCAGAGCGATAGGCGAGCACATTGCCTGGGCTTCTTTTACGCAAGACTGAGGGTCAGCCAAAATGGTGATTTACATTGTGCAATACTCAATGCCTTGACTCTCTGTTGTAGCTCGTTGACTTTGATTGCCTGTGCTCAGAACGAAAGCAGCCACCAAGGTCATCGAACGTTGGTTGAACACGTCATTTGTCAGCATGAATAAGTCCCAATTTAGGCATTAAATTTCGAAATTATACCTTGGCGGTCTGAGGAACATCGTCCTCACTCCTTTGGCCTTTGTTGACTACTGTCTCTGCGACTCCATCTGCTCAGCTTACAATGTCAAACAATTCTCCTGCGCTAAATGCCGATGGAACTCTTAAAGACGCCTCAGAGATGGACTGGTATGGTTCGGACAGCGAGCAAGCGCCTATGCCTAAAAATGGTGTGGCGGCGCCTGTGTGAGGCCGTGAAAAATTGTCGCCCGATAGAGCAGTGGCGCCTACAAAAACTGCTGCCTCTCTCGAGACCAGCCCAACAGGGAGCTCATCCTTGAAACAGCCTTTGGGCTAAACCTAACTCTTTATTTCTCGGCGTTTCTAAGGAGTGTACGCGCCTTGCAGGCATTGTGGCCCCAGGTGCCACTTCGACGATGGAGATGTAGATGGATAGAGGGATAGGCACGTGACCAGTCATGTGGAAGGCACATGATGGCATGTGACCTTGTGGTCATGATGTAGGGACATGTGATCAGGTCTGAAATGTTCTAGAATAGTCTTGTGCATGTTCACTCAGTGGTTTGTACCCATTGTGCCCATTGATAGACCCACTGGATATCCATGAAGGATTCCTGTAGTGTTCACTCGTAGTGTACAGTGAGGGCGTGCCCTAAAGGGTCAGCCCAGGATGTATATAAGAACCACCTGTATCATAGAGTAGTTCCCTAACTTAATCTCCTTTGCTTCTCGCCATACTCAGTGTGACCTTGTGTCCTGGTGTATCCAGCCCCAAGCCCACGATCTTCAGTTCACCCCCACTATTCTCTCTGGGCCAGTGCCCCTAGGACAAGCGCTCCTAGTACTCACGTTCGTACGCTGACACCCTCAGCTACAGGGTTAGGCTAGGTTTAGTTTGGTTAGGGTTTGGCTATAGGTGACGCCTTAGGTTTATTACCAGGCTACCTTAGCAATCCTGGAAGGTTCTCGCCAGCGGAAGCCAACAGCTCGCGCTGTTGAAGGACAGTGCGAGGCTAGTGGCAAAGCACAGAACTTTTTCCGCCCTAAGAGCTCAAAGTGCATTTACGCTTTCACAACTAGAATTTATCCCTGTACTTACCACGAGTTGGCAGCAATCCGAACCCTTCTAAGGCTACGGGAGGGGGCAAGTCGGTGACGAAAAAAACCTCGCGCCCACACCATTAGTTGGTTCTAGGTATGTTTCACGACTCCACTGTTAGTTTTGTTGGCAAGTTCATTCATTTCATCAACAAAGTTTGAAAGCTTCAACGGGAAAGGATATTGATCGTGCCTCCAACACTGCCATTATCGAGGGTCATTCCCCGTAAGTCATATTTACCTGCAATAATCCTCTACTCTCAGCTCGTGTATCATATCACTTTGTTTATTCACTGTGCAACCAATGACTCTCACAGTGACACGAATGATACAACGGTGGTCCGCTCAGAGGAAGACCAACTTGGCCAGACAAATCGCAATGTTCAACTTGAAGAGGTGGATGACGACACTGTACGTCCGTTGTTCTACATATTCTTACCGCTTGACGACTGAACACAGCAATTTACTACTATGCAGGGTGATCAAACCACTGACTCGGCTTCCAGCAATAGTAAAGACTCTCCATCTGATGGTGATACTGCCGATCCATCGCAGGGCTCTCCACGATTATATCCGTACGAGTACCTGTATCCGTGGGAACAAGTACCTGTTCCCTCGGAGGCTATACCTGTATCCGGTATGGCATCCGTGGAAACGGATACTTGTATCCACGAGTACAGGTACCTGCTCATCAGCGAGTACCCATGGATATTTCTAACAAACACCCTGAAGGTACTTGTGGTGTACCTGTGGATACTATGGTGAACTGTCAGGGTAGGAGAACAAGATGGAGGGGGAAAAGGAAATTACCAGGGCGAAGACTGTTGTTTTTGACAACAGGATGGTCGGCTTTCATCAAACCAAGTGGAGGGGGTGATAGATGATGTCAAAAAGCATCAATTTACCCAAAAATATCTAAAACACACAAAGAATTGAGCAAGAACCAGCAAAAGTACAGTTGTGGGGGATAGGAGGGTACTTACAGGGTCAAAATTGTCATTCTCAACGACGAGTGAGCCAAACCACGTCAAACAAAGGGCAGCAGAAGATGCGGGATATCTTTCCGCGTCGACTGAGCTCGCAACATTGCAAATGTACGAAAAACTGAGTGAGAACAAACGAGAATACATGTAGAGGGGCTAGGGGGGTACTCACTCGGTCAAAACTGCCGTTCTCGACAATGAGCGGGCCGAATTTCATCCAACAAAGTACTAGGGCCCATGCGGGACGTCGATACGCATCGATTGACCCTGCAACATCAAAAACGCACGAATAATTGAGAGAGAACAAGCAACAATACGGTTGGAGGGGGTAGGAGGTACTCACTGGGTCAAAACCATCATTCTCGACGACGAATGGGCCGAATCACGTTGAATAAAGGACAGTTGCCGATGCAGGGCATTGGGACGCGTCAATTGAGCCCGCGACATTGGAAACGTACGGGGAATTGAATGAGAACAAGCAATAATACGGTTGGAGGGGATAGGAGGTACTCACTGGGTCAAAGCCGTCGTTCTCGACAACAGGTGGGCCAAATCTCGTCAAACCAAATACAGGGGCACATGTATGACGTCAATACACGTCAATAGAGCCTGAGACATTGGAAACATACGCAGAATTGAGTGAGAACGAGCAAAAATATGATTTGAGTAGGTAGGAGGTACTCACCGGGTCAACATCGACGTTCTCAACGACGAGCAGGCCGAATCCCATCAAACAAAAGACAGCGGTCGATGAGGGACATCAATACGCGTCGATTGAGCCCACAACATTGTAAATGTACGGGGAATTGAATGAGAACGAGTATGAATACGATTTGAGAAGGTAGTAGGTACTCACCGGGTCAAAACCGTCATTTTCGACAACGAGTGGGCCAATTTCTGTCAAACGAAATACAGGGGCCGATGTGGGGCATCAAGGCATGTCGATTGAGCCCGCGACCTTAGGAACCCAGGCAAAATTGAGTGAGAACAAACATTTTTGCAGTAGGAGGGGCCGAGGGGGTGCTCAGACTGGACACCCATTCATCCGAGGACCTACCACAGCAGCATACACACAAGTACACAGATTGAGCATCACCACCATTGTCAGGAACACGACGTGTTTTCTCTGTCCAACAGTGGTGTGTGCTCGGGGAAGAGTGAAGAGAGCGAGGAGAACATTGCTGTACACACATTCAGCCTGTGGCAAGTTCCGGCATCTCAATACCAAATATGGCAGGTACTCTCACGGTTACCTGTAGCTGAAAAGCTCACATCTGTATCTGTGCATCCACCCGTGGGAACGAGTATCTGTATCCACAGATACAGGTACCTGATGGTGTGCCTTATGAGTATCCATTGCAGGTACTCACGGGTCCTGGTACTCGTGGCATGCCCTGATCCATCGTCAGCGAGGGAGCTAAACCGGAAGGAGCAACACTATTTGGTGAAGCAGCTGGGCCGGAAAGAGAAGGCAGGGTTATCCAGCAAGGGTACGTCCTTAGAAGAGATCGTCCAGATCGTCTTTCTCATTGTTACATTCTCTGGGTCTAGGGAAGAATAAGAGAAAGTTCACAACGTCCCTTCCTGATTTGGATGCGACAGATGTCAACAGTCTGCTGAAAGACCTCGCACACATCTCTGCCAATATAGGAGAAGAACGGGAATTGACCAAGCTTTCAGCTAGTGCCGACTTTGCACATTTCTTTGACAACCCGCATGCCCACACAGATCCGACCGGCACAACAAAGAAAGTGTATGATTGTAAACTTTGCAAGTGAGTATAAGCGAGTGTTTGATGTACAAGATATTCTGACCTTTCCATTGAACACCGTTCTGCAAACTGCGAGTATGTATATGACCTGACTACACGTCATCGACACTTGCAAAGTCAACACAAGGTAAAATTTTCGCCATGTTTTCAATGGTACTTTGTTTGTATTGATAGTTTGCCTCTCGACTCGGAAGCATGCATACCATTCATGGGTCCACGCTAATCACTTCGACTCCATGCTCCTGGATGATACCCACGCTCGAAAACTTGCCGCAACCGAAGCAGCCCAAGCTAAAACGAAAGTTCAAGGCACACTTGACGGAAACACATAGCCCATCGATCCTCCACCCACTCCATACTCTGATGAAACCTTTGCCAATGCTGCGATCAATTGGGCGTACATGACTAATCAGGTTTGTCTATCGCTGTTTGTCGGACCTTGTGACTAGGATATTTACTGAAGTTCGACTATCTACTATAGCCGTTACGAGTATTCCAGCATCCGAAGTTCAAGAGGATCATTGAGCTCGCCTCTCGTGCGAAGAATGGCATCAAAATACCCTCAGAGAAAGCCACACGCAAACAGATCATTGATTGTTGGTATCAGCACTTGCGTTGGCTACGAAAACATCTCAATGTGCGTCCATAAACTACGTGTTTCATCTTACATGAGATCTGATTGATACTTGTACAGGGCCCTTCTGTCAAAGGCCGAGTATTGTTGACGTGTGATGCGTACCAGGCATCAAACATTGACGGGTACTTCGCTGTCACCGCGCATTGGACAGAGTGTCCCGATGAATTAACCTGCGAGACGAAGGCTGCCATTATTGGGTTTGTCCGTTTGAACAACTCTCATCATGGTGTTCGTCTCGGACAGGCTCTCTTCAAGGTCTGTGCTTGGATTAGCATCACTCATAAGGTCTGTAATTGTTCATCGAAGCTCCTTGAGATCCCTTATGCATACTAATACCAATACTTCATCAAGGTTGGATGGGTCACCTGCGACAATGCGAAGAACAACGACACAATGTTGAAGGAGTTCGCTCAACTTATCAAGAAGGAGACGGGGAAAGAATGGGACTTCGACGAGAGGCCTATTAGGTATGTTACATCACACTTCGCTTGCATGAATGTAGTACTCATAACTTTCTGGATAGATGTCTGGCCTATGTCATCAACCTCGCCGTGCAGGCGTTCTTGAAGAAGGAGAGTTCAGCACAGTACTACAATCCAGCCGAACCCGACACCCATGAACCCAGTACAACTGGTAAGCGAGACATTATTGGCCTCGTTCGTGCCATCTCTGTCAAAGTATGTTCTGTCCGAAATTTCTCGCAGCGGTCGGGGAAGAATGAATGGTGCTCACCAACTGGCTTGTATAATAGGAAAGTTCTTCAAGCAAGCGCAAGGAGATATTTTGCACAGTACAAATAAATCTGCCACGGGCGATGCCTGCAGCATCTGCTACTGTGGCCCCTCCCTCCTCGACGACAGCACCTACACCGGCAGATGAGATAGATGCTGAAACTATCTCCATGAAGATCTTCACCCTGATACTCGATATGCCGGTGCGTTGGTCCTTGACCTACATGATGCTCATCCGTGCCTATAATCTTTGTGAGGTTTATTCTTCCTGCTACCTTTCAAGAGCTACAGTAACTCATTCATCTTGCAACTGCAGGCTGTTGACAAGTTTGTGAGTGAGCTTGCCTTCAAGGTGCGCAAGAGCAAGAAGATACAAGAGAAGCTCCTAAAACTTTCAATGACGGAGGACGACTGGTCGGAGATAAAGCTTGTTGCTTCAATCTTACAGGTATGTCTTCTTTGACTTATTAGCCTTGGTCCATTCTCTTATGCTCCACAACTGATCCTTTTGTACCTCATTCTCTAGTGTGCCGATGATGCCCAGCAGGAGTTCTCCTTGGACAGTCACTCAACCCTTCCTCTTGCGATACCTGCACTTGAAAGTCTTCATCAAAAGCTCAGTAAACGTTGCGACGGTGAGAAGTATGCACATCATCAAGAGGGTCTCTCTGCTGCCTGTGATTCAATCAAGCAGTACTATGACCTCAGTTCGAAGAGCAAGGCACCGTTTATGTCTATGGGTAAGCATCCAACGTTACATTTGGATCTCACAGCATGTATTAACGACGAGCATATATACGATAGTTCTTATACCCTCAGAGAAGCTTGATCATATTAAGAAAAATTGGGCTGAGGATATTCAGAAGGAGGTCGTCAAGACCTTGAAAGAAGTGGTCTGTCTTCTTGCTTGCCTCTGATGCTTTGAAAACCCGCACTGACCTCAGGCTGACTGTTGCATCAGTTCAAGGAGTACTATATTAAGATGTATGACAGCTTGGACCAGGCCCCCATGCGGAAGACTGGGTACAGTCATAGCAAAAAGTCACTGTGATTGCTCGACGACTCAGATGATGAGGGTGATGGCAAGGAGACAGACCATGCACCTACATCTACACCAGCACCGTTCACCCCTGCATGGGAGCGTGCTTTCAACCAGTACATCAACAGTGAAACTGACGAGGTACCGGAAGGAATGCCACTTGTCCAGTGGTGGGATGTACGTTCCATTCTACGTTCATTATTTCGGCTTACAGTACTGACTCATTAATGGCTTTACAGCTAAATTCCAGCCGTCTGCTGGTCTGGGCTGCAATCGCACGAGACTATTTGGCTATCATGGCCTCTTCTGTTTCTAGCGAGCGTGCATTCTCGAGTGCGGGTCTCACTATAACCAAGCTTCGTAGCTGGCTTCAGGGAGATATTGTGGAGGCTCTTCAGGGGCTGAAGGCCACGTTACGCTCTGACTTTGTGATGCATGATCCCGAACCATCTTCCATCCTTGAAGAGCAGATGATTCTTGACTCGGAGGCTGAGGGAGAGGATGATACACATGCAGATTTTGCACCGGGCGGTGAGTCTGTGGAGAATATGCTTATCGAGGTTGAGAGTGAAGGAGATAGGGGTGAGTGGGTTGATGTTTAGTTCACGGTGATCTAGATACTACATCTGACCCAGTTCTGCAAATCTCACCAATGTGCAAATTCCGACTTAGATGCTCGAGTTCTCCTTTGTATGCCTTTAAAATATTTTAAGATACATGTCTGCTATGCATAATAGTTCCCTGGTACTTTGTTTGGCGACATTGAATGTTGCACCACTGATATTGTCAAAGATGACGAAAATATGCAGATTGGACTCGCGTCGCGTGTCGGAAGTCTTCCGGCCCACTCAAAGTGCAGATTTGCATTACGGGATGCAGGCACTCGTCGTCGTGCTCGACGTTGACAACCACATTCTCCCTTTAAAAAAAAGCTGATAAAATCGCAATACATAGCTTAGATATATGGGCATATGACTGGGTAAAAATGTAGCTCAAATAGAGCATGATCTTTGTGCACGGGGCCCTGGTCTGCAGAATTTGCAGAACTGGGTCAGATGTAGTAGACCTAATGTCTATGTATCTCTTTTCTACACCTATAAACCTGGACTTAAGCCCAAGCCTGACCTGACCAAGCCCAAGCCCGCTCACCAGGCTTGGGCTCGAGATATTCGAAGCCCAAGCCTACTAATACCCGGCCCAAGCCCTGGGCTTTGAGCCCGGCCCGAGCCCGACATACACTATCTGCTGCCTCAGACTCGGAAGGACAGATAGCAGCAACACACACGCTTCACCACACGAGCGCGGATTCTGCCTTTGCCTCGATGCTGAGTCTCTCAATACCTGAAAATGTGCTCACCTATCTGTAATATCTGTATCTATTTCATACTACTGCATAAAAGAGATTGGTCGTTAGTAGTGTTTGAAAGTCAGGTTATGTGACCAAAAAATAACCGTGACTGAACCGAGACTAGAACCGGTCATAAAGTGACCACAATTGGTGGTTCAATTGGTGTGACTGTATGGTCGGTTACCAGTCTCAGCTTTTCTTGTAATAGATGAGGACCAGTTGCGACCAGTTGTGACCGGTCATTTTCGAGTAATTTATGCTATATTTCTTCAGCATCTGAGGGCCTGAACAGACATAGAACAGAGCTTGGAACCGACCAATTGGCAGCTTTTGTTATTGTTCAGGAAGGTATGGAGATAGCCGTTGACAAGCGCGTGTTCCTTACATCTTGACACTCTGGATCACTGGTTGTCTTATAGAACATTTCCATAGCTAGTAGCTACTATGCCCAGCTGGAAATTGCAAATAATATATCGGGCTGGTCAGCCACCCCCGATGAACTATACAGCTAGAGCTGGAGCCCAATCACTTTGGTTCAGACTTGATTGCCTCTGCCTCGGATTTCTCTATGCCTCAGTATTGTTCGCACTGGTGTAAACTCTCCATTTTATTGCTTCTGCCATGTCCAAATCCTCATCTAAGAGGACTGCTATATCCTCCAACAAGTCTCTAACAGAGAAGGACACTGTTGATCTCGCAGAAGCTCCGACCTCTGTCCCTGACAACAAAACTGGCACTGAGCTAGGTAGAGGCAAGTGGTCTCGGAAGGCACCTAAGCCTGCAGATTACTCCGGCTGCGAGTCTGAGGTGCCGAAGAAGAAAAAAGCCCGAGGTAGTAAGAAGAAGCGCAAAGCAACCCCATCGAGCTCCTCGTCCTTGGAGGACAAGGACAATTCTCAGGCATATGCCCGTGACAGTTCTGGTGATGAGTCGGTAGGTCCTTCACTCTCATACACACTCGCTCTCTAGTATCTTCATCCCATTCTTCTCTACAAGTGTGCTTCCTCTGTTGATGCTACACCATTTTTATATAGCATGGTTCTCGACTTGTGGAGCACCATCAAACTGCTATCCCCGTTGCCAAAGTTGTCAAAGCCGACAGTGCAAAGGATCTGCTCACTATATTCTCAGCTCTCGTTACACAGACATTCCGGTCTTCGAAAGGAGAGGAGATTTTGAAAGGTCGTTGGTGAACTGTTTGCAAGTGCGTAACTTCTTCCTCTGTCTGATGACGACCATCACTCCATGCTCATGTTAATTTGTATCTTGCCGAGTCAGGGAGGACGCTGACTATGTAAAATCCCATGGCCTCCACAAGTGTTTTCTCACTGGGAGCAACTCTACCGCACGTGCCCACATCTGCCAGCACTACAACCTTTACAAGGAACATTGTGAGAAGGATAACATTCCCATGTCCGATCACTGCATGCCCGCATCACTGAGGAGGAAATGCGCTGTCGCTGCCGCTGATAAGAAGTCGAAAAAGAAGCAGTCAACTCTTTTCGATAGTTCTGGGATTGAGGTATTGACGGGGCCTAGGGAGTTTACACGTGAGGGTGCACTTCAGGCTGTAGCGAGGCACATTGCGTGTCATGATCAGGTTCATTTGTTCACTCAACCAATTGCCAGCCAACTTCTTTCATCCACAACTGTCATGCTGAACTTTTGCCTGACCCAGCTGCTCTCTTTGGCCGATGAAACAACATTTCGTAACTGTATGGTTTCAATGTGGCCCAAGATGACACCACAAGACCTTCCCACTTTACACAATGTTGTTGTCTATATTCACAATGAGCATGGTAAGCTCCTTGAATTCAAGGTCGACATCACTGTGTGCTTTTCTTTCATCGATTTATACAATGTTCTACTTCTAATATTCTCTGCACAGAACACCCCAGGAAAGGTCTCTATCATGACCGATACCTGGACAGTTGACACCACAAAGATGTCGATCATGGGGATGACTGGGCATTGGATCCAAGTCCTTCCAAATGGAAAGTGGGTCTTTTGGTCAGCAGTACTTGGATTCTGGTCGCTCTCAGAGGCACACGATTGCAAGAACCTTGGACGGTATCTTGTCGGCATGTGTGAGCATGTAGGAATCATGACCAAGGATGATTCAAAGGTTTGTCCATCTTTCTACTATATCCAGCACTTCTTCTAATTGTTAATGTTTGACCCTGCAGCTTGGAGGATTGACTGCAGACAACACTAGTAATAATGACACAACAGCCACTGCAATCGGAGATCAGATCTCCAAATGACTGGATGCAGAGATCTGGGATGCTGAAGAGGAACACTACCCGTACGTTTCGAGTTTGTTTCAACCAAACTCATGCATCCTTTGACAAGTTGTTTCTATAGCTGTCTAGCTCACGTTGTTAATCTCGGTATCGTTGATTTCATGGCATACATTACAAAGATTGCCGCTGTCGAGACGACTGCTGCGATCTAGGAGTACGACCCCGAGGATCCCGGCAACAAGATCATGGGCGGTGCACTTGATGTTGTCGCCATGATTCGCACACGTGCTGTCAAGGTATGCCTTGCCTTCTGTTCCTGCGCGATATGATTTTAATTATGCCTCAAATATGAGATCCAAGCCTCCAGTACTGGTTTTCTTACCACAAGGTGCACCTGAGCTCGTATTATTTTCCTACATCTACATGTCTAACAGAAGAATAACAATAATTTAGGTGTAATCTTGTCCGCCGTTCTCAACGCTCCGGGAAGCTGGCATGATTCTAAGGTTGCCTGGCCAGTTTTCGACCAGTACCTCAACAATACCCCTCAAGGCTTCTACATCATTTCTGACACAGAATTTCCTCGAGGCGCTTGGGACATCGAGGGAAGGATCAAAGCTCCTCTCAAGACAGGGCAAAGATTGCCGGCAGACAATAATGGTCGTGAGGAGATACTTCGTTTCGGCCGCCAGCTTGTATCGTTCCGTCAGTCAGTGGAGTGGGGTATGCATCAGATATAGGTAAGCTCATGCACACACGGCATTGCAAGAACTTATTCTTATGACATGTTCAGGGATCCTTCAGAAGACTTCGCCTCCCCCTTGATATCACAAACAATGATGAACGGGCAGCCCTTCTCGAGATCTGTTGCCGCTTGAATAATGTCCGAGTAACATGTGTAGGTGTCAGTCAGATTCAGAATGTGTATGAACCATTGTGGTGAGGAGAAGATGACAAACTCTGGTTCAGTTTTGAGTGTCTATTGTTCACGGACTTTCAGCAGAGAGATCGTATTGCCCGTTACCATCATGTAGCTATCGAGGGTTGAAACTCTTATGCCTGTTTTATGCTCATTTATATTTTCCTTGACTACCAGTACAGAATTTTCCTCTCTACTATACTAAGAGGATAGAGGAAAAGAAGAGGGAACTGCCTGGCATTGTTGCGGGCAGCTCACGAATGAGCTGAGTCAGCTCATATGTGGTGCAATGTTTCGTACTCTGCACACTCTGCAAGCACATAGAGCTTAAAATGGAAATTAAAGCTATTCTAGTGTATACAGTTGATACAACATATCTTGAAGTACATACATATGCATTAAAACTGGAGTTACCGGTGACTTTGAGAGACGTAGCAAGTGCTTGGTGTTGGGTGGAGGCAGGCCCTTGTGTGGCGTGGGCCCAATATTGCCGAGGCTCGATGCCCTATAAACGGTCACCTAACCTCTGACAACCCTTCATCTTCTAAAAGTCTCCTGGATGTGTAGTGCATAGGGATATCTCAAGAACTGGTAAATATCATCTCCATATATATATTTTCTAGCTACAAATAATCTAGAACTGATGGGGTGTCCTCGTTATTTTTCTACGACATTATGTGGTATTTTAGCTGAGCTTGGTCATCATTTCCGGATTTGAACATCTGGTGCGAACTTTTTTTGGGCCAATACCGATCTGTGTGGAATCTGTGTTGGATCTATGTCCAAGGCCCAACACAGATTTTATTATGGAAAGTCATCCAATTACTATTTGAGAGGGATGGAGGAGGAAGATTGGATGCACCAGATGAACACAGATATGTATCGACAAGCGGACACCGGGAGTGTTTTTGTATGGGTTGAAAACCCTCATAACCGTTGAGAAACGCAAAACAAGACGGTTGGAAAGAATGGGGTAAGGTAATTAGCGTCTGAAGGAGGATGAGGAGAAGAATGGGACGCACCGAATGAACGTGGACCCGTATGGACAAACGGACAATGGGATCGTGTTTGGAGGGTTTGAAAACCCCCAGAACCACTGAGAAATCCGAAAGGACACGATTGCAAAAAATACTGTAGTCGAATCTGTACTCGGGGGGGTGGTGTGAGCTATTATCCCTCGGAAAGTGAGTCTTGAAGGTTTTCCTTTCTCGTCTGAGGTTTGATAAGAGCTGCAATGGGAGTCAGTGGGGACACAACGTGTCAAGCACCACCTATCCCATCACACACTTGGTGGTCGACGGCAAGAGAGAGGATGAAGCGGATGAGCTGGCAGCTTCTTCAGAAGGCACACAGCATTCCAGCAATTGCCGGATTGATCCTCTGACCCATGGGTGACCCGACCACGGGTCCGGGTCAGCTTCGGCTTCCAAATTGATGACCCGGACCTGTCTCGTCCGGGTCTGGGTACATTACCCGGCCGGGTTACCAATATCCGTGTCATTCCCTAGAGGAATGGCTACAGCAGATAGGTAGAGCGTATTCCATCTCTACTCACCCTACAATCATCTCTGCACATATTCCTCATTTTATCCATACACATCCCAGCCTATTTTACTATACACGCCCTACCTACCTGCCGTAGCCATTCCCCAGCACCCTACCTTATCCCCTACCCCCTACCCTACCCCCAGGACCACCCCTATACACCCTACCCCATCACCCTGGGCCACTCGGCCACCCAGAACCACCCCCAGCCACGCCAATAGCCAGCCTAGTACTGGCATTTATTATTATTTTTCCTGAGGAACAATTGTAAAGGAGCTTGTTCTTACTAGCAGGTAGAATTATAATTATGCTACATGTACTGGTGTACCGTCATTTTGTCGACAGTCTCCGTCTTCTCGGTATTGGCACCTACAGCCTATCATAATGTGAATCAGTCGGCGAGCATCAAAAATATATTGATGACGATAGGGAACCTACCGGGTAAGGCAGAATGTAGGCATCCAACACAATAGAGGTCCCAAACGACGAATTACTGCTGATGTTCGAAGCCTGAGCTGCATCTTGTGCATGCTGGTTCCTGCTAGAGGACACCACACCATTACTGCCTCTCTTGATGGAAGCACGTCTACGATTAGACACTGATGGAACAGAAAATACCAAGCTGGTGGTGCAATTGGAATAATGAGCGACTCTGCCCCGGTTGGTATCTGCAACTGACGGCTGGACGGCCCATTGTGTTGCCGGAGGTTAGGTCGGCGTTTACATCAAGACATGTAGCTGGATAAATGTGGAAGGATTGGGGTTGGCGGGAAATGATGGCAAACTAGTAGACAGCGAGGAATTTGCTGCAGGCTGTGATACTGCATGCTGGGGCGACAAAGTCCCAGGACTAGAGTAGTGTTTGGTCAACAAGGATGATCACACAAACAGGATCTCAAGTGACCTACATCATCTCTAAATCACAGGAGTGCACCACATACTGCTGGACACACACGCATGGCTCTCGTCCGGAGAACGGTAGATGAGGTAGATGAGGCTGGTACGGGTTCTCAGCATAAGCAAAGATGTTATATAGATGGAACAAGGAAGAGAGAAGCAGGTATCGCAACAGAACGGCAAAAAGCTTGGCAGAATGACCCGGGTATACCACCTCTCAGCGGGAACGAAATCGCTGGCAAGGCAAGGCACAAAGAGTGGCTGTATATACCATGTTCACACCAGCATACTGAACCTGGATGTAATGGCTAAAGTATTATTCAGGTGATCGTCAACTTTTGAAGAGAGCGTAGATATAGAGACGTACCTGGCCATCCATTGGATCCATATAGGTGCAAGAGCAACCTTCAACTTGACACTCTCCGTCATGATGAGCGTGGTTATCCATGATAAGAAGATATTTATGATGTCAAGTGAAAAGAATGATGGAAGAGTCCAGGTTGAGCTCAAGAGTAGATGCAACAGGTGAGATATTATAAAGTTGACAGTACAATATGCTGTATATTGATCGATTCAGATGGAGGAGCAGCAAGGATGGCAGTGATTAGGCAGAGCGGGGACACGAGAAGAAAGATGGGGGTGAGAAAGCAATGCCGTCAGACAAAGACCAGCAAGTCTTAAGGTGGGCCTCCATACAGAGCCACTTCATCAACAACAAGGAGTTCAATATCGAAGTCACTCGACTATGCCGAGCAATCAAGTCAATATGCTCCAATAAGAGAGTGGATTGCTTAAAGTAGACATACAAACACCAATATAAGATGATTCTTCCGTCACCATCTGTCGGAGTGCCCTACGCTGAAGGCTCATATCGCTATCATCCCACGGGATCCTCAAGGAAGCATCTACACGGCAGTGATTCAACTCCAGGCCCCACTGCAAATGAATCAAAACAAGTGTGGCAAATACATCACAGTTGTGGATGTTACCCTGTTGTGGCATCTGTGTTTCAAAGTTGACAATATGTCTGAAAGAGACAAAGAAAGAACAGACCTTGAATTGAGGATTGATCGTCCATTCGTTCCAGACTGGCAACTTTTGTTCGCAAAGAATGGCAAGTTTAGATATCCAAGCCTTGAGGATCTAAAATGGGGATCAGATGCAGATAATATGGCCTAATCTGCGCACAGACCTTGACTTTGGCTGCTTACCCTGATGTGGACCGAGCAAGGCTATCATACATCTCGATACTCCTTACTTTTAAATTAATGGCTCCAACGATCCAGTGATTGTCATCGACGTGCATTGGGATTAGAATACACTTTCAGTGTTGAAGTAGTGTTTGCGCTTTGAACTGTACAAAGAGGTCATTAAAGATCAAGCTTGAAAGAGATCACAGAAATCACCTTCAAAGGTCCAAACCTCTACACTCGAGCCCACTTTGCATCCCCACCCGGTGCCTATGCCTCACATAACTTGGGAAAGAAAAATGTGCTGAAAACTAAAGTGTTAAGCTCGCCCTAGAGCCTGTCCACGAAGAAGTTGATGATCTCCTCATTGAGATCATTCAAGCCATCGAGTCTGTTGATATTGTGCTGAAGGAGATGTTGGTTCCTCTGGAGGGTCTTGACGGAGTCCTGTGGACAAAGAAGTCTCAGTACAGAGTACATCTGCTATGAAAGCATGTACTTGGAACTCTGCGATAAGCACATCAATTCTCAACTTGTCACCTCGCAACGGCAAAGAAAAGTCCTCAAAGCCACAGTGTCCTTCAGGACGACTCCACACAAAATCCCTCTCAGTGATTATGATCCAATGCTCCATACATGTGATCTGATTGATCCAATGCAAAACCTTGCACATTCCATGCTTGGTCGAACCAGGAGGGGTATGCAGGCAGTTCTTGTCTTCAGAAGACATGAAAAAATCGATGTGGTCCTGGACGATGGTTAACGTGATTCAAACACCATCTAGATTCTGCAGTTGAAAACCACAGTGCAAGAGGCCTTTGAAAGCACCCGGCTGTGGATGGTCCCAGATCCACACTGCGAGCTCGTCGATGGTCAGCATCTCGCAAATACCAGAATACACCATATCCAAGGCCAGCTGAAGTTTAGCAAGACCAGTTTGAAGGCCTCCAAGATTCTGGTGCTCGATGAGCCAAACCATGTCCATCCATGCCTGATTAGGCTGCACCAAGTAGTCCTTGTATGCCTCGATGAGCTTGAGTGAGAAACAAGGGGATACCTTCTGATAAAGTGAAAACTTGGATGGATTCGAGAAGGGGGAGGCATGGATGATTGGATGCAAGATGCAATCCTTTGCTGATTTAGTGGGGAGCAATTTGAGAAGATTACTGGCCGTTCTGTAGATAGTGCAGCTAGATATTTGCACCATCCCCTGCTGCCTGAGCATAAGGGGGGAGACTTGCTGTCAGGATTGACCAGATTTGTCTCAATAGAGGTACAGCGAGAGAGGATGTCTTGGTTGTGAAGGAGTGCTGAACCGAAGGCCTGAAGAGCATGTGAAAGAGTTGTGGCGTAGTATGTGTCGGGTGATTCATCATCTTCGGGGTCCGTTCGCCGTAGAAATTCCTGGCCTGTCATAATCCACAATGATGTGTTTGACAACCCCTCCGGCCCCAACAACTTCTCTCTTGGCAGCTTCTGCTTGAACAACCTCATCCCTATATTATCTGCCCGAACAGGCGATATCTGATCCATGCCACCCGAAGATCACTTCCTCCTCTCTCCCACCTTCTCTCCTCCTAGAAATTTCCGCAGCATACTATTTCCCGCTGACATGCCAAGCCTGTCATTTTCCGCCTACCTGTAGATCAGACCCAGCCCACCAAAATGTGGCATCTCGCCATTCTCGAGAATGCTCTTCCTCGAGATCACGACTTTTGGACCATTGCCACGATAACCGACCTGCTGTGCATGCCCCTTGCCTCTCACATGCTTCTCTGACATTTCTCCTCAATGCTTGGCCTGCTCCTCCATAAATTCCTTGTATGAAACTGATCTTCCCCAGAGAAAGCTGAGAGCATGACGATGAAAAAAGGCACCCAGATCCTCAGCAGCTTCATGGCATTCCTCGGTAAAGTGCTCCTCGATTCAAGTGCGTATGGGTCTGAGAGTGATAGATAGAGTGCTGACGATGTGCTGGTCTATCCTGTCAGCTTCGATGAAAGTATGCGACTGGAGAAGAGTTAGAGACCTGACGAGGTTATCAACCCGGGAGAGTAGAAGATCGATTCATCACATGCAACGTCGACAAGTTGCTGGAGTACCGCCTCACAACAGATTGAACAGGCACGCGCAGAGTCCCACGATTGTTTGTTCTTCGGTCCATTAAAATAGATGTCTGCCTCTCGAACTGCAGAAAAGACAATCTTGCACTCCATCAGATCTATAAAGCAATCCTTGACAGCCTTTCGAATCCCCCTGCCACCCATTCCCAATTCTGTTTGGCAGATCTGGTAGAAGTACACCCTCCTCGTTGTTGTTGTTGTTGTTGTCGTCTACTTCCTCTGTCCCAGTCTGGACTAAGCCAAAAAGATCACTTGGAACTCGTGCCAGGGTATTTGGAGAAGAGACCTGTGAATCTTGCGTGTCCTTGAGAGAAGGGCGAGAGGGGTTCTTGCGTGTAGAGGACTTTCTGTAGCTCTGGGTACGAGCTCGGCGATGATTGTAGACGTACTCGATTATTTGTATGAGCAAAGGAACATATTCGGGGTAAGTGGCGCACAGAAAAGAACATTTAGAGTCGACGGATCTCAAGTCTCGACGGGAAACCTCCTTGGTATCCTTGATATCGACTTGATCTAAGGATGATGTCTTCTCGGCAGCATCAAGAAGGACATCGGTAAGGGTTGGAAGATCATGTGTGATGAACTGGTAGATGACGAGGAGGCAGCAGCAATGCTGCCAGCGAAGAATGCCTGCGAGAATGTCGATTTTGAAGTCTTTGATCTGGATTGACTTTAGAAGGCCGATAGATTCTTGAAGACAGCTGAGCGTCATGCGCATCGATGCCGCCTGCGAAGTGGGGGAGGACTTACACAAAGAGGAAGGAATAAAATAGAGAGGGTTATAGTCGAGGTAGCTGCTGAGCATATTTTGATGCTGCATGACCTTCTGGATGTTTTATAATACACTCGTGATCCCCTTTCCAGGCTGTTTGTAATGTTCAGTTGGTTGCCCTTGTACGCTATGGCCTACAGCGATCAGATTTTGCAATGTCTCCCTTAAGTAGTTTGCGTCAAGGACGAGAGAGAGCCGGTCGAGGTTGTAAACACGTGTGGGATTGCCAATCACATCTGTGGTCCTGGTATGATGCTACTGGGGCGGCTGGGAGGTGATTCTGGGTGGCCGGGTACCCCAGGGTGATGGGGTAGGGTGTACGGGGGTGGTCCTGGGGGTAGGGTAGAGGAGGTAGGGGATGGGATAGGGTTACCGGTGAATGGGTAGGGCAGGTAGGTAGGGTGTATGTAGTGAAATGGGCTGGGTTATGTATGGATAAAATGGGGAATATGGGCAGGGATGATCATAAGGTGAATAGGGATGGAATAGGGGCCAATACAAATACGGAAAAATGGTGGAATAATAGTAGAGATGCTAGAGTGGGGGTACTGGATACCTGGGGATAGATTGGTAGGTAAAACAGGGTGATCTGGGGGTATTTTGGTAACTTTGTGAGTTTTGTGAATTAGGATGAAAGGATCACATTGCCGGGTGTCATTTCAATGGGATTGACGTATAAAATGTGAATTGTGGCCCAATTTTGGCAACATGAAGGGGGTTGATTCTGGGGGTTCTGACTATTTGACAAACATTGATAAATGTGTAAGATGGTGGAAATCGATTTTGGAAGGAATCGGACCATTCGTTCCGAGCATAGTGAGCACTTTAAGCGGTATAGGCTAGCTGATCACTTTGGATCTTTTTTTGGACATTTACCTTTTGATACATGGAGCTTTTCCCTAACAGTGATTGGTCCACAAATCTCTCAATTATATTCAGAAATCCAAACACGCTGCAGAATTAGCCATTTACGGCCACTGAAAATCGATGTTTTCCATACTTACTGTATCACACAGACCGGTTCTGATATAAGGGATCACCCAGAAACATTTATTATGATGTATCCTAGCCTTGTATCACACCGCCCTACGATCACACTGCATTTGAGAGAGATCTGGGCCATATATACCCCCAATACTACCTGTGCACCTGCTCCCTCATCAAAAACATTGTTTTGCTTTTTTCACTGACTACCAGCGACGGTTCTGGTGCTGGTTCAATGTTTATACATATTTAAACTAAATTACCACAATAGGAACGGTGCCAAAAACTCGTAAATTGGTGTTTCTCTGATTATACTGTGGCCCAACACACTGTTTTACCCCCTCAGCGCCCCACAATTAGTGCAGGACCATTTTGACTAATGTTGCACTATAGATCGATTTCCTAAACAACAAAGTATATTGTCCAGTCATCCCTTCAACACCACCAAACATTCTAACCATGATAATATCCCCAGCATAGATGTTCTCCTCCTCCTCCCCTAGATGCAGCACCACTACTAAGGTTACGATCATTGTTTTTGTGTTCGTAGTGCTCCCCGTCACTTAATATTGATATAGGACTACCCATAACAGCAAAAATCAAGGCAATCAAACCACTATAATTGCCAGCTCTGGCCTGTCCACCCTCTTTCACCTTAATAGGGCAATATCTTGCTGACCGTTTACGCTCTAACTTCGGAACGAATGGTCCGATTCCTTCCAAAATCGATTTACACCATCTTACACATTTATCAATGTTTGTCAAATAGTCAGAACCCCCAGAATCAACCCCCTTCATGTTGCCAAAATTGGGCCACAATTCACATTTTATACGTCAATCCCATTGAAATGACACCCGGCAATGTGATCCTTTCATCCTAATTCACAAAACTCACAAAGTTACCAAAATACCCCCAGATCACCCTGTTTTACCTACCAATCTATCCCCAGGTATCCAGTACCCCCACTCTAGCATCTCTACTATTATTCCACCATTTTTCCGTATTTGTATTGGCTAACCGTTCTATCCCTATTCACTCTATGATCATCCCTGCCTATATTCCCCATTTTATCCATACATAACTCAGCCCATTTCACTACATACCATCAGGAAATGCAGACTTTGCTATCAGCCTGGTTACAAGGTGTCATTGCTATTATATTTGAAAAATGAATCATAGCACCTACTAGCTGTGATAGCAAGGTGGGGTTTCTATCAGGAATTTGATAGTCATCATATTTGCCTATAGCTCTTATAGGAAGACCACAAATTTCTACTTATAAACCCCTGTTCAAATTGATTTAGAAAACACCCTCAGTTATTCAGACTCAGATATGGAAGCTCAAATCAATTTTCATTCAGATTATCTACTCTAAATACAGCAGGACTACAGGAAATGTACATGAGACAGAGAAGAAGCCTGCAGACAGGAAAAGAGAGGGAGAAATACAGAGAAATACAGAGAGAGAAATACAGGCAGAGAAATACAGGCAAAGAAATACAAAAGACCTGAGAGGGAGACAGAGAGAGAGACAGAGAGACAAGAAGAGAGGGAGACAGAAAGACAGAAAGACAGAGACAGAGACAGAGATACACACATACATATAAATACCTACATATATACAAATACATACACAAACATACAGAGAGAGAGAGAGAGAGAGAGAGAGAGAGAGAGAAAGAAAAAATGATAGGTAGAGATAGACAGAGAGGATACACACCTAAGCAGACTGTTCAGTCAGAGGCTAAATATGTTGGATGCTGTGATAGTGTAGTCAAAGTCAGGTCAAGGCCAAAAAAAGACTTGGGAATATGCACCATATAATCCAGAGCACACTTTAGTATAAGCAGGAGAGGTGGTGAAGGAAGGAAGAGAAGAGGACAAATGGTGAAGGGAGAAGAGGGGAGAGAAGGAATGATGAGAGAAGAGAGAGAAGAAGTAGAGAAGGAAAGAGGGCGATGCGCGTTGCTTTTAGCCAACAGTAGCCAAACAAACCCCAACATGAGACGTGGCACAGATGCAGAGGTGAAGGGAGGCCACAAGAAAGAGCCAGGATTCAGTTTTATGCCTAATTTGGGAAAAGAATGAGTCAATGCTGCTGGACGCGTGGAAAATCCGGAAAACTCCGAATTTAGCCCTAAGTTAGGGTTTATGGCGCCTCTGGCCTCTGCTGGCTCTGAGTCCTTCCTTAGTACTGCTTGGCTGCTTGCCCTAATCTCTGGTGCTTCTTGGGCTCTGTTTCCTCTTGGATGCTCCTGGTTTCATGTCTACAGAGGCCTAGGACTTTGGCATAAAGCTTACAAAGCTCTGGAGCTGGTTATAATAGTGGGTAAAATTCGCTTTTTTTGTCATTGTGGCCCATCTTGCCAGCTCTCCTATTTCTCTTCCTTACCATCTATCAACATCAACTATAGCTAACATCTCACTCCTACCTATTTACTCTAGACCTAGCAAGTTTGAACCAATTTGGTCCATGGGATAAGTCTGGGCAGCAATAGGGCATGAAATAAGAGAAAAACATCTATAAACTGTGCTTGAAATTGACGACTATCAGATCATGTAGAGCGGTGATTATTCTGTACAGCTTGTTACCTTGTAGTACAAATCATTCTATTGCATTAAAGTGAAGCCAACAAAGATGTAAAATATCTATAGGCTTGATTACCTCCTAAGAGGTAGCAAGATCTCGTTGAACTCAGGAGATACAGTACATTACCTAGTAAGACATTATATAACTGCTATGAGAGCTATAGTGCTCTCTCCTATTTGGGCTCAGGTACCCAGTGATCTATGACAGTCCAGTACCGGCTATCAGAGTGATGAAATTATAAATAGAAGGGCATGCTTCTATATAGCGAAAACATAATTTCCTGATGACACCCTACCTACCTGCCCTACCTACCTGCCCTACTCATTCACTGGCACCCCTATCCCATCCCCTACCCCCTCTACCCTATCCCCAGGACCACCCCCGTACGCCCTACCCCATCATCCTGGGGTACCCGGTCACCCAGAGGCAACACAAGCACGATCTCGCTGCACCTGAGTATCGAGAGGAAGCTTCTTCGTAAAGCTTTTAGCTAGTCCCCATACTTAGGCATGCCTTGGTCCAGTGTTATGTCCCAGCTGGGTCATCATACCAGGCCTGGTTGGCTACAGTCCCAGTCGAGACCATCAGACACGTATTGTGGTGTATACAGAAAGGAGCTGGACTCACATGTACACCCCGTCGCTCTCTATTCTCGATGACAGAGTCTGCAAAAGAATAAAACTGTAATGCAGTGGAATTGCTAGCAGATGTGATCTGTCCTATATCACAAAGGATGATTAAGAGTGGCTTAAATGTTTTGAGGCCGTCTGGTATATCACATATCAGCAAAAACAAGTATGAGTTAAGGACAAGGAGACCCACTCTTAATAACTTCTTGGATAAAAACAGTAGATCAATCCTCGGGGACGGTATAATAACCGTGGGCCTCATTGACAACAGTGTACAGACCTAGTGGCGGAGATGTTGATTTGTAGTCGAGAAGAATCGTTCTTTTGGTGGGGACACCATCTGTTACTGGCGACCGTACAACTACCTCAATGCCTGCCTGTTGTAACCACTCTGTAAACCCGGGACAATTGTTGTTCGGTCGGAGGAGGCTGAGTTTCTGCCCCTGTTCGAGTCATTCAAGCCTATGATATTAAAGATCTCCCTGTAACAGCGCCGCCGCCATCAACATCCTGTGGGCTGCCGTCGTAATAGACAGGCTCCCAACAAGCGTCATGCAACAGCCGTGGCATGCACCAGTACATGTAGCATAATTATAATTCTAGCTGCTAGTAAGAACAAGTCGCTTTATAATTGTTCCTCAGGAAAAATAATAATAAATGCCAGTACTGGGCTGGCTATTGGGGCGGCCGGGGGGTGGTTTGGTGTCAATAGTTTGGTCAATGATTCAGGCTAATATGCCTAGCGAGGTGGTCGATCCAATGGAAGATGCTCTTGACACTGTTGGGATGCCCCGCCTGGCGACGAGATCAGTTAAAGACGGTAAGGATTTATCAGATCACCAAATCCACTGTTACTCAAGTTGGGCTTCTAGGTCTTGGTTATGAGTTTATGATTGGTGACCAAAAGTTGGAATTTTCCCTCACCCCTCGTGCACCACCTGAGGCCTACCTTGTACAGGCTTATTCTGCATGAGTTGAAAATTACTGACATGTGTGTAGTTACTGACGGCCTTTTCAGCCGTGTTCATACCAATGGTGTGCCCGACGGTATACCCAAGGCCTTTTCTCTTCATACTGGTGTCTACGACCTTGTATACAAAGATGAAACAGAGCTTCCAGCCTCCAAGATCACTGATGACCATCCATTCTGCATTATGACCCGTTCTCAAAGGTGACGTGCAGAGAGAACTGCAGCCTCACTGGATTCCACAGCCCCGGTTGTATCTCCCACTCCCCATCTACCACCATCTTATGGTGGATGTTTTGTAGATCTCGAGCTTTGTGTCATTATCCCGCCTGCCCGAGGGACTATGACAGGTTTTGACCCTTGTCGAAAGCACGGCATGACACGGTCGTTCAACCGAATCACACAGGCTTGTGCAATCACCACCTCGACTTATATCTGGGAGTCCTTCGCCAAGGCCTTAGTTGGTATCAAAGTTGAACATGCACTTGAGGGGACCGGGGCAGATACTGAGTAAACTTTTGCTTGTGCGTATTGTAGCTGCATTTTTCCAAATTTTCGGCTGAACATAGTGTTATATATGCTCCACCAGGAATTGGAACCACCTACCTGTTATTGTTCTAGATCTCCTCCCTCCCCTCTCATGCTGTCATCCACTTGTTCTGATTGAAAATTTGTGTATTTATTATTGAGTCAGTATCTCATTCTGTTTTCTGATATTTGAACATACTTGAGTGATTCAAAACGTGGGGCTGGTTGACTGGAATACAACACTTCACTTGGGGGGAGAGGCCATTGCTATACCTAGCATGGCAGGCACGATGCCTGGTTTTTATTATTATTTTAATGTTTAATTTTTTCATTTACTCAAGATTTTTGTATCGCTCTAAGGTCATACATGTCATCATCTGCTGACCCTTTCAAAACACTCTTCATGGTTGTGTAATGCTTAAACCCATGTTAGTACACATGGGCTCTATGATCCCTATGACACGACATACTCTATTTATTCATTTCAAGACCTTGTCTAGAAATGGTTTCAGATTTTAAGACCACTATACAAAATAAGTGTCTCATAACCATATTTCTAACTAAACTAGGAAGGAGCAATTTAATCATTACCCTTTTCCCTGTTTCTTTTATACTATCCACATTCTGATTGTTCACATTTAGCCAGTGATCACTTTTCCCCTCTTTCACTCAGCTAAACATGCCCAACAGACCTCCTCTTCATATGTGGGCCACTACTATCCACCAACAATCTGCTCTTGTCAGTGTCATACCACGGACCTGGAGGCTCGCACCTCATCCTCCCAGTATAAAAGTGTACATGAGGCTACTTGTATACACTTCCATAGGAGAGTGGTAGAGACTTTGAGTACCGATCCTGTGTATATTCATAATCTGTACAGTCACTGTTTAAAAACAGTGTTGGACACCACATTTGTTTATACTTCAAATCTATTCATTTCTCATTCCTTT